TTTGTAACGATCGAACATCCTAGAAGCGCTACTTGATGAGCTAGCGCAATTCGTGAGATACTAAACGCAGGCAGCTTCCTGTGGTCTCAAAATGACAAAAGTGCGCACATTCAGAGGCAGACAGCTTTCTGCAAGCTCTTAGAGTCGGCCACTTTATAATCGATGGCGCAAGTATGTAGGTAGCGTTTAGTATAGGAGGCTAATGCACTCCCACCATCGCCGGGCAGCATCCTGGAAAGTGCGTGGGTCTTACTATTTTCTTTTAGTATACCGCCCGCCATAAAAAAAAAAATTCGAAAAGCTTGCAATTGTAATTGTAACAGTGCAGAGGCGCGACGACACTCGAAGTCGCAGAGCAGGAGATGGCAGCTTGCGAGGCGAGGCGAAGGAGAGCCGTAGCTGTGGCCCAGCAGGTGACGTCGGTCCAGACTCCTGCTCATCTCAAGAAGCCAGCGCGCCGAAACGGATGACGCTGAAGGAGAGAAGAGGGCGAGGGCTTTGGGTACCTCCTAGCGACCCGCCCGAATCGTGCAGCATACATATCAGCAGACACTCCCAAGCTTTGGCAAGATCAAGCGAAGTCGCAGAGAAGGCCGGGCAGACTTATGGGCGACGTGGATGGCTGCAAAGCTCGACACTTGTATCGCGTTGGCTCAGCACCGGCAAGGGAAAGGCCGCTCTCTCTTTCAGAAAGAGGCAGGCTTGCGCTCATACTCGTGGCTCGCATACAGGAGCCTACTTTGTTCGTCTGGCGGTTACCGCGCGCGGCCCGCAGCAAGCAGAAAAAAGGGAAAGCTGAAGCTCGCAAAGAGAGTAGGAGGCCCACCTTCTGAAGAAGCAGCAAGGGTAGCAGTGTACAAGTATGACGAGAAGAAAGAAGAAGAGGGGAAGCAGGGTAGAAAGATCTGCAGAAATGCGCGTCGTAAGGATTCCGCTAACTTCTAGGGCTGTAAAAGAAGAGGCTGACCTCCTCCGTGCTGCTCCATGGGTGGCGTTGATGTTCGGACTCACTGTGGTGCCACACGGTAAAGGTAAGATCCCTGGAGCTAGACACCCAGAAGTCCGACGCTTCAAATAAAAAGCAAAAGCAAACCTGTCTAAAAAAACCTGAGCCAGGTCTCGCCCTAGCAAAACGCCCGCTCCGCTGTAGTGTATTTCAATTGTCGCGGTGTCGCGCTACCTAAGAAGTTTCAAAAGTCTGCAAGCAAGTCAGTGCGTGCAAAGGAGTAAGAACTCCCTGCGAGCACATGAGTAGTAGGCCAAAAGATAGAAGCTGCGGCCTGGCAGCAAGCTTCACGCACTCGGTGGGCGCTGTTTCGAGGAGCAGCATAGCCGCCGGAGGACTAGCCGAAAGGGGTAGCTGAACAGCCGCAAGACTCAGCTCATCAGGTACGCAGAGGCGCCCAGCGCATCCCTCTGCCCTCTTGCTATTTCGCGAAGGCATCGCGCGGATACAGACAGTTGCTACAGTTAAGAGGCGAACGGCGCAAGCTATTTTCGCCGCCCGTCATCTTCTCCGGCTTTTCCATCTTCTAACCTACTTCTGCCCGAGCATCTTCGGCTACATGTCTTGGCGAGTCTGCCCATGATGTTATCAGTGTCGTCGCCTTCTCTCCCGGTGCTTCCATCCTCTTCGACAGTTCTTGCCCATTTAGATCACCTTTCTTCACTCTCAAACTTATCTTCCGCAACGACACTTACTAGGAGACCTACCTAGAGCATGGGGGGCGAATAGGTTCAAGAGTTTGAGCATTTAATCAGTGGACTCACCTTCTAGCCACGTCGCCCGAAATGGGCTGTGAGGCCGAACAGGCCTACGCGCTATCTCTCGCGAAGCCGTTGCGCATAGCAGTCAGCCGCTTTTGTTCTTTTCTCTTGGGCGAAAAGTAATATCGATGCTCTCCAGCAGCAAGAACGTGCAGTCTCCCGATGACGTAAAACAAATTCGCTGCGTTCTTGAGAGCGTTTGTACGTAGTGGCTTCTTCCATTTGTGATGGTTATGACTATGAGTGCTTCGAATGACGAGGGCGGAGGTACTGCCCACGCTAAGTCTTTTGCTTCAAAGAAAAAGCGAAGGAATTAAAGCCACGCCGCCCGCTCGGTTGGACGTGGTGCCACAGAGTAAAAGACTGGCGCTCTTATCTCTGCTCGGCTCCCCGTGTGTTTTCTCGCAGCGCTTTCGCGCATCTGTAAGACTCTTGTCAGCAAGGTTAGCTCGGTGCGCGAACCGAAAGAGGCCTGGGGCCGTTGCTTCAAGATAACCAAGAGAGGCCTCGCAATAGATGGGGCAGCGTCCCCGTAGACGCGACGAAAGGCAAGAAGGGCAGGGCTCTCCTACGGTATTGATGGGAAGGGGGTACGGAGGTGAAAGGCTACAGTGCGGAAGAAAAAAAAGGGAGCAAGAGGCTGCGCGAAGGAGCGACGTATAAGAATAAGAAGACGGGGCTTGAGTACTTTCATCAATAGGTAAATCGTGTGGCACTTAGGGCGTTAGGCTTAGGCCAGTAGTTGCCTATCTGGTAGCTTTCGCCTGTCAGGTGATTGCGCACTAGTGTCGGAGAGTATCGGAGACGTTTTTTGCCGACGACATTACCTGCTACCAGCTCGCGAAAAGTCTCAGGCCATGGCGGTAAAAGATAGGGCAGAGCCCCGCAAGTCTCCGCTGTTAGAGATTAACGCGGAGACGCTCCACGGCGCGGGCATGGGGGAAAGTCAAAAGAAGAGGCAGACTGGCGACGCCGCGAAGATAAAAGCCCGCAACCTAGGGCAGCAGACTCATGAAGATGATGGCGGGAGAGCTTAGGTTGGAAAAGCCTGGGGGGCTCGTCACGCGAGGCGATGATATGAAGAAGAGGCTGGCAGGTCTTGGCGGAGGGCGGGCTGCAGGCTGCTGTAGTGCGTTCCGTCTTCTACTAAACTAACTGCGGGACCCAGACAGGAGCCACTGCAGCGGGCGGGGCCGATGAGGGACCTAGTTTCCACTGATCTACAGACGCTTGCCCCTACGCTAGGGGTGCCGGCTTGGAAGGGGGGGGAGGGTCTTTGCTCTGGTGCATAGTTGGAGAGCGCCTCTCGAGTCTGAAACCTGTGCCCACATGGGATGGCGACACACATCGGCCAAGTGCTGCGATCAAGAGCGTCGAAGTCATTACAGAGGCGGGCTCTGCAGGGTGTTTGCTTTCTTGATCTTTGTGACGGGTCTGAAGGGCGCGAGAATTATCTGGTGGACGCTGCAAAGGACCCTTCGCTGCCTCCTCGCGACAGAGTCAAGGCTGAGCTTATGGCGCAATATGTGAAGCGCCTGGCCATGGGCTGCGGGGTCCCTGGGGAGAAGCTTGCCGCGTTACTTGGGGAACTGCGTGAGTACGTGGATGATATCCAGAAGCAGCAGCATGCTGAGAGAAAGCAGGCGCGCTACCAAGTAACGAGATCAGCACTCATTCGGGACACGGTGGAAAGCTGGGCGAGGGCGGGAGCTGACGAAGCCAGACGTTGCGCCACCTTGCAGGCCAAGCACTTTCACAAGCACGGGAAAGACAAGGAGAAGGACCCACCAAGGAGGAGGCAAGAAAGGGATGGCGCAAGGAATTAGTGGCGGTCGGAAATGATAGAGACGCGCTAAGGGTGTCCCAGTGCTCAAAGGGCACTATGGCGAGCACCGTGGTGCCGGGTGATGGCGGGCCTCTACCCCATTTGGCTGGCGCTTATGCTCACTCTGGAACGGTCGGCCGAGGACACGCGCTTGCGTTTGGAGTGGTTGGGAGGTCAGGCCGTTCTGCTCCGGCAGGATCGGCAAAGGTGCGGCTGCAGGCTCTTCGGCCATTGCGTATGTCATGACGACAAAGGCTATCATCTCTGTCCGAGTGAGAAAAGTACTCTGCTCGCCCATAACGAGAACGAGAACTGAAAAGGTTAAAGAGTAATAAAGTGGAGAGACTTGAGGAAATAGGAGCGTGCCCAAATATGGCACGACTCCAATCAATGAACTCCTACAATGATACCACTGAAGTCATAGACTGACCAACCTAAACGTGTGCAGGGCCGGCCTTTGAGTCAAGTGGCAGAGTAACCAAATAGCCACAACATTCCCGGGATATCTTCCAAAGTATTTAGCGTTCTACTTACGCAGAGACGACGAGACTCCTTCACATTGTGGGCGACCTTTGTAGTTCGAGGAGGCACTGACGATAGACTTGCGCGTGGGGCTTTATCCACCTTGACGGCACAGGGCACAGTCTGGCAAGAGGTTCACCGCACGACTGTACATTCGTACCGTATTCCGGGGAAAACATTTTTAGAGTTGTGAGTCGAATGCGAGAGAGAAAGAGAACACGCGGTATTCGAGTTTCGAGAAGAGGTGAAACTTGGCCGAGATCAAAATGTTGAGAAACAACAGAGTTGATTCAGCCACCATTTTTGTGAAGAAGGAGCTGCAGATTTTCTTGCGGACAAAAAATTTTGTGTGTACTAAATTAGGTAGAAATTCAGCGTCTGAGTCTGAGTCTACAAAAATGAATATCAGCTCTGTGGGGATGGCTTTGAATGATGTAAAAACAGGACTAACTGTACCAGTGTGTAGGTCTTCTAGGTGAAGCCGAACTACCCACTCATGTTATAAGTGGGTCCAATCCGAATCGACTAACATCGTCACGCTATGAGTAGTTGAAGTGCTGCTCTGCGATGAAAAAATGCGAGCAGAGTGTGTGATCCGAATATCACGGCTCACTGAGACGGGACTATCCGGATAAGAAAGCCGGAGCAATGGTTGAATAAGGACGCTTAGCGACCACGTCTAAGCGAGATTGATGTCAGCGTGAAGCCCAGAACGAACATTTGCTTTCGCCGTCCTTTGATGGGTGTTGGGGCCGGCGCGCAGCAAATTAGTCCGAATCACTCGATTTGATCGAGTACTTGTTGAGAAAGGCGAACAGCAGGAGAAGGCCCACGGTCGGTAGAGTGGTCGAACACGGTTTCCGGGAGATCCTTGCGTAATCCAGAAATGATTTTGCCGTTGCGCGGTGCTGTTGGCGCAATGTGTCGCGCTGGTACAACCAGTTTTGCGCTGGTGTGCGCTCTTTTTGGCATCTTTTTTCCGCACGTGGTGCGTGGCGGTGATCCTTTAATGAACGACGATAAACTTACCGTCTCAAACGCCACATGGCATCGCGCACAACTCGGCAATATCGACTTCGAAGCGGCTTGTACTTTCAATGTGAACCTAAAAAACGGCTGCATCCGAGAAAATCGAGGTGATGTCGAGAAGGAAGCATTGATCCGGTTTTTAACCTACTATAGATGACGAGTGAATTTACTTACTTTGGCTTCAAATTGTAAGACTCTTTGATGTTATAATATATACTTCCGGTTTTTTCTTTGTCATTGTTTGTGAGCATCATTCAAGAAGGCTTAATCATAAATTCCCGAAATTGTAGGTTTTACGTGGTGATGCATGGAGACAACTGGCGGGAGAACACGAATTGGAATATCTCGCACCGGAAGGAGTGTGATTTCACTAATACATGCGTGGACATTTACGAGACGCCGGCACACAATAGTCCCTGTTGGGACCATTGGTACGGAATCACATGCAACGAGGAAGGGAAGGTGATTGAAATCAATCTCGTCGACAACCGCATCAACGGAACTTTTGGCGATCCCGACTTTCCTGACGACGCGCAGCTTTTGAGTACTTTCGCGATATAGCCTCTGTATGTTTTATACTTCCCATCTCCTACGTAGTTGTATTAAAAATGAATAGTGTCTTACCGTTGAAAAATCATGACGCAGACTCGTGCATGACCTACTTTTCGTCTTTCCAAGGAGGGACTATTCGCATTCTTCCTCATCAGAACAATCCTCTTCATTTATGCCTTGTTTTGTACATCCTACAGATCAATTCACTGGTCTGCGAAGACTCAACCTCGCAACAACGCGGGCTCGGTACCACAATCTACCGAATCCGAATGCGAACAACGTTACTGGAGAGTGGCCTTCCATGGAAATGTGCAAGAATCTCACGACAGTTGAACTGAGCGGAAATAAGGTCACCGGGATGCCATTTATCTACAAGAATGGTGATACGCTGAGGACTCTAGCTGCAGCGCAGAATCGAATCAAGTATCTAGAGACTTGCTTAGAAGTTAATTGTTGCGAATACACTGAGTTCGCATAATGAACCACCTCCACCTGTCGAGAAAGTGACGCAGTTTGGAAAATTTATCCGGTTGTTGCGGTTTACAACTATTGATTTTACTATTGATACATAGCGTTTCCGCGCAGTAGCCTTGAATAACATGATCATTATCTAGTACTATCTAGAACTTAGTTCTTTATTATCTCATTTCAGTCTCTTTCCGCCGTTCTTGTGGGCTTTTTCGGAGTTGGAGACGTTGGATTTGAGCAAAAATCTGATCTCGGAGAGCTTACCGACAGACTTTGGTAGGAACATGCGACGAGCGCGTTTCGTGGACATTTCCTACAATGCAATTCAAGGCGAGATATCCGGAACAGACATGTCGGACATGAGCAAGATCATCGTTTTCTCTGTCGCGCACAATCCGGACTTTACCGGAGTCTTTCCGACATCTATTGTGGTACAACAAACATATGCATCAGCTTGTGTTTGCATTTGCTAGTTTTGAACTTCCCAGAATGCACCATGTAACTTTACTGCCGCTTTAGTAGATGGAGTTTTTATAATCATCGGGTCCTACAGGTACAGCAAGTCGAAAATTTATCCTACCTCTATGTCTATTCACTGCCTTTGCGTCTGTTACTCATGATTACAGAAAGACACGTGGGTGGAAGCCGATTACGTGTCGATCCTGAATACCACGATGTACGGGGAGTTTGCAGGACTTTGCCTCGACGTCCCTTTTTGCTGGCGCTATATGTACACAGTCCATGCCGATCAAACCTGGGTTGATGGCGTTGACCCGCTCATCCAGGAGACCATCGAGAAGGCAATCAGCCGTGGAACCACGTCCACAACAACAACCACATTCGATATGTTCGCAGCTTTCCCGCGATAAGGAGCTTCAAAAGCGGTATTGGATGAACCCGGCAGAGACGATGGATGGCGCCGTCTGTACTTACCTAGATCTTCGAAGTCGCTGCCGCAGCACCTCGACTTGGACCGTAATATGCTGACGCTGCGGAGGAAGCCTCCGTTGCGAAAACGCCGAAGACACACACGAGCAGGGCGGGGCACGCAACGGCGCGTTGATACAACCGGTTGGAACGAAGGCGGTGATCGCTTCAGTCGCAAGTGTTGCGGAATGGCATGAACAAGCAAAGAAAGAGACGCGGAGGGCGACGCGAAGAGCCGTCTGCGAGCTGGATACTTAGTAATGCGATATCGTACAGTCACACAACAGAGATGTTGCAGAGTCCAGAGAAGATAGTCGCAACGAAATCACAGGAAAAGAGAAGTAGATCTTTATATCCATTTACTTGTATGGTGTCATAAGTAACTTTTTATAAGGAAGTCAAAAGAACTATTGTTGCATAACAGCTACAGATTGATCTTCTTTTTCTGTATAGTATCATGGACATGGACATGGATGAAAAGAAAAGCTTTCGTAGTAGTAGTAGTACGCGAAAAAGCAGTGGCGAAGACAGGTGCAAGAATGAAAAACGCAAATCTATAGCCGTGTTTGAGTTTTATTAGAGCTGTGCGCGAAGGCGAACCAGCAAGGGCATGTTCGTGCGTCGTCCTAACATTGTGAAGGAAGCGAACGTATCAACATCAATAAAGCTGTTATGTCATGCGTCCTCGTGTGTGTCAATATCTGAATATCGATAGTTGCTTAGCGACCACGGAACACCAGAAATCGACCACTCAACACCAGAAATAGTAAGTACTAGTCCCCGCTGCAGCATATTGCTTGAGTTCTCGTTCAAGTGGATCATGGCAATCGAAGATGAATCTGCTTCGACGCACTCCGGCGCACTTCAGCCTGCAGTGGCGGAGTATACAGTTGTAGGTTTTGGGACAGTGGGGACTAGCATCGGGTGATACCACTGCGAGCAATTGGTTTCCGGTCGCGTCCCTCACGCGAAACTGAGCAAAGTCGCGGCAGTGCAAGGTCGGATATCGTCCTCACTTGGGCAGCGCAAAGGCAGCAGCAAGAATTGGAGCTCTTCGCAAGTGTGGACGCTCTGCCACCAGTTTCAGGGGATGAAACACCGCATGTCGCACTCGTGGCATGTCGTGCCGCAGCTGCTCCAGACGTGGCGCTCCAGTTGATTATCGAAAAGGGGTACATGTTTAGCTACCTCGAGAAGCCCGGAACGGAATCGAGAGAGCTTTTGCAGTCTATAAGTGCCGAAGCTGAAAAGTATGGCACAAAGATTTTCATGGGCTTCAACTAAAACGTGTCGGACCACGTGGCAAGGGCCGTCGATACCTTCAAAGAAATCAAGGCTGTGGGGCATGCGGACAGCAAGAGCAAATGTACAGCTGGTAGCAGCAACAGTTTCGTAGCATCATCGTGGCTGAGTGGAGATGAGACTACTCAACACAGTTCTTGTAAAGCGCATGGGTCTAGTACCTTAAAGATTTTGCTAGAGCATAACAACTCATGGCACCCAGCAGGCCTGAACTACAAGTGCTTCGAAGGTAATTATGAGGGTCTTCAGAAGAACATGGCAACTCACGAATTAATGATGGCAGTCTCTTTCTTTACTCGATGCGCTGAAAACCAATTCTACTGTGCCGGATGTCGATCCAGAGTATTCGCGGTAGGAGCAGCGGGTAAGTAGATTTTTGCGATTTCTCGCGTGTGCGATTCACGATGACGATCTCGATTGGTAAAGGTCTTGGCGATGAATTGGTGCAAATTTGCTTCCAGTGCGATCGCTGTGCGGGAAACGATAGAATCCGTGCGACGATTTTCAGTAGTGAAAATGAACGAATCCTCTCAGTTGAAATGGGCCAAGGCCTTCTTGACGAAAGTGATAGCGCGAAGGAGATCCGGGAAGCACTTCCGGAAGACATCAAACGATATGCAGTTTCTTCAGCAGGGCGACCTATTTTGTACTAGCTCTAACGAGCATCGAAGACGGAATCGCAACCATGGAAATCGCAGAATACCTGCAGAGCACCTTTCCCAAAAGGCACCTATGCCGGGCACGCTGCAACGTCTGCCTGATAGGCGCGGGTGCGGATGGGGCAGTTGCGGCAACAGAAGATGCAAGCTTCTGTGCATTGACGGCCACGGTTTCGACGCTGCGCAGACGTTGGCTGAGGAGTATCATTGTAGCGCTTTTTCGAGCGTGAAGGAGGTGCTCACTACCTTCGGATATCAGATTCAGGCATTGTGGATTGCGACACCGACGTTCACGCACGAGGAATGTATTCGGAGCGCAGTACCAGCTGGCAAGCACATTTTCACCGAGAAACCGCTTGAGGAGACGCCTGATGCGATCGGGCGACTCTTCGATATGATAGACGAAGCCGGCTTGCACCTCCTCTGCGGTTTTCAACATCGGTTCGATGCCTCCTACATGGCGTTGTACGACGCGGTGCGTGAGGATAGCGCGGAAAACAAGATCGGGAAGCCCGCACTTCATCAACGTTTTCTTCGCTGACCATCCTATGCCGCCCATGGATTTGCTGAAGACGGAGGCCGTCTCTTCATGGACTGCCTGCCGCACGACGCAGATTTTTGCCGGCTCTTGCTCGGAGGCGAAAAGCCTGAGGAAGTCTACGCGACCGGCGCACGCAGTAACGAGGAGCTCGCCGAAGCGATGGTGGCGGACACCGCAACCGTGACCGCCAAGTACAAAAAGTTGGGTGTCGTCGTCCACGTTTGTCTCTTTCGTGGTGCGACCTACGGTTACGACAACAGAATTGAAGTGTTCGGAACTAAGGGCCGTTTCGTCGTGGAGACACCGCCAGAACTGTCTGTACGATGTTCCGACAAGGATAGCATTCATGCGCCAGCACTAATGTTTTCCTTTCCGCAGCGGTTCGCAGCTGCGTTTGCCGCAGAGGTGGATCTGTTCGCGCGAGGCGTCCTGGCAGAACCTGGCGCAAAGTGGCTCGTTGACCGTACCGCTTGCATCGCAGCGCAAAAATTCGCGATGGCGGCAGCTGCTAGTAAACGAGATGGAACAGTGAAAAACCTTTAGAACAAAAATCTCATGTGAACTAGGAGTTCAACTTCAAATAAATGATAGCATACAATGCTTGTTTTCTGTGTTGAGTTTTTTTGTAGATAGCCGCGCGTTCTAGGCCTAGAAGTGCTGTTGACCACTGGCACGAGCAAGATTATACGCGCTCATTATGGACGCAGTTAACTCTTGAGAATTTTCTTCATGTTTGTATGGCTTTTCATGATTCTCGGTCTTAATTCTCAAGTGTGCCATCTTCTCTTGGAGTTGCTTTATCTTCAATGCATTATGCACTCGGGTCGCCGTTGGGTCCATGCAGATGGTCCTCTGATCTTTGTTGCTCGCACTTTTGAGTTTGAAAATAATGATCCACGAAGGCATCATCTGGAAGCAGATGCTGTTGTACTATTTTCTGGCGCGGACATGGGAACATGTGCAGAATCAAAATTCGATGCAACGTTAGAGATGAAGGCACTGTAGTTCTAAGCCACAGAACCAGTAATTCTGATTGACGAACAGTCGAAATACAACATGACTGTTTTCAGAAGTTCAGCACATTCTTGAACAAAGGCCAACTGTTCCATGAATTGGTATTGCAGCACTTGAATCGATTTTCTATCGATAACTACAAGAAGCAGATAACATTTTCATACTGACGATGTAAATATAACTCGCACTACTCTTCCATCGCCATATTTGCTGTCACTTACCTTTAGAAACGAATTTCTCAGTCTACTTCCGATTGGGGTAAGGGAGCGAGAGCTTAATAGGCATTGATTGTCATACATAGTTATTATCTTCTACATACTCTTCCAGAAGACAAAGAATACAAGATGGATTCGCTCGACGGAGAGTTTGGTGTACTCGAGTTTTGCTGGAGGTCCTTCAAGGTCCTCTTTGCCTTAAGCCCTCTGCTGGGTATGCTCGCCCTTTTCATGACTGCATACAGCGATACGGAAACGGAGCGCAAACGCCGAGAGGAGAACTTCGACTTCGCCATGGCAGGTCATGACGAGTAGGTGCTGGAGAGCGCATGATTTTATTCTAATGACGAGTTCCGTGAGTGTGGAAATCACGGCTATGAATCGAACTCAAAAGGCAGAATTGTATGCATGATGACTTCTCCACTTGTAGGAGAAAAATCCAAGATGCGATTGATGGGGGAGAATCATCAGAGACCGTGATGTGATGATCACAAATCATAATACTGCTGCGGCATATCCTTACCTCGCCGTCCAAGACAAACCTGGTAGTTGTACTATTTGTAACCAAGAAAGGGGTGTCCCAAAACATAGCTTTCTTTGATTTACCCCGAGGAACAATATAATAACTGTCATGGTCCAGAGAAATTGAGTAAGTACAAAAAACCAGAATCCCCCCTCCGACTGCCCCGCACATTGACCTTGATGTAAGCACCTAAAGTCTCACAGAACAAAAGCCGTCCCTGGAAGAAGTGCAACTTCACTTGCGTTTGACGCTGGGAGTTGTCATCGTCCGCCCTGTTCTCTATTCTCTCGCAGAAAATCATGTCCCTTCATCGAGCTTAATGTGCCCTTCCTTTACACACCGTCTAGCACAAAGGCCTGTACGGATGAACAATACCATCAGGACATGAAGATAGAGCTCGGTAGATGATGGAAATTCGAGACGAATACATTCTGCACGACAATTGTGACCGTCAGTGACGTGATATTTACTCCACCAGATTTAGTAAGACGCTTTAATATTTCTTTCCAACCTGAAAAGCAGGTAATCGGATGACGAAAATGGACTTACTTACCTTGTAATCATCCATCGACGGATGTAAAAGTAACTATTTGATATCGTAGTTTAGCATTGCCTGATCTGAATTCAAGAAGTTAAGTATTTTACAGCGAAAGAAATTCCTATCACATGAATTTCTTTCAAAGAGGAAATATCGCTTACGCTATAAGTTTGAGGTGGTCTACTGGAGTTGGAGGTGATTTTGTGTAAGGTTCTTTTTTCTTTTCGTAGCAAACACGATTGTCCTTGAGAGATGAAGCTGAAGGTGGCGACTGGGGCACCAGTCTTCGCGCTTTGACGCATTCAGTGAACCTTAGCTTTTCTCCTGTGAAGCTGAGTGAGAAGCACAGCCCTTATTCTTGCCAACCGCCGTGGGTCTTGTCGCTTTGCTTCATTTCGTGCAGTGCGAAGATGACGAATAACAAAGCTGCGGCGCCAGGATTTGCAGCTCCGGGGGTTACAGCTCCTCCGCCTTTTCACGGCGGCTATAGTCACGGAGGCGGGCAACACCTAGGATCGCAGCATCAAGATCACGGAGGGCATCATCACCACGTTGGCCATCACGCACAACAACCGCCTCCGCAGGTGCCTCTCCCGCCGCTGCCGATGTCACATCAGCAGCACTCGTCTTCTTCTGCTGGAAAAGGGCACCAATCCCATAGCAGTGGTGGAGGGAGTCTAAATCAGCACCGACATCATCAGCAGTCCCACAACAGCGGCGCGGGGGCCTCCACTTTTCATCAGCAACAACACCACCAGAATGCTTTTTCGGCAAGCAACGTCGGCTATAAAGACAGCCCATCCATCATGATGCAGTGCACACCGAAGATATTTCCTCCTGGAAGCGGACCCATCGATCGGCAGAGCAAACTCGACGAGTTCTGGCGCTCTGAGGGAAAGTGGTTCGACTTGAACCTATTTCAGGACTACGTCAAAGCGTGGGGCGTGGACTTGGCACGCGACGAGATCATTCAGAATTGGCACGATGAATGCCTTGCGACCTGTCGAGCAGCGGACCTGATTCCGGAACTACAGCCCGATGGTCCCGGTCGGTTCGTCTGTTGTGCGATCGATGCGTCGACGAGCGAAATGAAGGGAAAAGCGGGCGTTATCGACTTTGCCGGCATGAGCGGACGCAACCACGCGGTTGGCCTCGTTGTTGAGACGCTAAGCAACGGGGTGTCCGGCAGCGGGGAGCAGCAACACAGCGGCGGCGCTTTGAGTGGCGGGAACAACTATTTTTATTCACACATGCAGGGCTATAACTACACGGGAAGCAGCGGTTCTGCCTCGCAGCAGGGACCCGCGGCGAAGTATCGCGGTTTCCTGTTTTGCGTGAACTACAACTCGGTTCTCTCGCCACGGTGTCTCACTGCCGGTCTCACGGGCGCAGAGAAACGGCAGTCGGGCGCGAGAGGCATCAAGGGAAAATTCGGCGATGGGTTACAGTCAGCGGTGAACGTGCTCTCAAAAGCACCGGCTGGTTGCGAGGTCAGCTTGCTCTCGGTCGGTCACCGCTTCGAGTTCGAGTCTCGCGCCAAGTCGAACTGCGTGGACATCCGCACGTTGCATTACACGATCAAAAGTCTCTTCTCGACGTACTCTGCGAACTGTTCTTCCTCTGGTGGAAACAACTGGATGCAGTCTGCGCAGAACGATCCAAATATCTTTGGCCCTACAATGGCCCACCACAACCCGCTTGCCTGGCAGAAGTATTGCGAGAAGGTTTTGGACGTGGACTTTCAGCGAGACACTGTCGCAACTATCAGCAACATCTGGCTGGATCCCAGCCGCTACCTGTTTCTTCTCGGAGAACAATACTTAAGGAAGGGAGCGAGTAGTTGTAGTTTTTCATCATTCATTGATTGTTTTAGTTGGTACTACCCTGAGTGAGAACTACAACCATGACCACCATCATGTCATGAGAGATGCGAAAGGATGAGGAACATAAAGCATGCACTTCTCAGGAACTACAAGAAATCCTAGCTCTAATGCACAAAAAAATCCGTCCGCCGCTGATTCCCCACAGCAGCGGGCGACCACAGTGGAACAAATACGAAGTTCTGCTAGATCCAGATTTCGCGGGTCGAATCTACGTCAAGGGAATGCTGGTGCAAGTACCGCAGCACAGCGGCAGCTCGTGGTCGAACGACAACAGTCGAGCACCGTTCCATGAAAACCGCGGTTCTAGTTGGAATTATTCGAAAGGGAACCGTTGGCACTTCGGATACAATTTGCTCGATTTCGAGATACGTTCAAGGGACCGCTTCAACAGTTTGACACGGCCTGAGGAAACAGCGGAAGTCATCGGCGCGTGGCACGAAGTGCTCAACAATGTGGACTTCAAAACCCTGGCTGGCACCCACTCATCCCAGGTGCACTACTATCGGAAGTTTCTCTTCACTTATGCATCTTTGTGTTATCTTTCTCACCTACACCTTCATCTTTTTCTCTCTTTTTAGTACTACAAATGACGTTTTTGTAGAAGAAGGGGCCCCACTTCGCTTCATGTGTAGTACAAGCCCCAGCTGATTCTCATTCTTCCGATGCAACGAACGACCGCGCGGCATGTTGAATCCTGTTTGGTCAGTACTGAGTGCGGATGTGTATTTTAATTTTCTCTTTGGAATGTGAGTGATTGCAAACAAGTTATCACAGCATTGCTGAGGAGCTGCTCTAACGCGTTGCGCTGACTCGTAACCCGGACTGCCTTGAAGCAAATGCGCTTCGTCACTTTAGTGGCGACGACCGTGCTGATATCATCAAGACTCATCTGGTTACTTTCATGCGCAAGAACTACCCGCATTGCGAACCCTGTGGAGTGGGCAATATCGCTCGCCAGCGGTTGATTGAGAAGCTGCAGCGGCGACCGCTGATGCTCCCACCGATCTTGATGGACCTGATGGGTCCCAAATTGCCGGACCTAGAGGCAGAGTGGGAGAAAAAGAAGGCGCAGGAGCTCCGCAAGTTTGCTCCAGACCAGAGTAACATGGGCGTGTGGCTCTGTGACCTCCTGCAGACGAGCATTGAGGCTTTTTTCCAACAGCAGCTGCATCGCGAGTACACCGTCTTTTGTTCGGGTCAGGCTGGACACGCTGTCGTTGTCAAGGTCGTGCGGGGCTCCCGTGAATTTGGCCGTGAGGCCTGCTGCGTGCAAGCGCCGGAAATGACAGCGTTTGAATTGACCGGTTGGAAGCTTCGTCCGGCATTGCGTGGTATTTACCGGCTAGACACTGAGCGACAGTTTGATCGCCGGCCCACGTTTTGGCACACCGACAACAAGTACTTCCTGTACCACGATGGCGGGGAGGTCTTGATTAACACAGCGGACAAGTACAAAAAAATTTCGCAGTTTCGGAACAATCAGCACGTTGCGAAATTTCTAGGCCACCGCGAAGGCATGAGTTGGTGGCACCCGAGCTGCATGTGGGAGGAGAGGCAGGTGAGTGGCGATATGGAGACTGTGACGATCAGTTGTCGTCCCGTGAGGCAGCGATCGTTACTTCAGCATGGCGGGCACAGTTACAACAGTAACGCAGGAGGTGGCGAGATCACGCCATCTACGGCTGGCCGTGGTTTGGGCAGCGAGTATATGAATCATCCTCACCAGCATCAGCGCTACACGCCGCACGTGATCATTAATACGGGGTGCTGGATTTTCCGCGACGCGGAGCGCGCATGTGCCACGACGCACCTTCAGGGGGGATCGGTGTTTTTGCTGCACTCCCAGTCATTTTTGATCCAGGTAGCCAAATCGATCTGCGTGGATCTGCACCGCTGTCGCTGGGCGGTGAACGAAGAGGCGGAGAGTAAACTCCGGCTCCGCCTCTTTAGCGATATGATGTGGCACTGTGGCGCCAGCGTGAACGAACAAAAAATCCCGATTTTCAAGGAAACAAATAATGCGTGCGTCGGTACTTCTCCCTCGCCAACCGGAGCATGCAGCGCTTCCGCTGGTGCTTCCGGTGGGGCAGGAAGCTACGCCAGCGGTTCTGCTGCGGCTGGTGGCGGTGCTACGGCAGGCAATGTCGGCGCCGGCGAGGTTGGAGACGGCGGGAATGCCGAAGTAGAACCACAGGCAGGTATGCTCGTGGAAGTCAACGAAGATGTCAACTTCATCGACGAAATAGCGAACCTTCCCGCGGCACCGCTGTACACCGGTGCAAAAGACGAGGCAGAAGAAGGAGAGAACGCTGCCGGCGGGAATGGAGGCCACGGCGCGTCTCATGCTGGAGGGCAGCGGTCAGGACACCGCGGAGGCGGCTCCTGGAGTGGTGGCGGTCATCAAGGTGCCCAAAGGGAGCAGAACTACAACAACCGCGGTGGCGGTAATAGCAGCAACTCATCGTCTTCAAACAGTGGTTCTTTGTCTAATGGCAACTCATCGTCAAACAACAATAGCAACGGCAGTGGAGGAGGCGGTGGAGGTAAGCAAAATCGTTCCTCTTCGTTGTCGGGTGGAGGTACGTCGAGTCAACATTCGTCGGGCAACAACAATAAAAATACTACTAGTGGATCTGGTTCGGGCTCTGGTGAAGGTGGAGGCAACGGGGGAGACCACGAGAACGGAGGTGGCAGTGGAGGCGGAGATAGCAAAAGGCGCAAATCCATCTACGCTGACGAGGCAGGTGGCACTGGCGATGGTGATCAAGGTGGTGACACCTGGAACACCGTCCGCAAGAAGAAAGCCTTTCGCGGCCAGCAAAACGGTGGAGGTGCAGGTGGGTCTGCGGGAGGCCAGCAGAGCGGAACGTCCAGTGGGACTGCCAATCAAAACAAAAATGGCGCGACGAACCGCAATAATAACTTGGATGTACTGCAAAACGATGAAGAGGAATCCGAAAACGAGGAGCATTGGCAAGGCGACTCCGAAAACAACAACAAACACCAGTCCAACAATAGTCGTGGCAATTTAAAAACGCAGGCTGGCGGTTCCTCCTCATCATCAGGTGCAAGAGACAGCGGTTACAACTCTATTAAAAATCAAAAGGGGCACGGCGCAAGCCAGGATGCAAAGAGCCAGCACTTGGCGACGCCACCTGCAGACGCTAACTATCTCAGGCATTGTCTTCGCGGCGCTGCTGGTGCGTACATTCGCCACCTATGCGGACAAGCAGCAGGGCCTCGGGGAGCCAAGAAAAACAAGATTGCAACGGAGTATGTTTTGCGGTACCTCGAACGTGGTGTTGTAGACTACGTGCAGAGGGCTGTCGCTATTGCTATCGACTCTTCCGCTAGCAAAGGCGGTCGGGGAAAGGTAGTGCGAATTGATATAGAAGGTTCTTCGATTTGACTGGATAGAAAATGTAGAGAGTTTTGTCTCAGGTCAAACGAGGTTTGAACTGCTCATCTTATTTGTAGATTCTGTGAGAAGTGTCAGACTAATGCGATTGCACTGCTTCCTTGTAGTATCAAAAAGGTTTATCGTCTCTGCCGATCTCATCCTCCAGGCTTACCTTGGTGCTAGCATGATGCAGTTTCTTTTGGCAGCGGAGATGTTTCTGCAATCGAACACTCCAAGCAGAGCTGATTGGGTTCGGCACATTCTCTTCTCGTCAAAGTGGCTCGGCGAATCGAGCGCGTATTAAAACCGTTTTTGCATATGCATTGTATCAACATGTGGTTCTATGTAGGACTACGATTCTTATTCTGCTGTAAGTGATAGACATTCACGTGTGAATTCGTTTCCATTTGGTCTATTCGTATCACGTTGCAACCTCAACATCAGGTCTGGATCCTACGAACGCAAAGAGCAAGAAGTTGGTGAGTGTTTGAGCCGTGAAGACGTGCAGGCATTGATGAATACCTTTTCTGATCGCGTGGTAGCGGTCAAGATGAAAGGGCCCAGAGACACGACCGGGGAACAGAGCAGCCTCATGGCGATGATCAAAAAATATTTGAAAACGAAGCCTGCAGAGGACATTCAAGCCGTCAACGTCGATGAAGAGAAGGAGCTGGCGTTCGCAGTTGCAGCAACCCAAAATGGATCCAACGGAGCGGAGCAGCACCCGCACCAAGTGCTGATGACAGTCCAGAATGTCAATGCAACTCCATCGCAGTCGACTGGTGCGAGTTCGGGTAGCATGCCTTCGTCGGTGCCCGTAGGGAGCGTAGTCTGGCAGCGACAAGGTTCAGCACATATCGGCACTGGATCAACTTCTACAGCAAGTGCAAGCTATAAGAATAACGCCAATTATGCCACCTATCATGGCGCCACCGCAAGTACGGCCGCAGCAACAAGAAAGAGCACGAGGTCTTCCGGGAAGAACGCGGCGGCGCCAAGGTACGCCGCAACAAATTCTCACGTGGGATCTTCTTCTAGCTCTGTCTTGCCGGGAAGCAACCTCTTCGGCGGAGCAGAGGAGAGTGCGGCATCTCATGATTCGGCAGCAGGCGGTCATGATTACCTCGTGGCACAACATCATCATCAGTCTGCTGACCAGCAAGCCGAAGCCCACCAGCAGTATCAGCAATCTGTCACGGCCGCGTACCACGATGGATCTGCAGGAGCTTCAGGTTCAGCAGCTGAGACTTCGTATTACAACTACGTGCCTGGTGCGCCTGGAGGGCGTTCCGCCAGTGCAGAGGATGGCACTTTGCACGCGCAGGCTGGTGCCGAAACGGCAGGAGGAGTGTCTTGTGGCTATTCCTCAGAAGGGTATTACGCACAGCAGCCTTACATCACTGCAGGCTACCCGCAAGGGTATCATCACCCAAGCGCATCTTCTCATGCTCAGCAGTACCCGCATTACAGCAATGCTCAGTACAATCAGTCCGGGACCTACGCGTACGGTGCTTCTGCACCTGCCGGCCTACAGTACACGGAGCATTACGTTGAGGGGGCGGCAGCGCAGACACAGCTGAGCCAGCAGCATGCATATCAACAATATCCCACGACCTCGCAACACGAGCCTCGAAGTACTTACAGTAGTACCGTAACGACTTCGTCGTCACAGCAACAGGAATATTATTGCAGCACAGCGCAACAGCAGCAGCACCACTTTGATCGAGGAGTTTCAACAAGCGGGCGTGCTGCTTATCAGCAGGCACCAGCGGCAGCTGCGAGCGGAGCGCATCAAAGCCGAAGAGCGGCCCGCGCGGCCGCCGCAGATGACGACGAGGCTGCCTTGTTGGAGGCCGAGACGCAGGTACGAGAGCAAGGGAAGGAGCGCGCTGATGAGTTTTTGCATGCGGTAAAAGGCATGTACGGAAATCCTAGCATGTTGAAAGCTGACGTGCGCGAGCGTGAACGGACAGCTGCAGCACCGACGGGTGATCCCGCGTCTGAGCCACCAGTTTATGGTGAAGAGCAAGGCCAGGAGGAGGGCGGTGTGCCAAAGCACCTTCCTGGAGAAATCGATTTCACAACGTACACTAAACGGGAGGGCGCCCGGCTCTCGATGTGGCGTTGGCTCGAGCGCATTGTGCTTCCAGAATTCTTTCAGGGTGAGCGCTTTGACGTGGGTGCCGACCAGCTGGATACAGACGCGCCTCCTTGTGGAATTCATAATAGCTCCTCAAGTAGAGGCGTACCGAGTGATGAAGTGTTTCAAGCAAGAATGATTAAGAGGCTGGTGCAAGCAGCGAAGTCGAGAGCAGCGCTTTTGCGGTGTCGTCATGGCTGGGATCTGTGGTGGAAGCTCTACCGACGGCGAATCCACAGCGATCGGTTCATCACTGTGGCAATGCAGTCCGGTATTCCTGATGTAAGGAAGGTCGAGGCCCTTCGGGAATTTCTTCCCTTACACCCAGAAGACGAGGATGACCCCTTGTGAAGCTGAGGATAGCATCGGGGCCGTGGATAAGGAAGAGCGTCTTGTGAAGGCCGTAAGTACGTCTTATTGATATGATTCGTACATGCGCCAGCACTCGTCTTCAACAAGATACTTATCGATATGAGTTGGCGAAGACACTTCTACCGCAGGCGCAGGCTTACGACCTACTTTGCTGAAGAAATACGAGGTTGATCGTTATCCTTGTCATTTTTTTACTTGCGATTTTCGGATCTACACCGACTTGTACGACTATGAGGTCCCGGCAGAATTTGTAACTGTCGACAACATTATCTATCATGATTCACTAATAAACATTATATTCTCCGACATGGCAGTGGCAGTCGTTGACATAAATATTAGAGTAAGGTAAATAACGGGTTTCGGGTTGCTCGAGTTGCAACGGGTTGCTCGGGTTGCCGAAGCGCAGGGGTTCCAAATCTGGAACGGGTTGCCATGGGTTGCCAGGAGAATCCTGACCCAGCAAAATGGGGCGAAGCCGGGCGGTATGGAGGGGCATCCGTGCGCTCTAAGTGAAGAAATGGAGAAGAGCGCAGTTTCTTTTTTGTTGTTGTTGCTCATGAAAGGGGCAGCCACGTTTGGAGGGCTCTGCAGGCTTTCGGGCTCTTCTTTTGTAGCGTGCGGGCGCGTGTTTGAAGCGAAAACAAGGAGCGCAGGCCCCTGCTCTCTGTTGTTTTTCTTTGAGGTGAGTGGCGCTGTTGTTTGTCGTCTCTGAGTCGTTGGCGATCTCTCCCATTTATTTTTCTTCGGGTGCGAGCGTGGCCAATCTACTTGGGGGCTGAGAGCGAGTCTCCGCCTGCTGGCTTCAGCGGGCGACGTGTCCAGTCTTGGGCATAGCAGTAAGTATACTGGAGGAGGTTGCTAAATTGGTATTGGAATTATACACGAGCGCGCCGCCATCAGTATGCAACTACGGCGCGGCGCGTGGTCGTGTCGTGCGCTCCTGTTAAGGTCTCTCGTAGGGTCATAAATCTGCGCCCGAAGGGCGCCGCGCAAAAAATTTGGGTTGGCAACTCGAGCAACTCGAGCAACCCGAGCAACCCGACCCGATATGGGTCAAAAAAAACCTAACTCTAAAATATGATAACATCAGTTCTTCTGTTTTGTACATTAATTTGAACTGTCTTTCAGCAAATAATTCGACAAGCAATTATAGCACGAAAGCTACAACCATCAATTAGTGAGTCGTTTCAGATTCTGGCGAAAAAAAAAGTAATCAACAAGCGTGCGAACATGGATTAGAGTAACTAGGGCGAGATCTGTACAACTGTAGCCTCTGTGGAGTGGAGGTGCTGAAAGCATTTGTTCCCTACCATTCAGCAGTCTTATCTTTATCATCTTCCAACAGAGGTAACTGGGTCAGTATGGCGGACATCGCTTTCACTTTGACTCCTTTTCTGACTGATATCATGCGTGCTCGGATACATAAGTTTGTTGTATGGTTTTCTTCTTGACAAATATGGTCCATCATGACTTATGATTTTTTCATCGATCATGGGGATTCTTTTTCAAGAACGAGGAGCAGGTCATCATACTAGTGTAGTAGTACTACTACTAGAAGATGTAGATGATAAGAACTTGGATAAACAAAAAATTCATTACGAAATGTGTAGAGATTTTGATGGGTCGTTTTATATTATGTGTAGTTTGATATTATTGATGAATTATTAGAAGAATGTTGAAGGTAGTGTAGACAACAATGCTACCTTTCTCGTTGGTTGTAACAACGAGTAAGTTGAAGTCGTGCTTTTAATCGTGTGCTTTTGTATGCTATGAAAGAGACGACATGGCCGAAGGGTTGTAACTGCGTTCAGCCATCAGACAAAAGAGCAGGTGCTACACCAAGCATACTAAACGAGTCTTTTACTCAACGAATGCCCTTGACAATTCGCCTAGGCATCACAGGTGTCAATGAGTACTTCATTTTTCTGGCCTGACAGATAGTCTGACTACTAGGGCAGAACTCGACCGCGAATCGAGAACCATATCACCATACCAGGGTTCCGCTCGATGTCTCTTCCTCTTCGCACGTAAGAACTTCTTACCACTACCTAACTTTCGTGTTTTTTGTTCTTTGATAATCTCCTACAGTTGTTTTACAAAAGATAGGATGGCGAGGTCGTGGGTGAAAACCAAAATCTTAAAAAAATGACAGAAACTACAAGCGTTGTCGTTGTTATGCATACGTGATGAAAGTTGTGAGTCGGCATGGCCAAGGCCAAGCGTCGGAAGACGGTCCGTGTGAGACATTGGTCATATTTGGATGAGCGCAATCGCCCACGTGTTGAAAGGTACGCTGGCTGTTGACCTGATCTCAAACCCACCTGAGTGTCAGCAATATCGAGGTAATACTATTTTAGACACTTCTGGAAGTACTGATGTCATCGAGGCGAGGGTCAGAAACAAGCACAAGCATGAAAGGCCTGCTACTTGATCAATGTGGCGTGCGTCTTGGAAGAACAAGATAGAGGACTGAACAAGCTAAAAAAAAGACTCCAATTATCGGTAAAACGATTCTTATAATATCCATCATTCAACAATCAACACACGCTGATTGGCTGTGACGCAAAGCGACTCAACCCATAGTTTGTCATTTAGGAGGGAATGACGAAGACGTTTTTGCTTGAAATCGCCCTCTGTGATCGCGGTGAACGCGATACTGATATTAGATACTACCATAATATTGATACATCGATCATCAATAAAGAAACGTATTTAGCGAGTGCAAAAATGGATCATTTCGACGACTTGCTGACTCGCATTAGTAGGCTTGTGCCTGTTCGCTTACCACGAGAGCAACCCAACGACGAAAGTGTCCGAAAAGTGACTCTGCACTTGCAATTTGGCGACTTTATGGAGCGAGCAAAGGCTCTGCCAAAAGCCCTGAACCAGTATTGCAAAGGCCTTGAAGTCCTTGCTGATGCACCAGAAAATGAGACTCTACTTGAGCACCAGCAGGGATCTCACAATTCAACGGCAGACTCTCCTAGAATTGCAGATGAGACTGGCCACGTACTATCGGTCCTCGCACTGAAGCTCGGAGCAGCCTGTGGACGGGTTCTTATCCTGGAAGCGAAGAGCCTACAGCAGACAACTGCGCGCGAGCCAAGCGGCGAAAGGCAGCGCTTGAGAGCGATATCGGAACGGTTGGCACAATCAATGCTTTTCAGTTGCCTGGATCTGGTTTTACGACTATTTGATGGTTGCTTTATGGAGGAATACGGGGAGCCACTGCACGGCGTTGTGGAAAAAAATGATGCCGCGTCGGAGACTGAGAAAGAATTCTCTACATGCGATGTAGATGGCTGCCTCGATGCTTCTCTCAACGGGCCTCATGGCCTGAGTCAAGCAAAAGCGCGATCCGTGCTTGACATATTTCGGGTGAGATGGGAGACGCCGTTGCCATCCTCAGATCGTGAAGACTTAGATGAGTTAAAAGATCATGATAATACTTATACAACTCGCGAGAAGGAGAAAAGCGCAGTGAAAAGAAAACTCGCTCCCGTCATTTCCGAAGTGCTTGTGAATCTCTCGAATCTGTATTTTCGTCCCGATGATGACGACGCAGTAATACAAGACGGTTTCGAGGAAATTAATCTAGACGCAGGCTGTAATAGTCACAGTTCAGCGGAAGTAATGGCATTGGAAATTTGCGACTTGGCTAGAATTGTCGACCCAAAAGCTCGCGAAGCTGTCATGCAGAGTGCGAATATTCTGAGATCTCTACACAGACGTGCTGATGCCGTGTGCCGTGTGTGGGAAGCGATCCTTGACGAGTTTGAGAGCTTGCAGAATATTCCAAAGGATGAAGTATTAGAAGTGCTTTCACCAGCGGAAAAAGCAGAATCTCAAGCATCGTCATTCATTCTTCTGGCAAGGGAACAATTGAGTCTATGGCGCAGTCGGACTGATGGAGACGCATCCGTAGATCTCAAAGTCCATCAAGATGGGCGAAGCGCCGATGAAGGGATTGACACTCATGGAGATGTTGAAATGTCCTTCACCCTGCCAAGTGAAATAAACGCTGGTGACCCACGTGGTTCTTTTTCCACAAAAGCTGACGCAAAGCTTGCTATCGCGTGCGTTCTGTGGGGTACGCGAGTCTACAGTATGAAGGACGTCGCGCGTTTGCATCGAGGCGCGCAACGGCATTTGAAAGCGGTTGCATTCGATTTCCATTGTTTCACCGACCAGAAAACCCCTGAGACAGCACAAGAAGAATCGTTGTTCTCAGGCAGGGACGAAGTTCGATTTCATACTCTAGATCCCACGTTGCATGGATGGTGGGGAAAAGCAAGCTTGCTCGGGCGACCGGAATTAGTAGGGTACAAAAAAGTGGCTTATCTAGACCTTGATCAAGTGATCACGGGCTCGCTGGACTGGTTGGACACCTACTCAGGCAATTTCATGCTTCTCTCCACTAGGACTCTGGCGTGTGAGATGGCGAAGGACGGTTTCAATTCGTCCGTCATGGTCTGGCGTAACGATGATGTTCACAGGAGTTGTAGAGCTTCTGAAAGACCTAGTCAAGAGACGCATGTGAGCAGGGTGCTGCGCGAATTAGTTAGTTTACCGGACCCGCAGTGCTTCGCAGCTGTCACAAGGTACTGCCATCGTTTCGATCATTGGTTGGAAATGTGCCTCGGGGTGGGAGGAATCAAAGTAGATTTTGTTCAAGATTACTTTGGAAAAAATGTCGTGGTCGACTACGCTGGAGCTTTCAGATGTGAAAAAGACGGGCTAGTGGAGGATATATCAATTGTTACTTTCCCAAGGTCGCCAAAAGCAGAAGAAGTCATAGAACAATTCGGGCCGTGGATGTATGATAGTTGGAAACTACCAAATGACAGATCGAATGATGAGGCGGATATTTTAGAAGAAGAGGACATGCGAGGTTAATTCATTGTCTGGGAAGGATGAAAATTTTTACCAGAAACACAAAATTGGTTTGCAGCTATTTTGCTTTAGTTTCACTTGGCATTGAGATCATTAGTAAGGTGGACGCGCATGCTATGCGTGATCCTTTGCACACGGGCCAGCGGCAGTAGGGTGTCTTGAAAATGTGGGATACCGCGAAACCGAGAGCAGTTTTGAGAGACGTGAAAAACCAAAAAACTAGATGGAAGAAGAGTCTACTAACTTCAGCAAAAAGATGTCGACTACTTTGAGGAGTCGTGCTCGTCACGCGAGACTGACCAGTCAAAGAAAGTTCCGTGAGGAATCTCTGAAATCTGCTTCTTTTATTTCCATGATTCACATTAACCACAGGTTGTCAGGAAAAGTCCTTTTGCTTGACAGATCGAGAAAGAGCGAGCAACAACTCTTTCTCCTGAGCAGGATACCTCGTTTTTCGCTGCAATCGCATAAAATAACGTCTCCGATTCTCTGATACGAGCTGCTCCTGCTTTTATTTCGATTCCGGAAACGAGTGCGGAGCACTGTCTAAACGAAGCCAGGACTTGCAGTTACAAACTATTCGCGGGAAGCTTTTTTCGAGCAATGTCGGACTTTGAGAGTGGAAGACTACAAGGAGACAGTAGCGACGCTACCGGTACTTCCTCTTCGTCCAGCGCCAGCGCAACGCCAATGAAGGGCCGTAGAAACCAGCATGATAAAGTCGCGTCGAAGGTGCGAGGACTCGGGATCGCCACTACGCTACTGAGCTCTATAGTGGCAGCCGACACACGGTTTTTGCTAGCGTCGTCACCGCTGCATAGTCGTGTTTCCTATGTCGCGCTGGATCCTCTCAGGGGGACGACTTCTTTGATCAAGCCGCTGATCACACCTGGCGGCGTCGTGGATTCACCGCAAGGGATATGCATTGACGGCCCAAGGAATCGCCTCTACGTTTGCGACCCCGGATCAAAATCGAAAAAAGTGTTCTGGTATTATTCGAACTTTAGGTGGTTTTACTATTCTCAAGGACACTTTCAACATTAATGTTCATGATTTTGAACGCGTAGAAGTTAAATACAGCTCGCGTAGAGATTCCTACCTCGGAAATGTTTTTGTTGTCGTAGGTTCGTGTTTCATGTAGCCATGATAGGTTCGAGTTGCAAGTTAGGGGACCAGCAGAGTTGAAGGTCGTTGGACAAGGGAAAGCGGCTGCGCTTCAGGTCGAGCCACAGTGGTGTACCGTGGACCATGTCGGAAATCTATTTTTTACCGATGCTGTGGGGTCCATCAAGAAAGTCCCAGCAGAAGCGCTGATGGGGGAGGGCGTGTCAAGTCCTTCAGTGGTATTCTAGTTTTTTGTGTCTTCTGCGAACTTGAGCTTGTTTTTCTTTGCATACTTAATACTATCAATCTACTATGATTTGTGCCAACACGACAGCTAGAAGAGCAAGACGTTGTAACTACTTACATCTTGGTTTTCCATTTGTTATTCTTGTCACGAGGTTGAGGAGCTTTATAACCCGAACAGTGCACCGCAACTATCGACACCTGCTGGTCTCACAACTGACAACATGTTCTTGTTCTGGGGAAACTCTGAACTGGGAACGGTAAAGGGATCGCTTGGACGAGCTCCGCAAAACAATTTTTATACGGGGCAAACGGTGGTAAAATAGTGCTTTCTTTTTTATGGCAGTCTTCGATGAAGCTTTCCTCACAAAGTCAAATTTCTCATGTTTAATTACCGACTAATCCAGTTTTCTTTTCATCTCCAACAGAGAATAGCGGCCAACGCGGAGAAGGTGTATGGGGTTTGCACCGTCGGTTCCGAACTTTATTTCACCGAGGAGAAATTGAAGATTCACGCCGTGAAGAAGACTGGAGGCACCATCGTGCAGGTGGCCGACACTTTCGTCGAGCCACGTGGCTGTATTTGGGACGGTGAAGGCTCCGTATTTGTGGCTGATAGGAAAGGCGGCGCGATTTACGAATTGCCTACGGCTCTGCCGAATGCGTTGCCAAGCTCGACCGTAACGAAGGTCTTCAATCTCGAGGACGCCTATGGCGTTGCGGTGTTTGAACAGAATAACATACTCGTGAACGCCATTTTTGGGTGATGCACATTAATAAGACTCAACATGTTGCTGCCTATTGAACACGTACTCATCAGCGGGGACGCTTAGCCCCTGCGAGACGTAATAGAGCTTCGCAATCCTCGTTGTTCGACAAACAAAAAATGTACGGTCATTGCATCGTGTGTTTTTTGTTGAGAGCTCGCCGGAAAGAGTATCTATCATTCTCGCTCCTAGTTTATCGTGATCGCATCGTTGTTGATCTTTGGGACTTCTCTTTGGGATCGTTGATTGAAAAAAAGAAGACCATTCGACTGATCCAAAGAAGTCTCTGTGTGCTTTGCGGTGTCCTAATTTGATGATCCGCACAATTCTTCCATTTGTAGTGATTGTGTTTTTTGGAAAGGGGTTGGAGAGATACAAAAATGCCCAGGTTGAAAAAATGAGAACCAATTAAGTAATTGCAGGACTTTTATATATATTTATAACCTCGTGCACAGCCTTATCCAAAACGAAGAAAGACAGGTCATGCAGGATCCCGATACAGAACCTCCTCCGGGCAACGAGTACGACGCTGTCGTCGCGAACTTGGTGACTGCCGCGCTGCGGGATGCAGACCAGTTACTTGCTCTTCTTGACCAGAAAGTCCCACCGCGAGAAACGCGCGCTGAGCACCCCCCATCTTGGGGAAAGATACAGCGCGGCTGCGACAAAGTTTACCAGAAAACCAAAACTGCGTGCGCTGCTGTGACCAGGCATAGGGGCAGATACCCAGAGCCCGACGAAACGACAAACACCAGTACTCCCGACTCCTCGGGTGGAAACGATAATCATAATGGCGAGAGTGCCGCGTAAGTATTTGTGTGCTCCTCGGATTTTGTGGCTCAAGTTCTTTGGATTGCGAAAAGTCTTGGGTAATTTGGTGGAGATGCAAGTCGGGAATCTGTGGAGATTCATCGCACAGGAGGAAGAAAATTGCAACGTGGTAAGCGAGGTTGAGAATTTTAGGAAGTGGGACGCCTGCGCCCTTGCTACACTCGGAGAGGGGAAGAAGGCGGTGGAACAATCCGTGAAGAATCTCAAGGAAGTGTTGGAAGACCACAGTGAACTGCAACATCCCAAGCCAGTGGACTTCTTGATCAGGCTGTCCAAGAACTATTAGAGCAATTACACCGATAAGGTTGAAGACCTTATCAGTCCGAAAATATTTAGGCGGAGTTCGCGTCAGTTGTGTCCATCTGGTGGGATATTTGGGAGCGCTAGTATTAGTATTGCGCTTAGTACTGGTGGCGGTGGCTTGTTCGGAAACACTACCAGATGTGCGACTGCGACTGGGAAAGCGTCTGGCGGTGGCAGCATTTTCGGACATGCTGCTCCTTGTGCACAGCCCGGCGGTGAAGGCAGCATATTTGGAAATACTGCTCAAGGCGTGCGGCCGGAAAGCGGAGGCACGATATTCGGAAATACTGCTCCTGCTGCACAGCCCGGCGGTGCAGGCAGCATATTTGGAAATACTGGTCCTGGTGTGCGGCCGGGCAGTGGAGGCACGATACTCAGAAATACTGCTCCTGCTGCACAGCCCGGCAGTGGAGGCACCATATTCGGAACTACTGCTCTTGCTGCACAGCCCGGCGGGGGAGGCACCATATTCGGACATGCTGATCGTGGCGTGCAGTCGGGCGGTGGAGGCACCATATTCGGAAATGGTGCTCGTAGCGTGCAGTCGGGCGACGGAGGCACCATATTCGGCAATGTTGGCCACGCTTTTACTGCTGGGCGCCAACGTGGTCCCGGCGTCGGTATGTCCAGTGCTTCGAACAACATTCCTGCGCAAGGGAAAAGCATGTTCAGCAGTGCGGCTCCACCATCAGGCGGCAGTAGAAACACGGGAAGCAGGATGACTTCCGCAGATGCAGAGGCAATATTCCAAGAGGATTTTTTTGGCCATATCAGGAATGATCCCGACGCTGATGATCTCTAGGACTGCCAGCACTGTTGATAATGAATTCAAATTTCGCGGAAAATGCGTTTTTCCGTTTCCTACAAATGATTCCACCTCTACATCCGGCAGTTCCATGTAGCTCGAGCTTTCTTTCTTCACTGCTGGCGGACTCGAGCTATGATCGACGAATTATCTCCTACGGCGCTGCCGAATGCGCTGCCAAGGCTGACTGTACCGAAAGTACTCATTATTTCGAGGACGCCTATGGCGTTGCAGTGTTTGAACAGAATAGCAGAACTTTGAATGGGATATTTGTGTGACTCACATTAAGTAAGTTGATAACACGAGTCATCACGTGGATAGAAGAGATCTCTGATGTAGTGCGCATATATAATAATTAATGATACAAATTTTCTCCGGTGTGCATGGCATCAAGAATGCATTAACTTTTCCACTGCTGATTCTCTTTGACTAGCGTAGCGGTGTTCGTAAAAAGTCTAGAGAGATCTGACTCTGTTTTGGCAGAGTTTCAGACCGGGTAGTGAGCAGAGAAGAGGTGAGTCTTTTTTTTTCGTTTCAGATAGTCCGTCGCGCTCGCGACACACCGGAGTGAAGATGTTTCAATGAGTTTCTTTTTAGTCTCAGTGATTTCAGTAGATCTTTTTAGTGAAAAGGAGAAGCACTGTAGTTATGAGAATGAAGGAACACTTACGGTCCATGTTAGAGGTTACGCGTGGCGGATGGCCCTATCCTCGTTTTGGCAATGACGTCGAGGAAATGATACTGGCGTTTACGTTTGACAAAGCCGTTTCATTTCCCAGCAGTCTGCCTTCGTGTGCTTCTGCTTCGACGACCTGCGAGACCCGTGTCCCTTTACAGACGTCGCATGAGAAAGGGCCCGGAGTCTCTGTCTCTATTTCCCGATCATCACACTCCGAAGAAGAAGAAGAAGAAGGAAAAGCACACGATAGGGTTCCGGAATCGGCCTCCATTTTGCCGCGAAAAGACCTGTTGCTCGCATCTCTGGTCGTGCTGGCACAAAATGGCGGTGGATTATCGAGCCTGCTTGGTGCACAGGCAGATAGCGAGGTGGTTGATCCGGCTCTTCTTGCTCTCTGTCGCCGCTTGAGGAATGCAGTACACGCAGATGCACGTTTGGCAGAGCAAAGATACGATGACGAAGTGAACCGCGATATGGAGCCTAGTTATACAGTGATATCACAACCAAAGTGGTGCGATGACCATTTGTTTCTAGACGGCTTACGGCACTCAAAGGAGGAAATTGAGAGGATCGAGGAACTGCAGGCGGAGTTTGTTCGGAAATTTGTCGCGCGAAAGAAGCGAGAAGCGTATGCGACAAGCAAGCAGCGACAGCTCAAGGCGATAAGGGAAAGTCTACTGACCAGTCTAGACCGAATTCAGGCAGAGTCTTTGGAGCTGCAGCGTGCAAGTGATCTAAGCAGACGCGCGAGGCTCGTGGGAGGCTATCAGTCGTGATGGGGAGCCAATCCGATTACGCCATGGGATGACTCACCATGTCATAAGAATAACGAGTTGCAAGTTGTCGTCAAAAGTAAGTGAGTGTGGTGATGTACTAGTACTACAACATGCACGAAGTAACTAGAATTCTGGGTGGTTGCAATGTGTGACTGTCGCTGAGACTGAAGTAGGCGGCTTTTTTATTAACTCTATGAATTGACTACGAGTACGACTAGAAGTAGACTGGTGGTGGTCTCCACCAATGCAACGGAATCGCAACAAATACCGAGATGTGTGAGATCTTTCTTTCTCTCATTCCGTTTTTGAATTTTATGAAGAAAGCAGAAAAGCAAGACAGATTTTTGATATTATTCCGGGTCTATTAAGGAATACGAATCATGAGAGGATTGAGCGCCATGGGTTCTCGTGCAAGTAAAGACTGCAGATGATCCCTTCAATGCAGGATCCGAGCTTTCCATCTTCGGAGCTTCTAACGTGGATAGAGGAGAAGGAAAAGACTCAAGAAAAAGCCTCAACTTTTGCCGCCCGAAATCTAACACCCACCTCACTTCATTCGAAACTACGAAATAAACTGAGCAGAAGCTGCCCCCGCATTTTGTTGTTTTGGTAATCAAATAAATATGCTAGCATAGAATGAAACGTTCTTTTCTTTTTCACTTGGTTCGTCGATGACCATGAGTAAATTGCTCGGTTGTATTCCAATATCTTCCGCGCCAGTTCCTTCGTTGTTTTGAATGCGAAGAGGAATTACTTGAATTGTTATATTTGTAATTAATATAACTAATAGCGGCGCCTGCTGTAGTATTTTCGACGTGATTCCATTAATGAAAGAAAGAATCACGAGATGTCCATTGACAAATGACCAAAAATTCATGGCGCGATAGAGATACTTGTCTTTGCTGAGGTCGTTCTGCTCCACATATTGTCGAGTATTTGCTTTACGTGCAAGTGGGAGCCAGCTACTGCCTTGACGGTTGAGGATGTCGGCAGGAGAGTCGCTGCGTGCTTGCGCTAAAGATTTAGAAGACAAGAAGCCTGAATGTAGAAATAGCGAGCAGAGCTCCGATATTCACACAGTTGCACTGACTTGAGATGTTGAACAATATGGGGGACTTTTCAGGGCATGGAGGAGCGGCAGGCTCCTCGAACGCACACCCGGTGGCTTTGGTTCACGACGAGAGTGTGCGTGCTGTGATCCGGGGTCTTTTGCAGGAGTCCCGCGGACACGGAGGTATGACACACCAAGGCGGCGTGCAGGGCACAGCATCCGGAGCTGGAGGTTCTAAAGGTACTGGAAAACATGGCGCCAATCCTAATGCTGCAGTGTCTGCGTCTGGACTTGGAGGTGCGTCTGAGGGAGCGGGTAAAATGTTTGTTTCTTCTGACGTCATCGACGTGATCAAGCGCGCTGCAGAGAGCAGTATGGGCCTGGTGTTGTCGGAGATTCTGGTTGAGCTTGAGTGGCGAAACCGCAATCGCGATGAAATTGAGGCCGCACTGCTTGACACCATGCAAGCCGCAGAGATCGGTGAGGACATGCTTTTTGACGTACCAATTTTGGAAATTTTGGCCGAGGTTTTGCGCAATGGGACTAACGACTTGCTACCGACTAAACTTGGATCAAGCGATGCGGAAAGGATGGTAGCAGTAGTCCAGAGGCTCATATCGTATCTGGTTCGCGAACTCAGCCTAGGAATGCGTGAACCTCGGCGTAGTGGACCCACCGAAGTCGCGCTAGTGTCATTCGCAAAGGTACTCAGTACAACTGCAATGCTGTTGCATAATCGATCAAGATCATTGATGCAGCAGTTCACAGAAGAAATAGCTATAGTTTGATGTTAGTTATAGTCTGATGTGAGTTCATGTTGTTACAAATTGTTGGGTTCTCAGAATTGAGACAGAAACATGTACCAGCGTGAAAAAATACCACCCTACTTCAGCTGGGCTATTCCGGTATCGTCGAAAAGGCGCTCGTGCAGATTTTGGATACGAATGTGTCGGGCGAGCTAGACAGCGCAGTATCTGTGGAGCTTCTCAGCGTGGTCCGAGAAGTCATATTTGCCACCTGTTGCGGCGCGGCGATCGGCGGCTCTTCATCAAGTAGAGCAGTTCAAAACGCCGATATCTTTGGAGGGAGCGGCGCGGCGGTTGCAACAGCAAGTGGCATCGCAATTGTCCCGCAGATAATGTCGAGAATATTGCCATTACTAAATGCTGGTCGGCGCAGTGACTTGAAGATCGCATTGTGCAACACTGTGAGTGCGCTCTGCTCTGCGCATGTCGTAGGCAAGCACAGAGAGGAGGGAGAGCGCAGTAGGCGGACAAAGAAGAAGAAGAAGCATGACGAAGCTACGCGAAAGAACAATATCAGTGATGTCAAGCTCACGTCTCACCTTCTCGAAGACGCGGTAAGCACAAGATATTCATAAGACATTGTTAGACTACTTACTTCTAAATCTAAAAGATCATGTTCATGATCATGTTGATTCCGTATCCACGATTTCGTGATTTTTTGTTCTGATGGATATAACTTAATCCGCGCAACTTTTCGTTGATAGATCTCCATGCAGCCATTGTAAAGTCAATCTCTACACTAATACAGTTTGGGTCAACTCGAGATAACCGTAGAAAGAGTGTTTCGTCCGGCTCGTCTCTGCAATTTGGAGACGCAGCAGTGGCGCACGAAGATGCGCTAGCGTCGAAAGCATTTGCGGCCCCGACATCAGGAGCAGACTCCTTTGCGGACGACCATTCAAGTGAAGATCCGGTAGGAAAACACGCGATCATAGCCTTCGCTAGCTTTTCACACGGGGATTACACGCATTTCCTCCGGTACGCGATGATGGCTCAAGCTCTTCAGGGAGGAGGCGAGGTATTGTTTTTCAGGATTTTGATTAGCTTGCATTGTCCTCACCGGTATAACTGGCTCGCGGCACAATTTGTTTTGAGCTTTTTACTTTCAAGCAACATGATTAAAGCGGCCTAGAGGTAGAGATAGAACAAATACCCTCTGCCGCGCTAATTACTTTTCAAGGTGATAGTGAAACTTTCAAATGTATATATTTTGTTTTTAGGCACAGGAGACGTTCGTGCCGGAGTTCGAGTCTGCGCTTGACGTCTTGCTTGCGAGCTGGGGCCGCACGAAAGAAGTAAAGTTGCTAAGCCACATCCTCGACGCTATAGGCCATGTCTGCTTTTTAGTGCGGCCAGCCAAGGTCTTGTCGTTTTCGAGCCAGATTTTGAGCATGCATTTGACCCTTGGCGCACCACGCGTTCCGCCGAGCGGACCCGGCGGAGTTGCCAGCGTTAGTGGAACTGCATCAGGCGGCGTGAGCTCTATGCTTCTGGGCACGTCGAGCGCGGCAGCAGCGCCAGTAAAGAAGCCGCGACCACCATCCGCGGCGTATCTCCGGAGCTTGGGCCTCTTTCTGTCGGCGATGCTGGAGGAGACTGTTTTGTCGAAGTCGGACACGAAAGAGCTTCGCGATGCGATCAACAACAATATCTTGCCGAATCTGTTGAACTACGTGAAATTTCTCCGGGAATATCCACGACCACGGGAGGCTGGCGATCCGCGAGACACCTTGGTTGGGCAGTGTCTCGAGGTTCTTCTGCAGCACGGTTCACTTGCTGCGGGAAACTCCATACGTCCTCATCCTGGACAGTCAGATGCTCAAGAAAATATCAACCTCACCGACCAGTCCCCTTTCGAGCAAAGTCAGCAGGGGGCTCGCAAAAGCTCGAATAGTACCACAGCTTCCCAGATGAATTTGAGTCCGCGTGGAGGCACAGGCAGCGGAGTCGCCGCTTCGGGCAGTAATTTCGTGTTGTCGGCACTGCTGGAAAAGTTGGAGGCTGCTTTCGCGCAGTCGTCGGACGCACAGACTCAGAAAGCCCTCTTCCAGTTCCTACAGCGCCAGCCTGACCTCGAGAGTGCAGCGCAAGTTCTAGGCGAACAACTAGATGTTCTGCACATCTTCCTGCATCTCATGAAAAATTGTCCAGAGCAGCTCCTTGGTGGAGCGGGGGTCGCTACTGCTTTGTTGGCACGTACTTCAACCGCCTTGTCTGAGCATTCGATTTTAGGCGGAGCGGCTGTGCGTGAATCAGCAGTCGTCAGTGGTGGAGATGTCAGCAAGTCGGGGAAAAACTTGCTCTCCACGCTTAGCCGCCTTCTCAAACGTACCTTGGAACAGCAAATCGTCAGCCTGCGCGTGGCAAACACCACAACTGCAACAGTAAGTGCATTTGACGCGTGGTCGTGTCAACCCGCAGCGGCAGTACTGAGTGCTCTCGGGGCTACAGCAGCCGCCAATGACAGGGAGCGACTGCTGAAGGCACACGCCGCAGCCATGTTGCGCCAAGAGGTCCTCAGGCGTCTGTGCGAACTCGTTGTATCTACGGCGCCACTGCTGGGCGATCGCGAGATGGGCGCAAGCTTTGTCAACTGGATCATAGAGCAGGCCAGTCGAGCAGAGATCGCGAAACGACACGACGTTTCGGCAGGGCGATTCGATGAGACGAGAACTCAGGTATCACAGTCAAAATTTCATCAAGTGGCGTGAGAGTCCTGCTTACAAAATAAGTAGTTTGCTTGAAACATTCAATGCAGATAAGCCTCGTCAAGTCTTGTTCGCTTTGTAGGATGAATCACAACTAATCAAAATGTGATTAAATAAAAATTTATGAGGTTTGTGGACCTGCCTATTTTGCTACTGCTCTGATGCGAATGGTTGAGGAGGTGAACGCCAAGTGGAGGGACGAAGTATTGTGGCCCTTGCTTCTGAAGGCGGCAGTCAATGTGAAGCTATTGCCAGCTCTGCCAAGCGTTGCCGGTGCCCTGACGCGATTATGGCGTCGAAGTAGCGCAGATGGGCGCACCGACATTCTTAGAGACCTCTGTGCTAGTGCGGACAGCACCAACAGTCCTGACGAGCAGGGCAAAGGGAAGGGTGCTGATTCCCGCAAAGGCAGCGTTGATTCTGTACCAAGAGAACAGTTTGGGGGCTCGTCTTCATCTACTTCGCGAAGAGTCAGCCAAACAGGTGCGGCGAGCGCAACCACTGAGGGCCAACAAGCACAAGGCCAGAAGATCGACTCGGTGGGCGTTTTTGTGTGGGTACTTTTGGTTCTGCACGATCCTTTGACGATTGATGCGATTCCACTCTTGCACTTCCTTCGCACGTGGGCTACGATTGTGCATCCTCATTTAGGGCAGGTCTGGCAAGCAGAGGAAACGCCGGCGCTCGCTGCTAGTGATAAAAAGCCAGCCTCGATGAAACTTGATGGTAGACTCGGGATTTTAGTAAAGCTGCTACGCAGGGAGGTCGCGCCGCCACCTGGTGATGCACGAAGAGACGGTGCCGCAGCGCATAAGAGACGGAGCTCGGGAGTGTTATCACCAGAAGATCGTGAGCTCTTTTACGACAAGTGGTTTGCAGCGTTATCAAATGAGATGAACTTTCTATTGCGTGGCGCAGACAAGCCTTTTGCCTCTCGTTTAGTCCAGACAGTGCTGCAGACGCGCGGGCGAATGGCAGCTTATCACGGGAAGCTGCAATTGGCGTCTGCACAAGGAGGTGTCGCGTCGGCTCCTGCTGCACCGCAGCCGAGTAGCGGAAGCGGTGGGGGAGACGTCGCTGCGCCACCGAGTCCCGAACTTTTTGCAGGCAACGTGTTTTACCTCCTTCACACTTTTTCCACTTTTTGTACACCTCCTATGCGCATCGGCTTCGTCAATCTCCAGTGCAGTGCTATGAATCACGCAGCAAATAACGAGAATTACAGCAAAATCCTACAACTACTCGAGAAATTGGTTTTCTCTTTCCTAGGAGAGGACGAGGACAGTCCAGACGCCAGTTTGTTCCACGTGCCATTACCACCAAGCGGTCCCGGAGCAACAGCGCAGGGTACTGCATCTTCGACAGGCACTAATACCCAGAAAACTATGGCAGTAGCGGCCGCGTCACCGGGGACGCCGTCACCGATCCCGCTATCGGGAGTGGGTGTAAGCTCGACTCCGGAAGGACTAACTTCAAGTGTTTCGTCCTCACAGCGACTACAAGGTGTCACGGCGGGGTCCGCCAGCGGTAGCGCGTCAATGCACGCTTTTGAGCAGCGACCGATGTCGAATACACAACGACAACTGCATCATGAATTCGACGAGACAGAAGACATTCTCGACTCCGTCCAGTTATATCGGGCTCAGCCGGCGGCGCAGCAATTAGACCCTTTTGCGGCGCACGAAGCGGAGGTGAAAGGCCTGCGCCGTTTATACGCCCGCAGCGTCGCAGCTCTTTCCTCGGAGCACTTCGAAGCTGTCCTTGCAGTGCTAGGTCGCGCATTTCATGAACTGGCCGAAGAGTATGAAGAGGAAGTGCTCTTCCGTTCCGCACCACCTACTGGAGCAGCGACAGGGCTTCTAAACTTCTTCGATCCTGGGAAGCGCGAGGCGCAACTGCGTGCTGCTGTGGATGCGCGTGCGCGTTTAACGCTCGCGCTTGGGTACTGTCTGCTTTACGCACCCTCGCGCAGACGGCTGCTAGATCATGTAGGCCCTTTTGCTTTCATGCCGCTTTCAAAAGACCTAGAGCTCTTCGAGGGGCTGCTGTACAGCGGAGCTTCTGGGAGTTCAGAAGCGGCTGCTAAAAATGCGAGAGGCGCTGGAGCGAATCGTGGCGCTCCCGGTTCAGCGGCTACGAACGCGCAGAATAGTGCAGACGCTGTGGCAACGCAGAGCAGCGGTGAAGTGATGCTCGCAATTCTTGAAGCACTACGCCAATGCGCAGACTCGGTCATCACGTGTAATCTAGAGCAGCATCCAGCTCGCGACCCCCATTTCGAAACTTGTCCGAGTGTAAGGCGAGAAACGCTTGTCAACGGTGAAGACATTCAACCTCTGAAGGAATTGCGTAACACTTTGTTGGATCGGCTTCTCTCGGTATTGGATTCCGCGCTTGCGGCCGCACCGGTGTCAACACCAGTAGTCGCTAGCGGAATTCCGCGGTCCAAAGGACCCGCGAGTGCAGGTAATCCAAGTGGTGCACCTAGTACGCCGGGGGCACGCGGCGGGACAGGCGCGCATAGAGAAGGGCTTACTGGAAGTGGCGCCAGTAGCAGTGCGTCTGCGACATCACACAATGCCCCAGTTGTGATGCGTTGTCATCGCGTACCACAGCAGGCTCTGCGAACGGCAGCTGGGCTGCTTTCGTTTCCCTTGCCCGTTTCTACCACCACCTACAGTCGTATTTTGGAACTGACGCTTGGTTGGCTGGTTTCTGATGAAGGGGGTTCGCTCTTCCTTGGGGATGGTGTGGAGACTTCACCGATGCACCGAACGGTGGAAAAATTCGTGGGCCTCTCAGTGGGGCAGCAGCAGCGATTAGACACGGCGTCCGGCGTTTTACGAGCACTGGCCATCCATAGTCAGAGTTGGTTGGGTATTTCCACTCTTGCGAACGCAGTGCTCTCGGCACTAGAGCCATGGTCACGCCTCGCTGTCGCTCGCTACATATCGACATCGCTGCTGTGCGCCGTATTCGAGAGTAGTCCGATTGTCATCGAGTATGATGTCGACGAAAGACTGGAGCAAGAGACTTTTATGAACTTAGAGAGTCAAGCGGAGGCGGGATTCGGCCATCAAGACGGCTTTGTCGAGGACGAAGAGCTCGAATGCGGAGCGGCCGCGCTGAGCGGGAAAGGCAGTGGTGTAGCCGGAACGTCTGGCCCAAGACCGCAGAATGCGCGAACACCCGACAACAAGTCGCAGCGTCGTGGCAGAGGTGCGGCTGGAGGGAGCTCTACGATTAAGCCGAGCAGCTTGGCACACAGTCCCAAGTCGTCAGATGAGAGCGACGGAAGCCCTGGAGCATCGAGCGAGGCCTCAACTATGTGGTGGGCACAGCCACGACGACCGGCGGAAGAGCACGGCGACTGGGCCGAGTGTGTGGCAGACGTGATTCCTCGTTTAGGAGACAGCTGCGTCGCGGTCCAAAAGGTTGCATCCGAGGCAATAAAATTCCTTTTGCAGCGTAGTGAGGAAACAGCTCAAGAGCTGGACACGGGCGTTGAGCAAGGAGTCAATAGTACCGTAGCTGGACCACGAAGAGTAGAGCCGTCGGGCGCGTCTCAGCAGGCTTCCTCGACGATGCGTAGTTTACTGCATGCCGATGTGCAAGCGCGATGGCAAAGCGTAGCTCGCTTGTTGGCACGATGTCGACGTCAGGACGTTGCGCAGCACTTGGCTCTCGCCATGCATGACATCGACGAAAATTCGGCTGTTGCAGCGCTAGATGCCCTCTTTCTCATATTGAAAGAAGCGGTACCGCAAACGCCAGAGGTCGCTGCCAAGGGAGTGCTTTCCAAACAGCTAGCAGACAACGAAAATTTTTTGTCGCAGCAACCGGCAGACTTGGAGGAGAACATCGAAAGGCTGGAGGTAGTTGAAGGCGTAACCGCATGTTCTTCACCCGCGAACAAGTCGGTTGTGAGCTCGACGCCAAGCCAGCACAGCCGCACGCGCTTTGGACTGTTGGCTCGCACGTTGCTGCAACAAGTTGAAGGTGTCTCTTCGACTTTGGTGCGACGAAGGGTCTATGCGGTACTTGAGGTGATCGCATTGTGTGACTTTCCTGCCTTCGCGAAGGCGCTGATGGGATCAGCGCAGTCGACTTTGGTTCCAAGCCCGGTCTTTGCGACAGTTTTTGATACCGTTGCTACAGCGCAGAACACAGCGCCCTTCAGTTTGGACCTGACTGCGGAGATGGACGACGTCGTACCCTCGACCACGGACGCCGGGAAGCATTCATCGGCCTCGAAGAAGCTCGATGTCGCAAGTCCAACGAGAAGGAGTCCTATCGGAGCGGTGAACTCTCTGCTTAATACGTCAGCGCTGTCGAACCCAGAGATGATCGGAGCTGGAGGTCTCATGCTAGCACCTCTAGGAGGAGATCTTGCTTGGCAGAATGGTGGTCTTTCTCATTCACCATTTGCCGATGGTTCGTCTGGTCCTTCAGGAGTGGACGTGCGTCGAGAAGCAATCGCAGTTCTAGCACGCGATCCTGTCCTTGCGGAGGCCTTGCTCCTTAACGCAGCGAGGCGGATTCGGGAGGAGCGTGTGGATGAGGGGAGCGCGTTTCGCGTTTCTTCGGGCTGCGTGATTCTCGGGCACATAGCTGGCATTCCTGATAGTGCCGTTCGGGCTCTTTGCAAAAAACACTTGGTCCTGCTGTTTGCCAGCTTTCTGGCGCATCTAGGCCACAGCAATAGCGGTGGCGGTGGGCGGATGGGATCAGAGGGATCGAGCAGTGTGCTCGACGTGGATTCAACCGCAGCCACACAGCGAGGGAGAAACTACAGTGGTAGCAGTCTAGATCTGATTTCTCCTGCCGTGGACAAGGAGGATGATGTGCAAACATTGTTGTGGGCTCTTCAAAGGGTGCTCGCTGCTGCAGGCAAGGAGTCGATGATTCTTGCTCTGCAACGCCACTGCGAGAACCTCGACCCAATAAATCCAGGCGGTTCGGCGGAGGCTTCTGATGTGCCAGAGCCCCAAAAGACTACAGCGAAAAAAAGCGCGGCACCAGTAGAAAAGCAAGGCTGCACAATAGCGCGGCCGCGGGAACGTGAGACAGAAAATTCTGTGAAAGCGGTCCTGGCGGCATCGACTATGCGAACTTTTTACGTGGATGCATTTTTGACGCTGACCTCAACGGGCAGCGACGCTGCAGGAAGTCTGCTAAGCCAAGTAGACTGGCTCGATAACGCCCCAGGCGTCCCAGCCGTCTCTGTTGATGCTATCCCACCACTTACGACGCTGTTCGCTGCGCATCATCCATTTGAAATCCGCGCTCTCTTGAAGTGCTTCAGCCCGGCTCTTAAAACGATACGACCAGGGAACACAGACGAGGAAGCCAAAACGGGCAACACTGTTGCCTCATCTGAAGTCCAGGGGAAGGGAATAGCAGTCACCGTGCTTGGAGCATTGCTGGCGTCCACGCTGACAAGGTCGCGTCGACTCGATCTGTCGGCAAGCGACACGGCGGATATGGCGGAGGCGGACGCAGAAGAAATAGCGCAACTACGAGATCTCTACTCTTTTTGTGCCAAGTATCTGGTACCGCTGAGTCAGTCTTGTTTTGCGCAACGAGATGGACTCACCTCCGCGACTGCGGATGGTGTTGATCCGTTGAAGTTCGCGTCAGGTCAGCACTCAGCGCATGCAAACGGAATGATGTTGGAACAATCTAGTTTGGAGGAAACTTTTGCTCAAAAGAAAACTAGCAGCAGGGAACCGTCTTTCATTTTGCAACGGCAATGCCTACGGGCCCTCAGTGCCTTCTTTCTCGTCTTACGCGAGCACGCAGACGTGCAAGTCGACAATCTTTTCTCCGGCTTCGCTACCGCTGACTGCTTTTCTGTTCTTCATTTAGCATTATTGCCAGAGCATGGGGCCCTAGTGTTAGATGCCACCGACGCATTAGCGCGGTTTCTTTCAGCTTTGGCCGCCCAAGTGCGGAGCGCGGAGTGCGTGGAAGCAACGCTCTATCCTTCGGGAACTAGTACCCCGCGCAGTGGAAGAGCGGGACGAGGCGAGTTATCCCCTCGTAACAGAAATAGAGGTCAGGAGGAAGAAAAGAAGGGGAATACAGCTACCAATCATAATCCGCTTTACCAAGATTTGAATACTCTTTACGGCACAGCAGAAAGCGTCGATTTTCTCGACCAAGTTATGAGCGGAAAGAAAAAAGGTGGAAAAAGGGCGCTCAGTAAGGAGCTCGATATCATTGACGCAAACCTATTGCACGGCAGCACAGCGAAGGCTGATAGCGCACTAGGGCTGAATCACGAACAACGCGTAGCTGTAAAGAGCATGTCGCAGTGGCTTCGAGGCTGCCTCGAAAATTTGGGTCCTTTGATAGATCGTTCGGATGTCAGGGCGCGGGCACGCGCGCTAGACCTGGTGGCTGGTATTTGTGACTATCTCATCGCAAGGAGAAAGCAGATTGGGCCTTCTGCGTCAGAACTACCCACGTCAAAGATGAATGAAGACTGTAGCCAGGAACTGGCAACGCTAGTCCGGATCTGGAGCATCCGGTGTTGCATTCTCCTGGACGATTCAGCGACGATGTCACGAGCGGCCGCAGTGCAATGCTTTGACCGGTGTCGCGCGTATCTCAGCCTAGATGCGAATGAAAATCGAGTAGATTGCATAGCTTTATGGAATTGTAGGGATCTCGTAGAGCATTCAGAGCGGTTCGTTGCCCCTCATATGTTGGAAATGTACACGGCTTTGTGCAGCTTGTCGGCAAGCGCTAGCGCGAGTGCTCCTTCACGCGAAGCAGCGTCCACAGCTGTTGCAATGGCGAGTACCCCTTCCCGAAGTAATGGGACCTTCGGCGGGTCATCCCGTAGTCCTGTCAGCCAAGACCTCGACGACCTTTTTGCACCAGCTCCGAAGCGCGGGAATGATGACGTCTTTGCTCCCGCCAATCAGATTGACCAACGGGGACCACAAGGCAAGCAGGACGTCGCTGCGGTCTCAGCATCTCCTGAGAGGAAACGGGAGCCGCAGCAGAAGGATCCAATTAGTTTAGTCGCAGAGATGAGTGAGCATTTGAAATTGTGCAGACAACATTTGCAGATCGTGTCGTCAGAGAAAACGAAGGGCTCTACAAAAAATCAAGAAATCACCGCCGACTGGAAAGCAAGCTCAGAGGCCTACCACCTACCTCCGTCTGCGGCTTACTGCGCACTTCTCACATTAGAGGCAGCAGGGGCCTTACTCTCGTCGGGAAAAGTTCAGCAGGAGGTAGAAGAGATTCGAAGTCTATGCGAGCAACAAGCAGCACAAATTTGCCAGATGCTCTTACAACTTGCGACACGGAGCCATGTTCCCGTTCGCACTAGAATACTTGCAGTGCTGGGCTGGTTCCTCGAGAAATCTTGATGCTAAAAGATGCGTACGCCATAGCAATCTTCACAATTACTTATTCTGTCATAATAAAAGAATTGATATTAAGTTCATGATTTTTGATTTTGATTGTGATTCGTGAATCCTTACACAGATTTTTTCCCTCCATTATTCTAGTTATCATACAATGCAGATCATTAATAACATATTACGACGCTAATTGAAGGAAGATCGATGGCAAGCAGGTACCTTCCGAGAAGCTGAATACTTTCATGAAAATTCCAAAACAGTTAAATACTTGTTGTTCACGTCGTGTTTCTAGTCAAAGCACAATCACATGAGCAGGGACTGGATGCGAAGTAGCCCAAAGAAGGCCGCTTGTGCTAGCGCATCACGTCAACAATGTAGGGCGTCCTTAATGGCAGCAGCTGTCCTGCCTGAAAGACGTCACCTTCACCTTATAATTCCAACGCAAATCATGTAAGCGCAGAAGTTAAGGTGAACTCTCTCTGCGAAAAATTTCACGTTATATTGCGCAACATGCAGGAAAAGCATGGGACTGTTGGCCCTCCATCTAATTCATGATAACGCTTTCTGCTTGCAGGTAAAAGCATGGACGTCGACGTGGTGAATATCGCTCCTATCTTTGTTCGCAGTGAACTCAAGGGTCGGTCTGAAGCTACTTTATTTTTCTTCAATCAATAGGTATAATAGAGATATCGAGTGTTAGAAGTACAACTAAGTAGAACGGTAGTAGGCAATCGTGCTTGAACTTGCCACTGAGCATCGTAATCCCTCAGCGTCACATTACGGAAGATTCAGAATTGATGAAGTGTCATGTCGTTCGGTCACTGTCTAACATCGGCCAGCGCAAAGAAGAAAGTCATATTTCGGTCGGGCATCGAGTTGTGTGCAATCGGATCCCTATCCTTTTTATGGTATAGTTTTGTTTGCTGTCGCACAGCAGCGAGTCGAAGCGCGTAGTTTTGTCCAGAGGCCCTCGGTTTCGTTTTTTTTCTGCTGAGTCTCATGGTGGGCATATCGGAATCGGATGTATCGCTTCGGAGGAAGATGACAATGCTTGGTAACTCGATTATATGGTTACTTCACATCGACAATTTTTTTGAACCAACAGTCACGTTTATGACCCTCCATCCAAACCGCGTACAGTGTTTTTTTGGTTAGGTGTCTGTCTCCATCTGGAAGCAGTGGCGCTGAAAGAACAATCAAATAGAGACGAGAGTTAAATCCAATTTTTGTATCGCTTGCGAGTATTTCAGTTAACATTCTGGAGCATATACTTTCGTTGAAATTTAAACGAAACGGTTGTGTCATTAAGACTTTTTCGTGTACTGTATTTTTATGGAGCCAACGAGGCAAAGATCTTAATCTTAACATTGGAGTACTTCTTAGAAAAAAATTATCATGTATTGTGGTCCAAAGTTGAAGAACCTGATTACTTATCCGTTAGAAGTTTTGAAGAACTAGCTTTCAAACGCATATTATTTACTCACAATCACAATCACATCCCAATTTTATACATAGGAAAGCCTCCTTACAGCTACAGGACCCATCGCGAAATCGCGTTAGTCTTTTTAAAGCGGTCTCGCAAGCACCCCATCCCCGCGATTTTACTTCTTGAATACTAATCTGACGAAATATGCGTCGAGTCAATAAAAGAACCCTAAACTCTGACCTGTAACTATCTTGAACTTTCAACTTTGTATTTTCTTGTTCGTCGTTCACGTTCACGTTCCAAGTCCTAGCTCAACCTAGATGGAACATACAACTATGATCAGTACGAAAAATAATGTTTTTGACAGATGTTACTCCAAAGAAGGGTAAGTATAGTTATTTTTTTGTGTGTATGAAACTGAACTTATGGTATTAGAATTTTTGAAACTTTTGATCGATAGAAATTTCTTGCACGGGACGAGTTCGTGGAATCACGAAGCCAAGTGCTAGATACGACCTGTCACTGTCTTTGAACAATACTAGATGGAATTCAGGAGCTTAGGCATAGCTACTTGTATATTGCTCTGTCTCCTGCTTATTCCATCATCGTCGGCTTTGGCCTGTTGGGTATTTTCTCCGATCTTAGCGTCATTAGCTATGTTTGTTGTGTTTTCTCTTGAGTTGGCCGTATCGTTGTCAACATTTTCCTCCTTGTGTTGGCCAGCGGATTTTCAAAAGTATATCTGTTAATTTTTGGATCGCAGTAATTAGACTTCTAACTATCTACGGAAGGAAGCCTTTTTAATAGAAAGTAGTCTGCTCCTCGTGTAAGTCAGTGTATTTTCATTTTGAACGAGAACTAGTGTGATAGATCCTTCTTCACTTGAAGATGTAGTCGTGTGACTGAATGATTTGTTCATCCTACATGAAATCTGAAATTTGAAGGATTTTTCGCTGAATCAATGAGTATCCATCTACATCTCTCTTGTTCACACTTCACGAAGCATGCAAAGAAAGTAAAGCACCTCCTGTTGTGTGATTAATTTCGTATCACTCGATCTTTCGAGAAAATCTTTTTCGCTATCGGAGCAAGTACGAAGACAGAGGCCACGGCCAGTACTAAAACGAAAATGCAAGAATCAAACGGAGGAAGTGGGACGCGGCGTGCACGCCGCCCGCTCCAAGACCTGTCCACATCTACTGCGAACCATCAAAATCTCCAAATAGATGTCGGGCAACCACATCAACAGCACAGAAACCAGCAAGTCGGTGGAGCAAACAAGTATGTCAACAAGAGCTCGTACTCGACGTCTGCTCTTTGTTACGCTCACACTCAGGGAAATAGAAATACAACTTCCACTCAGAGAAGTGACGCCCATGCGTTGAATGCAGCTGACTGCAGACCTTCGGCGGCATCTTCATCCTTCTTGCGAGTACCGGGGTTTACGCAAGTGGCTCAAACTTCTGGTCAACATGGTGTTGCCGAGCCTCTGGTTTTGCCGCCCCTTGGCTCTGCGACGTCTGGCTCCTTGGTTGCTGGTTGTGGATCGGGCAGCACTCCGAGCTGGGGCGCGGGTGGTCGCACAACCACGACCTTCAACAGTGGCGCACCGATCGTGCCTACTCAAAATATCTTGGTGTCTTCGGCACCTGGAGGTTTCTTTCAGGAACAGCAATCTCGCGCGGCTGCGACTTCATCCAACATTATCAACGTTGATTGCGACTCCGTCGTCGAACAAGATGAATTTGATGAGGAAGTGGATGATCAGGGCCGAAAATTGCGACCAGAGATGAAGTACCTACTGAAGCGTGTCCAAAAGTTGGCGGACGAGAGACAATTGCAAGACAAAGCAGGAGATGTTGTGGCTGTAGATCGACCAACAAGTACGGAGGTGCCACACCTCGACCAGTCGGAAGTCTTTGTTGGCAATAGTACTGATGCGCAGAGTCGCTTACTTGGACTTGCCCAATCCCAACAGGATATTATCGGAACGTTGCGCATGATTGATGAGCATCAGGAATCTGGCGATGTAACATCGAAAAGCAGCGCTTTGAACTACACTTTCGGGGGACGCGACGCCAATGAGACGATTGTGGAGGGTGGGCAGCAGGTCTCATCGACTTTCGGTTCATCTATTGCAGTCGATACCTTGGGCTTGGGTGGAAGCAGTCGTAGTGTCAACAATGATTTGTTTACAGCACAAAATAGTACCGCTGGTGGCTTCTACTTGAGTGCAATCGAGGGCGCTTTTGACGAAGATGGCACCAGCAGCCTGCAGTCGTCTTCGCTTTTGATGACCGAAATGACAGCAGAAGATGCGAATGCTTCGACTGTTTTTGCGTCCCGCCACTCCGACGATGCTTCTAGTGTGCTGTTACCTCCTCTGGTAGAGGATTCAAATATAGCCGCAGGCAGTCTTGACCAAATGGCAGGAGATATCCGGGGTGAGTCGAACTTAGGCATAGGATCTTCTGACAACAACATGAAAGTTGTCTACGAAGACGGGTCTTTTGCAGTGAAAGAACCGGAGGGCGTCTCGGACCCTGCCCGTTGGGCACTGAATGATGACGGTCTAAATGAAGGTACAGAAGGCGATCACGGGCATCAAGAAAGAGCATTGCAAACAGATGATGTGGGCAACTTAGAGGACGTAATCGAGGACGAGGAAGGGGATGACGAAATCTTTAACGCCATCGAAGCCGAGCAACTCAAAGCTTCGCAAGAAGCTGCCCGGGAGAAGCCGTGCCTCCGGCAATTGCTTCACGCGCCTCCGCCAGCCGGAAACTTCGAGTGGCATGAGAATCCGGAAACCGGCCGACTAGAACTCACGTGGCGATGCCTGAAACAGCAGGAAATGGATGCTACCGTTGAACAAGACGCTGAGGATCATGACTCTTCGGCGCAAAGTGAATCAGCCCCTTTGCCGGTGAAAGGGTTAACCCGTGTGCAAGGACGGTCTCAAACAGCAGAGAATGGCTCTGACGAGGGTACCAATCTGGTACAAGTGGGACGTCGTGAGTCTGGTTCGCGTGCTTCCATGTGGTTCCGTAACAACTTGCCTCTGTTACCAGAGGAGATCGTATCTTTTACACAAGGCCGCATCTCAGCCCGACTTGCGGATACCTCTTCTAGGAGAGTGTCCTCTGCGACAATCAATCGCAGTCTGGAGGCAGATGCACAACGAAGGCAATTGACTTCTGCCCCACCGCCGTGGCCAGAACGCTCGGATGAAGATCCTATTCCTGATCGACCGTTGCTGCCTGCCATGGAGGGCATTACTGATGCGGCAAACAACGCGCGCCGTTTGCCAATCGGAGGTTTGCGCCCGTCGAGCCTTTCGGTTGCGTCACGATCCTTGCGACAAACTCTTCAGACACGGCGCATGCCGGCCCTACCTCCAGAGCAGAACGTGGTTCAGTTGCACGACGCTCCACCCAGCGCGATTGCGAGAATCGGCGGGCAAAGCCGTCGCGTGACCACACCTGCAGACCCCTTTTTGCGCCTCATCCGTCCGCGGCCAGATATACGGCGGGAACTACGCAGAATCCCGCCACCAGCGCGATTCGTGACCCAGCTGCGACACCAAATTCCGGCGACTGGAACGTGCTGTCACGAAGTGCGGTACACCTTAGCCCCCGATCTCATGGTTTCGGACGTCATCCACGAGAAGTCAGACTCTGTTGTTCTGCAGAGAACCCTCCGCAAAAAGCGCACGGACGGCACTAGAGTGGAGACGGAGTGTGCCGCAAAATTTTTGCTGCGAAGCATCCCACTAGAGGAACACGGCATCACCACGACCAGTCGCGGTGCAGCAGGCACGTCAGGAGTAGCACGTCTGAGCGTCACGGAGACGTTTCGCTGTGTCATGTGGTCGCACGAGCGCACATCCGATGCGGATCGCTGCGCATTGGATGCGGTAGAGGAAGAGCTGCGTTCTCCAGTCTCCGATCGCAGCAAAGAGCTTTTTCGCGGGAAAAAGTGGAAAGCGGTGACCAGCAAGCAACTGGCGGATCGTAATCGCGTGGCAGTTTTGGCCATGGAGAAGAAGCGGGAGTGGTGTGAACAGCGCCGTGGTTTGAGGGCGGGCTTGAGGGCTGATCTCTACGGAAATCGCCGGATCACGCAAGATCAGGAGACAGGTCGTACGGAGTTGGAGCATTCCCGCACACGCATGATCAATCTCGACAACATCTTCCAGCGAAATTTGAGTCTACGTGCGGACAAGAGCGACGACCTGGGGCGCGATATCCTAGTTTCTTCACGAGAAATGTTACCAGATCCTTTCGCGGATTTTGTGACATTGTGCACTCGAGCTGCTGATACAACGGGCGCAGAGGCTGAAGCAGGCCATGAGGCAGGGAAGACTGCGGGAGTGAACACGAACAAAATAAAAGCGAAAGTAAATTGTACCAGCTTCTCATCCAGTAAGGCCGCTGCTTCAACATCCTCGAGGGGGCATAAAGGAGAGGGCAACATTCCGATTGCCAAATGGAATCGCAGTAAGAAGGAGATCGTAGACAGTAGCCAGCGACTTATGGAAGCTGCGCAGGGGGATTCACTTCCGGAAATTCTCATGTTTGAGAACATTGAGCTGCTACAAGAGCATGACTGCTTGCTTTCAGCGCAGCAGCAAGCGAAATTGAAGCTCGGTCGACCGGAGGGGTTCATGGTGCGTGTTTGTGCGAAGTTGGCTGGGTACTGTCAGAATGTGAAGAAGCGTCAGGCGGAGACTTCGGGCGTAGATGACCAAGGAGAAGCGCGTGTCAACGGGAAAGGCAATCTTCCCAGTGAGCAGAGTCTTCGGGATAGTGAGGATTCAATATCCGCAGCTGCTCGTTCGAAGCGAATGCGTAGAAGCACCAGTGGAGAGCGCAAGTCGTCGGTAGCAATTGCTGAAAATGATCACACTTCTGTCTTTTCAACGGTGACAAATCATACGACTGCGCGAGAACAAGAAACAGCCGAGACTTCCCTCAAGAACCATGACGACCTTAAGAGTGGTCTTCCTATGCGTACCACGTCCAATGTGTCAACTACCATAAGCGGCGTGGGCAGTTTTGATAGGCAAATAAGTGGTCGCAGCAGCATGGTCACAAGTGCGGATGCCTCCTCGCCATGTTCGGTTGGAGATTTGGAGCAGATCTTAAGTAGGAAGTCATCCTCAGAAGTTTCCATGGGCGGACAAGACGGCAGCGAGCAGGCTTCTGGTAGTGAATCGATTGAGGGAGCGGATTCTTCATTGGGAGTCGCCAACCCTGCAAGAATTGATGCAAACCGAGCTCAAAAAGAAGGAGGACAGGAAAAGAAGCAATTTTTGCCGGGGGTGCCCACTTTGCTCGAACCACATCGCGGCATTCGAGACATGCTATCGCAACGCGAACAACGACCGCGGCAGCTTTCCCGCTTTCTGCAAGAGCATGCCTTGCGCGTTCCCTCCTTTTACACCTATTCAAACGACGACGTTTTACTTTTCTTGGATACGCTCGAGAGCATGGACGCGTCGAATGCGCAGTTTCAAACGCTTCTACCCAATGACTTCCTCGTCGCGCATCACAGGTAAAGCTAAGTACAACATGACGTGTTCTACTTACACACTTTGACTATTCTTGATTCACAAAAACGCTTCTTGAAGGTGCCATTACAATTCTCGACAACATCATAAACACTCACATGCGAAGATATTAGGAGAATGGACTCGCAAAGCTAAAGCAACTTTATGAACACCTAAACCTTTTTCTCACTCTTTTCAACAGCTACCTCCGCGCACCGCAGCGTTTCACGTTGGTTGACTGGTTGTGCGAAGTCTGTCGTGCCTTCAAGCACAGCACGGTTTGCTTCGAGCTCGCAGTGAACATCATGGATCAGTACTGTGCGAAGATTCCGTATCCCGGTATCGAGCTGAAGTATTACCAGATCGTCGGCTCCGTCTGTCTCTTTCTCGCGGTCAAGACCACCGAGCTCTCGCCTTTGACCCTGGATGAGTTGACGAGATTGTGCGATAATCAGTACAACCACCAAGACTTCCTAGACTGGGAGGTGGACGTGGTGAACATGATGAATTTTCTACTGCTTCGATACCCGAGCTGCACAGAGTACGGTGGGATCTTTATCACTGTGTGGGTTAGTTTGGCGTTGGAAGTCGGAGTGACTAACACGAGAGACGGGAATAGCAACGCATCAGCGATAACGGCAGCTGGTGCAGCCACTAGTACCACTGGTCAACCTTCTAAAGAGACCTCGAATAACACTCGCAGAGACACCAAGTACGACACGACTACATCGATACGAGGTTCTTCTGCGTCATCGCGCAGACCGTTCGATGGTAAGGGAGTTGCTGGTACGACTGGAGGCGCAAGAGACACACCGGGACGTCAGCTAACTGCACTCGAGTTTCTGGAGTATGACAATGTTGCTTTCGATCCATGGTGGCTCTTTCACGCGCGTTACCACAATGGTCTGCTGTACACCTTCTTTACCCTCTTTATCGAACTGGGCTTGCACTATAACGGTACTCACTTTTCTATGTTGTTTGTACTGGTCAACATGGTCTTGTTGCAAAATGAAAATGATTTACTTTTGATTGATGCTTCACTAGTTCTTTATTCTACTGCCTGGTCGTTTTATGTTCATTATTCAAGCCACCAATCACTTTCCTCACACCGACTCCAGAAATGATTGACTTTGCGCCGAAGAAACGCGCAGCCGCGGCTCTCTATTGTGCACTATGCCTTCTGTTGCGAGCCGAGTGCGATCGGCGCAAGCAACTTCGTTTTGCGGATCAGAAAGGGAAAGGAAAGAAAAGATCCTCTTCTACGCAGTGGCATTCACAACATCAAGGAGGCGACCAGGAATACTCCGAGATCACGCCAGAATCGTTGTCTGGTGGAGTTGTGTGGACATGGGAGTTAGTGCAAATTACTGGGTTCTGGGCTCGCGATCTCGTAGAGGAGATCGTGTTGAATCGGGTTCTGCTCGAACGCCACGACAAAAATTCTCTCAAGGGGAAGTCGCTGTGGCGAAAGTTCGAACGGATAGCGAACTACATGCGTCCGGAGTGGATTGAATGAAGAAATGACGTGGCTTCGGGTGACTAAAAGAAGGATTACACTTGTAGATTTCCGTGAACTGACAATTTCAATTTGTACTTCTTTGACAATTGTACCTATGTATGCATTCTAGTCCCATTTGATGTTAGACTGATCTAGATTATCTGAAAATTAAATTTAGAATTACATCATCTTGAACTTTTGAGTAATGTACACTCATATTTCTGCTCGTGAATGCAAACTTCAATAGAAGATATGAAATCACCTCGTAGGTACCTTTGAGAACTAAATTTATAGAACTTTCATCATCTATGGGTAAGGCCTAAACCACAGGCTAGACCTAACGAATCTTCGTTGATCACGAAGCAGTTATCTCTGGACGATTTTGCGTCATTGTGCTGCTAAGTCTCAACATACGAACTTTTTGAAGAAGTCAATTCTTGCGAATTTTGTTGATAGATTGTTAAGAATAGGAGTACTATCCCCCGATATAAATTTGTCCACATCGACATCCTTCAACAAGTTAATCGGAGTCAATGAATCAATAGGAATGGATAAATCTCAGAACGCATGTTGTAATGACGGGGCATCGAGGGCAATCACGATCACCTACGCTTTCGACGACCTCGAAGAAAATAGTTCTGATTAATTAGTTGCAATTATGAAATCGTGACTACCTATGTATACCTTTTTTCGTCGAATGTTCGAATCAGTTGACAGAGTTGACAAATTTCAAGTAATTTCAGATCTACGAATCACTAGCCACCTGGCGTGGTTCCCCAGGGAAGGACACGATGGGAACCCGAGACATTTGCTAGACAGGCGCTGACATGCTTGAACAGGCGCCGCAATTGAAGAGAAGCCCGAGAAGTGTCAGCCTTGGCGGGGCGTCATCGGGCGCGTTGCCGCGCGGCGGCGAGCCGTATCAGTGCGCGCCGTTTGCCTCCGGAGGATGGGTGGGCGCTTGGTAGCGGTGGAAGCGCCTGCTGGCCTATCTTCAAGCGGAAGGCATAAAAAGGCACACGCAACGCCGTGAGAATTTGTTCGCTGGGGTCTGAGGCATTCAGAGGCCATGCTGGTCCGCGGGGGTTCAGAGGTGTAGGGCGTTGCTCGTGGGGCGCGGCGCTGCAAGCAAGTGACGTGACTGCACGCAAGCAAGCGACGCGACTGCACGAGGCCGCCGCCTCGCACCATCGGGCAGCGTGGGCCCAGGGCTTGCGTGAGAGGAGAGCGCGGCGCCAAAGCGGGCGCCTTAACTTTCAAAGCCCACGCCCTAACAGCGTGGGCCCAGGGCTGGGGGAAGAGCAGAGCGGGGCGCTGAAGTAAGTGGGCGCCTTAAGTTTCACAATTCACGTCTTAACTTTCACAATTGAACTCGCGCCCTAACTTTCGCAGTTCTTGTCTTGACCTTCAAAATTCATGTCTTGAGCTTCGCACTCATGTCCTAACTTTCGAAATTCGTTCTCCAACTTTCGAACTTTATGCGCTAACTTTGTTTCAAAGTTCATGTTTTAACTTTCAAAATTCACGCCCTAACTTTCGAAATTCGCGCCCGAACTTTCAAAAGAGTCCAACTTTTCAAAAAAACGCATGTCCTGCTAACTTTCTTTGTTCAGAATTCATTACCTAAGACTTTCAGAATTCATGTCCTAACTTTCAGAGTTCATGCCTTAACTTTCGAAATTCATGCCCTAACTTTCTAAGTTCACTCACGCCCTAACTTTCAAAGTTCACGCCTTAACTTTCAAAATTCTCAGGCAGGCCCTTCGCCTATGAAGTCGCTTCTGCGCTTCTCACTCGATTGGCCTTAAATCTGGGGGGTTGTGGCAGTTGCGTCTTGCTGTGGCCTGGGTTGTGGGAGTTGTGTCTTGCGTTGGTGTGGGGGCTGTGTCCTAAGTTATGGCGTAAGTTGTGGAAGTTGTGCTTGTGAGCTCAGTTCACCTTCACTGCGACAGCCTGATGAAAAAGTCGCGCTTTACTCTTCGGGTGTTCGAATTTGAACACCATGAGACTCCGAAGAATCGCGTGGGCTTTATGGTGTTCAGATTCGAATAGCCTGAGAGTGGGGCCGCGCCTTTTTGTATGCTTTCCGTCTGCGCACAACTGGCCGCCCTAACCTCCACAACCCGCCACAGCTTCCTTTGTTCATAAATTCCACAACTTAGAAAACAGTAACAGCCGCCACAACTTGGGCCACAACTTCCACACCTCTCACAACTCAGGGCACACCTTCCACCACTTTCCACAGCTTAAAAGTAATAAAGAAAGTGCAGCTTTTTCGTGGGGTTTTGGTCATTCTGCAACTCATGGCCTAACTTTCGTAATTCATTTCTTAACGTTCAAAATTCATTTTCTAACTTTCAAAGTTCACGCCTAACTTTCCAAATTCATGCCCTACCCCTCAAATCAAAACTCAAAATCAAAACGCAAAGCCAAAGCTCAAACTTCAAAATTAAAAATCAAAACTCAAAACCAACGAACACTCAAAAGCAAACTTCAAAATCAAGACTCAAGATCAAAACTCAAAATCAAAGCTCAAAATCAACACTCAAATTTCAAACCAAAAATCAAAAGCACTCAAAATCAAAACTCAAGACCAAAGCTCAAGATCAAAACGCAAAAGCAAAACTCAAAATCAGAACTTAAAATCAAAACTCAAAATCAAGACTCAAGATCAAAATTCGAAACCTATCAAGACTCAAGATCGAAACTCAAAATCAGAACGCAAAACCAAAACTCAAAATCAAAACTCGAAATCAAAACTCAAAGTCAAAATTTGAAATCAAAGCGCAAAACTTAGCATCAAAGTCAAAATTCAAAATTAAAAGATCAAAACCGAGGTAAAACTTTTTAAGTAAAGAGATTTGCGGCCCTCGCGGATCTCGCTTTCGCATGCGATACTTCGGAGCGAGTGCCGAAAATGCAGTATGCATCGAACAAAGGAAGCACCAAAATATATTTGGGGTTAGTCATTGTAATAGGTTATTAGTATAGCAGAATTAGTTTTTGTTTCTTTTAAAGTCGGACTAGATTCAGTTTCAGTTCAAGGAACAAGGTGCCGAAAGCAGTTGTAAGATGGGAGTGTGAATTTGTTAGAAAGATGAAAATACGCGTCAAGAATTTTACACGGGGTGTTCTTTAGGCATTATCATTGTTGAGCAGTCGAAAACATGATACGACGACTTATCAGAAGTAGATTCCGAAAAAGGACACGGCAAGCACGCAATTTGGCCTGACATACTTACTTATTGATAGATACTACGAAATGAATTCTCCACCATGACTAGCCTGATCGTAATTTTCGCACATTAACCTATCTGGCAATATTAAGATTTCTGCAGAGTCAACAAAGGTAGACGTATCTATTTCATTCACATGAGTTACACAGGCCATCAGTGTAGTCTCTTAATTCTGACTCCCCGATATGCATAGATTTGATGTAGTACCCAGAAGTATGTATGTTGATGTTGTATGAGCATCATTGATATCCAAGCCGTTGTGTATCTTGTCTAGGCCACTTCTGTCACTGAAAAGGGTCGCAGCCGTGGCTGTGCCGCGGTGCATACCGCAGAAGGACTAGGCAGAAAAGTATTTCGGCACTTGAAGACAACTTATGATTGACCCAGGAAGAACAGCAGCAGAATCTTCATGATGATTCTAATAGTTTAATTTCACGTTAGTAGTCAAGAGTATTGAAAGTCATTGTTCTACCTTGTAAGTAGTCTTTGTCATGGGAACAAATACGTAATGAGAATATTGCAGACGCAGTGGGTAAGTATGTAATGGAGTTGATGAACTCTATTAAGTCTAGGCAAGTTTTTGCCGATAGGAAACACACAACCTGCAAAGTCTTGTTGTCACTGGGAGTGAAGTCGTTGTCTTAATAAGTAAGCATCCATGCAGTCAATAGTCATTTTAATGAGTTGAGATGATCGACACTTCGACCCGTGATGTATTACTGCAGGCGGGAAGAAGTGGGTAGAGAATACAATACAATCAGAATCGATGTCTTCATTTTCAGAACTATTCAAGACTCTGCGGACAAGAACGTTTTTGGAGTCAGCGAATATCTGAGTCAAAACGTTGGGTGGCGCTTTCTGTCGGGTGACCGACCCATCCTTTGAGTGTGTATTTGCCAGCACATGGAAAGTGTAAGGAGCATCCAGATTGAATCTTTGCGAAGTGAGGTGATAGATAGTCCTTTATTCTCTGACCAACAAATCCCTAGCGTTAGGCTTGCTTCCTTAATCAGTAATATTCGTGTACAAGTATCTTGACGCAGGGACGTAAGGGAATGTGGAGAACACTGTGGGATCCCTATTTGAATTTTTTTGCAGAGCCAGTGGGTTTCGCATCTTCTCAGCAGCGAACCCGCGAATACAATTATCGAACTTGATTTCTCTCCTGACCATCGTTTCACCAGAGCTTTTATTTTCAAAGAAAGTATGATGTGATTCACCGCGAGGAGAATGATACCCAAAAATTAAGCTTATGAGGTTCGCCTGAGCGTGCGTGTGAGTTTGTTTGAAGAAGACAGAACCCCACCCCTGCATTTTGACTGTGTTCACCATCCTCACAACCGTGGCACGCATCCCCCTTTTAGTAGAGAGACCAAGATGAAGAGAGAGAGAGAGAACTCTAGACAATCCAAAATTGAAAAGAAGCTTAGCCGAAAGGAAGATAGAGAAGAAAAACGGGACGCAAGCAGAGTGAGACTCGTGTAGTCATGACGAGGAAGATGCGAGAGAGATTATGAAAGATAAAGAGGCCGCGGGGGCGGGTTCGTTGTGAATACTGTTGGGCGGAAAGAAAACAGACGGTCCTTTTTTTTCTTCGGCGACAAAGTCAAATTGAGCCAATCAACGATCAACGATCACTCAATAATTGCATATAGAAGTAGTTGTGAAGCCGGAATTACAGTAAGAAACGACAAGCTCGTCGACTGGTATTTAGCTATAGTGGGGGTCTCCTGTTAGATCTTTTTCTATCAGCATGTTGGGACAACTCGCGCGAAGAGGGGCGACACGCGCCTCCTCATCTCTGCGAACACCTCCAGCCTACGTTGCGGCCAGAAGGTAAGACTGGGCTACATATGACGTTCACGTTTGTAAGTCCACTACCTGTCCACTATCGGATCACCTTTGGTCCTGTTTTCAGATAGATTCGCCACTTCGAGAACGTATCACTTTGAATCTATAATCACCCTTCACAACTCGCCAACACAGCTTCGCAAATAAGACCAAGCCACAAGTTGCGGGGATGATTCAGAATTACCACGACCAGCTTCTCGGAACGAATTGGGGAGACTACCTCGAGCTGGTACAAACAGTTAACTAGCAGCCTTTTGAACCAACATAATAAACTTAGAAGTCGGCATATGACGAATGGTTTGAAACGTGCTCTTCCTTTGCTTTTCAAAATTCTTAGGTCCACAACGAGCCTTTTTTGGCGGCACAAATGGCGGAAATTAAGGACGAGGTGGGACCATACAAGGACGACCCAGAGCTTGGACCGAAGTACGCCTATATCCAGAAGGCAACGGATGCAATGTTTGCGTACTTATGGGTTTTTCGTAATGTTGGTTTTCGTATCTTTTGTCTAATCAATGTTAGAAGTACCTCTCCCGTTCCCTCTTGGATCTTGATGGAACTGCATACAACAATCGCTGCTTCTGCTGCTATGTATACCGTTTGATGATAGGTAAATCCTGATTGATGATTCTCTCATCACGCAGGTGCGAGGATGTCAGGGATCATGTCAACGAAATTTTGGAGCTCATGACTAGGAAAACGGGAGTGCTTGGTATGGGAATTAATGCAGGCGAACCAATAGAAAACATTCCGGAGCAGGCGGAGATGCTCAGTATTTCTCAATGAGAATTTTTTTTCTGTTCAGTATCAATTCATTATATATTGTGCAGCAGTTGATGTATTCATTTACTTAAAGTTACAAAGGCTCACGCGTCTGAGCCTCTGAATCTGAAAAGTCATGCTTTGCTTCCCTCTGACACTGAATTGGAAATCTCCACAGATACGGCATACGAACGACTGTTAGCAGATTATCCGGACATGAAGCCGAAAATTGAGCAGAGCGTAGGGCACGGCTTGGCTATTTTGCGAATGAAGCACAAATTCCCATTCAAGGGAGGGCACCGATTCTTTTACTAAAAGCACGGTTGCCGCAGGAAGATCTCATAGCTTCTTCGTTGTTTTCACTGACGAGGAGTCCGCTACATCAAAAAAGTAGCATGGTCATTCGTGTTTACATACTACTCTCCTGCTTACATCATGTTGCCATTATTATTAAGGCTGACGCTGACAAGGCCTACTCCTGCATTGATCATGCATTGTTTCTACTCGCAAGGCATCTTGTCCTTCACTGAAGCCTGCTTCGATGTGGAGGAATTGGCTGAAGAAGACAAGATGAATAGCACCAAGCAATGTTGACAGACGCGCATCTATTATCCTTTTTCAAAAATCGTTGCATTTTCCTCATAATTTTTTCCAAAGAAACATACAAAGAAAACAGTTGTAACGAAATGGAGAGTCCGAGCTAATCGGGTACTGAGACCTCGATTCCGGATTCACATCAAAAAGTCGCCTCCCAAATGTGAAGTTTCCGCTGAAAATCTTTTGAAAGCATCGATCGTGCTTAAATAATGAGTTCTTGTCTTCCTCTGATTCGCACACCCACGGCAAAGATGAGACTCTTGTGCCTAGCTGGAGCACAGAAGTGTGAACATCTGACAGCGTTAAAACAAATCAGGGTACTCGGCTGCCCTATCTTGAACATATTATCAGAAGACGGCCCCCATCGAAGATGCACCTGGTTTCCAGTCAGTCGTCGGTTTGTCATCAAAGAATATCTAACGCTAAAGGCGTATTCTGAATCTCATAAGAATAACTCTGTGCCATAACTTGTGGTTGATTCGGAGGAAGATTTGAGCCTGTTGTGGAAATCATCCTTCATGATAGCTGCAGCTCAAGGTACGACATATGCAAGTCATGATCTGGTCTTCCTAAGGGTCCCTGCTCTTCACCTCCTTGATGGCATCCTTCCATCAATTCATTGGTTAATTATCCACCGATTCTTTGGTGAAGTCAATCTCAATCATGGATGTTTTTGGGTTTTCCCTTTCGCACCTTTCTCCAGATAAAAGAAAGAAGAGTTTTTTCGGATTTTTACTGCTACAACTTTTAATCATGCGATGAGCTCTAACCGTGTTAGCGACTAGAAATACCATTTGTTTAATCAAACTGCAATCGTTGTGCAACTTTGTTGTTGTATAACAAGTTCAAGCTTAATTTTATCAGTCTCTACGTTTTCTCGACTTGAGAGTTGTGGAATTTCAACCTGTACTAGAGTATCTCGATGATCAAGATGTTGATGTATATTTGTTTCATCATATCGACTTGTAGTTGTATTTTTCTACAAAATTTCTCCGATGTTAGTTTCTCTAGATCTTGATCTTGGCATTGATCAAGTGTAATATTTTCATACATCTGTTTTCATAATTTGAGCAACCTGCCAATGCCATGATGATTTTTTCCTATTTGCTTGGTCTTTTCCATCCCTAACTGGATCGTATGCGCATACATTAAGTTCTTTGCTTCGCTTGCCGCATAGTTTATCGAAGCCACTTCGTGAGCGTACATCCTCTTTATCCGTCCAACTAGGATAACCAGAACGATAGACAACTAGAACTTCTATTTTATACAACATTCAAGATTATCATGGATGTAGCGCAACCATGCTAACTAGCAATTACAATTTAGATCCATCTTTCTAGTGTTTGTTTTTTATCATCGAGGATTATTGGATGCAGCGAAAGCGCTACGACAAGAAATTCTCCCATCCATTTCTAAAAGAGCGACCAGGAAGACAAAAAAGTACTACCTTGTGCGAAGACGTAGGCCAGTAAACAATGGAATGTGCAGCAGCACTAGCACTACCAGCAGGACAACTATTATTTTGCTAGGAACAACAAAATCAAAAGTAGAAGGAACAACAAAAGTAGTGTAACCAGAGCGGAGTTTGGTAAGGCTGTGCTGCATCTGCAGTGGCAGGCCTAAACGAAAACATTAGAGGTTGATGTATCGTCATACTACCACCGTTATCGATGTATTGATTGATATCGTGATTCTACAGCCCTAGTATCGTATTCGCAGGCGCAAATTCAAAGACATGATGGTGCTTGACTATGCAGCAGTAGAGTAGAGGCACTGTGTCGCGGTCAGTAGGGTGCTCTTAGATTGCGCAACAGAGCAATAGTGGGAACGGGCATCCTCTTGTCCCCTCTCTGTTGCCTTTTTTCGAGCTGGAATTCGTTTATCCTGTTACGACTTTCCGGAAGGTCAGTTTTTTGTGTTTATTCATCATAATTCCTTTTTCATTCATCGACTTTTTCATTTTTATAAATATTTACTTTCACGTTACATGTAAGTACATGTAGAAGTTCAGTATATTTTCAACCATAACGACGTAAGTAGTACAAAGCCGATCACGAAGAGTCAAACACTCAAACATAGATTTCAATTTGTATTTTGTTGAGCCCACTAGTATGTACATGGTAATTTCGTGGTATGTCTATGTATGATTCGGTGAAGCACTGGAAAATATGATTTAAACAACCTATGATACCCTATGAGCATGACCTAATAATCGCGGTGCGCTGCAAACTAGAAGTAAATTACTACAGCAGGATACGATCATATTGTTATTGAATGGTGTTGAAGACTATAATTAATAGTTTACAATAAGGAAGTAAGTGCTACGTGTACGTGTAACAGCTGCAAGTATATCAGATCTTTTTGCCGTTGTGAAGACGTGGACGTCTACATGCACCATGATAAGCAATTAGAACTATATCTTTCCATGTGTCCGTATCTGTTGTAGTTAGTAATCCTATTCGATGGTTGTTGTAATCAAGAAAAAAAATGTACTGCGTATCTCAGCGTTCTTGTGCACCACTCCTCACCCTTATGTGGTACTCGAGGGCGAGTGTGGCTGCGATCGTGACAACGGCGACCAGTCGCGACGCACGATCTACTTCCACGGTGAGTCCTGAAGGGAGCGAGTCCATGAACAACAGTCCAGAGGAAGCGGATATGGTCTCTGTCTATTCATCTGACCAAGAACAAGGAGAAGATCAACTTGTTCCCGCCCTAGTACCAGCGGGTTTTGGTCCTGGTCGTGTTCCTCGGAATCAGATCGTTGATTCTCTGCTCCATGAGCCAGGGGAGCCTGCTGACGAGCTCCACGACAATATTTACGAGCTCGAAAACGCTCTAGAGGAACATGTAATGCGACGTAGAAGACTGCAAGGACAGTTCGGCAGGGATGGAGAGGCACCGGCACCCATACTGAGTCCTTCATCAGCGCCTTGGTCTCTTATGGGTCAGTCTTAGTTTTTTTATATAGGTTCCAGGGCGCGGGGCGACGCCCCCCCCCTAGCGGGGGGGGGCCGGGCGCTCTGGACCCCGTTGGGAGGCTTCTGCCGGGGGCGGAAGGCCTTAAAAGGGGGGCAAGGGGCTGCCCCCTTCTCGTTTGCATGTTCCCTACAGACTTGAGGGGCCCCCGATGGTGGTGGGAGGCTTCAAAAGGGGCCCAAGGGATCACCGGCAACGGAAGGCCTCCGAAGACGGCAAAAGGCGAGGGGCTGGACCCCCGGGCCCTTGGTCATCGGCTTGCTTGCTCTTGCGACCGTGACCGCCTCCGGCGGCCTTTTACCCCGGAGGCCTCCCGCCTGCGAGGGTCAGCAGAGGCCAGGCGGTCCTTTCGGAACACGCTGAGAGGCCCAAGGGGAGGCCCGCGCCAAGTTTTGACGCCTCCCACCACTAGAATCCGCGAAAGATCCGAGCGAAAAAGCGCGCGGGCGCGCCACCACAGACCAGACCACAGGGTAGGGTCGAGAAAGGGACCCCCTGGGCTTTACGGGATTTCTAGTCGTGTAGGCAATTTGGTTTCGCTTCTTTACCATTTTGAAAATGTAAACAGAGGAGGCGCCAGCCTGTGTTAACTTCGCCAAATTTAGCACGACAGCACAACTGTGACCGCAGTGAGCACATCCACCAAAAACAAATCGGAGCAGCCTGTAGGAGGAACTTGAGAGGCACGCGATAGCGCTAGCACCAGAAGCGTGGCAATGGCTTGACTGTCAGCAACTTTTCTAGGATTCAGCTGACTGAGATCACTACAACAAAGGGCAACGGCCTCGCGCATTAGCTTGGTTGTAAGTTTCTTCTCCCCTGTTCACTTTGTTGGGAGCTTTGATGTGGCGGACGAGGGGCAGCAGCGTTCCCCTGGTTGTGAGTCTCAGTCTCAGTCTTAACCTCAAGAGGGACGCGGAAAATGTCCACAAGACGGCGAGGGGGGAAAGTTCCTTCGGCGGAAGTTCGCAGAGCTTGGCAAAAAATGCGGCAGAAAGTCCAAGAGGAAGGGGCGACAGAAGTGCTCTTGGTGGCAGAAAATGCGGCAGAAAGTCCAAGAGGGGGGCAGAAAATGTTCCCGATTGTCAGAAAATTCGGCAGAAAGTCCAAGAGGGGGGTAGAAAGTGTTCCCGGGTGGCAGAAAGTCACGGAGGGGGGTGGAAAATGTTCCTTCCCGGGTAGGCAGAAAACGCGGCAGAAAGTCACAGAGGTGGGGGGCGGAAAATGTTCCCGGGTGGCATAAAGTCACTCACAGACGGGGGCGGAAAGTGTTCCTGGGTGGCAGAAACTCTACCAGGGGAGTGGGAAACGTTCCCGGGTAGGCAGAAAATGCGGCAGAAAGTCACAGAGGGGGGCGGAATATGTTTCCGGTTGGCAGAAAATGCGGCAGAAAGTCAACCAGGGGGGCGGAAAATGTTCCCCCGGCAGCAAACCTGGCAGAAAATCAACGAAGGGCGCAAACCTGGCAGAAAATCAACCAAGGGGGCGGAAAATGTTCCCCAGGCCGGCGGCAAAACCTGGCAGAAATTCAACAGAGGGGCGCGGAAAATGTTCCTGAGGAGGTGGCAAACCTGGCAGAGAATCAACCTGGGGGGCGGAAAATGTTCCCCAGGCAGCAAACCTGGCAGAAAATCAACAAAGGGGGGCGGCAAAATGTTCCTGAGGCAGCAAACCTGGCAGAAAGTCAACCAAGGGGGTGGAAAATGTTCCCCAGGCGGCAAACCTGAAAGAAAGTCGACCAAGGGGGTGGAACCACAGGAACCACAGGGACCACAGGGACCACAGGGACCACAGGAACCACAGGAACCACAGGAACCACAGGAACCACAGGAACCACAGGAACCACAAGAGCCACAGGAACCACAGGAACCACAGGAACCACAGGAACCACAGGAACCACCGGAACCACCGGAACCACAGGAGCCACAGGAGCCACAGGAGCCACAGGAGCCACAGGAGCCACAGGAACCACAGGAACCACAGGAACCACAGGAACCACAGGGACCACAGGAGGCCCCAGCAGGAGCAGGACCCGCCTGGCGATCGCATGGCCCCAGATCATATCCGCACTAGAAATCCCGTAAAGCCCAGGGGGTCCCATTCTCGAGCTTAAGGGGGAGGGGGGGGCCGTGCGGCCCTGAGTTATATATAATCTGTCATGTCTATCCCTATGGCTTGATAATTTGATAAGCGCAACGGACCTCTTGTACTGCTACAAAACGAAGATGATAGACTCACCTGTTACAGTTGCATTGTAAAAAAAAAAAAATATTTTTTGTTGATAGAAATTGAAATGTTGTGAAGAAAAAGCCATGCTTTACTAGGACCAGGACGAAGTACGAGGACCGGTGTCAATACCACCATGTCATGGTCAATAGCAGATTTCTAGATCGTAAAAGAAGCACGGCCAATCCCTAGGTGGTCGCAGATAATTTTCAGCGCTAATTCTTCCGCGCAAGGTCCGAGGGAAGCTTTTCCAATCGACTCTCCCGGAGCCGGCGGGACCGGAAGCGCCGGAACAATTCCAGTAGACACTTGGAGCGGTTCCCTCAAAGGGGAACGCCATACATTTGTTCTTTCTGGCCTTTCGGATAATGCCGGCGGCCAAAAAATTGTTGGAACAAGTCCAAAGAAAGTATTAGCCGAGCCAGGTGAGGTTGAAAGTGTTCAAAATGGTGACGAACACGCGCCCATCTTGTCCGGTATGAGCATCTCCTCTGGTGGAGCAAGCGAGCGCGACATCAAGAAAATAGAGCCTGCTCCTATCTCTTTAACACGTTCAGGAGGAGGATTGCCATCAGGCGGAGGAACACCATCAGGCGGGGCTCCGGCGGCAAGCAGTGGCGACGATCTTGGTAGATATTTCCGATCGACCGCTGTTGTAGCTACAGCTAGTGCTACCACTGCTGCTGGCTCTCGGTCTGGCGGTTCTGGATCCAGCAACCCTACCTCCAAAATTCCGGTCCAACAGGAGCACACGCATAGGATCGTAAGGCTAACCACGATGAGCAATTCTGAAGATTCATCCTATGACGCGAGTGGTGAAGAAGAAGGTATGGGAGCAGTTCGTGACAGCGGAAAAACACGAAGGGCGTTTCTTGACGCAGAACGTGCTCGCGCGGGGCGATCCTCATCGTGGCGAAATGGACTAGGCCTGCCGGCCCCTGAGTCTGACAGCGAGGCCTCCTTGGGGGCCGAGGGGGATGATCAGAGCGACGAAGAAGATCTGCAAGCTACAGACCAAGTTACAGCACGGGACGCCGGTTTACAGAACGCGTCGGAGGAAGAGGTGGCAGAGGCGAAGGTGCAGCGAACAAGGTATTCCTTGAGCTATGCGATGACGTAGTTAGGCGTTTGTCGTTGCGCTCACTGATTTCAGCTTTTCTCCCCGTTGAGACTCCTAGTCGGATGATGAAAGTTAGATGTCTTCGTTGTTGCACATCCGCGCTTCGTAGTTGCTGAACATCAGAACTTGGTTCCAATATACTAGTGGTAATACATCACTTTCCATTTGATCTGTTTTGGGTGTCTACTCATGCAAAAAAGTAAAATTAAAATTTAGGGATGACATTCTCATACTTTTTTTCAACAGATCCACTCCTACCTCGCGTCGGATAAAGCGAACGCGACACCGATTAGAGGAAGGTGGAGCTAGTGACACTGGAGACGACAGCACGAGGGCTGCTCTCGCGCATGCGAGTTCGTCTACGTTGTCGCAACCGGCAGGGCTCTTTCATGACAGCAAACTCACCAGATACAGCCCCACTCCAGCACGTAGAGACGGCACATCAGCCCGGAAGATAACGCAGAAACAAGACAGTAGTAGTACAGGTGCATCTCCTTCTCCTGATTATTTCGAAGATGATCCCCAGTCGACGGTCAAACAACACGCAGATTTCCTGTCGACACAGCGACAAGCCGCACGTCGACGACATCGACTTGACGGAGATCCAGATCACGGCTCGATCGAGTTCCCAGCGGAAAAGGTCCCCCGAATAAGTGATGGCTCGGCTCTGTTCGACTCAGGCTCACCTGCCCTTGTGCCGTCAAGTGGAGTAGAGAACCTTCATTTTGAAGTTGAGCGTGTGCAAGCAGCTACTGCAGCACAGCCGGAGGAACAAAACGCGGGCTTTTCTACTTCAGAGAACGTCCCGAACAAAAAGCGACATGTAAAAGCCGCGTACGAGAAGGATCTAGGAGATCTTGTGGAGACGATTGGGGAGCTCTCCTTGAAAGCTTCGGAGGACGGAGACGGAGCTTTTTATAATCCTGTTGATAGCAAAGTTCCCCGGCGCTCGATGGAGGAAGATGTCGGGATGGCACGTCTTTTGGGGCCTTGTTTTTGTCCATTCGAGGGTATTACCGAGGAACCAGGCAGTGACAGCGTAGTCGTCCCATCGGCTGTGCCTGATAGCATGATAGGAAGCGATGACGCTCTGCTTACCGCTGTTCCTGAAGAGTTTAACAATCCCGGCCGGATCAAAGAAATAGTAGAGCCTTGCGTTAGATGCAAAGTCAAGGATGTTGATATTATCGCCATTAATAGCGGTGTGGTTCCAGTTCCAAGCGCGAGAAGCAGCTCTCTTGGTAGCTCTACATCATCTGCTTCGACTCCTCTGACGCCACCACGGCGCTCCAGTCCGCCATCATCTTGGGTCGGCTGGCGCGTACACGAGCCGGACAAGGCGAATACAGAACTGACTGAGAGCCCTACGATGTCTGAGCGTTCCGGTTCGGACTCCACTTCGACGGAACCCCCAGATTTGTTGCTTATGAAGGAGAAGCAGGTATCGACGCCACCTCTCGAGGCGCAAAAGGAACCAGTCGTGCCTGATCTCTCTCATGATGAGTTATGGGTGAAAGTTGATTAGTCGAGAATCACATGCATGATCAGTAATGAGGCATCTTAGATAGTACATAAGTAATCAGATTACGGTCACTTTCCAACATGATTAAGATCTTGTCACTTGGGATGATTACAAGCTGTATGTGTATCTCTAAATCTTGCTCCTGCAGGTTTTCTCGGCGCTCCTTCAATATCGGTTGATGCAGGAGACTCGCTTCCGATGACTGACAGCACCGGATGTCCATCGCCGTCTTTGTCGCAAGACTTGTTGTTTTCTTTTCAAGACAGTGCGTTTGGTGGTAGATCATCTCGCCTGGGGACGCCCACAAATGACGCACTGCAACAAGCGAAAGCAGCGTCTAAAACCACCACCCCGGGGGCGGGTGGAGTGGGTACTTACTCATACAGCCCCCTGGACAGGACCATTGGTACTATGCCTTCTACTTCCGAGGACCTGATACCATTTGGATCATCTTCCGTTGTCACTACTACATTGCCCCTATTTCCGCTGCTGAACCCGGAAAGCTTGCGCTGGACAGAGCGAGTTCAAGAAAATAGCGGCACCGAAGATGTTCCAATCACTGGGTTCCCACAATCACCCATTCCCCTTCTGCGACCGCGACCAAAAAGTGTATCTCCATTATGAAATAGCAAATGTGGACTTTCACACGACAACTCTAGACGTACTTCGTCAAAGTTGGAATGTCAATGTTATTGTATCTTCGACGATCTTGAGTTTGTATCACTAACACTATCTTTTCTAATATGAGTTCCCGGTCTTCCAGACCAAATCTTACGTGAGGACCACCTCGTTGAGGACGAGCTTGACGAAGAGAGAACGCCAGGAAATACAGCCGAAGTTTTCGGACGCCTTCTGAGCCCGCGGCCTTCTCGACATCCCTCTGATGCTTCTACCATGGGCGCTTGCATGCGACGGGTATCACAAGTAGCAGTAACGGTAGAAAGCAGTATGAGTTTCGACACGAGTTGTAGTTGTGAAGACTATGATCTTGCGGGAGACGTCGATACTGAAACACACCAAGAAAACCATCGTGCTGATAGCCGTCAGTGTAGCCAACGAGCCACTACAGCGAGTTGGTGTTCTTTCCGTGACAGTAATGCTCTTGCTGAGCATGTCTGCGGCTGCGCACCTGATATCGAGGCTCGGGATCAGTCGGGTGTGGTTCCGATTTTTGTCGACATTACCGACTTTCTTCATAAAGAGGACGATCTCGATGGGTCCCCTCGTGGTCGGGTTGCTCAAGCTATCTCACAAGGGAAAACCGGTGCACGCACGACGAGTCGCGCTTCCCCCGAACGATCCGGAGAGTCAATGCCTACGAAACGCAGCAGAGTCCTCGTGCCCCGTGGTCGAGACTCCCAGATGCAGGGAAAGAGTTGTGCTTGTGGTTCTGGAGGAACAGTTCAGCTTTCAGAGCAGGAGTCAAGAGTAAGTCACTGTCTCTTCATCAAGGATATTGAAGTTCAGCATATCATGGGATACGTTGGTCCACCAGGCTCTGGTGCCTCTTCGTCTGCAGGAGGACCCTCGCAGCGACGCTCTCGAGTCAATGCGTTTTGTGAGGAGGACGGTTCGCTGCCGATCAGAAGAAGTTCTACTGCTCTGAAGACGGATGAAGACTCAAATCCGTTCGATCTAGAGGGAAAGAGAAGGTCCTCCTTTTTCGATGATGAGGATGGATTACATAAAAAAAGACTCTCAAGAGCCTTTCCCGACGATCTTCATGAGAGATCGGACGATATGGACGAGTTTCCAGTGAGCCGCCCTTCCTCCTACACGACGGCTTATGGCATACTCAGAAAATTTTCCATCTGTCGTGAGCTTTTTTTTATACTAACTTCTATCATGAATAACATGAGCGGAACCAACTAGGTGCTGGTGTTACAGGTTTGTCAATATTAATGAGATCAACTCTGGGCATAAAATGGTAAATCATGCCTGCCTTTCCCGGCTCTCTTCATTTCACGCTTACCAGTTATTTAATGCTAACTTCTATCAGACTCAGACAGGAGCATTGATATGATATTCACAGTATGAAGATGTACGTACTACACAAGACAGTTTAATTTTTCTTTGCCATCCTCCCAATCCATATCCACTTTCTCGTACGCCAACGCCTTTAGTTCTAATTTTGTCCGCGTGTGTGTCTGATAAGACGCGACTTGCCGTTGGGCGCAACAGTTGATTTGCTCGTGAGCCTCGTTAAAGACGAGGTTATCAAAAGAAGACGTCAGTTAGCGCTAGCCGACATGCGAGGACATCTGGACGCACTCGAGCTTTTCCATACTTTTCCCAGGCTAGACGTCGGATCTGAAGTGGAGACTCTGGTCTTGAGGAAAAATATGCCCAATGTGGGAGAGGACATTCTAACAACGCAAACGCTTCGCGATGGAGATCGTCATATTCATAGTCATATTCATGAAGGCCATCAACATCATTCGCTTTCGCATAGGGATGGAAGCAATCAGCAAGGAAAACAAGAACTGAGCCTCCGTGAACCCGAAGAGGAACTACAACAAGCAGATGAAAGAGTGGAGGAAAATTTAAGGCGGTTTCCCAGATTTCAGTTCAACGTGTTGCTTCATCAATGAATGTAGGCTACTTGGTAGAACAACTCACGTGATTTCATCTTTTGTTCACGAGACATAAAGATTCTTTGAGAGCTCTAATAGTTAATGATCCCTCCCAGCTGGGAGACGAAGACGAAGAAATGGGTGCTCATTCTCCCGCCGCTCGGAGGTTCGCAACGCTGGCGGACCTGTCGAGAGTGTCCTCTACGGGGGGAATAAAGCTGTTGAGTGTAGAAGGAACGCTCTTTGAAGCTCGCAGGCGGACTCCAAGGGTCCCATAAAAGTTAAAGGTGCCGTTGCTGTATTTGATGTCCACGGAGAAGCAAGTAGAAAAAAACATCCATGCGGATTGTCGTGATTGCCATACAGCTGAATAAATCGTGTACTATCTAAGTCTCGTTCTGATTTTTTTTGCGTAAGGAGAAGACGAAAAAATGCCGTAGGAAATATTCATACATAAGTACATCAGAAGCACTCAAGAGCACAATGTTGATCATGGGTCGCTGAGTTGGACTACTACTAGTGATGTACTACAAAAGGAAATGTATAAGTTGACGCATAAAATTATTCATATTAATACCTAGGAGACCTTTGATTCGCGCGTCCAGGAATTCTCTCGTACCACAACTATTATCTTGATTCATGTATAATTCCATCCATTAATCGAAGTAGAATTGTCGTGCGTATAAAAGATAGATTTCCCACCGTGCCGGCATCGCTCGAGCATGGCCTCGGCGAGGACGCGCATGATACGTAACTTCCAAGCGAAGTATCGGCCTAGATTCATGACCAATCATTATTGCGGAGTATGCGCGTTGGCTCTTAGGTTGAAAAGAAAATCGATAAAAACACACATCGTCACGATAATGATATTGTTTGTCATAGTTCCGAAGCCAATTGTGAGGAACGTACGACAACAGCTTCATCCAACATAGGATTGGCTTTACAGTTTCGTAGGTTTCATAATGGTCGTGGTCGTATTTCGTTGCGCGATACTATTATTACTTAGAAGACGGTAATCGTAATGGTAAGTAATTTAGTTAGGTAATATCAATGATAGTTTTATTTCCATTTCTGCTATCTCGTTGTGATGTGTGAGTTTGAAGATAGCTTACCAGACAGGTATTAGTTCAAGGTTTCTAATCCATTCAGGTGGCGTTGTTGTTTGATTGGCACAAGCCTTTTGATGTCCATCCTAATTCATCAAATATGTTCGACGATGTCTCACGAAAAATAAGACTTGTAACAAGGAAAAGTGACAATCCATCCTTCTCCACAAATGGCTTCAGATGGTTGCTGATACTTGAATATTGAAGAACTTAACTAAAGTTGTTTCACTTTCAGGCAGTCATGTTGAGTTATTTGTTTTAATAAATAAGGTGACATCAGTTTCCTTTCAACCTGATGCCTGGTGTTAGAATTACGATGTTCTGGTGTCGTGAATATAGTTTTAGAGGACTAGAGATAGAGTTCGAATTTGTTTCCAGGAAAGCCCGTCTGTTCAGATTTTCCTTTGTCTGGTAGGTCTAAGTAGGGGGCACAGGTCGCGCAGAGCGCATACGAAGACAAGAGCCATATGAGAGGGAGAGTAATTTTTAGGTACTAGCATGGCTTTGGTTTTAGAGGTCATCAACGTCAGTGTCATCTAAATCCCTCTTGTTCGACTTATTCCAGCTGGACGGGCACGTAGGCATGCGGAATCCTATTACTAGGCGTATCGAAGAGAAGTTCCAGCATCAGCAAAGCGAAAGTGTTGATCTGGTCGTCCGTGTGTTACCGCTAGGTCCGACCGAATGCATCTAGTGTGACACACTAGAAGACCGGGTGTGGGTCGTCTTTACGTGTGGCCTTCATCTACCTAGTGTGGCAACGGGAGAGGTGCAGTACAGGGTGGCTACGGACACACGATGGAACGACTGATCAATTTATTCTTCTAGTTCTAGAAGCAGGATTTGTTGAGCTCCTCCATGTTGCATTCGTCGAAGTTATTCCGTGATCAATTGATTGTTCTAGAAAGGAAAGAGAAGGATTTAATGGGATGATTATCTGCCTCTTCTGGTGTCTCTTTTCATGGAGTCAGAAGACCGACGCTTCTGCAAGATTTCATAAAGTAGATGTTGATGTTGTGTTCTCGTAATGGAAAGTTTCGAACTGTTTTTTGTTTCCTCTCTTGTCTTCTTGGTATGAAGTTCTCGCGTTTACTCCGTTGACTCTAGCGCACCACAGCTGGCTATTTTTTGTTACTTCTTCGTTTGACGTTAGTAGATTCCTGATTCGTAATTATCGTAAAAAGAGCAGATGGTACATCTAAACTCGGGATCATTGGCGTTGAGCCTTTTTTAGTTAGCTATGTATTCAATCGTTGTGGCGTTGGAGGTACGGTTCCTAGTTGGGAAATAAGGGAAAGAATATCAATCCAGGCGCAAAGATAGAAAATTTATATTACACAAGAACTTGAGGACTGTTTGAGTACCTTCGTTCACTTCATCGCCATGCAGAGCTCACCGTCGTGCCTTATCTCACATTTAGTAAAAGAGGACGACACAGAAACGCCTTCATTTGATCATGAAGCAGTCATGTTGCCCGTGGCCATGGTAGACGTGCTGAAGACGAAGACGGAGGAGCAATATATCAAGGCACCATAGTATTTTTAAGAGAGCCAAAGCATCCGATTTCTTGTAGCAGAGAGATTGTCTCCATATATAAAAGGCAACGCCGAATCGCATTTTTAGTACTACGCAGCCGCGCGACGTCTAACTTAAAGGTGCGAAGTTACATTAGTATCACCCTCTTCTTATACCACCTCCTCGACGGCAACAAATATTATATATAATGTTGCAAAATGCAGATACTGATAGACCAACATAGTCAACCCATAGGCATAGCGAAGAATAATTATGAAGAATACTACTTATAAAATTAAAATATATTACGCGCTTGCGCTTTATATTTATGAGATGTGCTAGAGCGGACGGCCGTTCTCTCCGTCAGTCCGTCGGTCGGTTGGATTTCACCGCTCTCCATTTTGGAGAACGCCGAACTCTTTGGTTCTGCGTCGCACTTTGCCCTACACCGGGAGTGAGGTCGTCGCTGCGCCTTGGAAGTCGGGGGTCCGGGATTCGCTACTTTGAGCTAGTTTCTAGCTTGGTAGCAGTCGCCAAATCCCGTCTCGCGGGAACCCGTCGAAATCCTGGATGAGGGAGAGCTCAGCTTCATCTGAGTAAAGTTGCCCTCGGGTGACACCGCCCTCCCACGCGGTTACTGTGGCCCGTGGCCTTGTCTTCGGGCGGGGTAGGCGCGGTTTCTCGCAACCCGGGTCGCATTCCTTCATGAACCTTCGGGGGAAAGGATTGCTTCTCTTGCGTGTGCCCAGCCCGTGATCCTCTTCTGGGGATAGGCGGGCGCACGCAGAAACCCTATAGCACGGCGCATTTTCCCGTCTAGGCCGTCAGTGCAGGCCGCGCAGGGATTGATGACTGAGATGAGGCTGTCAGTGCAGGCCGTCAGGATGACGATGAGTAATGCCGTCAGTACAAGCCGTCAGGATGATGATGAGTAAGGCCGTCAGTGCAGGCCGTCAAGGTGACGATTAGTAAAGCCGTCAGTGCAGGCCGTCAGGATGATGATCAGTAAGGCTGTCAGTGCAGGCCGTCACGATGATGATGATGATGATTGAGAGACGAAGTGCCCCCGCCTCCCGCCAGTACAAGCGCGCAGGGCTATTGTTCTCTCCCCCTTTGTGCGCTGTCAGTGTACTTAGGCCGTTCTTTTCCGGGGTCGCTCTCCCCCGGGCTCCCGTGAGCCCCCGACGGCCTCGCATTTGGCATCTCATTTGGCGTGGCCCGGTCGGCTTCGTTATCTCGTGACGTCGAAGTCTACCGTGGGGCCCTGCCGGCTAACAAGGGCTTACCGCGAGGAGCCCCTTTTTTGCGGGCGTGCCTCGGCTGCTCGGCCTTCGGTGTTGCGTCTTTGCGCGCGAGTCTCCCGCCATACGTGGCGGGGGGCAGTGACACACAGAGTTCCGATAAGGCCGCCGCTCGTTGCTATTCTCCTCTATATTACGCGCTTGCGCTTGCCTTTATATTTATGAGATGGGCTAGAGCGGACGGCCGTTCGCTCCATCAGTCCGTCGGTCGGTTGGATTTCACCGCTCTCCATTTTGGAGAACGCCGAGCTCTTTCTTCCCACCCTGCTCCCCGTGTGGCCGCGCGTCGTCCCACCCTTGCTTGGTTCGTTGAGTTAGTGGTGGGCCCGGTCGGCTTCGTCATCATGTGATGTCGAAGTCTACCGTGGGGCCCCGCCGGCTAAAAAGGGCTTACTGCGAGGAGCTCCTTTTTTGCCGGCGTGCCTCGGCTGCTCGGACTTCGGTCTTGCGTCTTCGCGCGCGAGACTCCCGCCATACGTGGCGGGGGGGAGCGGCACACAGAGGTCCGATAAGGCCGCCGCTCGTTGGTGCTATTCTGATCTATATAATATCTATGTGGTTACCAGGTTCTTCATCTTCAAGCCCTTGATCATGTTCATGACTTCGTGGGATTTGAAGGAAAGCATTGTGAAAAGCAAATAGCTCGACTTTTCACTGGCAAGAATACTAGTTTCGTCCGCTTTTTCGTCGCATGATGTACTTGTACAAACAGTCGCGAGTCATGCTCTGTTCGTGAGCTCCCCAGGAGTTTTTCTTGAGCAGAGTGGTTCCCTTGTGCTCACATTGACTGTTCTTCAGCATGATGGCGACGCGTTGGATCGGTTTGCTTAACACAAGTAAGACTTGAAAAAAGAGCAGTTCGTTAAAAAGCAAACTATATAAAAGTAAGTGAAAGGCAAAGAACATATTCTGTGTTATATATATATTGTATCTGTAAGGAGCACCTCACTTTCCTGAGAGTTTCGCTGTTCGCGGTATCTGATGATTCACAAACAGCAATGCAAAAAGTGGAGAGATTCTGATCACCGGGCCACCTTGTGGGGATTGAGCATTTGAGTAAGACCCGTATCTGTCCGAGTTGTGAGTACTTTGTCACTTTTTCTGGAGCGGCTAGTTCTAACAGAGTCTGCTAGGATGTCGGTGTATTTGAGAGAACAGAGCCGCCCCGTTTCATGTTACACTTGGGAGAGAAAGAAATTTTTCGCCGTGTGATTCTGACTAGATGTTCTTCGTTTAACTGCTTTTCTTTATAACCTAACTTAAGAACCAGTCCCTCCATGATGTTGATGTAGTTATGTCCTCCTAGTGGTCCAGTATTTCGTTTTTTTTTCTATTGAACAACAATCAACTACTGATTAGTATAGCACTTATACCCCACGAGTGGGTACACAGCTACTGCAACTGCTACTAATTTCTACGCATTCACGTATCTCTTGTTGTAGGATATACATAGAATCCATGACCATGCCCACGGCCATGTAGATGTAGTTTTCTGGTATTTCTAGCAATTTGTATTCTGTGACGATGATTTTTTTGGACGAAGACAGAGCCCTAAGTGTCATCAAATGAAGCGCAAAAAGTAGGTAGTAGAATTCATTCTCAATCTTATATGTGAGGCAACAGCAATGATCATGACGCTTTGTGCTTCACCACCGATCCAGACTGTCAATTGGCAGCCAGGCAGTAGCAATTTTCCAAATGGGCGAAGTCATCGCTTCAGCGATCACGATCTTTTAAGTCCGAGCGATCGAGTGAAGCGCCTGACAGGACAAGATAAGGCACCTCATCCGAATGCATCAGAAAACAGCCAAGCTGGCTCTGGACTGCAGCACGGTGCAGGCCTACTGCAAGCAGGAGCGGCAACTCCGTTTGTAGGGACCACGACCACATCTTCAATATTAGGTGGAGTCGTAGTGGACAACAGCGTTGGGAAGAAAAAGAAAATTGCAGATATGCATCTGGAAGTTTATCGCACTGTGCGGATGCCACTCATCTACGCGCGAGACAAGAACGGAGAGCTCATCCCGCTATGGCCTCCCACAGATGGCTTCAACGACGGAAAAGGGATTTTGATTCCGGAGGAACCGCCGGTCGTACTGGAAGGATCAGCTGGAGGAGGTGATCCAGATAATGCTATGGGGTCACAAAGACAGTCAATCGGAGGGGGAGCGCCAAGTAGAGGGTCCTCTACTAGAAGAAGCTCTTCAGCAGGAGTGGGCATGCTTGCACCTGTAGATCTTCACCTGCCAGAGGGTGTAGGTCATGCACCAGCGTTCTCAAAGCAAGGCGAGAAAACGAAATCGAAAAGCACAAGTTCCGATCTGCCGGACGAAATTCTAACCAATGAATGGCTAAAGAAAGACCTTTCACAATACGGAGGTGACAAACCCTCAGAAATATACGATGTCGAAGGAAAAGTTGCAGCGTCAAAGCAAAAGCAAGAAGCTTCCACTTCTGCAGGAGCGGGCCCACAGCACGAGTCAAGTACAGTTGACGTGCAAGAAAAGAAGGTGGATGAACCCGGCAAAGCGAGCAAGAATGCATCGTCTTCAGAACAAAACGAAACGAGTAAAGATCCTGGTGGCACTGGTACACCCAAAAAAATGACCGGTAGATGCTGCAGGGGTGGTCAGAAAAGAAACTGAAATTTGAAATGTGGTGCGACTGCGATTTCAATCAGAAATAGCTGACCTCTTCTAGTATAGCTACAGCTTGTCCTTTGTCCTGGCTATCAACAATTACAACGTATTTACTTGTTGCGGCGATGCAACGTTTTCAAGCATGAAGATCATGTAGTGGTTCTGTATTGAAATGAATCGTACAAGTTGAGAGAAAAAACGTACCTACTGCGTCGATCTACAGTAATGATTGAAGTGCATGATACATGGACGCAATGTTGCCGCCCGTCTGATCACGAAGGAAAGGTAAAGGGCGTGATAATAAGTTGAAATCAGTCCTTTGGGTGTTTGTTGGTCCTTCCTTGGATTAAACAGCAAAGCAGCGAAGCTCATCGGTTCTGAGTATTGAGAAGCAAAAGTTGTACCTGTGGGTGAGTGCACAAGCGAGACAAAGCAATTAGTCAGAGCGCTACCTCAGAGAAACAAAATAAACGAGAGATTGATAGAAGAGGAAGGTAGTACGTCATCGTTTTCATATGCTAAACTTGGACGAAGATTCCTGAGTGTCGCGTACGTTGTGGGTATCAAGACGACAACGGCTTTCTTGCTATTTTTACCCCAGAATTACTCTATTAAGTAATATAGATATTACATGTTCCAAATTTATTTTTGCCCGCGTGCACAGAAAAAACCTCGATCAGTGAGGAGAGTTTGAGTACGTTCTTCATCAAGTGAAACAAATTACAAGAACTAGTACAACTCGAAGACTACAACTCCTACGATTACCAACTTGCGCAGCGGTCATTCTTCATCTTCAGTCCGGGGTCGAGAATAAAGCTTGACCGCGAATGAGCAAGACTGGTAATATCAAAATGGCCAACATCAAGAGCAAAATGAAGACTAGCGGCATGATGCTTCCGGCATGCTGTGCTTATCTATTGGCCGGCGTCTTCTTGCTCAGTACAAGGTCCTTTGGTGAAGCGAGCGCCGCGAGCCCATCGGGAATCAGGAGAACTGAAAATCGCGCATTTTGGAATAAGATCACCTCCAAAAATGGGGCACCGTCAAAATCTGACAAGAAGCCGCTGACAGTAGAGAACCGGGAGCACATATTAGACGGGACGCTTAGCATGGCAGAGTCGCTTGCAGGAAAAGATGATGTACAAATAGAAGCTCAAGCTAACGAACTAATGCTTTTCTAACTTCTATTAACTTAGTTCAGCCATCACTCATCGTACAACCACTGTGAATCTCGAAGTTGAGTTCAATTGTGAAAGTCATTGAGAACGTGCATTTTTCACTGTCGTACTTTCACCTACACTCACAGGAGATTGCGAGGCTGTTGTTCGGTGCAGAGAGGCGTTTGCGCGAGGCGTCGCATACAGTTGCTCTGCATGTCGGAAGTGTAGACGCTACGGCGAGCGGGAACGCCGAGAAATTGCCAATCCACGAAGAAAAGCAGGAAAACTGGATTGTCAGCTCGCGTGCAAAACTACTAGAGCACGAAGATGAGTCGGTAAAGATTAGTGACCAAGCGTGGAGTTTGAGTTTGTCATCCAGCTACCTTCACCAGTTTGGCAAAGATGAAGTTACACTTACAGTTAGCAGCTCTCACGTCGTTGAATAAGTCTATGACTTCTAAAGCTAAACTGACATGGGGTTGTCTTGATCGTACATCTTTCTCTATGACTACAGACATTGCACCAAGATCGTGTTGCACGCATTTCGAAACTGGAGACGCTCATGGAGGGAGAAGTATCAGTCCTCGGTGACGTCCTGACCAACTGCCGAGTGGCTAGGGATCATGCCAGGGATATCATCATTATGAGCAGGATAACTGCGTGAGGGCCTGAACTAAACGTTGCTGATTTATCATCTTCAAGACTTTCTTCGTCTTTGTCTTACACTCACAGAACATGCACTTCTCACTAACTCACCGCGTAATAAATATCAGAGTGAGTAAACGTGCTTAGGCACCACTCGACTCAGGATCATCAACTACAGTAAGAACCTTCCTTTATGAAGACGTAATTGTAAACATTGATCACATACATAGATAGTACACATAAAGACTCTTACTCTTTCATGCGGCAGCGTGACATCTATCGACGCGCGGGCATCGGTTTGCCGGGAGCAAAATCGCAGGACCAGTCATCTACAACTGTCACTAGTTCAACAGGCAGTAACAAGCATCACGACGGTCATCAGCACGAGCACGTCGAGGAGCAGAAGACGGCAAAAGAAGCGATTGAGCTGGCGAAGCAATTGCAGGAAATGGCCACTGATATCCGCAGCGAATACATGCGCATGATCACAGGATTTGCAGCAGCAATAGTCCAGAATTTCCGACCAGACCCGAAGGCCACAGCGGAGCAGAGATTGCCGCTAGGTGTGATGGAGGGCGACTACACAACGCCGAGCGCGCACATCTCCCATAGCACGACAACTGGAGGCGGTGCAGGCCAAAATGTAGCATCAGCAAACAAGCAGGCTAAGAGTAATATTGCCGCGTCAAGCGCGAATCCAGAAAGCCCGCTTTGGGTCTAAAAACCTAATGAAAAATGATTTTGAAAACAACAGAATTAGAAGGGCTTCGTTTTAAATATCAATCATCACCATGTTTCCGTTTCGTTTCATGTCGTGCAAATGAGTTTTTGAACATATTATGTTTCGTTTAAATTTTAATTTTGAACAATTAATTTAAACCAGTATTACCATTATTAGCATCAATCTTAGCAATAGATCGATGTGAGGATGAGGAAGTACCAGAGCATTCGCATTGCATCATGCTCCCAAATGAACACCACCATGAAGTAGTCATTTACACATGCCTGTTCCCTGCACAGACAACTGCACTGCCGACACGACCTGCTTACTCTATTTAGTTAGCTGCGCGATGCCGATGGCCATGAGAATCACCATTTTCATTCCTCGTCTGAAATAGAGCGGAAGTAGAGGGTTGTTAATGTTAACCGACATTCGGAGATGGGGGACGCCAGGCGACAGCGAAGAAATTGAACTGGTTAGCTTACAAGCACAAAGAAGATATATGATGATGTTCAGGGGAGCTGACACGCACACGCTCAAAGAACGGCTTAGAAAGAAAGGAAAAGGCCAAACACTGTCGCTGCCAACATCACATCAAGACGGTCTTTTTTAGTATGATTGCCAGCGGCAAGACAACGAACTATCGGACGGCGACGGCTGTTCTAGGTACTTAATGAAATATGATCATAAGGCGCCAAAAAAGTCCTATGAGAACGATGGTAGATTTGAAAATGCTTTTATACATAGAGTAAAAGCGCCTTGAACTTCTTGATCAACATTGCTATAGACATGTGGTGTCGTTTCAGTAGAAGCAATCGTTTTTCTCTGTCGTTTTCACCGTGAGGACTGAACGACGAATAAAATGCCTGAGAATTCTAAGACAGCTAAGCGCACGAAGAAAGTCGCTGAGAAGCTTGGGCCGGGCGCGTCAACGACGATGAAAAAAATGGTGATTCGCATGACCGCTTGCGAACTACGGGCGGCCAAAAAAGCAAAGCGTCAAAGCGATAAGAAGCAGGTAAAAGGTGGAAGACGAGCATTATTAGGGCAAACAACGAAAATAAGAGCAGGTGTCGTTGAGCAAAGATTACTGTGGATCGCCGTCTTTTGAGACGATGAGCCAAGTACCGCGACAAGACTAGTTCTTGATGTGAAAGGGTGATCGTAATGAAAACTAGAGGGGATTGGAGATCATGTTGCTCTAGTACTTCTTGTGAATTCACTTCACTTTCATGTTCATTACGTGCTTCCTCGACGTCGAGTGAGTCTAGGTGGAGTAAACACAGCAGTAGCAAAGCGTCATCTTCAGCGGCCGCTTCATCCTTGGACGATTCGGACGAGGAAGATGCGCGTTTGAAATGGATCGCACTGGAGAGCAACCCTCTGGCTTTCACCAAATTCATGCACCAAATAGGAGCATCGAAGCAATTCGCAGTGCATGACGTCTTCGGCTTCGACTCTGACGGTTTCGCGCATCTTCCGGCTCCGGTGAAAGCGCTGATCCTCCTTTATCCAATCGCGAACGACGAGGGTGGGTCGCTCATGCCGACGGTAGGGAGACGGCGTAATTTTTTTCCTTTCTATTTTGTGTCAGGCCTCGTCAAACAGCACGTGCGCTGACTTGAGTAGGTGAAGCCGGTACCCAAGGAGACATCGCTTCCTACCTTGTTGATGTTCAGACAAACTGATAATGGAGTGAGGTAAGTAACGGGCTTCGGGTTGCCCGAGTTGCCACGGGATGCTCGAGCTGCTGAGGTGAAGGGTTTCCAACTCTGGAACGAGTTGCAACGAGTTGCCAGAAGAAGCCTGGCCCATCAAAATGGGCGAAGCGGGGCGTTGTGGGCGCAAAAGTGCTCGCTCGGCATGCGGGGGGCCGCCTTCGGGACCTACTCCGAAAAAGAAGGCGGGGGAGGCGCTGCCCCCTACTGGTACTGTTTGGGGTCGATATCGGCGCGCCGCTCCCCACTCAGTGGCGGATGGCAAGTGCTTCGCCCCCCCTGTGGTGCGGGTGCAGAGGTTCTAGTCGGGGCCGGGTTTTCGCCCCGCCGTGTTGCGGTGTGAGTGTGTGAGGAGTTCTCGCCGGGTTGGGTTTGTAGCTGGCTTACGGCTGAAGGATGCGGCGGCGACATTCGACAAAGAGGAAAACGCGGCGAAGGCTAATGTGGGGGCGGGTAGCGGTGGGCTTGGTTTCACACTAGTTCGCAGCTGGGTGGGCTGGTGTGGTACATGCCACACCCCCCAGGTCCTCCGCGTTGGGTTTTTTGCAATCATCTGACTGCCCTCGCTTGGTTGTCTTCCCGTTGTGAATGCCCCTCCTACCGGCCTGGTGGGGCGTTCTTGGCCTCTACTTCAACACCTCAGCAAGGGTGCGCCCGCAGGACCCAGCGAAAAAATTATCATGGGCAACCCGAGCAACCTGAGAAACTCGGCCCGATATGTTTCAAGGAAAACAGTAACTCTATGATAGTTCCAGCATTATCTAGCTACACAGTGTCAGTAGCGTGGCTTGTGCATATCCTTCCCAGGTGATGTAGTGCTCAGGAAGCAGAAGATAGCGGACTCTAACGCATGGCGGCAATGTCAAATATAGGTGTGAAAGTCGCAGACGAGGCTCCTTTCTTTCTGTGGCAAGGCAAAGAGCTTGGAAACGCATGTGGGGCCATAGCGCTGATTCATGCGATCGCGAATTGCGGCATACCAGTTCGCAAGAACTCGGTGCTGCAGAAATTTCTGGCGCAAGCTGGAGGCTTGACACCGGAGGAGCGCGGTCAGCTGCTCGAAAAGGACGAAGGACTGATGGAAAAAGCGGAAGAAGTAGCTTGCGATGAGGAGTGCAATCAGACGGATTGGTGTAATTGGGGCGATGAAGATGAATCCGAGGATGAGGACGGGAATGAAGAAGATGATGACCTGGATCCATCACTAGACACAGACTTTCACTTCGTTTGTTTTGTGGAGAAAGATTCTGTCATTTACGAGCTCGATGGGTGCAGAAACGCGCCGTTGAAAGTCGGAAAGTTGCCAGATGCAGGAGCAAGTGACACTGAATCAGGGAGGACAGAATCATCATTCGCATTTCCCATTGAATGCGGCAAGATCATTCGAAAACGCTTTATAGATCGCGCGCCAGAGTCAGTACAGTTCGCGACACTTGCTGTTGCTGGCAAGCAGAACAAGTAAGAGCAGCACGAACAGTCTCGTATCGCCGCTTCTCATATGAACATGTGTGACGAGCATGTCCGAGTCAAGATAATCGCCGTCCCTATTCTTGTTATTTGCGCACGAACTACCCGACGTTCTTTCTCGCTTTATGAGGTTGTTTTCACAGACAGAAACAGAATTGCGTGGAGAAAAACTGCAACGAGATGCAAAGAAGCCCAGGAGCCGAGAGGTGTTCGCGATTTCCAATCAGCTACTAATTGCTCATAGACACTACACAACTACAACTTTTTATCTGAGTTCTGGTAACCACAACCACTTGCCAATTGCTCTTGCGCGTCCTTTTCACTATGCCCTGCTTTTATCCTAAACCGCGCGCGCCCTGATCGCTGTTTCTATCGTTTTTGTCCACATGTACCACATAGACGCGGACCACGAGCATAGAAAGGAATCCTTCTTCTTTGTCGCTCCTGGGCACGCTAGGGCTAGAACTAGATGTATCGCTGTTTCTATCGTTTTTGTCCACATGTACCACATAGACGCGGACCACGAGACGCATAGTCCCAAAAGTGCTGGGAGGATAAATCTAGCATACCTTGGTGAATCGTCCTACGCCGCCAGGCATGATCAGTGCCAGGTGTAAAAAAGTGCCAATGGGGAGAAGATTGATCGAAATGGCTAAAACGGCGTTTGCCCAGTTCGCCTGGAGGGGATATTCCAGTTCGCCTGGAGAGGATATATTTCTTGCCGCATCTGCCCGTCCGTCGGAAAGCACAAAAGTTTGTTCTTGAACCAGCGGCCTAGGATACTGGCAATGTTGCCCAGGAGAGTGATGCACCAGACGAATGCATCCGCAAACTGGAGAGACGAACAGGTAATACCACCTCCGTCGTGCGCCAAGATCGCCGCGGTTGCGTGTTTGCACTGCGGCGTGAAAAGCAGAGCTGTCGCTGATATCGTCAGAAGTAAACTGCTAGATCCAGGATAATCCGTGACCGGAAATTCTCCGCGCCTGCGAGGTTACTGACAAGGACGTCGGCCTCATAGGTGTGTCGCTCTGCTTTGTTGTCATCTGGAGAGGAGTTGGCTCGACTCTCTCCTGGAGAGGCCGCACTACTGCGATGGTTGCCACAAGGAACATTGCGTTGTGTACTAAAAAATGACATGCTTTTGAGACAACGAAGTCTCCAAAATGGTAGCAGTCCTTATTTTCAATGATTGCATTTGTATTATTGTACAATCTTCAGCACAATTCTTTGCGTCAGCTTCAATTCTTAACCTTAAGTAAACTCCTTTAAGGATGCAGATTGAAACAAACACTGTCACGGGCATCCTCACCATACAGATCACGAGTGAACATGAGTTACACATGTCTTGCATGCCTGCTACAGACCCATGATCAGTTTTTTGCACATACACGCATGCATGGAATCGGAAGGAACCCCGCCAGCATTATTATGATGCACTTCTGTCTCGGAGACGGAGAATTAGATCGCATAATCCTATGTAAACCTATTGATCATGTAGAGAAGTCCTGTCGTAGATCCAGGAGCTACTTCGACAAAAGATGACCAAATCCATGATGGACGTGAGCTGTTGCTGTTAATTCATCCTTCATGTTCATTCCATCGAACTTCGACAGCAACCTCATTCGTCCGCAGTGGCGCCATTGTCCATGGGGGATTATAGCGATATTCTTCGTAGTATAATGGCTCGGCAATCGTGAAGCTGAAGTTCCGCGTCCCGTTTTTCTGTTCTTGTTTAAGGCTCGCTAACAGGCTATCGCGTTCTTGCTCAAATGCGTCTCTTCCCCATCCTCCCGAAAACGTCCGCACAGCAAAAACTTTCGCCGGCCGATCTATCACGTGCACGCCTTGTGCAGCCAAAGCTGGCGCTGGAGCTGGTGCGGGAGACGTCGGCGCTGATTTGTCTTCGGGCAGGATGAATTGCATCTCTGAGCGGCCGTGTCTGGTGACGACGGGCGCCGTCATCGCGATGGGCGCGTTTTCCACGTTCTGTGGTGCTCCCATCACTCCGATGTAAGAGGCCAACTTCATAAAGAATCGACCTCGTTCAGACGCATCGTTCTCGGTCCCCACGGACGACGACGTGCTCGCTCGCGTCGGGGATCGGCAGGAAACGGCCACGCGGGCAGCGTAAGAGCGAATCTCGAATGAATTGTCAGGATCCTTGTACAACAATGTGTACGAGGGTGTCTCCTCGGACACCACACCGAAAACCGAGCCCATGTTGTTCTTAGCGAGCTAATAATGAAGCCTACATTTATTCTATAGATACCCAATTTCCACATTCTTCTTCTACTTCTTGTATGACAATAGAAGCCAGTTTCAGGAGGGTGTACTAGTAGCTGAAGCTGAGAACAACGGTTCTATACTCCTGATGCCTACTGCCTTATAAAAAAATTCTTTGGAATCGGCCAACGAGCTAAGTACATCTGCATTCTTGATTTCAGGTTTTTTTTAACAAGACTGCACCCGCTTTTGGTCCTTCATGTTCATCCATTCACTATTTCCTTGCTTTCTATTCACCTTGGCAGATTGTGCTGCTCACTTTCTTTACTTTATTCAATTCTCTGCCACATGTAGTCGTGTACACCAAGCTTCCCCTACCCTGCATGCCGAGGCCAAGGGCATCACCTCGGAGATACTTCAGAATCATGGATCGTCTCAGTGGCACGTCCGCGTCGTGACCACGTCATTCGGCTTTGGCGTCACTTGCAACATGCTAATCTGGTGTAGGCAAGCTTTACTGATCACGAAGATGCACAACGACCATAGTGCTGTACAGTGATGTATAATTTAGGTCGGCCTCGAGCTCGATACTTCTGGACGAAAAGGTAAGTCAGTAACCAGTGTCAATCGCGTCTCGAGTTAGGGTCTGCAGCTTGTTCAAGTTGGTTGGACAAGTTGGATTTGCTACGGAGGTACGTATCTGGTTGCCGCCACTGTTTCTGTTCCAGGAGTCTCCGCTTCCTGCTTTCTTAGAAATTCTAATTCACAAAAAGTAAAAGAGACGAGACCTCTGCTAGTAATGCATGCAAGCACAAAATAAATCAGTCGTACAGCTAGATGTTGTATGAACTACTAACTGTCTAGGCATAACTTGAAAACCACGTGGTTGAAGTGGTCGTGGTTGATGCTGAGTTGCTGGTCGAATTCCATGACGTCAACGAATTTAGCATCGTTCCGGATTTAGCATTAAGGGTGATCCGGATTCACGTATCTGCACGCTTCACAAACGCAACCCCGAAGCGTCCGTCGCCTGAACAGACACTGTGATAAAAAGGACTCCATTCAGTCCCCCGTTGTTTAGGATTGGGTGCAAAGGGCTATCTTCGGTAATGAGGTGTCGAATCGTAAGCGGCGCTGCTACCTCCCACATAGGCCACCCGACAATGCCACCGGACAGGGGGAGATTTATGCGCATCCCTGCGCGGTAACATGCAAGCTTCACCTCCGGGGCGATTAGTGCCACTGTAGGCCGAATGATCTTGCAGCGAATGATCAGGGCTTCCTTATTGACAACACAGTGGTGGACGAAACATATTTCTTGTGTGGGCCGCATAGCGCGATGGACGACAACAGCGGTCGCTATAGTGACCAACAGCCAGTGCGCCCAGTTAGAGCTTAGCCAAAAGAGAATTGATCATTCTGAGGAAGAGGAAACTATTAGAGCCTCCTCGCGATCTCGGTCTCGAAGTCCAGGTCGATTTTAAAACCGCAATAGTGAGGTATACCGAGGACGCTTCACAGTCTATAGTTCTAGATCGAGTAGGACTGTGTAGAAGAAGACTTGCTGATGCTGTCAATAGATACTAAGAAATAAAACAAGTTAACAAGCCGTGCAAATTATTCTCCTACGAAGATTGATGATCTTCGCAAGAATCGAACCATTCGTAAACCAGCTGAGTACTACCAGAAGTAGCGCCATCCGCAACGGATACACGGTGTGTGGCTTTGTCGAAGAAATTGCTGCTGTCAACGCCTATGTTGTCCGGAATGTTTCCAAAGACCGACGTCAGTTAAAGGCGACAAGCATCAGAGAATCAAAGCTCTCTTCCCGTTCTGTGTCATTCTCTGCGGCGATCGACGCACGTCCTGCTATCAGCACGAGAAAAATTAGAGCAGCCATCGTCCAATTCGAAGGCCCATCTTGGTGACCTCCAAGAGAAAGCTCTTGGTCGTGTCCCTTGTCCCTTTGAGACTCATTCTAGTCAAAGACACCCGTCTTGCTCTTGACAAGACGAGCATGCAGATGATTGTTTTCTTTGTTGTAGAAGCCTCAACAGCGAGAAGACGAGAATGAGGAGAATTTCGAGCGTCAGCTCCAGTATCAGTAGGAAGCGCCAGCTCCATTCTTTCGTTAACACGTGCCACAACTCGTAGGCTCTGCCTGGAGAATACTGCGGTAACGAGATGCCCTTTTCCGAGAAGTAAGAGGCATCCAAGCCATTCTCGACCGTGGTCAAGCCACTCGGTTTATGTTGCCCATTCCGACAAAAAGCACGACACTCATCCGAAACGGGCAAACTAATTTTGTTTTCAATCTCGCCTACATCACAGAAATAACAGCATATCCAATGCACTCGCTCCCTCACCTTGAGCGAAGATACTTTCAGCAGGACAATCGTTGAAACAGCGCGGTTCTAGGCTTCGTAATTTCGCACCTGGCAGACGCAGTTCCGATCCACTCGCAGCGCGCACAAATCTCCTTGTGCTCCTTCTTGCAAGGCTATCTCGAAGTGAAGAACACACAGTAATCCACGTTTGCGCAGTGGCTGATTGATACTTATTCTCACATTCATAGTTCGTTGTGCACGACGGCAGAACCAGAAGTATTATTCAGAAATATGAGTACCTTCTTGGTAGGTGAATATACAAATGGTAACTTACATCCCTTCCAACTACTACGAGGAAGAGGATTAGAGAGAGCGGCAATGTTATTTTGTGCGAAAATTGTGTTCCTGTTCCTGTGCACTTTGACTTTCTGTTTCTGTTCAACATCAACATCAAGCTGGACCTCATCAATCGTCCTTTTTCCCAATCGCCCTGTCTGACTTTTTCGGCACCTGGGTCATTTGGATCGATGACGAAATCCGACTGAATCGCTGCGACGCTCGCTGAGAAATCCTTTGAACTTCCGCGTGCGCGTCAGCTATTTCGCCCTTTACCAGACCAGCCAATTCTCCGCTGAGCCGATACCCACCGTGCGGGACAACCGCCGCGCCGGCAACTGTCGTGGCGTGTAGTTCCTTGGTGTGCGTTCCGCGCGCGTCGTCGACCGACCGCGGGAGCCACTTGATGAGAGATGTCACTTGCATGACGGTGATGAGCAAAGTGAACATTGACATCAGGATGAGGATCGCAACGAAAATCAGGGTAATCCGTACTGAAATGCTGTCCGCTGTCTCCGCATATATCTGGGGCATAAGGACACACAGTCCGTAGTACCACCAGCAGAACCCGCGAACGACCGAAACACGGGCAAATTCCACGAGGCAGGTGCATTAATTTGAAAGCGAACAGACTCCAGAACGTACAGTTTTTCGTCTCAAAGCCCGACTTGAAAATGCTCACAAAACCGGACACCCCGCTGATGAAGAGCATACAGAAGCAGGTGATCTGCAGCTCGAACTTGCTAAGAAAAAAGATGTTTTTCGACAGAAACGGCATCAAGCAGACCGCCATTAAGTGGTGCATGCAGCAGAAAATTAGGATTTCGGGCGAAGCGGTAGCGGGAACACTCCAGATCGTCGCAAGCCGGAAGATTAACCCACTCCGTTTTTCTTTTCCAAAAGGTGTTTTCGTCAACACTACACGCAAAAACGTCTGTCCCATGTCGTAAATGTCAAAGGCCACGTCAAAAAGCAGAAATAGTTATAGTTTGTGCCTATTAGCCATCAGGAACTGGTGTTGGAGAGCTTTGATGTCCAGAATGTGCTGTAAACTCGGTAAAAACGCAAATTTCGCGATCTCTTCTGCTGTAGAGCTGGTCAAATACACGTTTGTATTTCATCCAAACAACATGACGGGAAATAACAAACTCCGAGTCACCAAGTGGTTGCTAAACGCTGGAGCACCGCACGCGATGACAACCGTGAGCTTCCTATCATCCAAAGGCCTCCCCCACTCTTTCAATTTTTCATCGCTACCCGCCATCTTGCTCCAAATATGCAAGTTCCCCTTTTTCACAGACGGCCACGCGCTCCATTTTCGAAGCAAATGCCCGAGAATTGGAGCGGAGGTCTCCTGCCAAACGCCATGGATGACGAGCAGGAGAAAGTCGGTACTTAGAAAGAAGCTCCAAAAGGAAAACATGGCTTACTTCTGGAATCGGCTCACTCGGCTCAAAAAATCGGCTCACTCGAGGAAAACATGGCTTCGATCTTCTTGCTGGAGCAGAGGGTGGAAGTGGATAAAAATGCAGTATGACGACTAGAAGTTAGTAGTTTACTTTTCAATCTGACAATAAAATGGTCCTCATCTGCTGGAATCAACGCAAGTAGTTGGTCCTTATCTGCTGAAATCAACGCAAGTAGTTGTATTTGACGGACAATTTTCTTCTTGATATGCTAGAATAAGTGCGAACTGCAGATAATTGGGCAGCAGGGTGAATGATGATGATAACAAAAGATAGTTAAGAACTTTCGTCAATGAGCTCCTCAAGTACCATCAGATCCAGTGTTCATTTCAAAGTACAGGTTCGAAAAATAACACAGGGAGACAAAGACTTGCCATATTGGTAGAAGTACTAGTAGAGTGAAGTAGAAAGTACAAAGGGTTTCATGGGTCAGGACAAACAATCAAGGATGCGCGAAGCAAAGGCAAACTGTCAATCCGAGTTTTCACACGACATCTTTAGCATCTTCTGGTTCTGTGTCCAGCATCATCATCGACGATTCGTGACTAGGCCGACGTGGTTTGTCGGTAAATTTAATGAAACGTGATGATTGTGTTAAAACTCGCTGGAGGTGTGTCTTTCCTTAAGTCGGGGAACTGGAAGCAAGTAGACGTCCAGGACTCATCCAATACCAAAATCACCTCACGCAGACTTCTTTCCATTCCCCATGATCTGCTCAACAGATTGCACCGAATTTCAATTTCTCCTTTTGTCTCTCTTGGTCTATGCTCGACAGATGGCCTTTGTCGCCTCACTTTCTCTCCAGACAACGGATTGCTTCTTGCTGAATGAGTCTCAGTCTCATTCTCTTCACTATTTACCAGGCTATAAACACTTGATTGCGAAATGCTACACGCTTTGTAGAAGCCTGCAAGCGACAACAAGTGTTTCTCCTAGGTCCAGGTGTGATGTTTCTTGATGAATTACAATCATTTTGAGAGTATCTCGAACCCTTCTACTACTAGGTAAGGGTCTATGTCATAAATATGAACGACAGCCATACTACTTGTAACTAGTGCTAGTACTACTAACTTGCAATTGCAAGAATGTGAGGGACAGCCATTTCTTGCAGATCACGACAGTCTGCATAGGTATCACCTGTACCCTAACAGATGCAGATGCTGCATCATGTTGTTGATCCACTTCAAGAGACAACCTCAGCATTGAAGATCACTTCATCCGGACAAAGACTTTTTCTTTTGAGGTCTGACTCACTGTATTAGACACTGTCAGAGATTAACCCAAACGCAAACACTTCCTTTTCATCATGTACAAACTCCTGCTCGAGCTCAAGACAATAAAAATGAGATCGTAACGCTTTCATTCTGCATCGATAGATTCGGCCTTTATTTTTCGACAACTCTTTGGTTTTTTACATCTAGTGATGCATTTCTATTTGCATCTTCCGTCTCTCCGCCCTCGGGATACATAGCGACGCGTTCAGCTTCCAATCAGGACGGTGGTAAGTATTTTCCGCTTGAGATCGAACGAGCGCACACAGTTGTCTGCGCACGTGATCAGCAGAAAGTGTGGCGAGAAAAACTGCAGGTCGTACGGCGTGTCTAGCGTGTTCCTTCCGCATCCACGCGAACCATTGCCCACGACTGTAGATATGAAGCCAGTACTCAAATTGATACGACGTACGCGATTGTTTCCCGCGTCGGCAACGTAAATGAAACCTCGCGCCGAGTCGATGGCGAGCCCAAGAGGCTGATTCAACCGGCAAATGTCCAGTGGACCTTGACTTAGACGCGGCAAGGACATATTTATTCACAAGTAGCGAATCTTGGTCTTCTTCATCTTCAACGACTTAGAATACTTAAGTAGATAGAAAATTTACGAAGTACATCACGGCTATGATAACCTCTTCGTCTTTTTATTTAGCCACAACTGCCACCTCAAGTAATTAGAAATCTCCAAAAAGTGCATCTCTCCGCTTGCATAAATCTAGAAAGCCACATTTGCCACACCCCGCGATGCGATCCTTTGTTTGTCGCTCGTGGTTCACCACGAAAACTTGATGGCTGATTGAGTCCGCCAGAAGACACCGCCGGGAGTCCACTGCAATAGCGTGAAACCGAGGAAACGTCTTTTCGTCAGTTTTCCACCATTTCTTCGGCGGACTTACTTTCAGCACCCACGGCGCCCCAGACAAACCGACGAAAAGGCTTAGCCGAGGTGGATTCACTAAAGCATAGTCTGTGCACGGTCCAGATCCAGTGGCAGATGGAAGACCCAGTTGACTGGCACGGTTCTGTACACTTAAGCTACCGGCGATCGTTGAAGAACCACGATGTTGTTGTTGAGAACCACTGCTAGAAAGATAGTTTCCAGGAGTCGATGTTGGACCATAAGCATCTCTGAGAGTGGCTGCCGCACCCGTACTAGCAGTTGTCCCTCCTCCGACATCGGCAGAGCTTCGTGCATGTGGCTGAAACACATCGTCGCGTTCTTCTCTGTGGTCTCGCTGATTTCTGTTCCCGTCTCTCAGTGTGGACTTCAAGTTATGCCCGTACTTCGTTCGCCCACGAATATTGATTAACGCACTTCCCCGTCTTGACATGAGCGCCATTCCCGCACCTCCAGCCGGCGACCCATGTTGTAGTTGACATTGCATGGTTGGTCCAGCTCCAGTTCCGGGTCTAAGAAGCTTGTTTGAAGGCGACTTTGTGTGATCAAGTAAGTCCACTCCAGGAAAGAATTCATGCAGGTCCTCTTGCAGTGCTCGCTGGTACTCGAGCTCCTCCTCAGTTTTTTCTAGATCCACTTGTAGCTCCTCAATATCTGCTTTGTTCTGTCTAGACGGAGTTGGTGCCGCCTGTGCTACAGCTCCCATGCACTGGTCTTCTCCAAGAACTTCGTTAGGCGATACTCCTGCTTGGTCCTCGTTCGAAGACAGAAAAGAGTGGTCGCCGCTCGGATCGCGGTGTAGAAGATTGAGCGACTTTGAGAAAGGGCTATCAGATTTGAGCAGCAGATGCGAAGCCTGCTGCGCTCGCACTGCCGTTGCACCAACTATCGCCCTTGTGGGGGCGAAGAACTCCCGAGAAGATCCGTAATGCGAGAAAGGATCTACCTGCGCTTGCGCCGGTGGCAGTGCTTGCTGCTTGCTGAGGATTTGCTTCGTTCCCGGCCCAGCTAGGAGGGGCTGTGAGTACGAGACGCGCGCGCTTCCCTGTCGGCTTTGCTGTCCGCTCCCTACTGTCGATGCATTTGCAGTGCTCACGTAGCCAGTTCCTCGCGCGCCACCAGAGGGCCCGGCTATTCCTCCACCGCTGTTGTAGACGGGATGCTGGTCACTGAGCACTGTCGCAAACTTGTTGTGATCGCTACCGTTGGGATCCTGCGGTAGGTCCTGAAATGCAAGACACAGTGGCGCGCCCTGGCTATTCATCATATTCGCGCCACTGAGAATAGGGCCACCGGTAAAAAGAAAGTTTCGTGATAAGTTCGAAGAAGCGCAAGCGAGACGGAGACAATGAGGATTGTCAACGTTATCAGAGGACATGTTGAACATATGATCATGTGTCTAACACCTAAAGACGGACTTCAGAAACAAACGATGCTTGACGTACTTGTTATTCTTAGTTAGAAAGCTTATCATAGAAGACGAGGATCCGTTCCGAGTGCTCGCGCCGCCCCTACCGCCACCGCCTCCTAGCTGATCAATGACCTCGTTCAGACTGAGAGGTACTTTCTGCCATGCTTTCCCTGCGGTGGATCCAAATTTGTTGAGCTTCCCACCTCCGCCGCCGCTCTTTATGCTTTTCGCATGATAGGAGCTTGGCTCGTCTGCGTCAGAAACACTGGAGGCTACAGAAACTCGGAATTGCGAACCGCTCACCGTTGAAGAGGATCCGCTAGAGGAGTCCTGGTGGCTTGATGCAGCGGCCGCGCTCATTTGGTACAAAGCAGGGTGCAAGGTTGCGCCGGGGACCAAGGACCTGAGCGCAGCTGGGATTTCTGGCGCTGCGCTAGGGCGTTTCTGCTGCAGCGCGATCTCACCACTGGCGCGCGGCTTCGCTACCGTGCCAGTACGAGAGGGATCGAACAGCGTGTTGCCAAATGTACTAGTCAGAAGAGTCGGCGGACCGGTCGTTCCACCAGTTGCGTTGCTACTTGCCGACGGACTCGGTGAAACGCTAAACCCCGCTGCGCTGCCTCCACTAGGAGAGGGCGCCACATGCTGCCCAATCATCAGCGGCGGAGGCGGGCCACCGCTTGTGGCGAAGTTGAATGCATGTCCTTGCGGATAGTGATTTGTCATGTTGTTGGGGTTGAAACCAGGCAAGTTCGGCGCATTCAATATCGTTGGATCAGAAAAGCTGCCACGGCGCAACATTTCAGTTACCGACGAAGTTACCGGTGCACCACGGTCAACAACGTTCTTATTTGGATCAGTGATTCCTGATCCAGAAGAAGGGTCCGCAGCTGATAACGGAACACCCACAGCGGCTGATGCAGATGACGATGCCGTTTGCTGGAAGACGGTTTCGACTGTTGCCACGGTCTCGTCCGCAGCTGGACCCCGAAGATCACCACTGCCCCCAGCTGCCCCGCTGGCCAGTCCCGCGCCCGTGCTATCCGAAGACGAAGAGCCTCCGTCGCCGTCCGCGGCATCTTCAGCTATATTAATATTCGCTTTGGTCTTAGATGAGCTGCCAGGTGTGCGCCAGTTTGCATCAAGAAATGAGCCGCTGCGTGGTTGTTCTGCATCCGAACGGCCTTTGTTTTTTGGCTGTAGGTTGCTTGTGACACGATTGGATCCTCTGCGGATGGCCGCCATCTTCGCGGATGCCGTTGCTCCGAGCTGCGACGGCGCGAAACTTCCCTGCTCCGGCTGGTGCGCCGTCAATCCGCTGGCACGCCGTTCAGCGGTCCCTCCCACACTGTTACCAAGCAATGGCAACGCGCCCAGCGAATCCGACTTACCCTTCTCCGGTTCATTCATTTGATCTTGTTCGGTATGTCTGAGGTTAAGAGCGCCGTCTTGCGCGGCGCTTACCGCTCCTGCGGCTCTCACAACTGCGCCATCAGTAGCCGACGGAGACTCTCCGTTCATCTCTGCTGAACCAAGTGCGTTGAAAGTAGTGTTGCTGTATTGCGCCAGGACTTCAGTTTGCTTCTGCAAATTTTGAAACGATACGGTTCCCAGTGCAGAGCCGTTGTCGCCCTGCACTGTTTCCACTTGCACACTGCAAATCTTGAGAATATTGCACATGTGAATGGTGTCCGAGTCCAGAGCATACAAAAATCCGGAGTCGCTAACAACCAGCTTGAGCGGTCCGTTCGGCTCGAAATCCATTACAGTGTCGACCGCAGTCGTCTTCAGGTTGATACAGCGAACCGCGTTGTTCCAATGATCTGCAACGAAGACACTGTTTCGAATCGCGCACAGACCTGGTGATCATACTGCGCGTTGTGTGGGTATGGTGAACAAGAGTGTGACAAGTATCTATAAGAATAAAGCAGGATGAGATTTGGAAGCAGAATGGCCGCTTTCCATAGCTTGACTTCATTTATTATGCGAAACCCGGACACCGTTCAGAGCGAAAGGATGTGAAGCGCAAAGATATGCAAAGGAGCTGTAGAAAAACCTAGCTGTAGAAAAACCTCTCAACTGTGAGAATCTTGCGTCACTGCCCTTACTTGCGTCCTTGTAACCGTACTCGGATATGTTTCCAGCCACAAGAGACATTTCTAAGGTCCCGGAACGTTTTATGAGGAAGACGCTGTGATCACACGCGATCGCGAGGTCCGGTAGTTTGTCGTAGCTCGCTGCATTTGAGAGTTCCCGCAAGGAGTCAATCACCGTGCCACTATCGTAACCGCGTTCCATCAAGTTCAGACTTGTGCGTCGCGTCGTGGTCATGCTGTCGCTTGTATACGCGCGGCTAGTTCGACGACTCGTGCGCGCAGAACTCTTTCCTGAAGCTAAAATGCCATCGTCCGCAAGACTAAACCTAGCCGATCGCCTGCGCAAATCCGACAATAATCTTCGTTTTTGCATGTTGGCAAGGTAATCTTCGCCCTCACGGAGTTCTTCGAGCTCGATTTCCGCAGAATCCTCTTCCTGAATCCCCTCCAGTCGTGGCTTGCCACCGTCCTCGGCCTCGTCGTCAGAACCTCCTGCTCCTTTTCGTTAGATAGAGACGGTTTTCGAAGTTCGTGTCCGTTTCCTAGACTTATTAAATCGATATAGTTAATTTTAATACCACCTAGGAGTAGCGAAGCCGATAAATTAATGTTTATAGCTAGCCCAAGGACAACCCACAAACAACCACCATAGGGAAAAAAAATCCAAAAATGACCCCAAGCCTCAGTCTCCTAGCTGCCTACTCGACAGCATACCTGCAGAAAGACTAGTGACTTGGCTCTATTGGTATATTTTTTTGTTTGAAGAAATAGAAAGATCTTGGTCTTCTTCGGTTCAAAACATAAGTATTTATAGCTAGCTAGTAGTTTCTGCAGTTGACATTCACTTTCCGATGTACTGTCTTCATAATTGTTATGTCCTCCGCCCCCGTCATCGTCTGATTTTGCGCTCCCGTCGTCGCTCTCTAGCCCATCCTCATATTCGAAATCACCGTGGACCACACAAAGATCCACCGGGTTTGAGAGACCGATGTAATCAACGCTTTGAACCGTGAGTGTCTGCACGAGGCCTGAAACAAGGTCGATAGCTCGGATCGCATCGTTTCGAGTATCAGCAACGTAGAGCTGCTCCGTGCGGCGGCAAACACACAAACCGTTTGGGCCATTAAACTGCGCTGCGTTCACACGAGGACCGTCTCGAAAACCAGGACACTGTAACTTGCCGGCATAAAGCTCTAGCTGTCCACCGTCACGGTATAAGCCAGAAAATGAAAAACAGGAAGGAGCGCAGATTGTATGGCTGTCTTCACAACTCTCTACCTCCCCTCTCACGAAGTCACTAGCAAAACATTTATGTGTAGACATACTCCTGGAAGGTTAAGATTGTCTACTTATATAAATATAAGAGCGAGAGCCCATAGTACAAACTATTTATATTTTTACAACTACAGTAACTTTCTAATATTAATCGCCTCTATGTTGATCATCGCGCCATACTCCCACACTGCTCCGCAGTCCGTGCTGATTGGTAGATCCAGGCATGCGCAGACGAAAAATCGCATGAGACATCGAATCCGCGATGAAGAGGTCGCTATCGTAGAGCGCTAAGCCATTAGCGGCTTTTATGCGCACCGGCCCAGCTATCGGAAGGTCGACGGCCCAACTGGTTTCTGCTATTCTGTAGAAGGTGTGGCTTCTCACACCCCCCTACAATTACCAGATGATCACCATGCAGCTGACGCTTTTCTTAACATTTTACATTTAGTACATGCACAACTAAGTACAATTTGTCCATCTCGTCCATGGTGAAGATCAGGTTTGTAGTGTGTTTCAGGGAGATGTCAAGAGCTACAAGTAGATACGTGCTGATTCATATTGTAGTAGGTGATCGAGGATTGCATCCAAACTCTGCGCAAGTTCGAGATTCGTCATTTCCTGCAACATGCATTCAAAAATTTCCTGCGTGACACACAGGCGCGCGTCCAAGATTTCCGACAGCTCCTCACACAGGTTTTGCAGCTGGTGAAATCTGGTAATATCGAATGTTGAAGGACGATGTTTTACAGGACCTCCGAGAAAAATAGTGGTCACTATACAACAACTCCGAGAATAGTCGGGCAGGATGTCAGAAAACAAGTCGAAAAGCAAGAAGAGGTGATCAAATTTTTGCACCAAAACCAGAAGCACCTATGGCCATATGGAACACAAACAAGTAATGTTCGATCTCAAAATTCATCCTCCACTTGTTAGTACGGAATGCTTGGTCCATCTGCACAGCCATTATTGATTTCGTCGGTGGTGTAGAAGTAGAGATTAGGTTTCGCCGCATCTTCGAGTAAGAAAAGTTGCTTAGATCGATCTAGTTTTTCAATACTGGCTCACCGCGCGGTGACGTCGTTGAGATATAGATACCGGCACGAGCTAGTATGAAACCAAGCTGAAATGAACGCACCTTACAACAGTTCGTAGGCACGTTAAAAATCTGTCGTGCAGTACTTAAAAAACTAGCCTTAAGTTGAGCAACATCATGCTGGAGGACGCCGGTCTCCGGGTCTGCCTGATCCAGGGCTAGCTCGTAGAGGCGGGCAACCAGTTGGGACCTTCGTAAATCGAACGGGAAATCACGCTCCGTCTCTTGTTCGCGCTGCAAAGTCAGCAGTGGCAAAATGGCTGCGCATGAAGTCGCGTCACCCTCACCGCTTTGTCCCACGTGCTGACTATGTTGATGCGGAGGCTGTAGTAGGTCACAACGCTCTTCACCGGCAGGTGTCTTACCAGCTGGGCCCTCGTCCCGTGTTCGTTTTAGTTGTACTTTTGTGGGCACGCCTCCAACATTATCTATATTTTTTCCAGAAGATTCCGGGTTGTAGACCTCCACATTGTTTTCATCGTTCTTTTTCAAAGATTTTTCATGAGTTGCTTCGGCTGGCGTGAGATCGTTATTGGTGCTGCCATCGAGGGCTCCCACAGTCGGCGTATCGCTTTGTTGGTTCGTGATGCTAGTGTCTGTATTTGTTAGTGAAAGAAAAATATCATCAACGCGCGCCCGAGGCAAAAGTTTGCGAGACTTGTTGGAGGTAGACATGGTTGTAGCTTTCTCTGATTAACGTGGTCCACTGAAAATAGTATCGTCATTGTGGTGGAGTTGACATATCATCCGAGTTGTGCGTTCTTTATGCCACTGAAGAGACACTCACCATTTCCGATGTCTCACAGAAGTAGCGCTCGCATAGAGGAAGGAGCTCACCGATCTCACATATTGAGTTAGCCTTAGATTTCTTGTAATTAGAGGTAGACATCAAGGAGCAGCTGCTAATGCTGAAAGTTCAAGTTATTTATATAAATATAATATAGTGATCCGCTGAAAATTCAAAATGTCACTCCCGGGTCTGCATCGAAAAGAAAACCTACAGAGTCACCTTTTCAGAATCGAAAGTGTGGAAGATCGTCGTGAGAGACGTTAGGCCAAAGAAATATGAATACTCAAATACGTCTTTTGCAATAAGATTCTTATAATATTCTTTGATGGAGAGTGTGTGTGTGTAAGTATGTATGGAAGCGGACTCGTCAACACGTGAAGCCTTGCACGGTACTGCCTTGCAGCTTCAGACGTCGCCCGTGTTCAGTCTCCGGGGGAACTTGAGGCCGGGCCGGGGGCCATGCCGTCACGCGCGCGCGCGTGTTCCAGACTAGCGGGGTTAAAACTCCAGCAGCGGAGCCGGCAGCCGGTGTTCATCAGAGAAGCTCCGCTTCAAGTGACCCGGTCCGCCTTGGCCTCCTCAACTCAGCTACCAGAGCGGAGCGATCGGAGCCCAGAGGGTAAGTTTTGTCGTGTCGTCTGCCCGCCTGGGACTAAGCAGCATGCACTGGCGCCTGGTGCGCGGTTCCGTGGCTGGGGTCCAGGTCCACCCTCTACAACTACGTCTACGACCGCAACCGAGGAGGCAAAGGCGAAGAAAGCAAGAAGGTGGAGGGGGCGGGCAGATTCATGCCTATGAGGGCGAGGCGAGCCACCAGGCCACGCACACTAGCACTACACGAGAAAGGGCGAGAAGGCAACCACACCAAGGCAGCCAACAAGCCCGCCGAGTCCCCTCACGGCGTCGCAGCCATGGCCCTGCCCGTACCCGTTTGCCTTTCGCTGGAAGAAACCGAGACGGCGCCGGCCCGCCGAGGCTGTGGGGCTCTCCTCACCTTGAAGTTGGACACACAGAAGACAAAAAGCACGGCAACCAACGCGCCCCCCGCTCCTGCTGTGCCGTTGGCGGTTCATCTCATCAGGAGAGCGAAAGCCCTGGCACACAACGGAGGAGGGCGTCCCGGGCTGGCCGTCTCTCTTTCGTTCTCTTGTATCACCGGAGGGCTAACCATCAGCCACGCCAGTAGGCGCTGCCCTTGTATCTCCCTAGTTAGTAAGCACAGCAAGGGGCTCCACGCGTCCCAGCCTCCTCCGTAATGCTGCGCACCAATCGCGGCACACCTCTCGCAAAGCGTTGTGGCGCCTCATTGTGTCCCGCCTGGGGCCAAGCGCGTAAATAATGCCCGCGCTCCCTCTCAGAGGTGGCGGCATCTCGTCCCACCAGGGACGGGCTTTTGTCCTCTCAGAGGTACTTGTCTCCCTTCCCACCAGGGGCGAATTTGATGGAAAATGGTTTGGATAAAGAGATGGCCAACCTGTGAAACAGCTACGTATTCACCTTTCAATGATTTAAGATTTTTTAAACCATACCTTGATGTTGTATTCTTTTTGGAGTCTAAATTGTAGTGTGAGTAGCGACCTAACAGTACTCGAGAGGGATTTGATGTTGCACGCCAGAGCCTTCGCCACCTCTTATTTTTTTGTAATCTTCAGTATCGTCATCGAAGCTAAAAACAGTGCAAGACTGGATGTTTGAAGTCTAAAAGTAATAGAATAACTTATAGGGGTTCCAGATCCGGGATGGGATGGATCGGATGGACTTCCCACCCTTTCAAGTAGGACCGGAAGACTCAGGGGGGCCCATCCGATCCATCCAAGTCCATCCTACATCCGTTCTACAAATTATTCTAAAATAAAATTAGAAAATGGATGATAAAAATCGTTAATGGCAGCCGTTCAGTATTCTTCTGAACAATTCGCGGCTTAGCAAGAACAGAACGCTCTTGCTCATACAACAGATTTTCACACAAGTACTTACTTCTTCGGCCACTGCAGCTGTGTTGCATGACAAAGAGATACACTGTTGAGTTCTATCATTGATATTTCCTAATATTTGATCATGATGCTTCGCCTCCGCATCTGCTAATCGCCAGACACGATTCTTGGACCATTTCTTCTACTTTATTTGCATCTATGATGAATGCCTTTACCTAGTAATAAGTAATTCCTATGCATATGAACCTCCTGACATGATGGTTTCCTAAACATCAATTTCAATCACAACAAAGAAAATAACTTACATACGATGACCTTCTCGTCCATAATCAAAAATCATTCTGAGGGGAAACGCTCGCATTTCCTCAAAAATGATTATGAGGGGAAAATCAATCACAGGAACATCCTAGGTACAGGTAGATAGTTGTGAATGAGTATGAATATAAAAAAAAGGGCCGCAAAAGGAACTCTACGTATAGTAGAGTTAGGAACTTCGTGGCCCGTCACGGGTCGAGTTTCTCGGCCTCGGGTTGCTCGAGTTGCTCACCGTAATTTTTTGCGCGGCGCCCTTCGGGCGCAGCAGTGTGAGACTCTGAGACACCTTAGCAGGAGCGCACGACACTCCACGCCATGCCTCCGATCCCTGGTTTTCTTCTTAATGCACACCAGAGACGAGGGAGGGACCGCCTTCAGCTCGGGAACTCCTCCCAGCCACTTGATCAAACACGCAAGGCATCCGATCCGCCACGTGCCCTAGTCTACTTACTTCCTAGGCTGAGCGTGCCGCTCTCCAAAGCAGACGGGAGACCACTCTCAGCCCCGAAAGAGACTCACTGGCCACACACACATCCGAAGAAAAAAGGGAGAGATTGGCACCGACCCAGCGACAAGCTGCAGCGCCACTCTCTTCCCTCAAGCAAAAACATGAACGAGGCGAAGCCGTCGGCCCCCTTAATGCCTGCGCTTCGAACGCGCTTCCACACGCTACAAGAAAAAAAGCCGGAAGGGCTCGCCGGGGAGCCCTTCGCAACCGGCTGCCCCTGTCGTGAGAGAGCAACAACAAAAGCAGCCACTTCTTCACTTCACGCAGCCACAACCGTGCCCATACCGCCCGGCTACGCCGCTTTCCGGCGAAGCGGATACCTTCCGGCAACTCGTGGCAACTCGTTCCAGAATTGAAACCCTTCGCTTCGGCAACTCGAGTAACTCGTTGCCACTCGAGTAACTCGAGACCCGACATTTTGCTTACTCTACGCCTATAGGTAGCGGAGTAATTTGTAAGGATTGCCCGCCCGCATGGCATGGAGTGCATGGATCGCATGGAGCTAAAGGGGGCGACTCGCGGAGGGGTTCAAGGTACGCGGCGGCGCGTGCCTTGAACTCCGCTAAAGGGGGCAACCGCGTGCCTTGAACTCCGCCGCTAACGGCGCTGCTTGCGTCCCTTAGAGGTCTGCGCCCCATGCACTCCATGCGCCATGCGTGCTATAGACTGCTCTGGTATAAGCATATCCGTGTCCGACTTGCTAAGATGAAAAATACTACTTCTAGAATCTAAGTACCCTTCAAAGCACGACCTTCGCAAATACTTCGCGACAATGTTGTTGCCCTTCACTTGCTAACACTACGACTATCATTCCATGCACTGAAGGCACGGGGTTTCTATCAGCGTCAAACTCTACGCACTTAACTGACACAAGCGAACCCCTCATGTAGGAGGCCGAAAAGCAAACCCCGACGAAATGAAATCATAGGTGGCAATTATGTGGGATTAACGAGGAGCGGCCAACGTCCTTGTTGAGTCATACTCCTGTGGGTGTGCTAGGCGGCCCCACTTACACGGTTTAGTACCCCCCAGCTCGTTGTTGGACAAAGTAACAAAACATAAACAATTTAAAATACTTAATACATCAGCAGGCTGAGCAGGCTGAGCCTGAGGCCGAACTAAGAATATGAAGCTGCGCGCATATGGGCGCCGAAATCTACTTAGCACCTGTCATTGTTTGTTTCTTCATTAATTAATGAGACTAGTAGACGCACTTCTAAAGTTGGTTTTTCGTGCCTGTTCACGACCTGAAAAAATTTCAATTAGTTTGCTCTCTGGAGCCGTAAGCGGAGATGAGTTCAGGTCTGCACACTTCTAAGATAACTCGAAGCCACCCCATACTACAACGTGTACGACCCGCAAGAGAAGATGATGAAGATAGACGGGTTCTTGTGCCGCAGTAGATCATGTGCGACTAGTCTCCCGAAATCGAAGAGACCTAACTGAAACACGCAGACCGACGCCTTCATTGTTATTGATATTTTTATGCATCATGACCCAATGAATTTCATAGAAAAAAGATAGAAGTTCTTGATGAAGTAGCTAAATAAGTACTCTGTCCTGTGATCGCTATGTATCAGGATCACAGTCAACGCTTTGATTTCGACTTTTTCGTAGTCGGCTGGTACTCATGCTCGTCCTCGCAGCACGAAAAAGCTTGGAAAAAACGCCAGTCACCGGTGTCCTCTAGCATCTCACCAGCGTAGCCAGTGCCCAGGCGCGCCGATGATGTAAACCAGTCACGAATGCCTCGATCCTGATAGGCGCCAAGCCAGCTTGCGTGTCCATAATTGCACTCCTTGTAGTATCTCGTATAGCGCACACGCGTTTCTCCGGTTGACGCTAGACGAATCTCTTGTACACGCTTTGCGTCGGCTCGGCCAGAAAAGTCCTCCGTGGTTACACGCAAGTACTGATAATCCACCGGGATGTTGTCGTGCATTTGCTCCTTTGTGGCTTTGGACACTTCTACAGCAGCAGAATCCAATTTCTTCTCAACCAAAGCCGCTGTACACGTATCAAAAAAGTGGTCCGCGTAAACCTCTGCGTGCCATTTGTCTCCTTCAGCGACAAAAACCCAAACAGGGATCCTCAATCGCAACAGGAACTGAATTCGTCGCGTAGCGTCGTCGCTTGTGTACTTGCCTCCCGCGCTTTTAGGCACGGCGACGCCATTGGTGTGATCGTCGTCGTCGTCGTCGTCGGACCCCGGTTGTGTCGCTGCAGTCGTGTTACCGCTGCAATTGAGCGGCGCTTTCCTTTGTCCTAGGACGCAGCCACGACTCGCGTCGTCCACCTCCATAAAGGACTCGGGGTCCAGCGGCGGGTAGTAGGGTTTTCCTAGCCAACGGTCGAGCTCGTGCTGCTCGGGCGACGGTTGTGGCGAGTCGCAAGCTCCCCGGTGGGATAGCTGGTGTACATCTGCGTCGTTACGCCCGAACTTGGGACAAACAGCGATTATCCCAGCAACCTTCCATCTTCTACACAGGGTTTTGTGGTAGTTGCAGAATTTATTCGGCCAGCCAACCTGGTCGTAGCCATTAATGGCCAACGCGGTGGAGATGCACCCAGTCCCTCCGGCACTTTTTCCCGTCAAGAAAATTCGTTTTGAGTCTATCTGAATTTTGTGCCTCAACTGGAACTGCTCGCTCCCAGCATCACTGGTATGGGCACCAGTTTCAAAATCATCGGTTTCCCTCCCAGAAAATACATTGTAATCGACAAATTCATCTTTTCGTCGTCGACATGCCGACTTTCGCTTGCTTTCCCGCGTTGGAGGCGTCAGCCGCACGCTGACCCCCTTGTTGATCAAGAGATCCATCAAATCCAAGGTATTTTCCACCGCGTCAGGATAATTCCACTGCCACCAACCATTATCGTCATCCAGCTGCCCGTGCTTCACGTGTGGTGCTACCATGACACAGTCGCCGGCCAAAGGCAAGTTGTCCTTCTCCATTTCCGTGGCATGGTTCTTGCTCTGAAGTTGTTCTTCCGCGAGTGCCTTACAACAGCTTAGGCTATTTATTCTCTTATTCCCGCATTTGGCTTTCTCCTGCATCGCGAGGTCGATAGTATCGTCGGCCGAAGACGCAAACCCGTTTGTACCACCTGCGACGAGAGGAAAGATGCAACCCTTCTCGAAGGCCAGAATATTTGCGTTCACCAGGTTCCACGGATCGTCCGGGTCGTGACCTTTTTGCCGTACTTCATCGGGAAGCGAAACGTCGGCTGCGGCCTCTCCTCCGTGGAAATAGACGAGGAGAGGATATTTTTTCGTAGGATCGAAGTCTGCGGGCAGCCGAACTAAGTACCCCATCTTCCCTCGCAGCGTGCGGCCACTGCGAATCTGACCTGGCGGCAGGCAGATCGGGAACCCAGTCGAGCGGTCGCGTTGCTCGTCGGACGAGACACAGAAGGATGTCTTGTTGAACTTTTGACGTTTCTGGCGTTGCTGCGGTAGCTTCCGCATTTCTTCTGAACGGGTTCCATAGTTTGTGTCCCCCGCAACCGAGGGAAACCAATGCGGAAAGAACGGTCCACCGTGATCATGCTCCGCATTTTTCTTGCGTGCTGCACAGGGTGCCCGCTGCATCATGTATCCACTGCTCGGGCTCCTCATCACCTCCTTGATCTTTAGTTCAGGAGTAGAGATTGCAAACGAAAAATCTACGTCATCACTTCCATTGGAGGACGGCGTGGACGGCACCGTCGTCCTACTTGTGTCACTCATGAGCGACTCGTCGTCCATCATCTTGCCTGCCATATTGTTCCTGATGGATCCAAAATGTATCTTCTAATCCTGAAGATGAAACAAACCACTTGTACTTGAAGAATAGGCTTGAGCCCCTCAAGCTTCTCCTGCGGTATCGCACGCCTTCTGCAGAAGCAGAATCTTCTTCTTTTGCTCTTAATACGGAAAATCGCAGGCTTTTTCAATGTTGTAGAAGACGAGAACAAGAAGAATCTGCCACCGTCTCCTAGTACTTCACTATCTCCGTCGTCGCTTCTTCTACTCTCCCCGAAGTCGAAGACAAAAATTCAGTTTATAATTTTGTAAGTGGTCGTCGTCGTAGTCCTCTTGCGAGGTGGCACCATGGCAGGAAACCTTGCCATGCGGTGCTAGACGAGGTTGTTCTCGATCCACCTTGTTCTTGTAGCACCCCCTTCAAGAGTGAAGAATCACGGACGTTGCAACGCCATTCTCATGTGAGTGACGTTTTGGCTTTTTCGAAAAAATATAGCAATATGAATACCACGACAATGCGGTGAAATATACGAAGATCATGGACGACGATCTATCGTCAAGCTCGACATGAAATCACTTTTCCACAGGTAGTACTACGTGATTGGTTGTAATTGATCATAAGTACAACTTTGCTTGTCTTTGGCCTGCTTAGAATTTTTGTTTTTCGTGCTAAAATCCAATGAATGAAATTCATCAAATTCGTTCATTAGTCTTGTTCTTTCATATTCACAATTACAAACCAGAATTTACTAACAAATCGATATCAATATCAAACCAATTGATAAAAAACTAGAACTGTTGGTCAATGGTCATTACTGGCTCAAGATCCAACGAATGAACCTGATTTCAATGTCAAATGACTGCTCTCACTCGTCACCTTGATCATGATCAATGCCGTTCCTTGTCTTGAACTCTTGTTAGTTCCTCCTATGATCATCGTTTGAACTCAATGAATTCCAACATGAATTAGCAGCAAGATCTCCCAGATCTTTAACTGCACTATGACCCTTCATGATATCCCAATGACATTGAACCCATTTTGATACCATTTCAGGGCCTTAAACAGTCAGTGATCATTCGGCACGTCCGTTCTGATCGTCTTTCTGTTACATTGCAACGATAATCATTCCATTTACTCTCAAGAGCCTCATATTGCGCTTGGACGTGTTCGGGTGTTCCAACACTGTTTCAAGCCCTTGAGCCTTACCTTATTAAAGAAATTGCTAGTCAATACTTTGTAGAAGTAGAGAAAACAAAGTCGCATTATTTGCGCCACAAAATGCCCGATATGAGTCTTGGAGAGATTTCACCCAAACTGGGACAGAAATCTGACTGGCGTGACTGGCTTCGAGCGGTAACGCAAGAAGCGGACCGCCTGGACCTAGTCCAATACTTCAACAACGTGCTGAACGGCAATGCGGCAGGGATTCCGAACCAACCCAACAACAACGACCGCAAGCTCCAGCAGAATTGGCGAGATTTGAAGAACGTGATCATCAAGTCGCTCAAAGGTGCAGCCGCAGCACATATGAAGGATCAGGATACCACTGTAATGAACGCTGGTGAAGTGGTAACAAACCTCCGTGACGCTGGTTTCAGTCAAAATGACCGCACAGAGCAGCGAATCTCTGCTAAAGCGTTGGAAGGGATGCATTTCACGAACAGTGATTCTCCTCCAGACGTTCCAACATTCTTGGCGAAGGTTAGAGATGTCATGAACCAATCTCCGACCGTATACCCGCCGGAAGTTGGTGTGGCTGTTGCTGATCAACAAAACGGAGCAATCCTCGACATTCTGCCAAAAATGTTTTCCAAAGCATTTCGACAGACAATCGAGAGGATGCAAGAAGATGAACATCTAACGTTCGTCCAAATCGGTGACAGACTCACGAAACGGCTTCAAAGTTTGATTGACTCTGGTGAGTACAAGATCGAGAATCCATCTTTCGGCAAAGCTTTTCCAGCTGTCGAAGATTCCGATGATGAAAACCAGAACAATAACAAAACCAAGAAGCGTAAACGTCAAGATGAGAGTGATGACGATGGTAACGCGTTTGCCGCTCTCAAGAAAACAACGATCAAACGACTTCGCAAGAAGATTCGCAAAGAAATCAAGAACGAGGTCTACGCAACAAAAGGAAGTGGAAAGAGTAGTAGTAGTAGTTCTAGTAGTAAGAAGAACAAAGGAAATGGCAAAGGTAAAGGTGCTAAGAACTCAAATCCTAATGAGGGCATCCAGTGCAACTATTGTCACAAATATGGACATAAGGCGCACAAATGCTGGCTAAACCCGATGAGTCAAAGCTACCAACCTAACAAAGCCATGGGCAGCAACTTCTTCAACAATTCATACAACTGTTGGCCGCAAGGTAACACTATCCCTCCGTGGCACCAGAACAACTATCCACCGCAACAAAGTGGAGGAAAAGGATTCGACAACGGTAACCCACAGCAGCAATGGGGTGGACAACAACCACAACGCTGAGTCGAAACCAATCCGGAATGGAATGGATATGGGAGACGAGATGGACAGTCCCAAGATGAAGAAGAATTGGAAGAAGATTTCCAAAATGAGGATGGAAAATGTTCGCTGAACTTGGAAGAAAACTTTGAGAATAAAGAATATAGAAGTGAACTGCTTAGGGATGAAAGCTATATGATTGACAATCACTCAGGTTGCTATCTTAGTGCAAATCAAAGCAAAACAGTTTCACTTGTTGACAGTTGTGCAAATAAGTATTTGTCTAGCCATCGTTCCGATTTCAAGAAAATTAGCCACCGGCTTTGTCATATTAGTGGCACTGCTGGAAAGCGAAGTGGGAACCTAGGTAGACTAAAAGAAAACAAACTAGGATTAAAATATGGCGTACACTTTGAACACTTACCAAAAGCCATAGATCGCATTATACCGTGGTTAGGTGAAGGAAACTGTCATGAAAAGGGTTGGCAAATGAATTTCACAGAAAGTGGCGGAACGTTGTACAATACTCGCTCCGGCCGCTCTCTACCCATAACAAATTGCCCCCAGATGCAGTTACCTATTCTAGGCTGTGACATGTTTAGCAAAGAAGAAAATGAAACTGAGGAGGATATAGTATGCACTAGTATAGAAGAAGCTAGACTTCATTCACAAGCTTCAAGATTAGACATACATCGTAGACTTGGTCACTTTCACGTTGATGGCCTTAGTGTATCTTGTCCAGAATGTGATCGAACCAAAGGTCAAAGACGCTCTCATGCAAAAGTGAGACCCCCTGGACATATACCTTCTCCATTGAAAACACTTGCAATTGATTTCGCAGTTGGTATTAGACCAGTATCTATAAGAAGCAAAAGATGTGCTTTAGTCATTATTTGTGATTCGATTAAAATGTGTTTCGTTCGTCCTCTTTGCCTCAAGTCGGACTGCGTAGAGGTGATTGAAGAAGTAATAAAAGGCATTCGCCAGGACTACTCATTGTCACTCGACGACAAGGTGGTGTGGTTCATCCGTAGAGATAACGAACCCGTCCTAAGTAGTGACCATATGACCAAAGTCATGCAATCGCTACTGGTTTCGGAAATTCCTGGAGTTCCTTACAACCCAGAAATGAACGGAACTTGCGAACGTTTCATGCGGACCATTTTCGGTGCTGTACGTACCATGTTGGTCAAAGTCGACCGACGTCTTTGGTGTTACTGCTTACAGTATGCCGGAGATTGTTGGAATCGCTTACCGCATCGTTATGCAAAAATGCCAGAACGTGATGGAATGAGTCCTGTCGAGATACTAGAAAAGAGGATAGGAAAGAAGTCCTCGAAAAGTGGTCTAGGTATGTTAAGAAGATTTGGTTGCTTGGTGTACTTTCGTGAACAGGTCGTAGACACCACCAACAAGAAAGAAGCAAAGCTTGCGTCACCTTATCGGCGTGGTGTGTTTCTCGGTCTGTGTCCAGTTTCGTCTGGTTGGCTAGTAGGTACATATCACAACGATGGGAGAACGAAAGCTGGCTTCAAGTGGAGTGAGTATTCCACACTAGACGTAAAATTTCGAGAGTCGATATTAGTCAAGAACATTGATTGGCTATTGCCTACGTCGAAGGGCATTTATGTTGATTATGACCCGCTGGAAAACCTGCAGTCTGGCACGCCGTCGCTGGGTCCCGTCCTGCACAGACATGCGCTGCAACGTATGGCCTGTCAGCCGCGCTTCTCTGGCACGGAGTACAGCTCAGGCGATCCAACCGGCATGGAAATGATACTAGATAACAATGACATTGGTGAGTTTTTCTGTGAATCTTTGGACAAAGAGGAAGATCCAAAGACCGGTGATGATTCCAACTCTGACGCGCAACGCGTTGAGGAGGGGAATATCTCATCGGAGCGTGTGTCGCCTGACTCTAATCCTGAAGCAAGGGATCCGAGGACCTTACCCATTCCACCATCTCAACCAGGCAAAGTTGAGGAGGGGAAGAAAGGCCGAGGAAGACCTAAAGGGAGCAAGGATAAGAATCCAGGACAACGCAAAAGAAGAACAAAAGCCGAGCTAGAAGCATTAAGAAAAGACATGCATAAATTTGCCATGCTAGCAGGCGGGCATGAGCTGGAAGAAGGGGAGACCTTTCTCGAAGCACATGTCATGCTGTCAGTTTCCCAAGCCTTGAAAAGCCCTGACGCCGAGAAATGGCGTGCAGCTATCACCAAGGAGGAAGCTAGACTACTTGCCTTTGAGACTTGGGCGCCAGCTACTGACGAGGAGCTGCGAACCTCTTCTCAGGTAATGCCTATAGCAATCGTTCTCACGGTAAAACGTGATGGAACTTTCAAAGCTCGTGCTTGTGTGCTCGGGAATCTTGATCGTTCGGGGAATATCGACACCTACGCCCCTGTAGTGTCACATGCTGCGAATAGACTTTTACTCGTTTCAGCAGCGACGGACTCTGACTTCGTCATCCCATTCGACCTTGATTCTGCGTTCCTTAATGCTGAACTCGATCGTGACGTCTTCTGCCGTCTTCCACCAGTGTGGGCGGAGAAGCATGGAGCGGATATCGTCAAGCTTAAGAAAGCTCTCTATGGGCTCAAGGACGCTCCACGAGCCTGGTTCAAGAAGTATTGCGTGCTATTGTCCGAACTCGGATGGGAGCCGTGTCCTTCTGCTCCAGGATTGTGGCGGAAAAAGAGCAAAACGCACCCAGGAAAGTATATGAAGATGTCAGTCTATGTTGATGATAACTTAGCTACTGGACCTGACTATCACGAGTTACGGTCTGAGCTCGACCGGATCTTTAGTCGCGCCCCTGGCCGACCTATTGAGATGGCAAAGCGAGTCGATTCTCTTACGGGTTTCGAATGGCTAGAGTTCGACTTTCTTGGTGCGATTGTGCACTATTGTCGGGAAGCACGTTCAGTGAAAATCCTGATGAATGTGTACATAGAGAAGACTTTACAGAAGTATAAAATAACATTAGGTAAGCCGGTGTGGTCTCCAAATTTCGACGAGTCTGCTTTGCTTGAGGAGGGGCTTAAGCTAGCAGCCGGGTTTCCATTGCGTGAGATTGTTGGCGCACTGCTTTGGATATCGACAACCGCAAGGCCAGATATTTGCGTCCCTGTGGCGACATTGGCTCGGTATGTCAGTAAGCCCGTTACAGAAAGAATTGCAAAAGCCTGTAGAAAAGTATTAAAGTATCTAGCTACGACAAAAGACCAAGGACTCTATTATTCTCCAGAAAGTGAGGAAGAATTCAACGGAATTTACAAGAAGCTCCTACCAGAAGGAAGAGAGCTACCGTATACTAACTGGTTCTCAGATGCAGGATTCGCAAACTGCATAAAGAGCATGCGCTCGACCAGTGGTTCGATTATGTACTATCGGGGCTTTCCAATCTGTTGGAAACGCAATACACAAACCGTGCGTGCATATTCAACTGCAGAGTCAGAGTATATAGCCGCGTCGGACACTATTGTCATGAGCGAGCTGCATGATTTTACAGATTTCTTCAATCCCTTACCCACTCAATTAGTGGAAACGCGGTTTGGTATATCGCCATCCCTCGATGATGCCATATTGTGGATAGACAACCAGTCTGCAATCTCGACAGCAAAGAGTGAAGACACGAAGCCTAAGAGTAGACACTATGCGTTACGTTATTTACGAGTTAGAGACGCAGCTGAGAAAGTAGTTTTCTGTCCTACTCACCTCATGAAAGCTGATGGACTAACGAAACTTTCATGCTCATCTACTCAACGCAGATTATTATTACATCACATAGAGAATCCAGTAATTAGCCGTAACCATGATGAAGATGATAGTGACTCGGAAACGGAAGATGATGAGTCTGGTTCAAGTTCTGCTTCCGTGGCGGTGCTTACCTATTCTATCTTCTTAGGGTGTTAGGTCGTTGGTCAAGTGGTGACGTCAGTGGATATAGAGAATCGTGATGGTTCTGGGTCAGAGCAGGTAACACCAGACCGTTTGTGACTTTCGTCATTTCCTCACCTAGCGATTGAGGAGGGGTGTTGGTCAATGGTCATTACTGGCTCAAGATCCAACGAACGAACCTGATTTCAATGTCAAATGACTGCTCTCACTCGTCACCTTGATCATGATCAATGCCGTTCCTTGTCTTGAACTCTTGTTAGTTCCTCCTATGATCATCGTTTGAACTCAATGAATTCCAACATGAATTAGCAGCAAGATCTCCCAGATCTTTAACTGCACTATGACCCTTCATGATATCCCAATGACATTGAACCCATTTTGATACCATTTCAGGGCCTTAAACAGTCAGTGATCATTCGGCACGTCCGTTCTGATCGTCTTTCTGTTACATTGCAACGATAATCATTCCATTTACTCTCAAGAGCCTCATATTGCGCTTGGACGTGTTCGGGTGTTCCAACAAGAACTCTGTATCTCATTATAAAAACTTGAAATATATAATGCTGATCCAAGTGAATGCCGCGGCAGATAATTGTTGATAAAAGACAACTGTAAATCATGGTAATTCCTAATTACTTTCTTCTACAAAAAAACAACAAAAAAAGCAAAACATGCTTCTGAGAAGCCGGTAAGTCGTGCTGAAATGTATTATAAAACATACACGACTTCTTCTGCAAATCCTGTGGTAAGGGTTCAGAATGAAAATGAGGAATAAATGTCAGCATTGGCAACACCAGCTAAAATAAACTTAAGAAAATTGTATGCGGATACCTCGTCCCTTTCGTCAATTGTTGTTGAGCAACCTCGTCCTCTACGCTCCAGCAAGAAAATGCTCCCTCTCCCTCTGTGTAAGTGATCAGAAAACTTCCTATCATCTCGTATCTCTCTCTCTCAATAACGCTGTGTACTTCTGAGGTATCATCTCGTCACGTTCGCAACGGCTCAACGTTCCAACATCCGCATCCATTGCGCTTGTTTATCCGATGTCAGTGACGACATCACCTGCTCTTGAACTTCTACATAAGTTGCTAGAGCCACTCGTCTTTCACAAAGCAAGGAGAATCTCCAACTTCAACATCTCTTCTCACTGGGTGGGACATAGCCAAATCGAACACGACGACCTCCTGAAGGTCCACTTTGCCTCCATTTTCCTCGTGGCTTTGCGTCAAACATCGCAATAAATGCGACTGCTTGAGTACTTCTAGTTTGTTACTTCATCAGATTATTTGTTCTTATATATTGTCCACCTACCATGAGTTTCACGATGACCATCATACGCTTACGCTCGATGCCATATTTTCTTAATCAAGTTGGACCAAAAACCCAAAAAAGATCGGACTGCCAGACTCGTCTTCTTGCCCTTAGCGAGGAACTGAACCGCACTGAGTCTGGCTTAGAATCAACGATTTCATTTTCACGCAAAGCTTTTCAAATCCCTTTTCCGTCATCTACACACGATTCGAATACTATTCTCGCAGCTCTATTGGTATGCTTTCTGCTAGTGCTACGCTAACGCTGGTGTAGGATAGGATAGGATTTGAATGCTACGCTGGTGTTTCATGAATAGAAAGAAATTTTCACTAAACTTAGACGCATGTGGTAGCACTGCAGCAGGGGTGCCGGCTCACTATTATCACAAAAAATCTTCAATAAAAATAAGTACTTTCATCTTCCTGTTCCTCATCATCTTCCGCTTCCACTGGACTATAATACATTTGTATTTGTCGATGTCGGCATTCGATTTCCTCTCACAATTGCGCACTTCTTGCGCTGTCGTGTGCCGTAAACCACTTACAGAAGTGTGGATCCTGGTAAGCAGCTACCCAGCTTGCATGTCCGTATTCGCACTCTTTGTAATACTTAGTGTAGCGCACACGCGTTTCTCCCGTCGACGCTAGGCAAATGTCCTGCACGCGCTTTGCCCCAGGCTTGCCCGAAAAGTCCGCAATGGTCGCACAGAAGTACTTTTGGCTGAGGATATCGTCTGCGGCCGTACTTGGTTTGAAAGCGTCCACAGAGGGATCGACTTTCTTATCGACCAACGCAGCCTTGCAGGTCTCAAAAAAGTGATCCGCGTAGACCTCGGCGTGCCACTTGTCTTCCTCCGCCACAAAAATCCAAATAGGAATCTGCAGTCGGAGCAGACCTTGGATGCGGCGCGTTGCGTCATCGCTCACGTACTTCCCTCCCGCGCTCTCGGGAACCAAGACGTCATTCGTATGGTCGTCGTGAACAATGTGCGCAGTCAAGTGGCAGTCCACGTTTTTTCTGTCGCCGCCGGCTTTGTTCGCATCGTCCTCCGCGTGTGGCTGGGGAGACGGGTAGTAGGGAGTCATCAGCCAGTGCTCAAGCTCCTGCTGCGCAGGCGTCGGGTGCGGAACGCCCAATTTGTCGTAGAGGCCGTAATCGTCGCCCTCATGGGGGTGGTGTGGGTTGTTGCGCCCAACTTTCGGACAAACTGCAGCAATGCCAGCGACTTTCCAGTCCTTGCACAGGGCCTTGAAGTCATGCCGGTTCGGCCAGCGGAAGAAGTCGTAGCCGTTGATCGCCAGTGCCGTGGAAATGCAGCCCGTTCCTCCAGCGCTCTTTCCCGTGAGGTAGATACGCTGCGGGTCTAGCTGAATCTTGTGCGAATTTGCGCCGTCCGACGATCCGTCATACGCGGGTGGCTCAAGTTTGACACTGACGCCCTGGTTCAAGAGCAGGTCCATCATGTCCATGGTGTTCTCCAGCGCGTCCGGGTACGTCCACTGCCACCACCCGTTGTCGTCATCCAGGTGCCCCTTGTTCACGTGCGGAGCCAGCATGACACAGTCTCCCGACAAGGGCAACGCATCTTTTTCCGCTTCCCGTGAGTGTTGCCGGTGCACCTCCATTCTTTCCTCGAGGCTGGTCTTGCCACCACTCTCTTGCGCGGCAAGGTCCTCCGGCGACGGGACTCCGTGCACACCCTGCGCAACGAGGGGAAAGATGCAACCCTTCTCAAAGGCCAAGATGTCGTGATCCAACAGATTCCACGGATCGTCCGGCTCATGGCCCTCCTGGCGGATCTTTTCGGGGAACGGGGCGTCCGCTGCCGCGAAGGTCGCTCCTCCGTGAAAGTACACGAGCAAGGGGTACTTCTTCGCGGGGTCGAAGTCGGCGGGCAAGCGCACAAGGTAGCCCATCTTTCCACGGACAGTGCGCCCGCTGCGAATCTGGCCTGGAGGCAGGTAGATCGGAAATCCTGTAGCGGGGTCGTGCGCGTCGGTGAAGAACGAAGAGCGTTGACGCAACAATTTGCGTGTCGCCGGTGCAACATGCCCCTCGCGGTCTTCTTGTCCGAGCAAATGCTCGAAGCGCTTCTGATCATATTTAATCTGCGCAACACTCTTGCTCGCAGCCAAAGCGGCGCGCTTGTGATGCCCATGGCCATCTTGCGGATGAGGTGCCGCCATCTTCTTTTCTGTTTTTCGTCTTTTCAGCATTCAATATCCTTCAATCTATACGATGTAGAATTGGAACTGCGTCCTTAGGAAAAGAACAACTGTAGTGAACCACCTGCACTTTCTTACTTCTTACGCCAAAATGAATATGAACATAAACACTAAGAGGAACAGTGGAGACAAGCAGGATGCGCAAGCATTTATAGGTGCTTTCCAACGCGGAAAGACAATGTTTCAAGTTTTTCGATAAAAACAAAGAGGTTAACCAGATGGTCGCCGGAGGTTCGTTCGTCAAGTGGGGTGGCGTTACTTTCTTAAGAGGGGAAAATGAACGAAAGCTAAACCTGCTTGATTTTTCAAAGAGAGAATGGTAAGGATGATAAAATTAAAAAGCTCAAAAATCACTCCACCGAAAGCGAAAGTCGCTTCTCATGCAGAAGGCTTACTACAAGCGTCTCTACACATACAGAACATCATCTCCACAGCGCTTACAGAGCAAATCAATGACATTATAAATATACGCTCTTCTTTTCGTCTTATTATTCACTACAGCTCTCTCCTGGTCCTGAAGATGATCATCCTGATGGAGGTTGTCTAGATTCAGTAGAAGGAGACGCGCTCACGCTCACTCAAGCTCAGCTATTTACTCAAGTGATCTTAAGTCGTCCTCCTCACTTGGAACACGTAGCCATGTCTCGCATGCGGTGTCGTGTTGATCCTACTGGAACCGCGAGCATCTATGCTTCTCATGCGTTGTTGAGATCGGAGCAAACGCAGGAGATGCACACCCGCTGCGTATGCCGCTGCCGCTTGAGGCCTTAAAAATTCCGCAGCGCGGGTGCTTCGAGATTTGATTTTCAAAATCATTTTTTCAATAAATCGAGACTGTCATCATGGTTTTGTCTAAAAAGAATACCCGGATAGATGATTCAACAAATAAGTAAGTACATAGGAATACCCAAGATCACTCTTGTTGTGTACATTTCTGCTCCCGAGTAAAAACATGAAGCTGCACTAGTAAATACATGAAGCTACAAATCAAATAGATACAGGTCAGTCTGTCCCAAACTACAAGAAATCCCTTCTATATTACAGTTACATCTTCCCATAACGAAATCTGAAAAAGTGACTAAGTGCAGCTACATCTGAAAAAGTGACTAAGTAACCTCCTCCCATAACAGGAGTTCGGGGCTTTTCCCCTTAAAATAGTATGAGGCTGCGCCGCAAATCTTGTTTGGCTTTTGCCCGTAAAACGGCGAAGGTTTAGGCCCAGCGACGCCCAAAGCACTAAGCAAAGCAGCCGGTTAGTTTTCACCTCTACAAACTTAGGCTTATCCCGTGCAACAATATATTACAGTTACAACATCTTCGACAGCAACATGTTACATAAGTACGTCTGTTTCTGCATTCCGTTCCAAAGTCAAAGACACGATCGTAGATACAGTAGAATGGGAAATGAAAAAATGCAGCTTCCGTGATGCCAATACATCATCCGTCCCCAACAGCACGTGGGGGAAAAGATTTTCATGTACAGCTCCTCAATGATCCCATTTACAGTAGCACAAATACCCATGTGGTCTTCGAGGTCGTTGAGGTCGTGGTTGAAAATCGCGACATCATCTTTGCAAATCCTATGCAAATAATATCCGACATGATCATGACTATGACAAGCACATCCATTAGACTGTGACGCAAAAATGTATGTATATTCTATGCGATAAAGCTTCTTCTAGGTTACATGAGGGAGGTTATATAGATAGGCGGTAGACTTAGCAAAGTTCATTACCTGCATAGTGCATTCAATCGCTAAGGCCTGCCCTTGCCCCCTCATCGTTGTGTCGTGCCTTGCATCCAGGGGAGGACAGCACGGCCAGAATCGCAGCACCTCCAGTAGTTACTAAAAAAGAATTCGAGTTCGTGAATTATAACTGATTACTTACCTTTGTACACCAGTTGACCTTTAGTTTTACTCTATTCTGCAGCAACTCAGAGTCCGGTGAAACTAACTCAGTAGGAAAAAGTCGTCCTCGAGTATTCTAAAACAGACCTCTTCCTACTGGCTGGTATTCAAATTCACTTTCGTTCTACCCCTACTTGCTATCGAGAGTTTGGTAAATAAGTGTCCGGTCCTCGTGAAAGTTATGGCTGTCCGTACTTGGCGTACAGATCAGCCTGGAGCTTTTCGAGCCCATCGAGAAAGCGCACGAGCTCCTCTTCTGCTGGCAGAATTGTAGTACGGAAGTGCCAAGTTCCGACACGCTGCTCGAAGCCACTTCCGGGCACGGTGATCACGCCCAGCTTCTCCAGGATCTGGTAGCAGTACCACGTGTCCGGGTTCTTACCTTGTGCTCGCGCTTCGTCGATGAATTTTTGCGGCAGGTCAACTTGTGGGAAGGCGTACATGGCGCCCTCAATGGGCATGCACTGGATTCCGGGTATGGCATTCAGGCGGGCGGACAGCATCTTCGCCTTTTTCTTCAGACCATCGAGTGTGGTGGCGCGTTCGCGCTGAAAAAGCTCGTAACTCGGGTCGCCTTCTTGCGGCGGGTTCAGGACGCTGGCCATCATCGCCTGGCCGACCGTATTGGAGCACAGCTGCATTGAGGCGAGCTTGTAGACCTGCTCGTGGACGATGTCCGGGAGGTTGGTCAAGTGCATGTAGCCTCCACGCAGCCCGCATTCTCCGTAGTAGCCCTTCGAGATAGAGTGAAAGGAGAACAGTTGCACTGCGTCGCACCCGGGTCGCGTGCGCACCACTGATCGGAAAGACACGAACTCCTTCGAGGGATCGTAGACATTGTCTTGGTAAACTTCGTCCGCCAGAATGACAAGGTCGTTCTCCTTCGCAAAATCGACGACAGCCTCAACCTCACTGCGGCCCATCACATTTCCAGTGGGGTTGCCGGGATTAATCACCGCGATCGCACGCACTTTCACGTTACTCGCCTGCGATTTCTGTTTGAGGAAGATGATTAAGGAAATTCGTTCACGACTGGTTATGACAGGACAATATTGCTATTGGCCCCAGTCATTTCATCTGAATCAAATTGAAATCCTCATTGAAGTAATGGTAATCTAAATATATTTCAGACACCAGTCATGATCACCTCCACGCTGTGCAAAAAAGAATAACAATAATCGAATTTTTATTGTATACCTTCAATGCCTCACGAAGTTGCGCAATGTCTAGACCCCAGCTTGGCTTATCAGTATCGTAATTCTCTGTGAGCTCGTAGCCAACCCATGTTCCGCCCGCCTTGGTGATGGACGCAGAATACAGGGGATATTGCGGTACTGGAATCATGATTCCATCCCCCTTACTGCGGATCAAAAGCTCTAATGCAGTGATTACAGCGCCCGACGCGCCTGAGAGGTTGATTGAACGCGGAATAAGATCAGTCATGAGTCCTCGCGGTCCTGATATAGTTCTTGAAAGAGGACGAGCTACACGACACCCGAACAGGAACATTGACTGAGAATATTTGATATCTATCCTCATCATCACGAGGCCAACGCCATGGCAGAGATGTATTGAAGTAGATCATAAGAAAAATCACGAGTACCGTTGCTGACATAGATGTGCTCTGGGTCGGCCTTGACCGCGATTTTATCGCGTTTGTCGATGTAGTCCGCAATCATTCTCCGGAAGAGTGGATGGCCCCGTGAGTGCGTATATGCTCCCGGTTGCGTACCTCGAAAGCGCATCCCGCGCTCCACTACATCGGCCGGAAGGGTGCTCGTCAAAGCGGGATCGTCGAGGAGTCCATTGTTGCCCAGTACTGAGAGAACCTGTCGATGGAAAGTGAGCGGGGGCTGGCCGACCACTTGTGGATTTCCTATGTTGCAGGGCACCAGCTTTTCGAACGGGTAGGGTTTCGCACCATTCTTGGCCTCAGCGATTTCCTTGGAAATTTGCTCTGCCCGCGCTATGATCTCTCCGCGAACCGCATATTCGGCCTTCAAAATATTCTCCGGTATCCGTTCCAATCGCAGCGAATAACCACGACGCTGCTGTTGCAGAGGAACAAGGACAGAAGCTGCTGGTCGCGACGACGAGGACGAGCAACCAGTCACCAAAGATCGGCTCGCAGATGAGCTTAGAGGAAGATCAAACATTAGAAGAAGATATATTCGACTTGATAAAGTACTCACTAACTATGTTAATGCTTTTTCTCAAATAAAATTTTTCATCTAGTACTAGTTAAAGGATATACTAGAATCCCCGAATCCCTGAAGTTCTTATACATATATATGAATATGTAGGTAGGCGCAGCGGCTTATCAGCTCCAAGACATAAGAAGTGGTTTCCTGCTCCGCGTGGGACACGGCACGAGCGTGCAACGAAAGAGACTTTTGCAGTAGCCATTTTGACTTTCTTATATATCGATATTGCGAGGTGATTAAGATTATGGTCCAATATGTCAGATAATTTCCGAGAACGGAATCATGTGAAAGAACTACAACAAACGTCGTTACCAGAGAAAGTGACTGTTTGATTGAGACCACGACTTTATTGTCGTATAAAAAAAAGGTGGTCGTGCTGGTAATGTTGTGTGAACAAGGCGGGAAGTCTACTTTCTAAAAAGCGCCGAAAAACAACAAGCGGTGCTCTTCGATTGTTTTGACTTTGTGGAAGGTGTAGGTCGCTTTATTACATGATAATTCGTCGTTGGGATAGATCGCTATTCATTCAAGGAAAAAGGAAGAAATCATCCAGAAATATCCTTGTTATTACAAGGTGTAGGAAGTAGAGGAACTACAAGTGGAAACTCGTTACGGGTGCAGAAAATTGCAGGTTCCTGAGAGGTTTGAGGAAAATATATAATATTCACATTATTCATTGCAAGTAGTCTTTGTCTTTACATCACGTAGTTAGAATACATTGAATGACTTCAATGCGTCGGTGAAGATTGATTCTCGTCCTCGAAAAAATTTACAGAAGTGTAGCGACAGATTTTGATTTGGATTGACGGCGACTTCGCTTACTCCTTACTGTGATTTCCTCTTTGGAACAGAAAGAGCTAAAAATCCGAACACGAACGAATGCCAACTAGGCAATTCATATTTGCATGATAGGAGTAGACTTTTCAAATGATCGGCATGAGAACATCTGCGACTGAGTAACGCTCACAAACATTTTCAGTGGGAGTGGATCACGAGATGAAAACTTGGGTTACAGAGAGTATACTGCTCGACCACAACGGCAAGCAAGAGATGCAGAAGGCTTGAACAGATGCGTGACCTTCACAGATTCTGACTCTCTCACAACTCGTCACTATCGAGTTGCTACGAAAAACACTGAGCATAGAGTAGCTTCGAGACTCTCCGAAGATGAATTAAAGTTCAAGAAAGCTGTCCTTAGACTCCGAGAAGTGATAAGAACCAATATCAACAAAATTTCTATCGCGGAGATCTTTTTGTTCCGCCACACTTTGCAGTTGTTCTGCGTGGTAACAGCATTTTTGAGCGCCTCCTCGAGCGAGGACCACACAAATAGCATTAGCAAAACAACATGTCGCGGAGGTCGGAGTCGGAGATGAGAGAACATGTCATAGCGATAGCACCAGCTCTCGGCGTAGATCGATTTAGTTTGCTTCTTGTTCTTGGTGACCAGTGGAGTGGGGAAGGATTGACACCACTCACATTCGGCTTTTCCGTCTATTTCTCACCTGAGTAATAACAGATCCATCTTTGTTGGATCATCATAATTCATGCTTAATACAGACTGGCTCATACATCTTCCGGGTTCGGAGGTGAGATCTTTCATCTTCGTAGACCATGCGAAGGAGAGTTTTTAATTATTGCGCGCGAAGATAGATGAGGAAACAAAAACGGCCGAATGTTGACACGATGTTGAAGAGCGCTCATAAATGCGCAACGCCTTAATTGTGGAGTTGTGAAAAACTTGCCTCAATCCACAATCGCAACCAAGGAGTCATCATATGTCGATCATGAACGAACTTCATAGCCACCTCGACGCATATAATTACTGTTTTCCATTTTTAAGATTATTGATCAGTTGAATGAGGGTGCGTCTACTAGTGCCTCGTCAACATGGATGTAGAAGTACGACCGGGGAGTACAAACACGAACCATAAAAAAATCATGAAGGGACAAAGAGCAGTCGTGTTGAATGGACATGGACCTATCTTGCTAGCATGCATCAATGGTTTGGATAGGATAGGAGTTGGCCCACTCGACACGAAGATTTGCTTGACAGTTACAGGCATAAACATATCATGGCCAGGACATCCCGTACCCGATCCCAAATAAGCGCTAGTTGCACGGGCAGATGCAACAAATGCCTTAACCTGCTTCTACAGCAAAAATGCCTACTTACTTACCACTTCACTGGCCGAAGAAATTCTACCCTCAACATCATGATCATTTGATTTATCAGTGATTTAGGTTGATGTCGTCCTGCTCCTAGATCAGGATCATGTACATACAAGAGCACTCCTAGCACAGACAGAATACGAACAAAAAATATTTCTACGACATGAGCCCGCATGAGCATGACAAAAATGATTATATCAAGAGACAACTGGAGCCCCTCTTATACACGAATCGACAAAAATCGAGGTCGAAAGTCAGGGTTTTAAGGAGCGTCAAATAGAGTCCCAGGGCTTAGAGGAAACGAAAGCCAGAGTTGTGCAGAATTTGTGGGGGAGCCGCTAAGTTGGAGACAGTTCACGCTCGCGGAAAAAAAGCCAAGGTTTTGGACCGCTCCCAGGGTTTTGGCTCTCAGGGTAGACCAAACAGCGGAAAAAGTCCAAGGTTTCAGCCTCAGTGTTTGCCCCCTCATTTTTCGATTCAGGGTTTCAAAGCCGCGACCTCATTTGTAGCGTGTCAGGGTAGACCTCTCCGGGCGTCCTCAGGGTTTGCGCCTCTCAGGGTTTGCCCCTCTCAGGGTTTGCGCCTCTCAGGGTTTGGCCCTCTCAGGGTTTGCGCCTCTCAGGGTTTGCCCCTCTCCTGGTTTGCCCCTTTCAAGGTTTGCGCCTTTCAAGGTTTGCCAATCTCAAGGCTTGGAACACGAACAGCCAGAACGAACCCGCCGAGGGAGGGCGAGAAGAAACACGCCACAAGGCCGCAAGCCATGCAAGGCGGACAGCGTGACTCCCCTGAGCAGGTTCCCCAGCCGGGGAATTTGAAACCCCCCAGAGTGGAAGCGCTGCAGGCGTCCTTGTCCGCGGGCGGGCTGGCGTGTTTTCCCCCTTTGGGCCTTTCGAGACGTTAACGGGATAAAACGCGCACCGCGTGCGCGTTTTGTCCTTGTAATGGCTTCAAAACTGCAGGAAAAAGTGAACGGCGCAGCAATTCGCTGCCGCGCCCTGCTCGCGAGAAGCGTCCCGCGGCGGCCACTTTGCGGCGGCTGTAGCACTTTGCCCTCCACCACCGCCCGCCCTTCTCTGCTCTTCTTCCAGTCCCTAGCAGTGTTGCCCTCCTTTCTCTGTCGTCTTCGCCTTTCCTCTTAGCAACTAAACACTCGGGTCACGACTAGCATAAGAGAAAACGACCACTCATTCATTCATTCATTCATTTACCTGTTCTGGAGGTATCTTTTGACGAGAATCAGAAGTAAGTACACGGGCACAGCGCAATAGATACGATATTAGATGAGCTTCTGACGAAGTCAAGTAGGTAGAATTCCAGCTTTTCGAGAAGATTTACTACTTTTGATATCCAGATAGCGCTTTGATACACGAGAAGATCCATCTCTATAAAAAGGACACCGATACATTGCCAGGGACAACCTCAATCAGCCACTCCTGAACGAAGTCAATCATCATCATGTTGGTAAGGGCGTGCGAGAAACAAAAAAAAGTTGTGGCGAACGCAAGGTTTCACCAACCTGTACCTGCCCACCTTGCGAAGGCGAGACATACATCCTTCTGCTTGTACCGTACGTACAATAAACGGTATTGCTCGGCCAGGAGCATCTGCACTTCAGCCCAATTTTCCATCAAGTAAGTACAATAACTCCTCGTCAGACTACTCGACACGCTAACAAGACGCGCAAGACCAAGAGTCAGTAAGCATGGCCAGTAAACAGGCGGTGTTACTACTAGCTACTGCATCTCTCGTTGTACTAGCTTTTTTCACCTCTTGAACTCTCCTGTTGTTCAACATAGTGTAGTGACATCTCCTAGATATATTTGCTGCTCCTGCGTATTCATACACATACTCACTCACTCTGATACTGAACAAAGCTCCGCCGTGTATAGTACTTATAATATATTTAAGGTAAACATGGGATCGTGACCGTGAGCCAACGAGCGGGAAGACGATGAACGACCTGTTGTTGCGTGCTTGATGCCGTTCTCCACAGGAGCCTCGTGGATAGAGTTAGTGTGGTCAGCTTTTTTTTGTCGTTTATATAGTAGTACTGATTATGTACTAGAAAAAAAATCTGCGGATGCGGCAAGCTTGTCCGATAGTACAGTGAGATTATAACATAGATTGAAAATTGTAGCTCTCCGTTCGTACCTTCCCCCTGATAGAGACGGAGATTACGATGACTCAATGTAGCCCTTAACTTTTGTCCCATTTTTTCAGGCGCAGGCCTGCTGACTGCATTAAATTACTATTACTTCTGCTAAACAGCCTAACATATATTTCAAAAGTAGTGAAGAAAATCTAGAGAGACGATGAGGATACGACATGATGCGAGGAATGTCAACGTTGAAGCTTCATTATACTCCATCCTATCAGTTGTATAATCTTCTTGTTGAAATGAGTGGAAATAAAGCATCGAGAAGATATTTAATTTTTGTGGTAACAACTACAGAGTCTGCCGATAATTTCTGATTCCGACCGTTCCTGTAGAAGCAGTGAGACGACAGGCACAGGAGTAAGTTCCGATCTCCTCTGACGCGACTTACTGGGAGTCGCCGTTTGCCTCTTACAGGTGGAATCTACCTGCGCTTCCCACCAGGGCCTTGCTCCGACCACGAGCTCGGTGGATGAGAAAAACATGATTGAATAAAAGACCTGATTGGCAATAATTCCAACATTAACAGGACTACTGGGGGCATCAGGTTCTAAGTTGAGATCAACACTTTTTCACAACCTAATACAAAGGGTCAAGCTCTATCGATGCTTGGACGAGCATCGTCATAGTGTCATTTCTTGGGTGACTTCGCGGGAATTATTTACGTCGCCACCCATCATGCAGCAGCTATCACATAATCCGAGATGATGAAGATACGTCGCAGTATATCATGTTGGTCGTTTACTTTTATTTTGGAAGGGTAGAAGTTGAGCTTGTAGCGGTAATTTCTACTGGTCATTCATTAACTCATTACACAACGTTAAGCTCTAAGCTAGTAATAGTCTTATCTCTATTTCGCCATGATCGTAAAGTTATTGTTCTTCTTATTTATTACTTATACTTACAACATGAACCGAGAATAAAATATAAGAATATCATCATCATGGAGTCTACCACTGGTTAGCATACCAGCCCCTAGACTATACGATGCTTCGCACCCTCAGAATATGATCCATACCTCTTTTATTTCCATTAATAACGTAGAAAACGCGGACGACGACATTTCATTAGAAGAGAACAAGAGCACTACTAGCAATAGGTAGACAAAGTACATAAAAATTCAAATATACGTGGAGCATCTTAATAATTAACGTCGATTTTGGCAAGAAGTTAATCATAATCGCTTGCTGAATTGCTGGTTTTGGTGCACAGCAGGCACGACCTGATAAGGTTGAACCTGGGAGATCAACCTTGTCTATATTCGACTTGAGGGGGCTTTACAGGTGAACGAACTCTTCAATCAAGAGTGGTGTTGTCAATCTTTAGTCTAATGTTCGGAGTCTCATTTTCGCCAGCTTTGGTCTGCGTCGGCTCGGGACAGAGAAGGGTAGTCTTGCTCGCTCAAATTTCGGCCATCAGGACTGTCTCCGCTACGCTTACCCCAAGGCGCTGCACCACCTGAAATCAGTGAAAAGATTGTGCATTATGAATATGTCTATAGTATAGTCGTACCTACATTGTAATATAGATTCTTGTTGTAGTATTCGTCTCTTGTTGTTGAGTATGTTATTGGAATTACACTAACACTTGCGAATAATAAGAAAATTCTCGACCACAGTACAAAACAAAGGAACCACTGGAAAACAACGTTTATACCTCCACCATGCTTTCCACCACCGCCGCCCTGCTTGTTCTTTCCCCCGCCATGATGGTGTCTATTGTTTTGCTGATGCCATCCGGAGTTATCTGTCCATTCTTGGTTTTCAGACCAGTTATTGTTCCACTGCTGCATTTGGTTTCGCTTGCCGCCTTGGTTTCGCGGCTGTCCGCCACCACCTCCTCCAGTGGAGGGAGTAGAGGCTGCCTGCTGGGCGTTCTGCTGGTTGTCGTTGGCGCCGCCAGCAACGGAGCCGCCAACAGACTGCTGCTCAGCTTCTGAGCGCGACGAATCAAAACTTGAGTACAAATCTGGTGAAGGCAAAAACGGAAAGAAAATACTCTTGACTATAAGCAGACAATAACAACTAGCAATTGAACAACGATTACTGACATCAGAAATTTTGGCTCATCACAATGTCAGAAAAATGAGGACACTAACTGTGACACTACAAACCTCGTAGTACCAGCTGGCGTCCCCTTGCCTGTTTGTTGGTTGGATGACGTGCCGGCCGTGGTCGAGTGAGAAGGCGCGGAGGATGCCCCAGGAGTCGTGGAATCACCCGGTGCACCATCCTTTTCGCCTTCCCCTGATTTCGAAGTGGCCCTGTCGTTCCAGTCAAAGATCATGAAGATAAAGAATGAAGTGAAGTACAAGTACAAAATGTTTTTTTTATGATGAAAAATGAAGGTGTCTTCAGAATGTCACTAATAGAAATTGACGTCATCGGCTATGTACCTGCTGCAAGAAGATGGACCAGAGGGAAATAAATGTACTGTCTAGCCTCGAGGTAGCAATCGAGGTGATCGCCTTTGGCGACTTGCTCGAGTGGTACTGTTCGTGGCTTCAACGCGAGTCTTCTGTAGCCACCTGGTGCGGCCCCCGCTCCTCCATCTGTACTCGTACCTCCTGACTGGGCTGAAGCCTTCGTCGCTGCGGAATTGCCCTCATTGTTTTGAGATTGCTTTCCGCCATCTTGCTTGCTAGAGCTTGCACTCGCTCCGCTTTGATTCTGGTCTTTCTGCGCGTTACCCCAGTTGCCGCCGCCACCCTTGTTACCCCGGCCTGGTGGTCGAGATAAAGTGCAGCCAGGAAAATATGGGGCGGCTTACAAGCTCTAGTATAAGCCCCATGCATCATCAGGGCGCAATCAAGTGAGAACATCAAAATTTTGATGAATGCACAGGAAAATTCTTCAATATTGGGTTCGTAGAGTTACAAAGTTAGTCAACAAGGAAACCTATATTCAGACAACGATGATGAGATAAATGTCAAGTACCCTTGTGACCACCGCTACTGCTTCCTGCGCTAGTGTCTTTGGCACCATGTGCTGTGTGAGAGGTGGTTCTATTGTAATAACCATAGTCGTTGTCGTTGTAGCCTCCACCATACCTATTATCGTGGTTTCTCTTCGATGCAGAGGACGAATAGTTTCCACCACCACCACCGTAAGATGACTGCTTGTCGTGATGGTCGCCATACCTTCCGTCTTGCTCGCTGTAATGGCTGTGGCTCACGCCTGTGGTTATTGAAAAAAACACTTTTTGGATTGTTAAATTCGAGGTGGAAGCGGGAGGCCTTCTTCTTTTCTACTGACTGCAGACAATCTTTATCTTCGTCATTCTTGAATTCATCTTCTGGATGGTACTAGTACAACAGAACCAAAAACCAGACTCGGTAACAGAGGCTAGCTGGGTATCAATTTTTTTTTTACACGTCTAGCGAAAGAATGGACTGAGTCGAGAACAAAAGAACGTGGGATCAAGATCCTTTTCATGATCTAAGTTACATCTCCCGAGGCTTCCAATTACTTGCAGCTCATCTGAAGGTGAGGATCCGTGATCAGGAACAAATACGTGAAAGATCCAATTGACCCTGTTGCGCGTGTTGTGAGATCTCCTTTTTCTCTCAAAAGCTAAAATAAAAGAAACATGCAGCACATGGCGTTCTTACTTAAATATGTGAAAATTGTTTCAACATATTACATTCGATCAACAAAGCCATGGTACCTAAAATTATCTATCTTAGTCTTTTACTACATATTTTATGAGCGTCTTAGTCATCCTCATTTTCGATAACTACGATGACGATGTTGATTGATATTTATGAGCCTCACCAGAGAATTTGCGTTTGGTCGGCGGCGTGTTATGGGGGACAACCGGAGGCGGTGGCATGTTGTATCCATGGGGTAGATTTGTTGGGAGGTTGTAAACGACGGTGGAAGCAGGGTTATAGTCCAAATTGTTGTCTAGGCGTAGCTCCTGCGGGCGTCCTCCACCGGCGGGTACTGGTGGCATAGGAAGTCCGCTTCCTTGGCGGCCAAGATCAAGATGATGGTTGTCTCCATTAGTCGCTCCTCTTTGAGGTGTTTGCTGCTCTGCGTGCTGTCCACTCACATTATTTTGCTGGTTTTGGGATCCGCTGGTGCCGCCAGCCATCGTATTACCATTGTTGTTCGGGCCAAGCGTGCTGCACGAGCCTGTGCTGGTCATGGAAGTCCCATTCGGACACTGTTTGCCCGTCCGAGCTCCTCCAGCGGGAAGTTGACCTTGGTGCATAGAAGCACTGTTGTACCCACTTGCTCCAGAAGATGAGGGTCCAAGTCCATATCCGCCGCCATAGTTTTGGCTTCCTCGCTGTTGCGCCGAGCCAGACCCTGCACCACCTTTAGAGGCAGACGACCCATGTTGAGCATGTTGACCACCTCCCATATTGATATTGTAGGATCCTCCGGAGCTTCCATGATGCATCATTCCCTGAGGTCCAGGTGGCGACACATGCGATCCATGCTGGCCCTGTGGTCCATGTCCCCCGCTGTGCATGTTGTTCAACATCCCACCGCCGCCGGAAGAGTTATTTCCTGCGATAGATGCCAGCAAATGGGGTGACTGGTGGTGCTGTCCACCGTGTCCTTGTCCTTGTCCACCGGAACTATGTTGCTGCTGCGGCTGACCACTACCATGCTGATATTGCAAATTTATATAGTGGTCCGGGTGATCGTCATGGAACTTATTCTTTGCACGGTTGCCCCCACGCCAATCCATAGTCTGCGGACTTCGTGGCAGTGGCGCATTTCGTTGCTTCGGAGACAGCAAGGCCGACCCATGATAACCAAAGTCATGATCTAAGTATATAAGGGAAGGACCATAATTTTGTTTTGTTTTGACCATGATAGGTGGAAATGGAAAAAGAGAGGTGGATGGAAGCGATTGCTCAGATTTGCTGTCTTCGATTATAATTGATTCTCCTTTAAGTTTAAGTTGAATTTCATTCGCAGGTGGAACTAAAACCCCGGCCCTCGCATATTCGTGCATATTTTTGGATCACCGTTTAGGTCAAGTTGAAGTTTGTTTGGACAAGCTGACATGAGTCTAGCTTGACCATTTTGTGTTTTCGGATCACGTCTGATCTGATGCACCTCATATTGGATCTCGATATGGTTCATCGCCTCGAAGCACTTGTTCATAACCTCGTTGCGGGTTCACTGTATGAGCACTTAAATCCGTTGGTTCGACCTTCGAGTGGAGCACACAGGCCGAACCCGAAGATAGGTATTGATGATAATCGAAACGAAAAAGCAAGTACCTCTGCCATTTCCATTGTTGTATTGCTGATTTTTTGAATTTCCCTTGCCACCACGTCCTTTTCTGCTCTTACCGCGTTCTTGCTCAATTGGTGCGTCGCTGCAAGAAAGTTTTTAAAAATAGAAATTACTTCAAACAGCATATCAGAAGAACATCAAATATAAATGGTCATATCATCGTGATCGTCACTGCATTAGGAACTAGACACTTCAAATCCTTGAGGTTGGTAATGGTACAACTACTACCTGAGGAGTCTTCAGCATCTTCAACTTAATCTTCCATCGATAAGTTTATGTACTTAAAGTAGTACATTGGTATGTCAACGAGGGCGCTGTTGGGTTCCAGTATTCTGATGAAACTTTGAGTCGGGTCAACACCCTTGTTGAGTTTCGCTCCCGTCAATTTCATTGCTTTTTTGTATGCCTCCTCGTTTGCAAGGGTTACGTGAAGGCTGTAGAGAAGGCAGCTTAGTAGTCAAGATAGAAGGACGTGTCGTTGTGGAGGTATTTGGGCATTGAATAGACTTCTTAGCACATCAACAAAAACCTACTTTATCTTTACAACTACTAGAAGAAGACGTAGAACGACTAATAAATGAGTTCTACTTAGTTACTAGTTTCTCAGCACAAGAAGGAACTGATGAAGATAAAGGCAAAGGGAAAACAAATGAAGATAAACACGTAGAATATCAAGAATTCGTACCAAATTTCGTCCTTGGTTTTTGATGTTGCAGATTTTCCTTTTCTGCAAGCATTCTGTGTCTCAACACCAAAACTCTTGAACCAGCGCTCTATATCCGCTGGCATAACACTTTCCGTAACTTCCCACACTTCAACGGCGTAAACTTTCTATATTGGAGATGGATGTCATGACAGATAGACTTAAATGGGGTCTTCTTCTATTTCCTAGACTGTGTCATAGTCATTGCTTCATGATACAAGACAAGTACATACAAGTAACCATGAAAGTTTCATGTGCAACTTCATTTTTGAATGAATTATCGTGCGAGATGCGAGTGTCAGTGTGTCACATACTTACTGGTGTAATATTATCAAGACTAAAAAACATTAAAGATGAGACACTAACAAAGATGAAGGACGAGTGTACCCCATCACCTCCAGCGGCACCAGCAGTCGACTGGGAGTCGTTTAACGAAAACTGTTCAGTCTCTTGAAGTTTGGGTGTGAAAGTCATTGGACCGAAATCTGGAGAGCCTAGATCTTCGCTCTCATCGGCCCAACAACGCCGTTTAGCCTGCGGCTTTAATGGCGTTGTCATCTTGTAGGTGTCCTCTATTAGTGAGGTTGAAAAGGGACGAATTGATGTCGAACAGCAGCGATCTCGATTGCCGCTGATTGCTCCGGAGGATGTAGTCGTGATTGGAATCGAAGGCGATCGACCTCACTGACCTTCTCTCAGTGCGCTCGAAACTTATTCCTGCTTTTATCTGGTCGACAAACCTACTCAGACTTGCTACCTGCTTTACTTCCACCGGTGTAGGACAGGATCTCTCGCTCTGTTCTGATTTTTTTTCGAAACGTGGAGGCGCAGCCGGTAGAATTCAATGTATTCTTTTGTTCTGCCCTTCTGTAGAAGTCAATGCCTTTTCTCCTTCGGAGGTCGTGGCTATTATTCGCGTCTTGTGCCAGTACCACCTCGTACATTTATGAACTTCAACGTGCGTCGAAGAGAAAGAGGATTCTTCTCGGAGAGCAAACGTTCTTGTCTTGGTTAGGTTCTGCCTAACACGGGATGATATTGTGGCTTTTCACGACGGGCTGTGGTACCCGCAAACCCATCGAGCAGCAGCGCTGCTTCCTGGGTTGCGATCGCTTATTCCCCCACACGGTTTCAATGCAGGAAAGTAAAGACAAACATCTTGAATTGGCAGAAATGTTGAAGTTGCGAAATATCGCGCTTGTTGCGTTGTTGCTGACTTCTTCTAGCTGAAAGCATAACTATCATTCGGCTCTGTTGGATATAAGGAGACTCCGTTTCTTCAAATTGAAATTTCGAGGTTCATGCCTTGTTCTCTTTTCTATTTCTCCCCTACTTCCAAGAAAAAGTACAAAGAAATCAATGCTTTTTGTTTCCACAGTTTTGCTTTACAAATTTCTTTCGCTGCTAAAAAATGCTCAGCGTAGCTCTCAACTGTTGTTGTTTTGATAAAATTTTTTCATCGACAGATATCGATGATGACCACTCAGAAATCTCACACTTTGATAGCGTGGTCTGCTGATACAAAGAAGTAGAAGAAATTGAAATGTGAATGTCAATGCGTCGTACTCAAATTAATCTGATGTTGAAGACACGAAGCGTTGATGGTATATGATTGACGCACACAAGAATAAGAAAATTGGCTACAATGTCGACTCTTTCCTAGTACACCAGCTACTGCTACGAGTTCGAGTAGTTTTAATCCTCCTGTCCTAGTTTTCCGCTTCAAGATAGAATAAGCTTAGCCAACATTACGCGCTACGTGAGAAGCTCTCCTGAGGCTGAACTAACAGAAGATACATGTACTTCTGGTTTTACGGGATGCTCGTCATTGTCATCTTCAACCGCAATTGACATTCAACTTTCAACCTAAACTTTTATTTCGTGGTTGGTTTTGGATTTGGTGATTGAGATTCGTTTGCCTATGGACGGATCAACATCGATCACGCCTTTGAGATCCTCGATGAATTTCTTTCTCTGCCGTTGGGAAACGGGTTGTGCGTGCTCATCGAGACAAGATCTTCACGTTGCAGCAAAACCATTTTTTCCAAGCCTCGTTTCTGTCTTTGTTATTGTTTTCATTCTAGTGAATATACGTTTGCATTTGTTTTTTCATCATCTCGGAACATTGAAATTCAACATAACGAACCGCGTCACTTTCACAATAGGAAGGATATCATGAGACACGCGTGGAATCATGGGGATATCGAGCCAACCGGAGCTGCAACTGCGAATGGCAATCGTAGTCAATGTCGTAGACTAGCATGATGAGAAACACAAGTATAATTGGAATTGCATAAGGGGATACATCGAACAACTACAATGTTCTAAAAACACAAAATGTTACGACTACGAGGACTTTGTTATGGACTATAAATAGAGCTGCTGTACAATTACATGTTATTTCGAGCTTTGTATTACTGTGCATTACATCACTGATTCTTGAAGCCAGAAATCTTGAAATGAAAGCCGTACATTTATTCTATGAATCATGAATAATCTGCACAATACGAAATCGATTGCGTGGTCTCTTTGAAAATATAAGACTTTCTGGTGAAGAACATGAAGGACCCTGTTCGAAAATATAGTTACTCAGATGGCCTCGTCCGTTCCCTCCGCTGTGAACTGATCGTGCACGAAGTTCATACTGTTCATCGCGTGAAAGCATGCGAAATCCTGCGTTTTCCCTGAAGATGTCCGTACAGGAAAGCGCCGAAGCCTGCAAGGATGCAGAGCCCTGCCGCAACGTGATACCCGAAGAGTGGCGCGCAGTTGACGCACAGCACTCGTTCGAAGAGAATAGATAGCGGAATCGAACAAGCGAGTCCCAGGACAGCTACCGTCGGGCTGGTGAGGAGTAGGCCCCAAGCGTAACAGAATTGTCCCATGAAGGCGTTGGCGATACCCAGGAGAGCAAGCGTGCCACCGTATTGTTCCGCACCGACTTGCATGAGCTCATGGAGGACACCGTAATCGCATAAAAGAACGAGAGGGACGCCGACGCAGAGCGTGTACAGGCCGATATACGCAAGAAAAATGACCGGATCACGAATGTATTCTGTCACGAGGATCGCATAGGCCGCAAAAACAACGGAAGCAAGAAGACTGTAGACTACACCGCTCGACCATGGCGCTGTAATATGGACTTTTTGATTTTGGCCTGCCATCGAAGTCGTTTCACCTGCTAAGGACGAAGATGAATCAGGTGAGTCCGTTGTGCTAGAGGATGGGTCAGGGTCTTGCTGTGACACAAGCAGACTCATCTGCTCTGTGGTATCTTCACTGTTGAAGGACACACCCAAAGCGAGTTTATGCGGTCGCAGTACCGAATATTCACTGTCGAGGAAAGCACGCTTCGCGTCGTCAAGCGTAGATGTGCGCGTGTGGAGCTGGAGCATGTCCTTTAAGAAGAAAGTGATGCCGCTGCTTGCACCGGGAAACATGTTGGTAGTCGTAGTCTCATATGATCCGTCGACGTCATTCTGACTAGAACCACTAGCTTGACGAGCCGATGCAGCTGCGTCAGTAGCCTCTCCACCACTGTGCAGGACCACGAAAACGCCACATGCACTCAGCAGAACGCCTAACCACTTTGATCCGTCGTGCTCCTCCCCAATCCACATCACTGACAACAGGTAAACGCTTACACCAGTGAAGCTGGAGACGAGAGCGCAATTCGATAGACTGGAATGAGTCATGCCTTGGAGCGCCGTCCACTGTGCGAGCAGGTAAACCGGGGCAATGAGGGCGATTATGACGTAAACGGGAGGACGTGCTGTTGAGGCCGCGATGCGATCGATTAGGGAGCGCGTTGAGGACACGGTCGATGTCATGGAAGCATCGCTCCATGCCTGAGAGGCAGCACGCGAGCCTTCCTCGGTTGTACCCTGTTGCAAGCGAGCAGCATTCTTCATCTTGCTGCTCAGCCTCGTCAGCCTGGTAAAGCCGTAAAGGGCCTCACTTTTGGCACGCGCTCGCGAAGCGGTCATCGGCGCACCGGTAAAAAAGTCTCGATCCTGCACAGTGAACAAGTCCAGCAAGGTGCTCACGCCTTCTTGTCGACCGCTCGAGGAGTTCAGCTGCAGCGACGATTGCCCAAGCGCTCCGACCTCATCTCCTGCTTGTAAATTTTGATGCGAAGGCGAAGACTTCGGTAGAGTTTTTCTTTTCGTCTCTGACGTGGCGCTCGACGAGGATGAGCCTGGGGACTTTGGCTTGGGTCGAATGGAACCCAGCTGCAAATTTTCTCTCGTTTCTCTACGATTGTGCTGAATTGGCTGGAAGACTCGACGACTACCATTTCCTGGAAGTTTCACAAATCCTGGTCCGTCCTGATCTTCCTCCTTTGACCTTGTACTTGTTCTATCCTGACAATCAATGACCTCATCCGGGGGAGCACCGTGCCCGTCTCGGTCTGCATCGTAGGCCGCAACAGGTTCAGCCAATAAGTCTTCATTTGGTTCTTGATCCTCATCTTCCTGCTGCGCCCGTCTACCTTTCTTGTCTTTGTCAACACTACGCCTCGACTTCCTACTTTTTGTCTTCTTATCCAGAGGCATACTGCTGTTGCCTTTCGTAGTTTCCTCAGGCAACGGCTGTCGAGTCAGTGACATTCTTCTGCCTGCCAACAAGAATGAGGCAACATGCAAATGGTCACGTAGGCTCTTGGCGCGAGTCTGACCGCCATCTGCGTCTGTGTTATCCCTTTGAGGTTGAACAAAAGACGCTACTGCTTCTTCGTCTGGAATCTGATTTTTTCTGGCGTCGTCGAAGAGTGAGCCACGCTGTTCCGTGTCTTTCTTACTTTCTCTGCGCCGTTTATTACCAGCTCTCTTCTTCTTTTCAGCTGAACGTGTTTCACTTTCACCAGATTTGTAGTTGCCAATGTTTGTTGGCGCACTTTCTGAAGGCACTGCAGCCGCGTTCTCACTCCTGTCTTCTCCATTTTTATCTTCATTGCTATCAAGGGTTTGATTCTGTAGTGGCTGTCCGGCAGTTGCATATTCCTCGGTCACTTCTGAAGCATTTATGTCACGGCGATCTTCCTCTTCCTGCTTGCGTGCGGGTGCTTCGTAATCTGGAGCAAAAAGATACATTGAAGCGCCAGAGATGTCCTTCTTGGAAGGTTTTTTATGCACGCGACTATGTGACACAAAACCACGAGGTTCACGCACGGACGGAGGCAGTAGTGTCTCTCTCGTCTCCTCGTCTTCTCTTTCTTGACGTTCAGCCGAGCGCACGGACTCTTGGTCGTCATCAAATTCATAGACGATTTCTTCTTCGGTTGCGTACTCTGTCGACTGTCGCGGTCCACTTGACGAGGTGGAGGCCATGCTGCTCTCATTGTCTAGTACTGCTTGCAACAATTGATCAGGTCGCCGACGTGATGTCCTCGCTATTCTTTTACTATTTCTAGTACTGTTAATTGTCTCAGGTGCGAAAGAAACACGGTCGTCAAAGCGAAGCCGCTTCGTAGATTTTCTTTTAGGGCGATGATCTTCACTTCCCAGAGAAAAGGACTCAGGATTGGCCCGACTACCAAGAAAATAACGGTCTGAGTCTGATGTATCGACGGAAGATTCATCCTCGTCTGCTCGTGGCGACTTGCCGTATGTGAAACTATCATCTTCCATCGCTGGTCCGTCAACGAGGGCCCAATTTGTCGCATAACGAGTATTAGACGCCTCAATATGGCTATGACCGCTATCCCTGTTGTGGTTGCCTCCGTCGTCTTCATGCGGGCTTCCGATTTCACTTTCTTTTATGGAGTCCAATAGTTGGGACGAGGAATTGGCGCCCGCGGCGTTAGCGGTCCCCTCTCGCCGTTTTCTATGACGTTTCGTGGACTTTCGATATGGCGACGCCCGCGGCCAGGCTCGTCCAGATCTTTCCCTATTGACGGAAAGCAACTGCGATTGGTGAAATGAACTTGATTCCATGTGCATGTGGTCGACACTTCTTGCGGAGCCAAGGCTGACCTCTTGAAGCATGTTATCCAGACGCGCTTGCTCCTCACCTTCACTTGTGGTGACGATCACACGATAAGTTTGATTCTGCTCTTCCTCGCCCCCCTCTTCTCGTTGTTCATGACTGACTTCCAGCTTCGAAATGATGTTGATGGGTCGAAGGGGCATCAAGTCATCTTCATGCGCACTGGCCTCATCTTCGACTTTCTTCTCCATGCGATGGCTTCCTTCGTACAAGCGGCGATCAAACGACTTCGAGGCACTCGGACCGTCTCGAGCGTGAGCATTGGTCTCAGATTCATCGCCGTTGCCGTGAGCGACGTCCCTGGCCGTGGCTACAGGTGAGACCTCTGGCGGCGTCAAGAAGTTCTGCGGCTGCGCGGTTGGCATACCTTGTGAAGCTCTCGGTAGGGCGAAAAAATGGCTGCTAGAGCTTGAGGATGAGCAGGAAGAATGCTGACTTCTAGGCAAATTACTCAACAACTTCAGGGGCGGCGATTCCGTTTCACCGGTGCCACCCAGCTTTTTGCTCGATGGTGTTGCATCAGTGGGTCGTGCATCTTCAGCTGCTGCCCGTTCCGAGAGTGTGCTTCTACTAGATTCTGATGCAGCAGCAGGGGGAGGTGTAGAAGGTTTCAGTTCTACGTCTTCTACTTCTGCGGCCACACTAGGGACTTGCGCTGTCGTATGCGGAGGTACTGAATAACGCTCATCTAGAGGAGAAGATGAATGGATAAGACCCACAGGAGACTGAACTTCTTCAACTGACGGCCGCGTCGTAGCTAAAGTCACGGAACCGAGAAGAATTCGTGAAGACCGGCCAGTCGACGTCGGGTGGCGCTGCCAATTGATGCTTGTGCCACCAATTCTAGCCATGTCGACCTCGGACGGAGACTGCAGAAACTTCGGGCCTGGGCTAACCCGCCCGCGAACCCTCGCAGCCGGACTCATCGAAAGCGAAGGCACGCGCGGCCTTTCTTTTGTCCCACTTGCACCTCTAATGTTCCGAGAAGCTCCGGCTCCGGGTGGCGGTACTTGCCATTGTCCTCCTTGCTGATGATCAGCAATAACAAGGTTATTGCTCCTAGAGAAACTGATTTGCTGTGGTGTTCTCTTTCCTCCACGATAGCTCTCGAGGGTGGCGAAGGATGAGTTGGCCTCTGGATCTCTGTATAATGCCTGCTGATCCTGCAGGATTTCACTGGTCGCAATGCTTTGGTCTCCCTCTGTACCACTGCGTCTGTCCATATTGACAACCACAGAATCGCCAGGCTGGTGTTCTTGTCCGTTTTTTCTATGCCACCGCCTGGCTTCCTGACGTCGCTGAGACGATGAATCCCCAGTTTCGTGCTCTGAAACGGAGTTACGCATCGAGCGCTCCCCACCCTGTCCTGAAGAGGACACGGACGCAGACAAGAATGTATTTGTATCCTTTAGTTGTAGAAGACCATTCTCCTGCATTAATCTGCGTTCATATTGTTCTGCTGCACCTGCAAAATTGATATCGCTTTCGTAGTACTCGTTCATTCGAGGCGTTGGATCCGTCATTTCTCCGTCGCCCTGCACTCTCAGTTTTGCGACGTCACGAGGTGGAATCTTTCCCCTATTTTTCTGTACCATCACAGTTCTGGTCGGGTCTCGGGACCAAGTTGCATCTCGAATCTCATCTCGCCGCCTACGGCGTCCTGCTCTTTCATCTGGCTGCTCGATCAGGGCACCTGACAACGTGTCGTACATTTTTCCACGGAAAAACGCTAGACCAGACGCTCGGATCGCCGCAGACGCGGTCTCCTCTTCGTCTGGTTCGTCCGGATTGGCGTAATTTTTGTAAGCCGTACGAACGAAATGGATCGGCCAGAAAATCAGCAACGCTAAATTCGTCAAAACCACGAAAGCCAGCGTGTGTGTATGTGATCCTCCGAGGACTCTAACTACAGCTCGCTGCACTTCAGAAGTGCCCACATCTACGAGAAAAAGTTAGACGTCGGTTAACTGATGGATTGTTCGTATAGTTGTCGTTCATCATCATTATCATCATCATCATCATGAACGACGCGATAATGATGATAATCATAGAGTGCCGCGGTACAACTACCTAGAACTAGGAACAGAATCATAGAACAACAAGAGTTAAGATAGAGCATCAAGAGCACGTTTCGGCCACCTCATCATGGCATTACTCTACAACGTTGCTAGTAGAAGTCAAGTGTTCAACTCATGCCTCCCACCCGCCTGCCATAACACACAGTGAGAATGAGCACCAAGCCAAGCAAAAAGCGGTCGCCTTCGCTCCATTTTTCAAACGGCTTTTGAGGAAAGTTCCGCACTCCGGATACGACCTCTGCGTGAGTGGTACCGGTGGCTTCCGAGCTTAGCATGAAACGCGCAGTGTCTTGCGGAACTTTATCCTGCGAGGCTTGGAGACTCCGGCTTCCCGTCGTTGATGTTCGGGATACGATCGCAGACCGAGAATGTGAAGAAAGAGATGCACCTCCACTTTGATTCATCCAGGGTTGCTCGAATTGGGAAAAATTTTCTGGCTGCAACTCATCTATTCTTCTTGATGTTGATGATTTTTTTCGCTTCCTTCCACCTGCCCTTTTTCCACCGATTCCACCGCTCTTCCTGCTACCTTGTGATCTTGAACTTGAACCACCGCCATGAGCATTGATGTCGTTCGAAGCAGTGCCGCCAGCACTTTCTTCCATTGCGAACGCTCCACTGAAAACGGTTGCTGCAAACGTGTAGTTTGGATCATGGCCCATCGCCCGTTGATGATGTTCTAGAAACGCATTAGAATGATCCTCGACTTGCTCGTCCTCTGTGTCCGAGCCCATAGGCAGGTGCGGGCCAGCATTCTCCGCGCCGAAGTGGTTGTGAATCGTCGCTCCATAACTGGTCATCGTCCCTGCTGACGAACTATTCAGGGACTGTGCTTCTTCGTAGTAGGTGTAGTACTTTGACGTTTGGAGGTCCCTCAAATGATCTTCAGCCTCCTCGTCCTCTCGCTCGTCCTCCTGGGCATCCGATTCATCCGATTCGTTAAATGTATCTTAAACATCATTATCATATAGCGTTTGTATATCTATACGCCCAGGATGGGCCCGCTGTGCTGGGCATAGGCTAACAACTAGGAAGGTAACTAAGATACAGAAAGGCAAACGAAAAAAGTCGCCAAGTCCGCTCGCCAAGGCTAGATCTAGAAAGGCTAGCAAGCTGGCCCCCACTGTTTGTGGCTAGGCTAGTAAGCTGGCTACTGCTATGGCTAGCTTACTCTGAAGCGTTGGCCAACAAACTTGCTTACTGGGAAGTCATTGGGCGCCAAGGTCGACCGCGGCGAGCTCAGAAGCTGTGGCCAGCTGGCTTGGAAGCCATGGCCGGCCCGCTTGGAAGCAATGACGAACTTGCCTAGAAGTCAAGTCGTGGCCAGGTAGCCTGGAAGCCATGGCGAGCCAGCTCACCTCAGAGAGAAGCCAATGCCAGCTAGCTTGGAAGCCATGGCGAGCTAGCTCAGAAGCCATGGCCAGGCCAGCCAGCTTGGAAGCCATAGCGAGGTAGCCCTGGCCAGCTAGCTCGGATCGGAAGCCCTGGCCTCCGAAGGCGTGGCCAGCTAGCCTGGAAGCCATGGTGAACGAGCTCAGAAGCCATCGCCAGCTAGCTTAGAGGCCGTCGCCAGGCAGCTTGGATTTGGAAGCCATGACCATGGCGCGCTAGCTCTGAAGCCATGGCCAGCTGCTAGCTTCGAGTTAGACAGCTTTCTCAGAAGCGTGGGGCAGCTAGGTAGCTATGAAGCCTTGGCCAGCTAACTCTGAAGCCTTGGCGGCCAACTTGCTAGCTTACGTTACTGGGAAGCCAAGCAATGAACTTAAACGCCCTGGCTGACTAGGTCAGAAACCGTCGCCAGCTTGCTAGCTCCGAAGCCTTGGCCAGGTAGCTCAGAAGCCATGGGCAGATGTGTTAGAAGCTATGGCCAGACAGCTTGGAAGCCATGGGGAGGGAGCTCCAAAGCCTTACCCGTGTAGCTTAGGTTAGAAGCCATGGCCAGCCAGCTCAGAAGCTACGGGCAGCGAGCTTAGAAGCCTTGGCCAGGGCCAGCTAGCTCAGAAGCCTTGGGATGGGCAGCTCCCTAGCGCTAGCCGAGAGGCCACGGGCTGGCCAGCTGCTTCTGTCAGCGCTGTCGCAACTTCTGCGCGAGCCGCTTCCTTTAGGGAGGGCCTATAGTAGCCGCTTTTACTAAGAGCGGGGCCCTTAGGGGAGCTCCTTAAGAGTGGACTACATTTAAGGCGCTTTCTTAAGGAGCTTTCTTAAGGGCCCACTCTCAAGGAGATCGTAGAATTTGCTTAATTGTGTCACTATTAGTATCATCTTATCTTCATCGGCGGCACGAAACGGCAGGAAGGAGCCGCTGCCTCGACGCTCCCTATAGTGATCATCCCTGTGGCTGTGAAGGGGTACGCTTTTATCACGACGTTTTTGCTTCTTGTTCGCCTGCAGGCGTCGGTGCGGTTCTCGAGCCCCATGCCCATCAACTCCATCATATCGAACATCTCCATCGCCGACCACGGCTTCGACGCTCATGTTGTTCACCGTCTGCACCTTCTCCCAAAGTTTCTGAGCCTGCTCACGCTTCACGCGGGCAGCGGCTGCAGAGCGGCGCGCCTCGATCGCCTGCAGCCGGTGCGCCGGATTGAAGTTGTGCTGTCCCTGCCGCATTTATCGAGCCTCCTCGTCTGGCACTGCTGCTTTCTACTCGTCATTATCATTTGCAAGTAATAAATAGGGTGTCCTCAGTCACCATCAGAAAAACCTTTCTTTGGCCACATTGACTCCTGCATAAACGATTGCTCTATTTTACGATACTGTTCAAATTAGAATTATTCAACACAACCTTGTTAGTTCTCCTTTTTCATGAGCACGTACTCATAATCAATAGTGATATTCATCGTCTTCATTTTTCACGTGGACGACATGATCTTTCTCGACGTTCTCTACTTCTTTTTCCTATGCATACTGTGCTTAAATATAGTTTGAATTTGTCCCATCTCATTCTCTTTTTCTTGGGCGATATCTTGCTCTTGCTTTTCTCCTCAAGGAGGGAAGTCAAGCGTTATTCCGCCCTCCGCGAATCCGAAAGTTTGTTCTGTTTTTGTCCGCTCATGGCGAGAACAAAATATGAAGTGCATGGTTTTGCACAAGAACGTATGGGGTGCACCACCAACGAGAATCTTTCCGGGACTGGGGCTACGCAGGCTGACATCGCAGGCCATCAAGCATGTAAAAATCTTTAATTTGTAGCAGAAGGTGGCAAGAAATACAAGAAAAATGTCTCACGACCTAGCGCTAGCGCACCAGACGAACGAAGACAGCAAAAAGTAAAAAGTGGATGAGTCGTAGCTGTTTATGTAAAGGTATGGTCACTTCATTCCTGAATGCATGATGAAGGTGGTTTGGATGGTGCTAGAATCGTACACGCTGGGTAACATCCTCCAATGTGCAAAGTAGAGCGCAGGACGCTTTCTTCTCCTTGCTTTTCTGTTTTCATGTTACCCTGTATATGCGTGCGAAACTTGTGACTGGCGCTCTGCATATCGGACACGCATTCAAAACAGAGTGGCAGGCGTCGCAAAGGCACAAATGGCCACAAGGTATTGCCGCGTGCGTTTGTTCACGCGAAAAACAGACAACACAGACGTTGTTCAGCCTGGTCGTGGTCGCGGATACGGAAGGACTACTCGGCGATGCCTTGCTTGTTGTGTTAGCAAATTCCTTGGATAACTGCGCCAGCTCGAGATTGGTAACATTCCTCTTGCTGCTTCGTCGCTCCTGATCTGGCAGATTCCTATGAAGGTCGTCGAGCGTAATTGTCGCTGCTTTGTTCGGGCTTGGCCGCACGAGATAACGATTCGGAGAAGGAGAAGCGCTTGGCTGAGCGGGAGGATACTCCTGGTCATCGTGAGGTTCTAATGGTAGATGATCCTGAACGTGTGAGGGATGAGGTGGTAATTCGGAAGGTGTTAGAAGTGGCGGAAGGGCATCAACTCCCGCAACACTATACTCTTGTTCCCCAGCAGAGACAATACTGGGATGGGGATCACTGGTGTTGACTGCTTGCTCAGAATCTTCTTCTCCATCGGCCGTTACAGCTGCCAAGTAATAGACACCGCCTCGGCCAGACGTGTCTACTATAGTGCCAGGCTGTGCCGCTCCAACGTGATTTGCCGATCGCTGTAGCGAGGTAGTCTGCGTGGCACTGGCACCTTCTACTTTTTCCACTATGCCCGACGACAACAAGTGTGATGAAACACCTACATCTCCGCTTGCACAATAAGGCTGATGATTTGATGTTTCTGCGGCACCGGCAGAAAGGAAGCTCAAGTCATGCCCACTACTAGCGGGTCCTACCGATGTACTGAAGGACGAATTATGCGACGTCGAATCAAGTTTAACCAGATGCAGATTGTTACTCTCTGTTGGTACTAAGCGATGGGTGACATAGTCTCTGTGGGGAGATAGGAACCCCGCGCCGCCATTGTAAATTTGTACGTCCTTGTCTCCATCTATGTTGTTTGCATCTGCTGGTGATGTGACATGGTCTGCGTAGGAATCAAGGTCGCCTGAGACGTGCGCCACTTGTTTCAGGTCTCCGTTGTGCGGTGCCTCTTGCTTTGCTGCTGCTGGGGTGGGATGCTGTGTCGGTGGATGATGAGTACCTGGTACGCTTCTCATTGCAGTGAAAAGATTCAAATTCAGAGCATCCTCCTGTGCACGAGACGTCAGAAATTCGACCGTTGAAGTTGATGGAGGTGCTTCTGTTCGCAGAGTCTGCGACGGACTGTTCGTCGAATCACGGCTCCTCGATGGCCCTAGACGATGCAACAGGTGGTTTTGCGCAGTAGCCGTTCTTTCCTGCTGCGCTAGCAGGTATTTCTGCGACACGTCTTCGGCTGAACGGTGCTGCTGCAGTCCCAAAGACTGGTATTGTGCAGGAGCTGCTGATCCGTCGTATAGTGCCGGTCTTCTCGCGTCAGATGTGGTGTAGGGAAATGAGTGGCCATTGTGTGGAGTAGCGTAGTGTCCTGCAGCCTGTGGTGCGCGCGGTTCTTTACTAGCACTGTTGTAGCTATAATAGCTTGGCGTTGTAGATAATGCGTCATCAATTGGTGACCGTAGTGGCCCGCTAGAGTATGGTGCACGGTCGTGCTGTTCAATGGGTGTGCCTGAAGATGAAGATGCACAGATTCCGGCCATAGCCCGCTCATAGTAGTCGTTCCAGCTGGTGGTGCCGACTTGTGCATAGAGTGGGCCCAACCCAGTTGCGCTCGAGGGCACAGGTGAGAAATTCGCGTTGTGGTCCGTGCGCGAAGGTGATACTGCTGTGCTACCGCCATGACCTTCACTCGATGTCCTGCTTAAATACAGATACTGTTGATTCACTGTGACGGGGATATTACCACCCGAACCTACACTGCCCAGAGAGCCACGACTTCCTTGAATGAAACCACCGCTTCCCCCGCTTGCACCAAGGCTCCTCCCGCTCCTAAAAGTGCGGACGCTACGAGCGGAGATTCCTCGATGCAATTCTTGGCCACTGGCGAGCCGCCCACTGCCACTGGAGCCTTCGAAACTGTAGTTATGTGCCGACGCACCGAAGCTACTATTTGCAGGAGGTGGAGCAGGCGACAATCGTGAAGGCACCGGAGGTTCGTCATGAAACAACGTGCTTGTCAAATACGTTTCTGAGGAAGGGTTGTGAAACACGATTACTTCGTCCGCGGAGCCGGGCAATGAAGCGTCTTCATCATAATTCTGCACCTGCTGTTGAATAAGCCCAGGTAAGACGTGTCGCTGTTCTTCTACCCGTTGATTTCCGTCCGGAAAGATTAGCCCACCTGCCGCTCCCCTGCCTCTGCTGCCGGAAGGCAGTGCACTACTCTCTAGTTGATCGTGGTTGTAATTGGTTCGAATTATGCTGTGGCTCTGTATTGAAGCAGGTCTTGCTGTCTGCGCATATGCTTCAGTCAATTGAAAGAACGTCCGAAATAAAGGCTCGCCATGTATCGCAGTATTGCCCGCCAGCTGCGCAAGCCAATCATTCAAGGCTAAAACACAAACATCCTCATCGACTAGCAATCGTTCCAACGAAACAAACTCTGGAAACGTAATATGCCCGCTTACAACAGCGCTCGTGGATGCGACGAGCTGGGTGGAAACGTCGAAGGACAAGAAATAGGTGGAGATTGCGGTTCACTATACTGAAGCAGACCATCGACTAATTTCTCTACTCTTTCTCGTATTTGCGATTACAATGCAAGTGCATGCTGAAAGAGAAAGCAAGTTCAAGGAAGAGCACATAACAAGAGGTCCTAACCTGTGGATGCAGCTCCTCGAGTCTTCGGTAGCCTTTAGAAACGTGATGACAGCCGCTCTGTGTGAGCTCGCAGACTTGAATTTTTAGGAAGATCTCGAGAACGGGCTCCAAAATCCGATCGCACTCGACAATTCGCAACTGCATGCTCGTCGTAGTCGTTGGAAACACGTGTTGTAGCCCGCCACGAATTGGGACAAAACGCGGTGGATTCGGGTGCTTTTCTTTCTACAGTGGTTGCCCACAACCAATAAAGTTGGTGTTCATGTTCGACAACGGCGGACTCACTTTCATCTTGTGGAAAAGAGGAGCATATTATATTGCATTCAACAACTTCAACTTCTACTTCCACGACTCCATCGGCTTTCCTCTTTCGCAAAACAACAAGTATGTGCATGCCATGCGTGGGCCTTTCTACTTTGTGGAAAGCGTGTGCTAGAGACCGACGAGGAGGTGCTTGCGTCGCAGTCGCTACTTAACAGAAATAACGAACTTGTAACTCTATAGCCTTCATTCAAGGCTGGGCGTGCGCGTGGTCCTTAGAGAAAAAATTAAGTACATTTCCTCACGGTCACAGCGGGAAAGATGGGGCAAAATTCATCCAGTTTTCTACAAACACCATCCAAATTTTCTGACAGGTTGAGAATGTGATGTAAAGGAAATTAAATGAATTTACATTGGCCAGTCGGACTAGTATTACTAGTTCCAACTACGGCACACGCACAGGCCTTCGCCTCGGACTTCTGTAGTTGTACTTGTACACGTTATTTTAAGCCGTGGACGCCATCTCGCATCATGTTATATCTCTCATACTCGCCCGCCTCGCTTCGCTTCGCTCAAGCGAAATGAATGACTTTCTTTTTCATGGACAGTGGTCGACGCCCAAGAAGTGAGATCAACGCCTCGGCACCGAATATTTTCTGACGGCTTCCAAAATCTGAGTTGTGAGATGAAGATGGAAACAGACATGATACTCATTCCACTTTCCCTTTTCTCTTGCGGGTATGTTAGCCTCCTCCAGAGAGCACCGTTTCCCAACATGCGATCATTCTGCCGTCGACTTGCCGGAAGAATCAACGCGAAGGATCGCGAGCGAATCAAATCAAAATCAAAAACAAAATGATCATGTGCTAGAACGCACCATCGTTATGATCGGAACTCTGTATATCATGAGTATCATCCTCTGCCTCTGCTCGTCATCGACATGTTCATGTTGATGAGCTGTGTGTCTTCTGATCTAAATCCACGTAGATTATCAAGGAAATGGGGATCCATTTAAACAAATAATTCTTATGCGAAAGGATTGTTCGCAAAATCAATGATATCGTTTTCCGCATCGTTGTAGTCTTCCTCCCCATCGTCGTCAGAGGACGACGCGTCATCGTCGACAACATCCACACTTGTCGAGGCTTGTTGTTGCATCATCCCGGTCGGATCATACAATGAGCCGGGATGATGATGTGGCTGCTGGGGCATAGTTATTCCGCTTGGTCCGTCGGAAGCGTTGAAGTCTCCCAACCCAGCCTTCTGCCGCGAAAAAGGTTGCAAGTGTGTGAGTGTGGGGCCATGTTGTCCTTGCCCACTGTTATTTTGCTTCATGTTGTTGTTTTGATTCTTTTTGTTCTTGCTCTTCATCGCAGCTTTCTTCTTCGTGACGTTTTTATTCTGTGCTTGATTGCTTTTCGCGTGTTTGCCCTTATTTTTCGCATTAGGCCCAGCAATTTTCTTGGCAGCGGCTGCCGCCTCCCTTTCCTGCGCAAGGAGGTTATATGCTCGCCTAGGGCCCCACTTCAGTTGATACGCAGTCGGCTTATCGCTCTGATAACCAGCTTCCATATCGATGAGATTGTGGGAGCAAAACGTGCGCACTGACGGATGGGGCGACAATCTTAAGTTTTTCCGTAAGTTATGAAATTGATCAAAGCTTTGGTTCCTTCGCAATTACTATGGAAACAAATGGCTTCTAGGTATTACTCATTTTGACACTGATCATGAAGATCTTGTTCCTGCTGTTGAAATACTATGATGCAAGTACTACAAAACTACACTACGGAACCACATTTACAATTAGCAAGTCCGTACATCTGACATGCGCAGCTATGTACGCATGGAGCTCAAGACAAAAACGTCTTTTGAAATGGTTTGCCAAACGAAAATCTAAATCAGAAGAAGTACTATTCCTTTTTCCAGTTGCGAGGGTTTGCCAGAAAAGCTGTGTTGTGCGGCCTTCTGCCTCAGGGTCTATCAGATATTGCGCGCGGTCGAAGTACCAACAGAGAGCCGGGTGTTCGCGTAAGAAGGTCGCGCAGTGTTTTGATCTCTCGTCGGCGTCGTGATCAGGCTGACACTTAGTTGTATAGAAATCGCGCATCAATCGCACTATAAGTTCATCCGGTATAAAGGTAGGCCGCTGCGCTACCCACTGATCGTACTCCTCCTTTTTCGCTATAGGCTTCATCTCGGCCTTCTTTTGACGAACTAGTTCTGACCTAACGACAGCCGGATGAGCACCATTATCTGCGATTTGTTCTTCTGATGAAGCAGCAGCAGAAGAACAAGAACTATTTGTATTTGATTCAACAGCATGTTCATGTTCATAGACTACTTGTGGCGCTTGTGGTGATGGCGCAGAACTTGATGTTGTAGAGGAGCTGAATCCCCCGCCTGTCGTCATCGTGGTGTGATTTTGATGCTGGGTAGCCATGGACTGGGCGGTCCCGGTAGACCGACTCACCTTGACGAGCTGCGGTGGACCAGCGAAAGCTTTTCCTTTAGGACCACCTCCACCTACTATCGCAACGGATGAAAAGGATGACGATGGTACAGCTGCCGCTGCTGTAAATAATGGACTGACAGAACCTCTACTGGAAGAAGAGGGGCCACCTACAACACTATTGTTGGCAGCAGCATTAGCAGTACTAGTGCGAGGTGGTAGATTGGTAGGCATCACCGGTACAGGAAAATGAGACGGGGGACATGGCGCACCTGGTTCAGGAATTGGTATCTTGCGAAGTCTGGGTAGGTGAGTAGCATTACCGGCATCCACCGCCACGGGATGTTTCGCTTCTATGCGTGGGCTTCCCTGCGGGTGGTAGCCGAGAAGTGAATTAAAGGCGGGCGCACCAGGCAGAGCGGCAACTGGAGGTGGAGGCTGTGGCATCTTGTTCATTTTTGACATCATTGCAAGGATAGCAGGATCTGGAGGCGCAGGCGGGACCGGCAATTGCATGACAGTATCCAACAAGTTGATATTGAAGACTCCACCTTTTGCTCCAGGTTGGACAATCGGTCGTTCGACAAGGAGCGGATCTTTACCCTCCTCAGCCAGCATTGCATTGACATCGTCAAGAGTGCGCGCATCGCGCTTCACCTGTTTTGCTGCTATTAATTTGGACTCCGACATCTGACTCGCGTGTGCGGTAGCCGCCGCAGACAAGTCGGCTAACTTCTGTGCCCAGTGTTCTTTTTGTGTTTGGGCGTGTTGTAGCTCATCCTCCAGACTTCGAGTCCCTCCTGGGTGGCCCGGGGCCGCGCTTGATGTTGTAGCTTCGTTGGTAGTCGTCGCTCGAGAAGACGCAGACGGACCACTCAAGGCTGCGTAATTAACTGCTGTGGTTGCTGATGGCCCGCCTAGCATTGCCACTTTCATTCTTGCAGTCTCTTTGATCTTTGTTAGCTTTTTCACATTGGGGTATTTATTGCCCGCTCCCGTGTTATTGGCGGTGCTGCTACTTGTATTCGCATTGCCGGTGCTAGTCGTAGCCCCGTGAGTAGAAACAGGATTACTTATATTTGTGTGATATCGTACATCATTCCCAAAATGATGAGCCGGCTGTTGCAAAGGAGCACAGGTCGGACTACCTGCAACGTTTTTTGAGCTGCCGGATGAGGAAGCTACTGCTGGCAGATGATATCGCATGCTGGAGGAGGATGCTGTATCTCTATCTTCAAGACCGTGGTTTCGTCGGGGAATTTCGACTTGTTCTGGTACTCTCTGAGGCAATGGTATTTCACTTTTCTCAAAGTCTTCCAAAACTTGACGTCGGACCCGAGCTGCGCCCTCATGCCACAGGGAATAACGTGGATCACAGCGCGGTCCTCTGGGAGCAGGCAATTGCTTCAGGAGTTCCGGTCGTGGAGGAGGCAACTTTTCGTGTCCTGGAAAAAGGCCATTTTGGACCCACTGCGGCAGTGCGGTAAAAGGCTGCCCGCCTTTTTTTCCACTCTTACCTCTACCTTTGTCTTTATCACCAGCAGACCAACCACTTCCTGTTGCTTCGCCTTTTTTAATGTTGTCCTTGTCATTTGGATTTGCTGCTCCATGAAAATTATCTTTACTACGTCCTCGCTTGCTCATATTGTTCTTTCCAGAAGTAGACGAATGAGCTTGTTCAGCCGGTTCCTGACCATCGTCGTCACCTTCACGATATTCTAGATTTTCTAGGCAGGAATTTGAAGATTTCGATGACGTCACCGCTCCAACGTTAGGCTTTGCTCCGACTGGAGGCGGCAAAACGCCTCGCGCTGCGATGAACTGAGCTCCGCGTGGTTTTGGCGCTCGCCACTGCTTGCTTGGTACTGTTGATGACCCGCGCGGGTCCTCGTCCTGGAATTTCCAATTGAACGAGTTATCATTTGTATCTTGATCTGCACCTGGAAACTCAACATCCATCGGGACTTCTTCGTCTCCCCCTGCAGCCGCCTCATCAATCCATTCTGAAGGTTGTTCCGCTTGTTGTTTTCGTCGCCTTACCGGTTGCGGATCAGGAGAATCATGCTGCCTGGCATGGTAATAGTTCTGCCCGCAGTAGTCGTTCATTTTTTTTGCTATATTCCCTACTAGGTACGCGTACGATGGGAAAATATTAAGTTGCTGCAAATCAAACACCTACCCTTGTTAGCAACACGTCAAATCATCTTGCTTGTCTTCTTGACCTTTGCACTGTGCGCTTTAATGCTCTACTCATCATACACATGCAACACCTGCACAGTAGTGAAACAGGATGTCAGGATTCTTGTAACCTGGTGCTGTCCACCGGCGTCATAAGTGAGCACGAATGGATTTGACGCCAATCTTGGAAAAGACCTACCAACCAATTCCTCGTCTCCTCGTTATTTCGTATTCGTTTAACAAATTGATACGAATGTCCTTATCAAGTCACGGCGAGGAAACGGAAAGAAACACCTAGAGTATATGTCGATGGGCCAGCGTCACATACAGAGCGAAGGCACAGGATCCACGATACCTTTGTGTTGCGCCGGATCTTGTTGATCATTAGGAAACGCAATAGCTGCTCGAGAAAGAGGGTGCACATACAAATAATATATGCGTGGTGAAGGAGCCCAGTACAGGAGCCTTTGACAACTCTGTGTCCTTGATGGTTCATCTTTGTTCATACTGCAGCTTTTTTGTTCCTTGAGTATTGGGTGAAAGAGTTCTTCGTCGAGAAGGTCCTCCTATTTTTGAGTCCACCAATGGCGCCGGTGTACACGAGATCAAATTTAGAAGTTCAATAGATAGGGTTATTGTTATATGATATTTTGCGCAGTCGATCTCAATGCAATTATTTCATGCTTTTTATATCTGTGCGTTGCAGATGATGAAGATTATGATACAATTTCTATAATCCCAGTGTGTAGAAGTGGATCTTGTAGTGATTATGCGATGAGAATTAGAATCAGAATACAGGTGTAAAGACCATCGTGAATAGGAATAGCATGAAGCTAAGGATTAATGTCCATGGTGACGGATACTAGATATTCTTAGGGAAAGTCCTCGTTGCAGGCATCGCACGAGCCTCCAGTCCTTGTCGTCCCTCGGCCAACCAACTGCAATATCAAAGTACGAACTTGTTTTTTTGGGAGTGTTACTCGTAAACTGTGACCCTACCAGGAATGGCAGATGTTGACATCTCACTAAAAATAGAACTGGTGGTGAAACAGAGGGACAAGCTGCAGCATCCCCGGTAACAAAAAATTTTTTCGTTATGATCTTCTTCTGCAAATGTATCTTCTTGCCTTCGGTGCTGTTCTTATCCAGACTATATCAAGTAGAAGGCGGTCGATGTTGCATTTACTTTCTCGCGTTATGCATGATGTGGAGGATATCGCCATCCTTCACGACGTACTGTTTTCCCTCCATGCGGTACTTCCCTGCAGCCTTTACTCCTGCCATGCTCGTCTTGGCTCCTGGCGATTGGAGCGCTAAGAAGTCCTCGTAGGTGCACACTTCTGCCTTAATAAAGCATTTCTCCATATCGGAATGTATCGCTCCTGCGCAGTTCGGGGCAGTTGCGCCCTTGTACACGGTCCATGCTCGGACCTCGTCTTCACCGCAGGTGAAGAAATACATCAAGTTCAGCTCATTATGTCCGGTCTTGATGATCTTATCGATGGCACTGTCGGTGTTACCCTCCTCAGCCTTAATAGCGGCCAAAGCCGCAGGATCGTCACGAGCGTTGAATAGCTGCTCCTCAAAATCGACGGAAAACGGAATAATGGTTCCGCCGCCGTGCTCCTGGATCCATGTGAACACCTTCGACAACCTGGTGGATGAAAGGTGGTAGGAAAGATTTGTACAACCTGATGAAGAGAGGAAGGGAGGAAAAATGTAAAAAGTGCAGAGTTTCTTCATCTTCTTGTAAGCATTTATATAACAGAGCAACTCATAAGGTTTCACAGCTCGCATGGCATGGAGTGCATGGATCACATGGAGTAGCATGGAGCTAAAGGGGGAGCTTCTTGCGCCCCTTAAAGCTCTGCGCTCCATGCACTCCATGCTACTCCATGCACCATGCGTGCTATGAACTACTCTGATATAATCAATCAACACGATCACGAATTATACATGGAAGAGGATTACGCGCCCGAAGCGGAAGTTGCTTCCGGTTGTGCTTGTTACTCACTATTTTCTGCTTGTTTATTCGCTCCCCAGAATTGGATCGGTGGGCATGCTTGGCACGCTGGGCCGCTGGGCGGGCCAAAACTGGGTCTTCTGCGAAATATTTCGCCAACTGTGCGCCCACCGTAAGACTTGGGGCCAAAAATCGGGGCGCCCTTCGGGCACCCATTTCTGAAGCCACCCGGCAGAGTAAGCGCGTGCGCCCTGAATCCGCAGCAAGCTGCATAAGAAATGGGGCGCCCACCTACTGGCCCGCCTGGGGATATCCCTCAGCAGCACTGGCCGCACATTGCAGCAGAGCACTGAGGCGCACTGCAGCGCTGCGCCGCACTCTACACACCCAAGCGGCACTGCATACAGCAGGGAAGCACTCCGCAAAGGAGCACAGCGCCGAGCGGCCCTCGACTGCGGCCCTGTACATTGGCGGAAGCAGCGGGGCAACGCTATATGCTCCCAGCGTGCCCCCCATGTGTGCCAAGGGTCCGCCCACCGTGCCAAGCGTGGCCGCCCAGCGCCCCAGCGTCGCCCACCTGCTTCCCACCGTCTATAAACTATGCTACGTATAAGTACCATTTGTTCTTCTTGGTCTTGTATCCTTTCTCAGACATGTTGAGCAGATAGACGACGGGCTTTGTAGTGATGAGAATTGGAAGAAACTCGTTGATTTTTTCGACTTCGATTGGGGACCAGGCCTGTTTCGAAAGAAGCTGGTTTTTCTCGAGGTATCCCTTTACTTTATCCATGCATGCGGTCCACTCTTCTGGAATTTTTTTCTGTGCTCGCTTCATCGACGTAACGTAGGCCTCAACCACTTTCTCGTAATACCTATTATGGTGAAGTGGAATTTTTCAAGTTTTTGATTATGTTAGAGCAAATGTAAGCGCGAGTTTTCATCGATTCATTGCGACTTCACGACGACTGTGCTAAGAGAGCGAGAGCTGTTGACTTAATTTCAATGTAGCACCCAAAAATATTAGGACTACTGCTGTGGACCTTCAAAAAAAGTCATACGCGAGATCCTTCAAGCAGAGCTCTTGGGTAATGGTATCGAGGTCCCTCACGGGATCCACACTGTCGTCAACGTGTGTTACGTCTGCATCCTCGAATAGTCGGATCATATGGAAGATGCCTGAAGGTGAAGGCAGTGCGAGTGTAGAGAAGAGGTGGCGTTTTTGCTTTCTGACTTGAACTTGATTTGCAGGTACAAGTAAATGAATCTTGAATATGTTGTAGTCCTCTTCTTTCCGAATGCATATCAGGATCAACGAGCGTGTCCTTGAACTTCAACTAGCAGGTACAACTTCTACTTAACGGCTTTCTAATCAACATTTGCTGGTAAAAATTTCGCGTCCTCTGTAACAAATTTGTACCATCTACAGCTTGAATATGACTGAGAAAGTCATTTCCTAGACCGGCGCCCTCGTGCGCCCCTCTGACCAAACCGGCAATGTCGGTGACGTTCAAATATGCGGGTACTATACTTTTCGGCTTCCACATCTCGCAAAGCTTCTCGAACCTTGATTGTGTGACAAAGATCTGACGTAAGAGAAAGAGATATTATTATAGTATTCTCTGCTACTGCTACAGCTACAACTTTATTCATCGTATCCTCATTCTCAACGCTTTCAATATCATTTATGATCGAAGAGAAAGTTGATCAATTCTTACCTGTCATCAGGGACTTTACATCTTCCTTCGTTTGGCTTGATTGTGCAGAAGGGAAAGTTTTGCGCCTCTGCTGCTTGCTTGGTGAGCAGGTTGAAAAAAGAACTCTTTCCTACGTTTGGGAGACCGACAACACCCATTTTTAAGTTCGTTTTTGTTCGGCCAAACCGAAGCTCGACTGAGTAAGCCGGCTTCTCATCCTTGTTCTTCTTTGGTGCCATTGTGCTGATCTGCTCACGCTGCGCGCTGCCTGTCTAGTAATCGAAACAATAAATATATATTCCAGAATGAAACAATTGTCTTCGCCTTCGCTCTGGTTCTTCTTCAACCACAACAAAACAAGTTTATGTTACTTCTGCATACAATTACAACACACACCTGTGATGAAGAGGTGGGAAAATATTACGAAGTCGCGGTTTACTAGGATTCACGTTTAGTTACTCCACTTTTTCAGATCGCGTGGGCGTGTAAGCGTGAGTATGTAATGTTAAATTAGAAACTGAACTCGCAGAAGATGCCGCCTTTTGCTATCCATTGATCGAAGACCGAAGACATGGATCAACATGTTGATTAAATTCTTTTTCTGATTCTCTTAACATTGCGATGCATTATAATGGGAAGAAGCCAGCGAAAAACTGCAAAAATTCGGACTAATTCAATCCCACGGGGCAGGATGTAAGCCCCTAAATCTGTCCCCGCATACTGTTGCCCTTCAGCAAAGTCCCCTGCTTAAGCTTTGGCGAAGTGCGTAATTGGAAACCCCGCCCCCGCTCCAGAATATTTCCAGGCACATGCTTGCCGCCTGGCGTGGTGGATTCTGGTGGGGCGTGGGCAACACAGAAAACAAAGATAAGAGACACACGAAACCGAAAGAAGACAAGGGGGGGACATCGCTAAGTAGCGCACTCCCTTGACGGAATGGGGGCCATTCTGACCGTTTTCGTGCAGTGCTAAGCTGACTTTTCGCCAATATATCCGACAATTATGTTCAGACTCGAGGTGACGAGTATCTAACTGCCATTCCAGTGGACCAGGATCACATAGGTCAAGGATCACATACGTTGCCCCTACCAGGTGTGAAGGAGCTTGAACGGCAATAACAGATCCGGATCAGAAAGCGACACGGCGATCATGTAGAGCAGAACCACGTCTGATGAAAATTCTTAACCAGATCAAAATTTTTCTTTCCTCAATATCAAATAAGTAAGTAGATGATCGAGTTAATTTTTCATGTTGAAGCCGGAACCCGTCAATTGTCACACCGCCGTGGGTAGATGTGGCGTAAAAGCTGCGTTGTATTTTCGAATTTCAGCATCTTCCTTGTGAAAATTTCAACACTTTTCCCTGCTGAACCGCTCAAGTCGATAGAAGTGTCCATTTATGCAAATAGTATATATAATATAGAAGTCACAAGTAAATTCGAATCAACCTCTATCCGCTCGATTTAAATTTAGAACTTCACCTACGGCCTCGCGCCGCTCATCCGCAGCATTTATTTTTGTTTCTTGACTCCTTTCGCCGCTACTTTCTTCTTACGACCTTTGAGAAGCGGCATTTCAGACTTCTCTACAACTTTCTTTTTGTCTGTCGACTTCGCGCTTGCGGCTTTTTTAGTCTGGGAGACAGCACCCTTCCTCCCCGCTTGTGCCTCCTTCATTTCAGGATCCTCGCTGTTGCTGTCGTTGCCAGCTGTCGTCGCGTCGTCAGCGATAGACTGTACCTTTTCCTTCTTGCTTTCCTGCTTCGTTGCCTTTTTCAGAGAAGTCTCCACGATTATAGCGTCGCCGTCAAGTTCCTGCGCGTAGACCGGCAAGGAAATGCAATCTGTTGCCGTTATGTGTGCGGCCTTCACCTCTAGTCCCTTCTCCGCAAATATTGATGCTGCTTTTTCGCAAACCTAGTAAGTAGTATGTATTAGCAGAAGTTAGATGATGTTGATCGTCGAATGAGAACAAGAAATTGTGCCTGATGCTTAGATAAAGGCTCAAAAAAATGATAAGAAGCCCGTGAAACAGTCGGTTTATTTCCATTTCCGGTTAACAACTTAGACCTACATCGCTTTTCTGTTAGAGGTACCGCTGAGCAGTTTTCTGCGAGCTGTTCTGGTGTCATGCTGCACCGGCCGATGCGGACTCCTACGCAGGGACCCGATGGTACTGTCATGGTCGTGCTCTTGAGGACGCTGAGGATATCTTCGCTTGGTCTCTGCTTGGTGATCGTCACCGGAACTGGCGCTTTGTGGCGGCTTTTGTAGAAAGTCTTCCCTAGAACCTGTGGCATCGTCTCAAGAATCGTCTTGTCGCATAAAAACAAGTCATAAGAGTTGCACAACGCGCGCTTCTGCTCGAAATGCTTGAATTCCTTCTTAACTTTCTGCAATTGCATCACTTTCTGGACCTGCAGGTGAGAGGAGGAGGTAGAACCCTAATAAACCCCGGACATGAACAAAATAATGGAGTTGTGTAGTTGAAAAAAGTGATGATCTTCTAGTTAACAATTATAGTATCGAGCAAAGACTTCTGGCTACAGCGGCCTCGATCTTGTAGTTTTTAACAAAGGTTATGAAAGTGCTCTAGTTATTACCGCCTTGATGTTCTGCGATTTGACCAAATTCTTCCATTCCTTTCGCTTTGTCTCGTGGAATTTCTTGTTGCGGTCGTCGAGATCATCCCTGACAAAAACGCAAACCTCTGAGGACTCGTACCTTTTATCATTATCATGGGTTTGTCTTTGTTATTCCTTGGCTGCTCAGTTGTTCTAGTACAGCTACATTTTCTTACGGCTGACCGTCTTATCTAACAGCGTCAGAGAGTTAGTTGTGAGTACTTGTTACTATATATAATGCAGGATTCATTTCGATTTCTAGCACAGTATCGTCTAGAGGCGAAAATAATATTGGCAGTGACAAATCATCGACCACGCCCGATTTAATTTCAAATGGAGAATTCAATTAAGTAAATTCGACTTACATTGGATTCGGCAGCGTGATTCTGTATGGTTTGTGAATCGCCTTGGGAGGAATCGATGCAAGAGAGAAGTCGAGTCTCACTGTCTCTGAGTTGGTGTCGAACAGCTGTTTTCTTTGCTCGTCCTTGTTCCGCTTCTCAATGTATGAGAGAAGCCCTGAGCAGGCGCTTTTCATAGCATCAGACTCCACCTTCATTTTCAGGAGCAGGCGAAGCACCAGAAATAAGACAATGTAAAGAAAAAGAAAAAATGATGGAACTTCGAAAACACCAAGTTTTTGTCCTCGAGTAAAACACTTAGAAAACGTGAATCAATTATAGGATGCCAATAACGAAGAAATAATTGAAGATTAAGTGCTTGTTTTCTTTTCGAAAAATAGCGACCTGGAGGATGAATGTGTTAGTTCGATAAGTGCAATGTATCTATTGTCCCGATCAAAAGGTAAAAAAGAAAAACAGCACAGGATCTTACCTAAAGTGATTCATTTATAAGCACAAGGCAGGAACAGGAGAATTATGATCTGGTGTATCATCACAGCAGAGCCTGCTAGATCTTCGCAACATGATTCACAAGATCTTCGCAGTAGAGACGGTCTCGCTATCTTTCCCCTACTCCTGCTGTCGCAGCGACATAAAAAACCATGTTATCATGATCCATCAAGCTGAGAAGACTTAGATCTCTCTCGCAAGACCCAAAACGACTAGACGGCCCAGAGCGGCCCATTATGATCGCTCAGTTGATCCATACAATCGTCTTCTCCTGATCTATTATCATGCTCGTACTTTGATTTTGTCGTTTGTTTGAACGTGAAGGTGATCGTAGAGCGAAAAGATCCGTCCATGAAATAATACGGAACAGCGCGTCAACATTGTGGACGAAGTTGAGCCCTGCTTTATCGAGAGAGCGTGACCATTGTCACACAACCAAAGCCGAGTCGTGTTTTGCATGTACATATTTTGGAAATTCTGCAACAAGAGGAGGAAAATAATGCTCAGACGAGTGAAATTCATCATTTAAATTTTGTTTCCACCCAACATAGCAATATAAATCTTCAGACACATTTAATGCAAAAGATTGGAAACTGGTGATGATCTTTTCCTTCGTCTTCACTCAATGAATATTGAATGAATAACGCAATCATTTCTGCATCATGACCACTGTAGATTCGTCCTATGGAGTTGAAGCATCAGATCATGATGACGTTGAATATGTTGTTTTTTGTTCTACTTTTTATCTAGCACTTGTCATATGTTGTAGTGCCGGTTCTTGTAGTACCGGAAAAGGATAAGAGAAAGCCAATCAATTATAGATATATATATAGTCAGGGCGTCTCCACAGAGCGCATATCTCTCGCAGCTGCGACTGCCGCACCTCTACGCCCGGAGGCGACGTGAGGGAGCGAAGTTCTTCACACTACGTCGGCCGAGAGAGGGCTCGAACTTGAGAAAAATAACGTTTGGAGACGCTCATCCTGCGTTATTTGCAAATCATGAAATAATCTTTACATGTTACATTTTTCATGGCGAGGACCGCAGCCACACATCGACTGCATCGATCGATGAGTAGAAATGGCGTTGCAGCTTCTCGCTCAAGCAAATCCTGCATCGTACGAGGGACAGCGATGAGGGAAGTCGTTGCTTTGTTGTAGTAGCTGGTAAAAAACCGACGTCGTGCAATTAATCATGAGGAAGACAATTTCCAGTTAATGTAGATGATGCACTGGCATGACTTCTAAAACTGGTGCTACTTTTTACATGATGGTCAACATACTGTAGTTTCAGAGTTATATTAATGATGAGCATTCCCATTAGTTATTCAGGCCTTTGTAGGTGTACAACCTACGCTAGCTGTAGGTAGCTTCGCCAGCTGTTTGGAAAAGTTTTCGTAGTACTAGCACCTTCTTACAACTGTATATTTTCGTTGACTTACGAAGGGGTCTCAATTGCATAAATACACTTTCCGTTCGCTCCTAGAAGAATAAGAATCAATTCGACTTTTGCTTTCGTTTCTGATTACAAGACTTGACGTATGTATCTTGTGGTGGCTGTTACAAGTCCGATTTGCAAGCGTTCTGATCACAATCAATTCCTGTTCATTTTTTCTTCAAGATCGTCCATAAAAATTCTGACAAATTATATAGAACGCACTAGCGTATGAGAAGACGAACAGCAAGTTTTCTTTTGTCAGCGAACAGAAACAAGTTTGCTGAAAATGCCATAAACATGAAACTTCTTTATCTTTAACAAATACTTATATCTTCCCAAATGCTTTACGAAAAGCAATATTCTAAAGAGATAAGGATGTAGACCTTAGATAGTTGAAAAAAATACTTCACGAGAGATGAAAGAAAATCCTGATCACAGGTGAGACTTCTGGTCTGCTGCGTCGTAGAGGTCATTTTTTGTGTGTGTGTATTTTCCTGAGTGATGTGTTTAGAAAGTTTGGATGATGGAGAGAATGTGTTTAAAATCAGATTCTTGTGTAATAGAAGTACCTGCATAAGGTACAGAAGCACATAAAGAGTTAGGTTGGTGTAAGGTAGCCATTATAAGGAATGAAATAAGGGTAAGAAAAGTAGGTCTAGAGCGCGCAAAGTAAAAGCTCCTGACTTCTGCCACATAATCATAAGGTCCTGCCAAGAGAAGGAAGAGATGTAGGTGCTCGCGATGAGATCGGTACGGCGAAGTTGATCTTGCTTATGGGTGCTAGCTCACCAAGATCAACAACCGAAGCCATCCGTGGTCTTATTAATTATCTCTTCCTTGGTCTGTCCGTGGTATGGTGGCTGGCAGTCGGTTGGCGTGCATGGCAGTTTCCACGTAATAGGTCTAAAAATAGATAGCACTGCCACTGTCCACCCTATACATAGTAAGTGCACCCAAGTAGACTAACTATTCATAATAATTTATCTGCTACACAACAGAATGGCCTTAACTCGTGCTCCCGGGTATTGTTGTTCGCTTGGTTTGAATAATTACAATTTAGGACTAGGACTAGGTCTAGGTTAATAATCATGATGCAGAACACGAAGGTGGTGCGTAAAAGTTTCTAAAACAAAGTTCAAGATAGATCAATAAAAATCTAGGTAGATGCATTTGAGCGACCATTCGAAAATGACATACAGTTCCCTTCTTCCTACCGGACCTACAGGGAAATCAATGGGAAAATGAAATTACTAATGACGTTAGCATTGCGCACTCCTACCACTTTTTTTGGTGTTTGGGGTGTTGTAGAAGTTCTAGTCGGTTTGATCGTTCTTGGTGGCGGTACCGATAGCGGTTGGTGTTGGCAATAATTACATTCACACAAGTTCTCTCTGTTTCGAATACGGCAAGGTCATTCCGCGCAAGTACATGCGGATTTGTGTATAATTCGAATCCTCTAGTACTGGTAGCCTTTCTAGTTCTCCTGTTCCGTCAGATCGCATTTCATCTTCGATGATCTTTTCTTTGCATTGGTGGATCCTATGATAGAGAGAAAAGATGATCTAGAAGATCGCTTGCGTTTTCATCCGATGTGAAGCAAGCTGAAACAAGCATCCTTTTTCTTATTTGTAATGCTAATGTCATTTGCTCTTGCTGGAAGAATTGCTTCCACGGCGCCTTTTGCTCATTTCGATAACACCGACCACGCCAGGAGAAGTACGAGAAAGTACTGCGATCATAGATCAGGATCTTTTTGATATCGACATCAATGCAGCTGGTGAGCTGCCTTGTGGTGCATCATATGAATCACGACTGCGAACAACAAGCAATGTGTTGATCCCATTAGTACATGCAAATTAATGGAAATACGATCCACGTTGTGCAAGTTTGTGTCGATAACCTTGACCACGCAGTGTAGGAGCGTTAGAGTTCGCCACGAACGGGACTTGATGTTGCTTCTTTTTTCTGAGCGGCTGCTTTACTAGCTTTCTTACCTTTGCGCTTTGGCGGTGGTGTAGTAGAGGCTTTCGACTTGTCGACGATTTTGATGTTCTTGTCAACTGGACGCTTCTTCTTTTTCGCGCTCTTTTTGCCGGCAGGTGAAGCGTTCGGATTTTCGCTACCGATACCTCCCGGCATGGGCTTCCGCGAAGAGGCCAACTTCCTGTCACATTTGCCCGCCTTCCGACAGGCCATTGCTGCTAGCTGTGGTATGGTCGCAACCGACTTCTTCTTCTTTACCTCGCGTAAAATTACGTCCACCATCTCCTCACGATAGCCCGCAATGGAAGATGAAACAGGGACGGGCAAGAAGAGGGAGTCCGAGTCAGCATAATTCTAGTAAGAAAGTCGCTCAACATCAGGCTCAGTTCCACTTCCAGCGATTCATTACTTGTTGAAATCAAGTCTAAAATCAATATTAAGAGCAATAAAACTTTGCAACCTCCAACACCCGAACCAACACCCGAACCCAAAACCTCCGACACAAAAACAAACAAACCCCAAACCCATGAACCCATGAACCCAGGAAACCAGGAAACCAGGAAACCAGGAAACCAGGAAACCAGGAAACCAGGAAACCAGGAAACCAGGAAACCAAGAAACCAAGAAACCACGAAACCACGAAACCACGAAACCACGAAACCACGAAACCACGAAACCACGAAACCACGAAACCACGAAACCACGAAACCACGAAACCACGAAGCCACGGGATTGAATTTCGGGGGAAAGGGCTTAAAATCAAAAATTTTAGGATCTTAACGCTTCAAACTCACGCGACTCTATCTCAAAACGACGGCAAAACGTGAAAAATTTTCGAAATTTGAAAAACGCGAATCCAAGGAATTAAATTCCAGGGAAAGGGCTTAAAATCAAAAATTTTAGGGTCTTAGCTCTTCAAAATCAACGGACTCACTCGCAAAATGACGAAAAAGGTGGAAAACTTTCGAAATTTGAAAAACGCGACGCCAAGAGATTGAATCCCAGGGAAAGGGTTCAAAATATCTTCGAAATTTGAAAAAACGCGAATCCAAGGAATTAAATTCGAGAGAAAGGGCTTAAAATCAAAAATTTTGCGATCTTAGCACCTCAAACGCACGGAATTCAACCCGAAAACGGCGGCAAAATGTGGAAAGTTTTCGAATTTTGAAAAATGCAAATCCAAGAAATTGAATTCCAGGGAGAGGGCTTAAAATCAAAAATTTTGGGAGTTTAGCGCTTCAAACGCACGAAATTCAATCCCAAAACGACAGCAAAACGTGGAGAATTTTCGAAATTTGAAGAATGCAAATCCAAGCACGAGGCTGAATTTCAGCGGAAGGGCTTAAAGTCCAAAAGTTTTGGGATCTTAGCGCTTGACTTCAAACGCACGAGATCCAATCCGCAAACGATGGCAAAACGTGGAAAATTTTCGAAATTTGACAACGCATATCGCTTACATCTTTGCCTTGCTTATTTTCTTATTTTGGGGAGGAGGATGATCCTAGTGGGAGGGATGTTATCGGACGCTCCAAGCTAGTATACATATACAATCGCCTACTACGGGTTGCTAAGTAGAGGTAGATGATCATAAAGTTTGTTCGCAGGAAAAGAAAACAATCTCCTTCCACAGTTCGTAAGTGTTCACTGAGTGATCACTTGGGCGCCCCCCATGCTCCGGTGGATGTACGCATGGCTCAGTCTTTCGCTCTTCTTCGGCACCTGATGAACGAGTAAATGGTTGGTGATCATTATACTCGAAAAACTGAAATAAGCTTAAGTGAGTTGGAAAATAAGTGAAAGTATGGACCATTCCAAGAGGGGCCAAAGTGGTCAGCTTCTAGTGGGGATTGCAGTTTTACTCAAATACGCCCGGCAGTACTTTCATGCATCTCCGATTTACCTCCAAAAAGTGCCTCGCTTTGAATAGCCGAAAAGTAAGGGACTTTTCGGGGATTGAAAGCGGTTTTGCGCACCCCCTCTCAATACCCGGCGCGCGAACTCGGTTCCAATCCCCGAAAAATACCCATTTTTTTTACTTAAAATGGAGCAGCTTCTGAACTTATCGGGCGCGATATTATGCATGTTTGGAAACGTGCCGGGCGTCTAGAAAAGCTCAACTCAACTACCTATAGAGGACAACACTCAAGGCGGGCCCTTAGTCTATTTTTGGCATCACTCGCTTATTTGAAGTTTTCGAGTATTATATTCAAGCTGTGAGGAAGATCAAAATGTTAATGTTTTTCACCTAAGATAGTGATCTCTGTAATTCGGGCGTTCTGCTGCTACTTTTATGCTTCTTTGACTTGTTCTCTGATCACTTGTGCATCAGCTAGGTAATTTTTTTTCTAGTTTGCAGTGCCAGTTCCAGTAACGCTAACTAAGTATAACAAGTAGTACAGGGTCTCAGGATATATCCGGGATACAGGAAGTCATCCTTGAAGAGTTTGTTGCATCCAACTTTCCGGCTGAGAACCTGGTCCTTGACAGTGTCCTTGTCCGTTCGATTGCCGACGGTTACCTCCGTGTCTTTGCTTTCAATCGGATCCCGGTGGCCTTCGAGATAATCCAACAGAGAGTCAGCATTCATCTTCTTCATATTTGCACGTTGCACAAAGGGAATGTCCTCGTCGTCGACCATCAAGACCGCCTGTTCTTGTGCTGTAAGAGCAGGTGCTTCCTTCTCCCCTTCCGTGCTGTCAGGATCCGCCAGTCGCCTGTGTGCTTCGACACCTGCTTTGTCATTTTCTCCTGACGATATGGTCTGCTTTTTCTCCTCGGCTAATGATGTTGGGTCTGCTCCTGCGTCTGGCGCTTCTAGAGCTGTCACGTTCTGCGCAGCCGGCTTAGTGAAATGCTTCCGGAGAATGTTGCTCATCATAGTCTCGCAAACGTCACACCTCGCAAAGTCGGCCAACCGCACTGCCTCCGCTTCATCCTGCTCCGATGGTCCCTTCATGTAGACGCGACATTAGAGCATGATAAAAAGAATGAGAAAGACAGAAACGAGATAATCATAACAGTGATGATCGTGAAGATCGGTGATAGTACCAGGAAAAAGTAGAGAACAGAAGGTGAAGGGACCAACTGTTGTTTATTTTTTCAGAAACATGGCACGTTGCAGCTCAAAGCAAGAACTGTCGTCTTATCGTTCTTTCGGATGAGAATAGCACACTGCCAACATCAGACAATTTCTTGGTTTCTTGATCTTGACCACCGGGCTGGGGCACGTGAAGTAAGGAGACCAGAAAGACAATACAGCATAATTGTAGTAGCGGAAGTATGCACCCAATACACCCATGAGTTTACCATCAACCGCTCGTTGTTCATGTGGAGACTCCCCCATCCCAAGCTCTACGTTTGCCCCGACCTGCACTCCTCCCAACCACAGGAGCCAAAGCCAGCAGAAAAGCCCTCTCTTCCGTCTGAGGCGACTGCAAGCGCGAGCTGACAGGAACGAAAACACGACTGATGCCATCTATTCTTGTGATCCACTACTTTCTCTGAGTTGAATTCTTCTTGGTAGAGGTTGTAGTTACTCAAACAAATTAGACATTGGACGAAGGTTTTATCCTGCATATTGATTGTTTTGTTCACGTCCACATGTCATTGATTGGAAACACAGACGTAAAGCAGTCGCACATCTCATCGATAGAAAAAAATGAGAAAAAGAAGTTACTGACTCAAGAGTCTCACGTCATCTCAGGAAAACCACTTGTCTCTTTCTCATTCATATTTCTCGCGCACTCGTATCACGCTTACAATTACAGGTCTGCCTCTGTGCTCACGCTCTCAGCTCATTTTCACGACTTCTCAAGTCCGCGCATTGACATAGAACCTACAGCGTTGTACGCGTAGTACGTAGTACATGCTTCGGGACGGGAGTCGCACATTGATATTTCAGATAAATATGTTCCTTGAGGAGCTCGTGGGTACAACAACAACATCAACAAATAAATAAATCGAAGTAATATCATTTCAATAATCGTAGATCCACAGGTCTTAGGGTTCTTGTTCTTGCAGGAGAAATATGATCGTGCAATTTTTCAAGACTACTGTTAGACGAGTCAATCGCGTGATACAACATTCTGAAGGCGCAGTACTCATGCATGCTGCGGATGACTTTGACTAGGTCCTGGCTACGTATTTCTATTTGTTATTTCGTCAATTGAAAAGACGAGGGCGCTGAATCAACGGAATAGGACACTTTGCCTACTGCTCAAAGTCAAAGTCAACTGTTGATTATTTATTGCTTGAATCTGATAGACAGGGTTAATACCACCTCCCTATTAAAGAAGATTTTGTGCAGAAGTGTGGCATGGCCATGGGATTCCAATTATAAGAGCACTTTTTTGATGATTCACGGCTATGCAGCGCAGCGGGGCTACCAAAGCGCTTGGGCTGTAATTCATTCCTTCGTTTGGGAAAGTATATTCGTAGTAGCAGATCATATGTTGAGTCTGAGTGCCTTGCAATAGTAGTGTGCCTATTGTAGTGGGAACATTTTTTTCAGGGGTTAACTACTTCTGCAACAGGTGATGTACAACTTGTTTCTAACTTCTTCATGTGAGAAGATACTACTTCTACTTGCACTCCATCCGCTTACTGGAAGACGTGTAGTGGTACTACCACTTCTTGTACCTCTCTGATAAATATTATGACATTTCAAGAACAACGTACCACACCTACTCAAGCTGCCCATAATAATGTTGCTCCATGACCATGTTCATAAATGATTGTAAGAAGAAGAAGAAGACAGCTCCCTTCTTGTATAATTCGAATTCTTGGAATGTTACTGATACTACTGAGCTGTTTCCGCTGCATGTAAAAGCAAATGTGATTGTGAGTAGGTACCTACGAGGACTACAACTACCTCTACCTAGTACATTGCGCGTAATAATTCTACTCTAGTAGTTAATTCGTCTTCTATGCACATTCACATGATTACACGACAAGCTTGAAGATGACTCAGTGATGCTAGTCTTTCTTTCGTCCTTGTCATCTGGATTTCTAATGAGCAACGAAGGGATCCTCGATGCACCTCGAAGACGGATCAACAAAAGGAGAAACAAGAAGGCTATCCACACAGGAGCGCCAGTGGTGTGAGGTGAAGTGCAGGCCAAAGACAAATGCAAGCGAGTGATATCCATTGGGTCGCGTACACCGTGTTCGCAGTGGACTCCTTCGCAATGTCGAACGGATGAGAGGCATGTGCCAGAAATAGTACCATCGAAACCAGAAGCGTTCCGCAAAGGCACCAGGACATTACGAAGCCAACCTCCAGGTGGTACATGAACCTGCGGACCTCGCGTGTCCACTTACGTCGAAATGCAGGTCTACGATACAGCGACACTTCTACCATATCCCGAGGCCCATCCTTGTAGTATTCCTCGTCGCGTTTGGGTTTGCTGACTTCACTTTTTTTGCTCGAACCTTGGGAAGCGGCTGTTGTAGAAGATGAAGAGGCCACTAGCTTGTCACTCATCTTTCCTGTTTTCGCGCTTGCAGTTGTTGCTTTCGAAGATGATGTTAATGAAGTCGGTTTATCATGCCCCGCATGCGCATTCGCGAGTGCAATCGCAGTGGAGCTGAAAGGCCCCGTGCTTTCCTTGCTCGTCTGCGCGGACACATTTTCGCTCGTAGTTGTTCCATCAGCCAGTCCGAAGTGCTGCACTGTTTGATGCCCTTGGGAAGACGATGCCACCTTCCTGACAGTTTTCACCTCAGGCGCCTCGCATAAGTGAGTAGTATTTTTCAGGACGCCCTGCTGCGTTGTCTTATCTGGTTCTGCATCTTCGTCGCCGGATGAGGATGTGGCAATGACTGTCGCGGTGCCACTACTTGGTACTTGTTCGTCGGCCTGCGGTGCACCGATTGACGAAATCACTACCTTGTTTGTTAAAGCGACGTGATCACTAAACAAGGATGCTGATGATCGGGGTGTAGCCGTACTGCCTGAAGTTGTGATAGTATCTTGTTCGACCCCTGGCTTACTTAGAAGTTGAACCGGTGTTAATACAGAAATGGCGTCATGGTTCACAAACAGTTGTCCGCTTTCTAAGTCGACATGCTCTTCAAGATGTTCATTCTCGATGTCTACGGTACGGGCAAGATCCTCTTTCGTAGTGTTCAGACCGTCGTCGATTTGCGCTTCTTGTTGACCTCTATGCGTCTCTTGAGATGCATCAGCCGTCTCTCCATCTACGAATGTTGATGGGTCTGGTTTCGTATCAGATTTTGTTTCCTGGTTTTGAGATTGGCAGCTTCTATAAATTGAAGATGAAGGGTTCTTGTTCTCTTGATTATAATAGGCTTCGGAGTCACCACCCGAGGAGTACTCGATCTCCCAGAGAATAGGTTTGCCCTCGCCAGAGCAAGTACCGATGGGATCTCCCTCAGAAAGAAGACTTTCGACATGGTTGCTCCTCATACTCGCTCTCCCCGTGAGTGATGCTCTTTTATGCCTGTATCGCAGTCCCTCATCTTCCGCTTCTGCTTGGGTTGCCACTTGATCGTCTTGAACAGGAAAAAATAATCTCCAGATGAGGGAACTTTGCATCCACGCAGAAAAGTCACTTCCCGTCGAAGGTGTTCTCGCTAGTGCATTTGAGTGACTCTGTTCCTCACCCCTACCGTCCGCCGCAGACTGCGAAGTCCCCGCGGCTATAATCGGCCTCACATCTGTGCTGCTAGTATTGTGAATTCTACCTGACGAGCGTGCACGGCGTTGGCTACCGCTTTGCCTTCTCGATATCGCGTCACTTCCAGCGTCCTCACGTCCAAAATTGAAGATCGAAGCAGTAGGTGATTCTGGACGCGTCATGATGTGCTGAAAGTTCTTGGTCCCGCTCACCAGCACCTCGTACACGGAATCCACAGCAGAGCGACATTTCGATTCACCAGCGGCGTAGACCTTTACGACCAGTGCAAACTCGCGAGCTTCTGCTTCCTGGATACTTGCAGGCTTTATCAAGGGGCACTTCTCAAACTTGAACTCTTCTGGAGCACTGCGAAACAACCTGAGATTGATTGTTACACTCAATGACTCCTGGCGATGAAGATGGAGAAGAAGAGTACGAAGCGGATCAGTTCTTGTAGAGGCATTCAAGCAATACTAGACACGCACACTGACACCAGGATTTCAAGACATCACGAAGAAGATCACGGACGCACAAGGAGGATGATTGTTTCTCAAGTCTGAAGCATCTATATATACTGCTCAAGATAAGCCCAAAGGCCCGACGTTTAATCGAAGTGAAAGAAAGCGCGGACAGGCTCCAGGCGCTCTGCGTGCTCCAGCCGCACTGAGGAGCGAGGGGGGGTGGCTAACGTAGGCGGGTGTTGCCTAGACGAATGCAACAAGCAACCCATTACAAACAAACGCGACCAAGCCTCCAGAACAACAGCAGAGAACAACGCGCAAGACCGTTTAGGTCGCGCCGCCAGTCTTCGTGCTCGTTTAGCTTCCTTAAGAAAGTCTAACGTGACCCCCTTCGACTCATGCAAGGTATGCCAGGCATGTCGATCCATGCCATCCATCATGCGCCTTAAATAAATATATCTAGCAGTACCTCCACATGTCCACAGCTCCCAACAAGCCTGAGATTGCGAGGACGACGGTGTAGAAAATGAGGAAAAAAGTCGGGGTAATGACATCCCAGGACGACAGCACGAGGCAGATGCTTCCGATCAATGCCGTTTGGACAAGAATCAGGTTCGGGAGACAGAGCCGGGAGCTATACAATAGCGGTTCGTTTGTTCGAGCCTCGAAGTCCAGCCACAAATCTTTTATTGGCATTGCCGTGTCCAGGTTAGAGAAAAATGATAATTTCATCTGCTCCTGCTCCATGTGGTGCCGCTTTGGTTGATTTGGATGATTTTTAGTTCTAGCGCCAGTACTTGTACTAGAGTAGAGTCCTCGAGGAGTCCTTGGAACTACATCTTGATCTTCTTGTTGCAGCCAGATCCCTCGTTCTGTTTCTTCGTCCATGTAAAGTCCTCCTTGTTGAGAAGCAGTGACTCTAGCATTTTTATGATCTTGGTCCACTTCATCTTCATCTTGTTCATCCCGGCTACCAATCTTATCTAACTCGTCCTCGAAAGGAAGAAAGTCGTCTCTGTCAGCTTCAGAACCAGAACTCGCTAAAAATGAAGAACCTCTACTATTCAACTTATTTTCATGCAAAAGGTGTCCGTAGGTCGTCGCCGTTTGAGGTTGTACAAGTGCTTGAGTTTCTCCTAGTTTCTCGCTGTCTTCAGAAGCTAATGCTAGTCGGCGTAATTGATCTTGGTGTTCATCTGCAAGGTCTGGGGTTTCTGGTGGACTCGAAATTTCGCGGCGCACGGGAAACAACGGATGTCGGTACCACGCGCAGAAGAAAAGGAGACAAGCTGCTTTTGCGGTCATAAATCTCAGTAGACATGCAGACCTGCCCATTGCTACGGAAATCGCATGCGCGTAATACGGCTCGTGATCACCTGGTGCTTTTTAAGAATGATCAAAATATATTCCTCGTAGTGAGTGCGAGTGGGTGTTGAATATATTTCCACATCCATATCGAACTTGAAATTCATTGCGAAGGAATAGAAAAACTAGAAACTTCAACATTAATGTACCGTCTTTTCCTCCGGCTGCAAGCGCCAAGAGTGTGGAGAAAAAGAAGAACAGCATGAATGCCGCTTGGAGGGCCACAAAAACGAATTGCAGCTTTGGACTGGGATAGTAGACCCAGTGCCGCTTCGGCTCACGGCTGCATGTTGAGGAGCTAGTGAACGGAGCGAAAGCGTGTCTCGATAGGTACTCGCAGAGAACGCTGTTGTACATGACAAGTCGAGTGTAGCCTTTATCGTTCTGCAGTTTCTCTTCGTTGAGAAGCGGCTCCTCTTCATTTTCCCAAGGTCTAGGAGCAGCTGCAACGGGACTCATGGTACTGAGGGTTCCCTCTAGCTCTAGCCGTCTCTTGCAATTCAAGCCCCGGCTCCCCATGTCTGCGCGCTTGGGGGACTGGTCGTCTGACCACAGCTCGCCCGCGTCTTGGCGAGTCATGATCGCGCTGGTGTCAGCTTTCAGCGATTGGGAATAGCCATGAGTGCCGCGTCTTATTGTTACTGAAGCTCGTCTTCACATTCGATACCTTTCTACTCGCCGAGAGAAAACTTCATCATCGATCTAGAGAGCTCCACCTTCTCTACCTCCTGTTCTACAAAATTACAAGCATCAAAACTACTGGTTGTTACGTGGACATGGATGATCAACATTAGTATTGCGGAATAGAAGCACTTGACAAGAGTAACAGCACTCACAAACACGTCGACGTGGTATATCAGTTGCTGGAATTTTCGCTCGTGTTGAGCATCTCACCGAGAATGACGAGTAGACAGCGAATCAGTCGTCCTTGGCTGCACCATTTGGCCAATTAGCTCACTATTGATTGAAGGTCTTTTTGCGTGAGACAACATAGACGCGTACGAGTACGAGACAACATGAAGAATATGAGCAAAGTCCGTTTTGAATCAATGGTTGAAAAAATGCCGTTGACGAAAAGAAGTTCGAAAATGTTCTCAAGGATGCGAAGTTTCGAGTACTAGGTAAGACAGCGCGATTGAGTCAAATATCACGAGGCTCAACGAGACCGAGGAAAATGTCGAATATGTCAGAATCAGTGCCGACCCGAGAGCCACCACGGAGGCTGACGAGGGGAAGAAGTAGCATCTTGTCCAGTTTCATCCTGTCTGGTGTATAGCATTCAGACATTGAAGTCTTGCTTTCAGCGCTTTGAATAGATTTTCGCCAACAAGCGCGGCGCGCGCTTCAACAACCCAGGGCTCAACTCTGTCTCGCGCAAAGCCTGTTGGCATGGCATCGATAACCCAGATAGCGTTCCGCAAATCGCCTTGGTCAACGTAGTGTGCAGCCTGAAGGAAAACACAAAAATGTGAAAAGGCATCACGGGAAGCGCTATGGGTAAAACGAATTTTGATTTTCTCACCACCTAGATAGTACCAGTACGGTGTCAAGGTTACTTTCTTATCTATTGAAGATTATGGAGGAGGTCATGGAAGCGTCGAAGTTATACCACAAAAGGGTCTGTAAATTAGTACCGCATTGAGGCACGCTAGGGCCTTGTCCACTCTGTCTTCATCCCCAGCGCCGTTCGAAATTATGCCTCTACTAACATGGTAAAAGCGCCCGACGACGTTGGCGTAAAGATGGCTCCAAAAATTCGTCGGCGATTCCACGAAGCAGGCAACAACCCAGCTCCGCAAAGTGTTGTCGAAAGCGCGAGTCACGTCAAGGCCAGATCGCAACAGTGTTCCTCCACCTTTTGCACCCGGCGCACGCGCCATTTGGTTCGTAACGGGATCAACAGTCTGTGTCTGCAGTGGTAACAGCGCCTCTGACAAAGGCGCGCGCTTCTCATCGAACATCATCGCTGTTGAACGAAAGGGAGAAAAATGATATCTAATGACCATATCAATTGTGTGTGAGCATATTATTGTCTTCATCATCAAGTGCCTAGAAGTTCTTAATCTTATTAAGGGCTAGCATAAAGTTAAAGAAGTAGCGCTGTACTTGTAGGTACAAAGTGTTTCAAAAACTACAACGACAATGTCAATCGTCTTGAAACTTAGAAGTACTCGCGGCATTGAGAAGCCTGTGGAGTTTTCGCTGGGATTTCAATCGATCGATCTCCTCGGAATCCTCATTTACCACTGTCGCCAGGGCATCGATGTCCCCGGCAAGCTCTGATAAAGCTGCAGAATGCGCACTTCGTCTAGTTTGAGAAGATAATTGTAATTCATTAGAATATCCGCTGATCACCCTCTAGGGCTCTACCCAGGGACATAACCATAAACAGATCATAATGAAATTCCAACTCATCTCAGCATTATCTTTCGGTGGAAAGCCTCGGAGCGCAATGTAGCGCAGGACTTACGCAAAAAAGGTGTGCGTAGTACACTTGAAGCAGCTCCCCTACGCTTTGTCCCTTTTGTGTTGCCAATTTTTGCTTCGTTTCTTCATCCAATTTCTCAGTGACCGCTCCTATGGCTTGAGATACCATCTTCTCGTACCTTGGAATGTTCGGAAAAAAAGAGGGCACCGTAATTTTCTTGCATTTGCTATTCTAGATTCCGAACTTTTACTTTTATACCAAATCTTACTCTTTCGCCGACCCAAGAAAGTGTTAGTAAGTAAAAGAGTTAGTACTAGACGACCATCTTCTGAAGGTGCCATCCATATGGTCATGTAAATCGTCACTCTTACCGTTCTCTCTCCTCCATTTCCACGCCTTTTTTGATTCCTTCGAATTCCTTGGCTGCGTCCGCTTGGAACCTCGTCTTTGCTTGTTGTACCTTTTCCACTGCATGCGCTTCGATTTTCTCGCTAAAATTTTGCAACTCGTCTGCGAGGCGTGCAGCAAAGTATCGTCGGTTCTCGGCCAGCTGTTGCGTTCGTGACAGCAAGCGTTTTTCGAGTGCTTCTCGCGAAAGTGGCGTCCTCTCACTGCCGTCTACATCAGGACCTCCTGCTACTAGAGCCCTTTCCGCTTCCACAAAATCTGCGATGTTAAAGTCTTGGAGTGCGCCAAGCTCGATCTTTTTGTCCTCTGCGAGCTGTTTCAGTAGCTTCTCCGGTTCTAACAACAACTCCGCAAAAAATTTAGCTGCTCCCGGGTTCACTTCCAAAACGCGGCACTCACCCAATGCCGCTCGCATCGCATCTTTGTCGCGTTTGGTAATCGCTGCGTCTAATTTTCCTACCGCCGCTACTTGCTTCTCGCTGTCCGCAAGTACTGCGTCGACTCTCCGCAGAGTAGTTTCTAAATGTCTCGGGTCGACCAAGATCGGAAACTGTTGCCCGTCCTCAGGCGTGCCTGCGAGCTCCACGTACTTCTTCCGTGCCTGCTCTAATTGCACGCGCACCTTTTCCGTTGGACCTGCTAGAACACTCTGGACCGCACCTTCTAGTATTTCCTGCGCATCCTTTATCTGTGCGCGGCGCTGTCGGACCGCCGCCTTCTGCTCTGCTGTCATGTGCGCTTCATCTGGGGGAAGCAAGCGAGCCAATGTCCCTTGTGCGTTTGCAAGCTCTTCCTGCGTCTGCGAGAGCGCTCGTTCCGCGCCCTGCCGCAGCTGCGCTTCTTTTGCAAGTTTGTGCCTTACGCTGTTTATGCCGTCCTCACTTGCCGCTAATGCTTTCTCCAACTTTTGCTGCTCGTCGAAGGACCTGGTCGTCGTGCAACATGGAGAGAAATGTTGTACTAGCGGTGATGCTGATGATCATTGGTCTTGCTCGTACTAAGAGGAAGAACATCAACAAGTCGGTGTCGTACTGTTCTCTAATCTTATATTATAATACTGAAGAGAAGTGCCGTCAGGATACAAGACAAGTCAAGTACTTACTTTTTTGCCCTCGCTTGGGCGTCTTCATGCATTTTTGTGAGCTTCGACGCCTCTTGCTGGCTATCGTACGCTTGCTTCCCTATGTAGCCCAAACCCGCGACAAAGGCTATATTCGCAACATATGAAAGCGCAGTCAAGGGTGAGCTGGCGCTTCCTTCGGCCCCCCCGCTAGTTTTCGGCGCATCTTCGCCTGACGAGGAAGACGCAGCTCCTCCACCTGTATCTTTATTACCGTCAGCTCTTGCCACCGCTCCACTACCACTACTTGCAGGAATAGACGAAGGCGCCGACTCCTTTGAAGTTGGTTTTATCGGCCCCCCGCCCTTTCCAGGGCCAGTCGAGTAAAGACGCATCGTTGACGCCGCGTCATGTCCACAGACCCGCGACGTCTGCCTGTTGCGCACCAGCAGAAACCGAGAGGCGGCTTTAGAACTCGAACGGATCGGAACACAGCAGCTCATTGCCTCTGGAGAAGACGACAAAAATTATGGTTACGCTGGAAATACTATTTCAGTTTCACATCCGGTTTTAGACACTCTCTTGCGAGTGACAGTCTCATAGTCATAGCAGCTTAACAAATTTTCATAAGCATGCCATGGCTCTCCTTTTTTTACCTGACTAGTACAACAAATCACGTTACACCAGTTTCATCTGTTCATTTTTCTAGTACTATTTGAGTCTGAGTCATTTGATGCACGTAAGAACAGTAGCATCTTCCCGAAGATCTATTTCTAAAAAAGTTCTTGTAGAATCAGTCCTCAAGTGCAGTATGCGTACTTATGCACTTGCACTTGGCTCATATATTATAATATTGATCTTGAATAATATGAATCATCGTCTTCGTCTGCCTGCAGCAGGATGAAACTACTAGTACTATCTGGCTATAGAGGAACGGCCAAAAAACGACCACGAAGGTCTATAATTTAAAGATGTTCGCGGTAGGCGGGATAAGTTTATGACAACAAGAAAGCTACTTACTCCGAACAGACAACAGAAGATGAGTCCATGGATATGGAAAGCACATGAGAATCTGCCAGCTGCTCCCTAAAAGCGCTCTTCCTTGATGACCGGACCGAATGGTATTTCAGGACGCTCAACGCCAGAAGCAGTCGCTTTTAACATCCAACCAGATCTACTCGAACAACGCTACTTCTACTTAGATTTCGCATCAGGCTTAGAAGTAGTTCAGATAGGGCCTTCTTTCGCTCCAAAGTGTTGTCACTCTTGTACCTTCTATGGTACCGTTTGCATTTCAGGGCATAACACATTTGTTGCAAAGGAGCCGTTGCGCCCTCGTAGCGTTCTTTGTTTTCAAGTGCTCATGGGTGCGCTCCTACGGACCCACAAGCACTGGTCTTCGCTTTTGGGGAGTAACGGAATTCAATTTCAACAAGAAGAGGGAGTGCATTGAAAAGCTAATCGAAACTGAGGTCTTCTCTTGAGCCGGACCAATCTTGGAAGATGGTTTCGCTTATGACAAAGATGAGCATATGATAACCTCAATTTGATAAATGTAAGTTTCTATGCTTGATGAAAAGGAGCACAGCTTGAGCAGGCGGTAACTGAAACCGACGACTCACAGCTTAGCTCACCCGACCATTGCGAATCCTCGGCTGACCGAAGCAGTAGCGTTGGCGGCCGTTACCAGCAATATGACAGTTTTACGACCTTCGCATGGACTCTGGCATGATCTTGTTTAACTGCTGCATCAGTGCCTAGTTGTAACGGTTCTGAGTAAACCAATGTAGTGTGCGTGATTGTTTAAGTTGTATGTAAACATGCTGTTGCTCCTGTGTTTTTTTATGGAGTGTGTTCCTGTTCTTGGAAGTCGACCAAGCTGGCAGTATTGGATGAGTACTATTCAATTTCAGCTTGTGGCTTTGTCCTAGCGCGCGAGTATCTCAATCAAAAATGCAGATGTTGACGCCAGGTCAAGTTATGTTTAGATAATATTACTTTGAATTTGATGAAGAGAAAAGGTGAAGTGAAGAAGCTCAACCTCAAAGCATCGCGACAGCTCCTCGGTTTATTTCGCGTCGGGGGTCATTTGCATTTGGTCGAACGGTGCTGGAGATGGGCTCAGGAAAGGGGACTCCACGTGGTGGCGCGTTCGGTCGTGTGCTGGATCCATTTATATTATTACTCCTTTGATCCACGACCAGCATCTGCGATTGCTGCTCTGGTTGTATCGGTGCCGTACCACGACTAGAAGTAGTCGTGGTAATATTCTGATGTGGCGTCGGTTTTGATAACGAAAAATGTTTCTCGTCTGTCTCCAAAGAAAAATCATCACCTTGGGAAAAGCTTCGGGTGCGTGGGTCAAAACTAACTTTTACCTCCTTGCTCCTTCGTCCTCCTGCATTAGCTGATCCAGAACTCCTCTGTCCTCTGCCTGACGATGCTCCCCCTAGAGAATGACTTCCCGGTGGATTGTTCGCCGCAGAAGCAGCGGTATAGCTCATACTTCTATCCCTATCTTCTTCTTGCCCATTCGATCCTCCGATTTTCGCAGAAGCACCTCCATTGTCGGAGCCCTCTTCGATAAACGCTTTGAGGCTCGATGACGGTGTTTCTTCACCTTCGCCGCTTATTGACGAGGGTATTTGAGCGGCCGCTGTTTTTCGCGGTTCTATGATCACCTTCGGCTGCTTTAGCACCGCCTCGCCTTTCTGAAAAGGTGCATCTTCTTTATCTGCCCTTCGAAATTCGCGGATGTCCGCAGAATTGACGGCTAATTGGTTGTTAGCCCACCATACCTTGTTTCTCCTCCTCAGTTTGATGATCTTTTTGTAAGGTCTTTTCGAATAGTTCGGCATCCGCGAAAAGGTTGAATCCTGGAAGATGGACGGGTCTCTGGCACTGGCACCTCCTGGAGTAGATGTTGTAGGGTCAGCATCACCTGTTGTTCCTTCCCTAGGGTCTGGATTCCCGCCCGCTGCATTCGCGCGGCCGCCTGGTAGAATAGCAGTATCATCGTCGACTGGTGTGACATTTTCTGGACCAACGTCGCGGTTAGTTGGTCTTTCTGGAGGATTCTTGTCGCCCCCTACGAACTGCTTCGCAAGCGCCATGTCTCGTTGCGCATACTGGGGATTGAGGAGAGCAGAACGCAGTAGATACTTCCGTCTTCGGCTCGCAAGTGAATGGAACGTGCCGCCGCTCGAGCACGAGTTATCTCCCGTTTCCATATCGAGATCTGACTCGGAATCAACCCGGTTACGTGACGAAGACCTTGCGGTTCTTTCAGGATACTTCGATGGATAAGCAAAAGGACTATTCGTTCTTTTCATGTTTTTTCTACTCTTTGCGTCTTTCGACGATATCTTGTCCCGGACACCAGGCGCAGGCTTCCAGTCGTCGGATGACAATGAAGTCAGAGACGTTGTAGCGGCATGCGACTCGCTCGCAGCAGAGGAAGCAGATGAAGACGAAGTTGATTCTCGTCGACGTCCTCGACTCTCTTCTTCTTCTTCTTCTGATATGTGTGTGGTCGCGGCTTTTCGGCCCCTCGGAGATGTTGAGGATGAAGTAGTGGTAAAATTTCCGTGGACTAAATCTACCCGATCGTGTTTCGGGCTCTCCGCTTCTTCTCGCCTGTGCTGCACCGTTGATGTTGTGACCGCGTTCGTGTTCAGGCTCCTTTTAGCCGTAGACGACGACGAACCCCCCTTCTGTTCGCTACCACCGACAACGAAAGAACCTGGGACTGGTGAACTATCGTCAGCCGCAGTGGCTCCAGTTCTTGATTGCAAAAAAAACGGCGTTTCTGCATTCCGGGAGTAAGCGCGCAGTATGTCCTCAGCGTCCACGCGCCCGTCGAGTACGGCTGACGCTGCCTTCTCATCGCCCGCGGCCATCGCTTCGGCAAATCGCCGAGCAGCGTCTTCCTGTTCGCGCAGGCCGTTCGCATCTAGCGCCATCTTGCTGCGCTGGCGCACCTTCGCTGGTTCCATCATTTCGGCACGCATTTGCGCATCGCTCAGAACGCCAGCCCGCTCAGACTGTACGTTGGCACTGGATAAAGCTGGCCCTCCTGCTGTTGTGTTGTCATCAGCGGCATCTCCATCATCGGTGTCATTTTGGCTCATGTCGCTTCGTCTATCTCTTATTTTTGCTGCAACAGGAGGAGGCTGTTTCGCGGGTTCTTGGACGCAACCTGGTGTGCTTGCCTTTCGAGCAGCTTGGCTAGACTTTCTTCGTTCTTCTTTCACCTCTTGCATATCGGACAGAGTCTGCTCTACATCGATAACACCGGTTTCGCCCTCGTTCTTTGCGTTCTCCCCTGCATTGATGACAGAATCTAGACCGCCTGACGCGCCTCCTCGGCGGGCTTCCTCCTCCCGGTCTTTCACATTATCGAGGTTGTGTTTGATGAAGTACATAATGCAACGGGTCACCAAACGTGGGTATTCGAGGTGCATATGGTGTGTGCAACCCGCGATGACGCCGATGTCCCCAATATATGCGCCACCTTGTCGGTCCATCCAGTCGTTGTCTCCATAGAAGGAGATCAGCGGACACTTGAAGTCCACACGTTCTATGAGCGGAGTGGCAGCTTTGGTCACCTGGTCATGAAAACGATGGGCGTTGTTGAGTGGTAGACGAGACTTGAAGCTCTGAAATCGCTATTTTTGAGATGCTTATCTGTATGTGAGTCTGTTGATGCTCTTCATCTCTGCTTCTATATCATATAATATACAATATGAATATCGTGAATCATGTCTGTCACTCCAACCGATAGCGTACAACTTTAAGCGATCTTCTAGTAAGCGAAATCTAAAGGGTTGTACCAGGTATGCTCCGAAAACTCCTGTCAAAGCTGATTCTGTCCCGACTGTGGCAGAGCAATTAATGAATGCCAGGTGATCCACGACTGCATTGAGTTCCTCCTCAGGTAAGGATGCCAGCCGCTGTCTGAGGACCCGTCGCATTACAAATTCGCCTGCCCAACCTATGAACCACATTATTTAACGTGAAAGGATTCAAGCCTCCCAACTAATCTAGAGTGACATCATGCACACGCAGCTGAATACATGAACGCGGTATTTTTATGCAGTTACGTACGCGAAAGCGTAGGCGAAGAAAGAAAAAATAGTACCAAATCTCTTGACAGTTGCAAAGGGACCGCCATCTGCGTCGAAAGCATCCATCATGTATTCGATTGCATGCTCGCGAATGCCTTTGTCAGATTCGTTTATTGCGCGAGACCTTGGGAAGCCCAAACATGGCGATAGGAGAATAAGCGCTGCAACGCGTTCCTGTACACTGTGTGCAAAAGCTGTACTCACATACGCTCCGAAAGAATGTGCCACAATCACAAATTGTTGGTCCTTACCGAGCACCGTGTCGCACCAGAAGCGCAGGCGGCGCCCAAAAAATTGCTCTACCTCTGTGGGGCTCTGGAACATGCGATCCTTGCGAACTGAGCCACCCTGGTGTCGTTTGCGGTTGAAGATGAAGATGTACTTAAGTGGATGTCGATGTGATCCAAGTTGTAATAGTCTAATGTAGAGATTTTAGTTGAATGAGTTGATGTGGAGTCTCAGAGTGGGGACGAAAAAATACAGGCCAAGATCAAGAAACCGCTCCCCAAACCCAATCGTTTTCATTGCTAGCTACTTTCGAGCTGATCTTAAAGGTCGACACTCATTGGCCATTGACGCTGAACGGAAGAGACCACCTTCAAAGCTCTCCCCATTCCCTTCATTTTCCCCTGTTTCCTCCAGGGGTCTCCTCCTCGGTCTCAGTGACCAACCTCAATGACCAAGGAAAGTTGATCCTTAATGATCGTGCCGCACAAGATACAATACGGTACGCATTATAACCATAGAAGTAGAAATACCATTCCAGGCAAATCGAGAAAATAGAGCGGGCCGGCCCATCGCTCGACGAGAAACCGCATCATGCGATAGAACTGGCAGAGGCTACCCCCGTACCCGTGGACCATTATCATCGGCAATCCACCTCCAACACCACCCCGGCCATGACCTCGAATGAAAGAACAAACATCTTTTTTCTTCCTTCAACGTGTGGTTATCAACGACTGGTATAGGAAAGCACAAGTAGCAGGAACGTGAATGTCCTAAACCTGCTGATACATGGGAGTTATAACAAGGAAATCAACAACATGTTCATGATCGAAGAGTTGCTGTCGTTGACAGGCGGATCCCACTTCATGTAGTACAATCATGCCGAAAAGTAGTACATTCTGCGAAGTGGAATGTTTCCCCATCGCGGTTGGGAATGCGCATATCGTGTACTTGCACTGTGCAGCGGGCGTATTGGAGTAGTGTCTCTTCATATGCACGCATTTTTTCTTGATGCTCCTCTTTCTCCTTAGGTGTTCTGCCGGGGGCCGCCCCTGAGTCCCTATTTCCATCCTCCGTTTTGCTCCTGCCGCCCTCACTTTTCCGATCTTTGCTCTGTTCTCGAGGGCCAACCCGCTGCTTCTCTGGTGACATAGACATTGATGCGCTGAAAAAGCTGAGCACATTTTCGGCTGGCGTAGGTCCTCTCGCCGGGCTTCCACGCTGTCCTCTTCCGGACGCTTCTCTTCGACCTTGTTTTTCTTCTCCAGGCGATTGTGCTCTAGAGCCATACTGCTGACCTCTTCTACCTGGCGGCGCATATCCGGTCCATGCGCTCCCGCCATCTTTGGATCCTTGCTGTCCCATTCTGTTTCTACTCGGCTGTCGTAAGCGCGAACAGCAAAGTGGCAATCAAAGGAACTATGCGCCGCTATTCTTTGTTTCTCAGAAGGTTTTTTACCGTAACCGACGCTATGGCTACCACATACCTGCACTTTGAAAAACGACCACGAATACTAATGCGCACTTCCTGTTGCTCTTCCTCTGGCTCCACATCCAGATTTGCAGTTATCTTTTTCCGAATTCAAGTGATCAGCGAGAACCTACAAGATTTCGTCGTGGCAGGTTGGTAAGATAGGTGGATCACCTCGGCGGGAGCGGCACTCGGTAGAGGCATGAATCTACGTGGAGATCAAAAGTGCAAGGAAGCGAAAAACCAAGCTTATTTTCCATTTTTTGTATCATATATTTCTATCTAGTCCTAATAGTTCTTTCAATAATCATGGCTATGGGAGCCGGACAAGGTCAACAAGCATTTTCCGAATAAAATATCTTCGATTAAATTCATTTCATAAACTAGTACGTAGACGAATCTTCACGCTCAATCTCAAACAGCAACGGCCGACGGCAATAAGTGATCTGGATATCAAACAAAACTCAAGAAAAATAAAAAAATCATATTCTTACACAAAGTCAAAGAGAATTGATGATATTCGCAGCCTCGAGACTTTGGCCGAGTAATAAATCAATGCACAAATCCATCGTGTGTAAAAAAAATTTCACAGCATACTGATGCTCAACTTCCGTCATCAAAATTTTCTTGATGTGCATATGTACTATATGTAACACAATTTGGAAAATCACCTTTCGGGGGTAAACGTAGTTTGCGGATGCGGAACGCCATGATGCAACATAAGATATGTAGTAAGGGAAGAAACGTCGAGGAGTTGCCTGCGTGAGTCGCTCGAATCGTGATGATACAGATGACAGGAACAGAATACTAGAAGTTCATGGGTAATTTTTAGTGTTGCTCTTGCCTCTCCATGTGGAAGGCACTCGTCTGCTGCCTATTAGTCGAACATGCGTGTCAAGAAGGCTTCGGGTACTTATGGGTATCACAACTCATCCTCAACACTCTGAACATAAAGACTTAACGGTGAAGACTTTGTACACATGAATCAATATCTTTCATGTATCTGTGGTGCTATGTATACCTACAGTTACAACTGATAGTTTTACTTAGGTTGCTTCGTCGTTCGTCGCGTCTTCCTCTTGTTCGCGAAAGTGAAACCAGATCGAAGAATGACCTGTGCCAGAATACAAAAGTTTTCCCGCTCCTTTACCTGCCTACTAATTGATCCCCTCTCCTTCTTCCTCTTCAGACTCGTCATCTGACATCGGTATAAAATCTACTTCTGACGATGCTCTTAGAGCTGCCAACTCCTCGGCCAAGTCTGCCTCGTGCGCTTCGCGCCAATCCAGTATATGCCTGTCCTCCGGAAGACCTAGGCCCGCTTGAAATCGCAAATTGGTCAATCGATCTTCCAATTCTCGAGTTTCGGGATCTGTTGTGGGCTTAAGGAGAAGGATTTTCTTTCACGGCTTCAGATAGAAAGGCTGCAAAGCAGCAAGCGAAGATCTCTAGAAACATCTTCTCTAAGGCCAGCACTTAAGAAGGTATTAAAAAATAATTCAATGTTAATATCATAGCTCCTAGTAATCTTATCAAATGACTCTTTACCTCTCTCAGCCAATCGCTCCACATAGCGAAAGAATTGCGTGGCATGTAGCCGTTGCCACGCCTCATTCGGGTCTTCTGGTTCGAAGGGTACTAGCTTTCGCTTATCTCGAAACTCCCTTAGAGCTGGCGCTAACCTCTCTGGCAGGCCTAGAGCCTGCAACTCTCGCGCGTGGGCTGGACACGTATCCCCAGACAAATTGGCAAAAGAAGATACTCGCACTGTCCTCTTATAAGTTGTATCAGTCGGCGGAAGTAAGCCACTAATCAGAATCGGCAGAGCGCCAGAATCGGTTGCGGAGGCGACCGCTGCGAGTTATTTCCATCAGATGAAATCATTTGGGGGTATGACTTTGAGACTGGGATAAGGATTGAGACTTTCAATTTTTCACTTGCAACCCTGTTGACGACGTAGACATCCGAACATGATTGATCAATGGCATCAAAAGGTGTAGCCGCAATATTTCCGAGCTCACCACGGAAAGAGGTGAGACCGGATTCAATTTGCTGGCTTCTTCATTCTAGGAACCTTCACGCCTCGAATGGCCACAAGGATTAAGGCGGTGCGAGAGATACAGATCCCATCGGAAATTTAGTTCTTTCCACTAGTAACTTTCATATAATCATTAATGGTCTTCTATAACCGCCTCTGCTTTTACCTGCTTCTCCCATCACTTCTGCGCATCCTTCTCGTTCCAAACCGTGTTTCGCTAATGACTCTGCACTCTCTTTTCCGAGAGATACCAGGCCGTCCAATAGAGCTAAGCCCTCTAGATCGGAAGCAATACCTCGATCCTCAGCGAGACCCGGTGGCGCGAGAGTAGGGTCTTGTGACATGCGGCCGGGGATTAGAAGGGACGACAGGACTTCACGATTTTACATTGGTGCTAGTGTAGCAAGCAAGCAAGCAAGCAACAAGAACTACAACTAAGTTCGAGTTCGACTTCAAGACATCCTAATTAGTCAGAGAGTAGTCAAGCTACCTCCGAAGCAAGTCCGTTGCGAAGTCACTTTGCAAGCAAATCCGTCCCATAACAAAAGTCGGATCAAATTTGTGGTATCGATAAGACGCTGCTCAACGACAGAGGAGTCTTCGATCGCAATACTTTCGGCTTCTGCGTCGGCCAAACGATCATCAACCCGCGCGATATCCTGCTCCAACAGTGCGCAGACCTAAATCAATGAGACTCAGGTAAGATTTGGAAAGGCGGCGGCTGCTTTGGGCGCTTCTTGGGCTTACAAGCCGGCTTATCTCGCTTATGAGAATAGGAACCTTGTAGAAGTACCTCTTGATAGGCATCTCTTTCATCTCGCATTTGCGCGCGTAGATCAGAGGCTCTCGGACGACGTCGCTCGGACTCCCACCGCAAAGCAGCTCGCATGATGCCATCGTTGCGTGGTGCGCAAGATTCTCGCCACGCGCCACGCTCGTTCGGTAGTGGTGGAACAGACATGCGGAATTTTTTCTTGGAAATTTTCCTGTGTCACCTAGCTACTATTTTGCTTACTCTGTTTTGTTCTGCTTGGTTAGGCTCTTTTTAATATTCTTCTATATTTCGCTATCGTTGAACTCTCCAAGTTAGTATACGAAATTCGTTTCTTTGTATTTTCGTATTTTGCGAAGAGTAGTTTGGATAGAAGGATGTAGAGTAGCAACTCTTTCGACACACTTTTAGTACCCTTTCGCATTATTTTACCGCCTTGTCTTACACAGTCAGAAGACAAATATTTCTGTCTGTCGCTTCGCTCTCATAGTGATACTGTGAGTTTCTTCAACCTGCGTATTTCCGACCCCGTTAGAGTATCGTCGACATTCGTTGAACACCAGGTCAAGACTCCTCCCCTACTTAAAGGCAAGCGAAGTAACAGCACTTCTTAGAGCGCTCAAGCCACGGAGCTTTTGTCGCTGTGCTGTGGTATCTTGAGCTCGAATGTGGATTACGGTGAAAAGCTTGGTTGTCATCGTCTTGATAAGAGCGATGATCAGGTATCGCCCTCTCGCCAAAAAATTGATGTTGTAGAGCGACAGAGTCCGGCTAATCGAACAAGTCGAATTCCATGTCATCCTCTTCTTCCTCAACCTTTTCTTCCTTAATCTCTTCAGCTGCACCACCGGCATCACCGCCAGCTGTGGCTCCGCCAGCAGCAGCTCCGCCGCAGCCGCCTCCGCCGCAAGCTTCTAGCTTCGACAGACCTGTTTTAGCTTGCATTTGGAGTCCTTCGGAGGATGATCTAAATGGGGACGAAGACAATCGCTTCAAACAACTACTGTAGATTAAGAATCACCAAAAAGAGCATACTTATACGTGATGGCATCAATAAATGTTACCAAAAACAAAAAGCTCTTCTGAAGTAAATTCACTTAAAGCCGCATGTCATCCAAAGAAATATTCATCATACCAGACGCAATGATCTCCTGCACGGTCTTTCTTTCTATCTTCTTCAAGACCAGGCTGATCATGTGTTCCTCGAAGTCGAGACCACCAGCTGTGAGGATGGCCTTGATGCTATAAGCCGTGACCTCATCGGCTTCATGGCAGACAAGAGGTACGCCGAGGTGTACTTCAAACCACCACCCATTTTGTTTCTGTTTTCTAAAAACAGTCCACTTTATTATGTGCTGGATACTACAGCGACTTTATTTATTTCCCGAGCCTTGATTTCGTAGTGGTAATCAAAGAAGACGATGTAATACATATTAAATGTAATGCATATTAAAGGAAAATAATTTATTCATTGAAGAAATATTGGTTCAAAGTTGTTTGAGAACTTACTTACTTAGAAAAGACACACAACGTGTCGGTGACTTAGTAAAGGCATGCGTGAAAATACCGATAGGATCAGGCAACTGAGGTGAAATCTGAACTAGATCCTTTTTGGCAGTTGATCTAAGTACGGAATTCCAGCACGCCTTAATCTTTCCTTCTATTTTGTTCTGCTGCTTAGGATAAGCAACCAAAGACATCTGTCATGCTTATAAGGGAGATGCCACCAAACACATCTTTCGTGGCTGAGAACAAGTCGGACAAGAGTGCTTCGTGGCTTCTTCTACGCTGCTTCATCTTTTGCGCCTTTTATTCTCGCATATTTTTTGTTTAAAAGGATCTGTCGCTGTGCAAGGCAAGTAATAAAGGTGTCGTTCTTCGGATCATTACAGGTACATGTTGTCGTGCTTTATCAAGACGATGTCGAGCCTCAATGTCAATAGTATCACGCAGGCTGTACCTGTAACAGGAGAAGCCGCGCATAGAGAAGAACATAACGAATGAGTGTGGATGATTGCCTCATCTCTTTCTGCGTCCGGGCACCATTTCAAAGCCATCTTCGTCAATGACCGGAAGTGGCGCTGAAGAAACTTTTTGATGAGACTCGGCAATCTTGGATTGAATCTGATGATTTGGTTCCGTATCCACGTCCATGTCGTCATCACTACTAGCATCACCGTCATCCTGCTGCTCTCCATTTTCCCAGAAACCGCCTGCCTGCTGTACGACTGTGTCTGCCTCGGGCGCAAAAGCGATATTACCAGTCGCGTCTTCCCACCTGAGTTGTAGTTGTACATCAAGATATAAGGTGTAACCTAAATTTTCCAGTGGAGATTGACAATTATGAAGTCATAGAATAGGAGCGGCCAGCGGATGGTGGTGGACGTAGAACAATAACAACCAAAGTACCATCCTTCAAGTGAGAAGAAGAGACACAATAAGACCGGTATTACAAAGTTTGGTCCTGGAATCGGCAAGACGACCCCAATGGTGCTCTGGCAGCTTGGTTGGCAGCCGCTATTTCCTTCTGCGCCAGACTGTAATCTCGTCCTCTGCATCTATCTAGCATATCAATGCACTTCTCCGCTATCTCGAACTCGCCTGTAGATTGCAGAGGCAGGGTGGAACCAATAACAATATAAATTCTTATCATGTCCTCGGTTGTTTGATAATTAAAACAGGTGTGCTTAATCATGTGCTAAGTGGTCTCATAGCTAATCTCCTACATTTCTGTGTGATACAGTGTCGTTCTTTAGTACTATTGTCATCGAGCTGGACGTTGCAGAACTCGTTCATTTTGACGTGTATGAGTTGTCCAAGCCGATCGACGTCGTCGCTCTGCGGCAGGTCGCCTTTGCCTATTACTAACAAAGTCATTGGCGCTCGCCGTCTATCCAGCATAGTGTCCAGCACAAGCGTCAAAAGCTGATTTACTTTGTCGCGTGAGTAAGTTCCTGCCCATTCTTGGTCGATAATCAGTCTTACCGTAGTCCATTGCTTCCACACTGAAAGCACGCCTTCTCTAAAGTACTGTTCCCACTCTGGCATCTCCTGCGCATGGTTGGCAATGCCAGCTTGCTGGTAATCCGGGACTCCCGTCGGGGCGGCCATTTCTTAAGTTTGATTGTCTTTACGAGGAAGATGCAAATCGAAAAGACAAACGGGTGTTGAATGAGGTCGCGATAGAATCAATGTTCTCGAATCTAAATGAAAATCGGAGAAATCATCTAGAGCTGGAGTCTTCTAGTGGGTATAAAAACTAAGCATGCAGCACAACCAGAAGGTCGAAAGTAGCATACAGGTGTCTCGGCCGCCTGCAGAAGGGGTCAGTCGTGAGAAATTAATGTGGTGGGGTTGTATTACCTAGGTAATGTACTAGTACTGAACATATACAAATGATCGAAATGTTGATCATGGGGTTCGCGATCGCGCTAAGTAAAGAATCTGGTGTAGGAGGCACGGGTGCATGACGCAGAGTAAGATCGGCTTGGTCATTGAACTGCGGTTATGAGAGGGATTGGTACGTGTTTGCAGTTATCCATAGATGATCTCTGACCGCTCTCTGGGATCATCCGCATCACACAGGATTCATGAAATGATCAGAAACTAAGTAGATCAGGTTCAGGATCAGGATCCTTATAAAATCAAAATGAGCTCTCGTTGCCGATTATGAACAGTGATCTTCTCTTTCTCATGGGATTTCATTCCGTCTCAAAGTCTTCGGCCAAAGGGCCAACGCACCAGCTGGGGTGGGCGCGGAGAACTCTTACATTTCACGGAGAAGAAAGATGCGCAGATCCGGCACATACCGGAGGCGGCGCCAGTGCACTAGAGCAAGATGAGGATATCTAGATTCATTTAAATACGAATCCAAAAAACAGACACAGGATCACTATTTGAATTTCTTCTATTTCATCAAGAACTTCAAGTACTTTATCTCCTGGCCTTACATTTTCTTATTTTTGATATACGTATTGATACACAAGTCCGAAGTCTTTTTCGGACGAGAATCCGTTTTTCGCTATCTCGTCGTAATACTGCAAGCCGTGTTTCGCCAACTCCACGTCTGCGTTGACCGTTGTACCTGCGTTTTCTATAGCCAGCTTCAAATCTTTCAACATCAAGGACATCTTGAAACCACGCTTATAGTCGCGAGAACTTGGTGCATCTGGAAGTACACCAGGGCATGGATTCCCCACGTCGTCTGCCCAACACCGTGCACTGCTTTTGTTCATCACGTTGGATAAAAGCGCCGACTCCATACCTAATTCCACCCCCATCGAGATGGCTTCCGCGATTGAAATCATCTGGAGGACACTGAGCGCCATATTGTTGCATACTTTGGCTATGGACCCCGTTCATCCGCTCGCGCCACAGTAAAAGATGTTCTTAGTCTTGCCCATATTTTCCAGAAACGGTTTGCCTGCTGATTCGAATACACCCTTGCTGCTCGCGCCATACATGAAGGCTAGAGTTCCTACCGTTGCGCCCGCAACTCCATCCGAAACCGGCGCACCTAGGATGTGAAACCCGAGCTTCCCACCTTCCTCGCCAAGGGCTTTCGCAAAATGCGGAGCTATCGTTGTTCAGTCGATAAACATCGTGGAGGACCTCGCATTTCGAAAGAGTCCTTGTTTTCCACGATAAACTTCTTCGGTTGTTTCTGTGTTAAAGAGCATCGTGAAAATCACATCGCATTCTGCAGCCATCTGCGCTATACTTCTTGCAGCTTTCACGTTGGTAGCTGAAGAGCTCGCCCCTTCTCCTGTTGCCAATGCTACCCTTTCCGCAAATTTGTCGTGTACCAGAACCTCCGTTGAATCCGACTTTTTGCGGAGACTGGTACGAAGCTCCTCCTCCTGCGGATGAGAAGTATCTTCGACATATGAAAGAGCGAGAACCTCTCCGCATTATAGAGAATGCGGTCGAGAACGTCGAGGAATGCATTTTTTTGAAAGAAGACGAATATGGGACTAATTCGAGAATATTGTAGTAACCGGCCCTTATTCGATGAACATTAAGAAGGGATCATGGCAGTAGATTAAGCGGACCCAGACCCCAGTGGTCTAGTATTTCATGAATATGATTCTCGTAAATTACTAGCGTTTGTTGTTAATATTGATGAGGGTGTGGTCTAGGTTCACGACGCCACGGCTAGTTCGTGTGAGGAACACTTTTTGTCATCAGAGATAGACTCGAACCTGCTATACTAGGGTGCGACAAGAAGTGAGTCCTGCTGAAATTTTCATGACATGATCATGCTGGTCGTCACTTTCTATTTGTCGTTCTTTTTCGTTAACAAAATACCTGACGACGTCGTTGATCTTGTAGTTATTCTTCACGTCACACGAAACTCTGTATCGAAGACATCCGTGAAAGTATGCATTGTTAATTTTTTTGTTACATAAATGTTTATTGAGAATGTATTAGCATGAAGTTCTACAACCAGTTCTAATCTCGCGTAAGTATCACTAAATATTGTCCTCAGGGGAGTCTTCTATTTAATTAACCTTCGCGACACTTGAAGTTGAACTACGATCTTCAAAAATGACATCATGCAACAGTAACAACTTCTTGCTTACATGTTTGTGGATATACTTTTCTCTGCTTACATCGGAGCAGTGGGATCGGCTTCTTTTCGACCGCCTTGCTTTTATCTCTGCGTAATAAGATTGATTCAATATGGTAAGGTCGAGAAGATAGTATAACGAGTTAGTAAGTTGATGCCGCGACATTGACGCAAATGATTAACTAAGAATTCTAGAGCAACTATATGTAATCGGTATCATCAAAGCAGGGTGACGGTAACGACTTGCGCTGACCATAATTATGCAACTTCCTCGCCGCCACTCGCCGCATTCACATCAGCCGACTCGTATGTGACAGCGCCTGCCTTACCCTTATCTTGTTTCATGTCATGTATTAGAGGTCATTCGAGGAACAACAAGAACGGGTAAGCTTGAACTTCATCACAAGCTAAGGTCATCGTTATTACCCTTTTCTAGTGAAAACGATGAAGCCGAACGCGATGAAGACGTGCAACTGCAAGACTTTGGATGTATATATGTACCAAGGAGGGAGGCCCCCCCCATGTGGATGGATCTGGGGGGCAGCACCGTGGTGAAAGAGCGACGAGAGCAGAACGAGCGAGGAGAGAAGAACGAGGGACGAGAGCAGAACGAGGGACGTGAGCAGAACGAAGGACGAGAACAGAACGAAGGACGAGAGCGGAACGAAAGACGAGAGAAGACGAACGAAGAACGAGAGAAGAACGAGCACGAAGGAAGAGAGCAGAACGAGGGACGAGAGCAGAACGAGCGACGAGAAGCGCCCACCCGTGGCGTGGTCGGTGGCCTCTGGCATATCCATCCACAGGGGGAAGAGAACGGCAAAAAGAGCCGCGCCGCCTTACTTTGCCAGGCCTGTCGGGTGGGTACATGCAACACGCCAAGGGGGTCCAGCTCCAGCGTTGCCACCTTTGCCAGGTCTGTAGGGTACAAGCAACACGCCAAGGGGGTCCCGCCTTGTCACCTTTCTTGCCAGGTCTGTAGGGTACACACAACACGCCAAGGGGGTCCCGCCTTGCCACGCAGCTTTGCCACATTCAGAAGCCTTCCACGTCCGCCCTGCAGTGCTTCAACGGCCTCCGGGGTGGTGGCGCTGTAAGGTCCAGGCAAGAAGCGGGAAGGGGTCAGAGGTGGGCGCTTCGAGGCCTTCCCGCCCGGCAGCGCGTCGCAAAAAGGGCCCGGGGCTGGAGGCCCCCCCTCCCTCAAAAAGTTAGATCGGAGGGGGGGCCCTGTAAGACCTGGCGAGCGTCCTATAGACCGCAGAACTAAACCTTCCCCCCTTCCCCCCGCCCTACTATAAGGGCGAAGAATATGCTTGCTCCCATGCGTGACGCAGCACGCTTTTGAGCGTGACGCCGCGCGCCTGACGGTCGGGACATCCGTGGGAGCCCTGACGATTTGAAGAACATCCGGGGGGGGCCTGACGATCTGAGGAACATCCGTAAGAGGCGAGGCCTGATGATCTGAGGAACATCCACGGGAGACCCGACGACCTGAGCAACATCCGCGGGAGACCTGACGACCTGAGGGACATCCGCGGGAAGCCTGACGACCTGAGGAACATCCGGGGGAGGCCTGACGATCTGAGGAACATCCGCGGGAGGCCTGACGACCTGAGGAACATCCGTGGGAGACCTGACGATCTGCGGGACATTCCTGGGAGGCCTGATGATCTGTGGGGCATCCGTGTGAGACCTGACGATCTGAAGAACATCCGGGGGCGACCTGATGATCTGAGGAAGATCACCCGGCAGGCGCTGACGATCTGAGGAACATCCGGGGGAGACCTGACGATCTGAGGAACATCCGGGGGGGGAGGCCTGATGGTCGGAAGATCACCCGCAGGAGGCCTCGTGACCGGAGGAACACCCGCGGGGGGCCTGGCGTATGTTGATCTGAAGGCCATCCGTGGGGCGAGCCCTGACGATCGGAGGAACATCCAGGCCGGGGGAGGCCTGACGATCTGAGGGAAATCCCTGCAAGACCTGACGATCTGAGGAACATCCGCGGGAAGCCTGACGATCTGAAGAACATCCGCGGGAGACCTGACGATCTGAGGAACATCCGCGGGAGACCTGACGATCTGAAGGACATCCGTGGGCGACCTGATGGCAAAGACACGACCACCAAAGCGCCAGACAATGGCGGCAGCGTGGGGATGAGATATAGACCCAACCACGACAACAAAACAAGCCACCCGCAAAGGCAACGCTCGGCGGCCCATCCATGGGATGCGGGGCACATGCTCGCAACACCCTCGCAGACACCTCACCCACCACACAGACAACACACCGCCACACCCTCCCACCGTCACACGCCACGCCGCCCTAAGTCACGCCGTCACACATGACGACGCCACACGCCACGCCCTCACGTGTGACATTGCCACACGTCGCGGCGGCGCGCCACGTCCTAAGTCGCGCACTATTTGACACACCCCAGCGCCCGAAGCCCCACGTCACGCGCCCCGCCGACACAACGAACCTCACGCGCCTCGCGCATAATCCTATGCGAGTCACGCCCCTTACTAAGCGCGTCACACCCTCACGCGCTTCGCTAATACTATCACGCGCGCCACGCTCCTAAGCGCCCGCGTCACACCCTCACGCGCTTCGCTAAGACTCTCAGCCACGCGCGTCACGCTCCTAAGCGAGTCACGCCGTCACGCGTCGCGCTCGTGCCTACACTACTCCCTCGCGCGTCACGCCATCACGCGCCACGATGGTAATCCCTCGCGCGTCACGCTCCTCAGGTGGATAAGACGCTCGCAGGGTTCCACGGGAGGGCCCTTCAGCCCTGAGCCCTGTAACCTATATAATCATAACACCCTTATCCTTAAATCTACGCGTCGCCTGGCTTTCTTGCCTTTGTACAAGGCCTGTACTTTAGTAGCTGCTTCCTCTTCCTCGGCTCGTTCTCTTTCTGCCTGCTCGGCGGCCATTTTCTCTTCAAGTTCTTTCTGCTTTTTCGCTGCAACTTTTGACTCGACGTCTTTACGTGCTGCCTTTCCGCGAAACATCGACTGAACCTGAGAGAAGTCATGGTAACAAACTTCGATGGGATATGAGAGATTCGGGCTTCCACTTCCAGCCAAAAAGAAATATGAAATCATAAACAAATGATTTTTGTCACTACAGCCGTGCACTTCTTCTTCTTCTTCTTCTTCTTCTATAGTGGACAAACTAGGACGATGTGAAGTACTTTCACAGCGGCCGCTTGATCTTCAGCTGCTTCCCGCTCTTCTCTTTCCGCATCATTTTCCTCTCCTGCCTTCACGTTGTCGCCACTAACTGTGAGTGTTTTGGATACTATGTATGTATAGTTGTTCAGGTCTTTTATGACAAAAAAAAATATGGACCATGGCCTTCGAATTCGCGTTCCAGTTAGATTATCAGATGAGCTCAGCAAGTAGAATCATTACTTTCGGCGGACTTCTTGTCAAGCAAGTCGGATCGCACTGCTGATATTTTGACGGTCTTTACGGGCCTGCCAGCATAATTCGTTTGCAGACGACTTATCTTCCACATCTGAAGATCGATGGGTACAGCTATATCAAAAATATTGTGAGCTAGAGCATTTATTGATGAAGTAGCTGTTCGAAAATTCGTAAAAAAATATATGTTCACATTTAAGTTAAATGCTTGTTATTTTCTCGTTGTTCAGTTGTTCAACTGTCTTCACTACATCACCATTTTTCACAATGCCGATTTCAAACAAAGAAAGACAGCGAATACTGTTCGCATGCCGCTAATAACCCTTCCGAAAATCAGGTTTTTTCCGTCAAAATATGGCAACTCATCTAATGTGATGTAGAATTGGCTGCCGTTTGTGTCGAGTCTACTCTTGCACATCCCAACTAGGCCTGCGCTGTCGTGTTTGTACCTCACAAGTGATGTTAGGTCTTGAAGATAGTATCCTGCTTGGGTCGTGCTCGTGGTGGTGGACGAGGGCGAAGTGAACTTGAAGGTAGAACAGCAGTTAGGATTCATCATCGATCTACGTAAAACAAAAAACCTAAAGATGCGAAAGCGAAGGCAAGAAGATCAAAGCTGGGAATCTTTGGACATCAGCAGAGTCAACATTACACTAGTACTTGAATGAGTCGTCTGGTATTGGGCTTCCTGTTGATGAGACAGAATTGCTACCAGAGCCGTCCACGATATCACCTCCTTGGATAAAGCAGTCCTCCTTTACTCGGTGTATCTGTTCAAGTTGCGTGGGTAGAAAGAGCAGCTAGCAAGTACTAGCTTGAAGCAGGGCCAGATCGCAAAGAGATAGAAACAAGATGACAGTGATGGCTACTGAGTGTGATTCCATTCCACTGGTCAGCAGATGAAGTCATTTGTGCTAGTTCTTACAAGTGAAAATATATATAAGCTGACAAATATGATGTAAACAAGGTTGTACTGGTGATCCAAGATATCGGCCGCTCTGGACTAGAGCAAGAAAGTTCTCAACTACTCGTGGACACTCCTTGTAAAAGAGTTCAAACGCTACTGGCTCCTCTTCTTTTCCATCAAACTGAAAAGTCAACTGGCAATATTTCCTATTTTTTGCGTAGTGTTGCTGCTGACTCTTGTTCGCCATCCTCTTGTAGAGCAAAATTGATGTGGAATCCTCGTATTTGAACCTGAAGATGCGGATGTAAAGAAGAAGGTCAACAAGGATATATCTCGTCCGTATCCGTGCAAATTCAATTAATACCCCAAATAAACGCAATCTCAAGCAAATGATCAACCTGCTAAGGTCAATCTAGATTTGACAACAAAAACAAACTTCTTCAGGGTCAATCCCGTTGTCAACATAAACTAAGAACAACTAGTACCTTTTCTCTGCCCACTCCATAAATCGATCCATATTATTGAAGTATAGAGCCTTTTCATCGTCTGCTATGGCATACACAAGCGTGCTTGATGGCTTCGCAAGAAACTGATATTGAAACTCATGCATTTCTTGTAGCAACCATGCAAGAACTTTGAGACATAATTAATGTGTTCAATCATGTGAGTAAGTACTTGTAAACAGCTTGAAAATCTAAAAATATCAACATGTTTACTAAAACCTGCAGGAGCCTCACTTGCTCTATTAATATCCATATTGATAATACGCCAGAAAGAAAACAAGAAATCGAAATCTTTGATAAAACAGTTTGTGGTACGAATGCTCCGCCAAGCGTGTGAGCAATCTTTTTGAGTCGCATTTCATACTGGGTCTCGAAGTAACCTTCCACCGTCGCTTTGACATTTGACCTGTAGTGACATGTTGAGCGAGTTCTTGTGAGATATCGCGGCGTGGTCGGCATGTGCTTGGTGACGTACTGCTACGTTGGTCAGCCTTTACCAAGTTGATCTTGAATCATGACGATCAACTACGAGTACGATGTAAAACCTCACATCATGGTCGTATACAGCTTGTAATCACAATATTGAAAAGTTGTAAAACAACAATTACCTCGTACTTGCGAGAAATTCTGCTGCAGTTCGTAGTTTGTGGAAGTCTGGGGCCATCCACTTGCCCACCACGTGTATGTGGTACTGGATTTGATCGGATGACGAAGCCATTTTCTTCTTGGCGAAGGTGGGTGTTTATTCCGATCGAAATCCCTGTTTTGTGGCTACTCTAGTGCTGGACGTTCGTCGGGATTCTCGGTAATATCTTCGCGTTGTGATGCGGTGAGGGCCAAGATAGTTCTGCTTGCAAGCTCCGTCGCAGGTACAACAGGTCTCACTGAACACTGTCACTGATCCAGGCAAATATAATTAATGCTATGTCGTCGGTGTGCTTTTTTTCCAGGGTAGTTGATGCACATGAAGATGTCGTCGCAATGGCTTCTGAGCTACGGATCTTCTTCACTTTGGTACTGCGGCCACTACTAGACTGGCGTACCTTTTCTCGTTTCTGTGCCTAGTTCCAAAACCGGAAACTATCCTCAAAGGTGGACCAGGAACAAGTCCGACGTCACGCGCCTACAGTAAGTCACTTCTGAGCGTAGTAAGACATTCGCCTGACCGCAAAAATAGAACCCCTAGAAATAGACTCTGTTCCTGACTGTAGTTGAGTTAAATAATAGAACGCGAGCCCCAGCAGCCGATCTAGGCAATTCTTGGTCTCTGCTGGGGCTGCGGCGTGCTGATGTCAAAAAATAGGAATGAATAGCTAGACACAGAGACGCCCTATGATGTTGAACATTCAACGGCGGTTAATGTAGGTGCAGATACTCTTAGTCTTAGGAGGCGGATGACGATGATCGCAAAACACAAAAACGCTAGGACAAGCTGTGCGACTATTTACTGCTTTGAGTTCTTGCTTTAATTGCCAAGATATTTCTAGGGAGCGATTACATTGCTAACAGATGTTTTCTTGAGTTTGTTTTGCTTCGAAAAGAAGGAACTATTTTTTCGGCCTCGATGCGCATGTCATTTTCAGGAAAAGAGTACGCTTACTGCTAAGGGTTATTTCGGGGAGATAATTCACAAGACGGGAACCGAGCAAGATGAAAGGACAACTTAGCATCGCTCTCGCTCATTCAACAAAACCAATAAATATGATAAGAATCTTGATTTTATATATTATATAAAATCAAGATTCTTATCAACTACAACGCAGACCGATTTGTATTCGATCAACATTGTGCCGGTGTCGAGATTGTTAATAACGACCAGATATCAACATTGAGGTAATTCCTTTCACTCGAAAATCTCCTCTCAGTAGCACATATCTACTAAATGCATTGATTCACAATCCAAATCCTGTACGTCCGCACTTTGAAAATAATTCGTAAACGAATTACTTACGCACGACGAAAGCGAGAGGGCACGCACACAGATCGAGTATAAAAGTTATAGGTGCATGCGCGAAAAGGAATATCATTTGTTCCGGCATTGTTCCTGCTGCCGTAAACAACCTCGACAACTTAATAGTAAGACGTTGAAGACATCATAAAGTTCACTTCTTTTTCCCAGCCAGTGTCACCAGGTTCATTCTCTTCAACTTCATATGCGTCTGTGTTTTGCGCGAAGCCAGATTCTTTCAAATTCTGCGTTGTTCGACTGGGCAGTTCGCCATCGCTTTGCTCTCCGGGATTTGCCATTAGGTCCTCCACCTTTACAAGCATGCGCTCATCAAAATCTTTGCACCACGCTTTCTTGATGTTTTCCAGGATTCGTTAGATAGAAGATTAAGTGGTGGCCGTGGCTATAAGGAAAGCCTATTAACAAAATCAGGAGGGCTTCTTCTGCTTTCGCTTACGGGGTTCAGGAATAGTCAAACTACGAGCATATCTATGTATGATTTATGAGCCTTATTGACCTACTGCAAGGACATCAAGATGGAAAATCAAATACAAATTGTTGCCCAAGATCAAACCAATCATAATCCTTTTCTGAGAATGTGTCGTGGATTCCAGCTTGGGACAGAAAAAGCGCAACCTTTTCGTGTCGCAGGACTCGAGGGTCTTCTTTCGGTGGAAAACCTCGGATAAACTCCCCACTAGGAAGTTTTGTTGCGCTTCGTCCAGGGATGGAGTTGTGGACGAGGAAAACAATCGCGATATCATTCGTGTTTTTGAGCTCGGGCTTGGAACTCCTGAGAACATTAGAAACTTACAATGTTGTCGTGCGAGTGCGACAAGAAGAGATCCCCTACTAACGCATGCTGGTATTCCAAGTACTGTCGTTGACGTCTTCGATGCTGTTCTTGCGTATTCACCTGCTCTTTCATCGCGATTAAAGGATGATGAAAGCGAAACAAGCGTTCGCGTGTGATAGCTGCGCGGTCCTGGTATCCTTGTCAGCGACAAAGCTCTAGTGGTGCCGGTGCTGGATGCGGAAAGTGTCCTTCTGAAAAAACCAGACGAGCTCGAAGACGAGCTAACCCCCATCATCACCGCGGCACTCATCTTCTAATGCCGAGCTTTGTATCTGAGTACCCTCCACAGTAGAAGTTCGACTTGTAGAGGATGCAGAAAGCAGAGCAGGTACTGGAGCCGTATCTATCACTGTCTATGCAGTACCGGAGCGTAGACGTTGAATTTTTGATCCAAAAAGCAGAACTGATGCAACCTTCCAGATGTGACGAACTGCTTGTTCGAAAGGAAGGAACTCAAACTGGGCACTGCTTGAAGCTCCTGCTCCCATTGTACACCCTGGTTACTCCCAAGAGCAACAGGCAAGCCTGAGGAGTCGTGGTACGCCTGCTAAGTAGCAAGTTCTATGTATCGGGATTGTCTTCTCTTTTGCGCGAGGAATTCTGGCAAGCGTTGCGTCTAATATGGTAAGCTGCCTAGTAGGCCGTTCAAGAAGATCATCAAAGAGTCGACAATCACTGTGCGACTCCGATGAAAACTGAGCTTCAGATGCCCCTGCTTCTCATCAACAAAATATCGAGAGTGACATGGTATTCGTCAAGAAACAAAGATAAAAGAGAAACAACACTAGATTTAGTTATGAGAAGAATTTCGGGCTTTCGTTTTGTGTACTGGCTTTGCCAAGGTTCAATTCCAAAATTATGAGTTGTCAAAGGCTCTGTATTGATAAGAACTTTCTTCAACTTCATCGCGTCATCTGCCTCCACTCCCAGTGCTGTGGTCCGCAGCACTGGACGATCCCCCTGCATGTAGGAATGAGCGACTAAGAAAATCGATTGACCTTTCGTCAGGAGAAAGTTCCAGAGATTGGCTGCTGCATCCATAGCTGAGGAAGTTGTTCCGTTTATTTCTTGCCGATGCTCCTGTGGACCCTGATGGTGCACTGCCTGAACCAGCAGGAAGATCTCCACCTGATAGCCGCCCTGGTGCCGTCCCCAATGTTGAAGCGCTAGAAGCGAGGCCGCCGCTTCCTCCTCGATCTCCACCGAGAAGGGATGTCAAAGAAGATGACGCGGCTAGCATGTTGCCTCCATTTACGCTCGACGTGCTTGCGCCGTTGTAGCGTGGTGTGAAGTAGCGGGGAGTGATTCCAGGCGTAACTCCAGGTGTATTGTTGAAAACAGAACAAGGTGTGAGAACGGCGTCTCGATTCGTGTGGAGTATGTCGGTTGCTACGGAAGAAGTCATCGAAAGTCGGCTGCGCCACGCATCCAGAGGTACGGAAACTGTTAACGTAGAGTACAACATCGAGGACGAGCGCACGCGCAGGCACTAAAAATCAAAATATAACAGTGAGTTGAATGTCAATGTTGTTGAACTTGTACTTGAAAATATTTTAAGGTTACGGACTGAAGGCAAGAACATTGGAATTGAGAATCTAGTAAGTGCTTACTCTGAGAGAGGCAAGAGACGTCAGTGAGGTTGCCGGGGCCGTCGCCAAACTGGATCGTTCCACCTGGTCCTCCATGACTACCAGCTACGCCACGGCCCCCTGGATATATTCTGCTTCTGTCGAACGATGCCGAGAGAAAAGAAGAGCTCAGGAGCGTCTGAGCCTGTGCATACATCGAGTCTTGCGCTGGCTGCAAAGGCGAGGAACAAGAGGGCCCGCCAGGCCCAGGGCCAGTAGCACGCGAATTAATAAGACTAGATGAAGTTCCAGCTGTAGCGACTTGGTTTGCTTGCGAGTAATTCTTACCGGTGCTACTCGAAGAACCACCAAATTGCTGCCCGTTAGGCCCTCTCGTGCTGCCCACGATCTTGGTGCTAGAAGTCGTACTCGCGTTTATTTGGGACGCTTCTTGGGATGTCGGCTGTAGCAAATGTTGCCAGTGTCGATTGCAACTTGCTGCAGCGGATGGGGGTGTGGAAACGAGAGGAGCATCAGCAAAAGGGTTTTTGGATGCTGTCGCTGGAGAGGAGCTGACCACGGGATGCCTTTGCCCTTGATGAGCTGATGATATTTCTGACGGTAATTTATTCCATATCGCCTTTCCCTCCAATGATGCATCAAGCTTATCACGAGCAGCAACTATGATGTCCTTCTCCACCTTCGTCGTGCTAGTGCAAGAGCTGGTGTCAAAAACATCAAGTATGGTCGTAGTCCCTGTCGCCGCACCAGGCATATTCGCAGTTCTTGCCTTCTGTCCCGCTGCAGCGTCGACGAAACCTAACGCACCACTCTTTTTTTCGTCACATGAGAGGCAGAAGGAAGATGACCCACTCTCGTCTGGAGAAGACACGGCCAGCATTGACGTGATAAATGGTGGCACTTCGAAGGACCTGCGTTCTTCTGTGGGCGGGGAAGGTGTATTTCTCGAAGATGAAGAAGTCGCTGCATTGAAGGTCCCTACTGCTGGATGAAGATGTTCATTCGCTGGAGAGGGGTATATGAACGGCGATGAGGACCGAGGCTGTTCATGCGACGATTGTGGAAGAGGGATTTTAGGTCCCAAAAGCTGCAACCGAGTTTCGCCGACGCTCCGCATTTCTTGCTTGCCTGCGGTTGCGAGGACCCCTTCCAAACTACCCGTCACCATTCTGCTACGGCCACCCACAACAGGGCGAGCTGTTGCCACAATACTTTCAGACCCAGCTGGTTGTACCGCTGCCAAATCCTGAGCTCCGCCATCCACTCCATCCGCAGGACTGGATGGAATGCCTCTTGTGTGACTACCTTCGAGGTGCATACTATCAAAAGCTTCCTGTTTCGTTCCTGGAGAAACGTCCTGCTTGTTTGGCGATATCGATTTCTTTTTTCCGACTTTCTGCAAGAAGCCCACTGCTGATTGCGCAAAATTTGATTTGTTACTCTTTGCTTCACTTGTTGGCGCTGATGGGTGTGGATCGCCGGACTCCAATTCTGCTGTGGCGGAGCTCTTCTCTGCATCTGCTAAAATAGACGATGGTGTCTTTTCCTGCTCGTCAACGAATGACGTCCTGGAGTTGGCTTCCTTTTTCGACTTATTGAACAAGCCCTTGACCGGATTCTTGCTTTTTTTCTCAGTCTCTTCCTTCGGCATCGCGTTGCTGCTAGTGGCGCCCCCCACCGTTTCGTTTGTCGCGAGCGCCTCTTTGGAATCTTTTGTCTTCGAGCCAGCTGCTGCGCCGTCAATGTCACCACCAGCTAGACCAGTTGTAGTAGGTACCTGATCCGCATTCGGATTACTCACCCTCCCAGCAGACTTCTGAGCTTTGTTGCCGGTTTTGTTGAAACCAGACAAGAAGCTCGTGAGGCCGCGTTTACTAGAGGATCCTGCTGTTGCAGCAGGTGCAAACTGCGCCTTTGATGATGTGTGGTGAGCATCGGCGGCCTCGTCTATGATCTCATGTTTCTCAGCACTATTACTGGAGGTTTGATGATCCATTTTTCGACTTACTTCTGGTGGCGTCACTCCTGCTTGTGTGGAGGGACTACTCTTTGTACTTCCGGCACGCGAAGGGTCATGAACCGGTGTCACGTCTGCGCTATCGTCTCCGCGACTTCCCCGACTCGCTTCACTTCCTTTCGAATTGCGTCGAAGCCACGATGGACCGATGTCGCGACCGAAGCCAAGCCGACTTGCAAAGGAAGAAGACGAAGCATGGGGTATGGCGGGCGGTTGTTCACTGGTTGCAGTGGTGCTCGTGCCACTGGTGACTTCTGTACCCTTCATAGTAGCTGTGGAATCATCCTGCGGCTGTGATGAGGACGTAGCTACTCCTGCCTTGTCTGTCGCACTGGGTGTCGGGTCATCCGTCCCGCCTCGTGGAGCAGAAACGCTAGCCCCTTGAGCAGAAGCGGCTTCTTCTTCGACGGTTGAAGGGAAGCTCCCCTCTGTTCCACTGCCGCGCTTCTTTTTCATCCCATGCCCCACACGCGAGAAAAAGGAGTCCACGACTTTAGACTTCGCTGAAGTCGCTGAAGATGCTGGTGCAGCACTGATCTCTTGGGTTGACCACGCAGCGTCGACATCAGCACCATCCAGGCCAGAAAAATTTTGGTTGTTATCACTCATTGCCGTTGCGCCTCCTGCATTTGGTCCGACATGACCATCAAACGGAGTTTGTTCTCCAAGAGTGCCTTCTGCTCCTGATGCAGGTTGATCCTCCGCAGTTGCTTGCTTCGCGGTCGATGAAGAGGAGCCGCCACTAAAGAAATTGCGCATGTTCACGTTCGTTTTCACAAGATTTTGTTTCAATTGAGTGAAGTTTTTGGTAAACAGTGCTCGGCCCCGCGACAACTTGCGTTCTCCGTCCACCGATACAGAGTCGCTACGTCCATCGATGCTCTGTGACCGGGGAAGGTCTTGGCCAAGCGGTTGCAGTCCGTTTTCAGCAATCGCCATGTCTGACGATCCTGCAGCGTCGCCTTCGTCTACTAAGGTAATGTCGACCAAGTTTGTGACTACAGTTTTACTCTTCGAAACTCCCATGGATCCAGAGTCGTCCTCCTGATTGAAAGAAGGTGCGCTTGCGGCGGGTGCAGCATTACGAAAGCGAACTTGATCAACTTTCACTTCGGATGCAAAGAATGAAAGCTCGTCGGGCATTGCCTCTCCCTCTGGTGGCGTACCACGATGCGATCTGTGGCTCTGTTTTCCGGGTGATTTTTCAGGTGAAGAGCCTGCCTGCGACGATATATCGTACATGATCGGGCCACTGGCTACAGCTGCTTTCGTTGCCCCCGTACCCGCGAATTGTCGACCAAGCTCCTTTATCGGTTGTGCCGCACGACCTGCAACATCTTCATCGTTCACAAAAATAAGATTTTCGTCACTTTCGACAACATTTACGTCCTTCCCGTTCCCCTCGGCTTCCCCTTCTGCTTCAGATGAGGAAGAAAAATTCATTTTCCAACCTCCACTATTGTTCAACATGACTGCGGCACTCTCTCGATGTCTCTGCGATTGAAACACTGCTGGGCTTAGCGGTGCTTTGACCACTTTCGCTGCCACTGGTGACGTAGAAGAAACAGCTGCTGGACTCGGGGCAGCAACAACTGCAGCCGGGTCATGTTCGCGTGTAACATGGGTCTGTCCGTATTCTTGGTCTGGATTAAAAGGAAAGGCCACATCCGCATGATCGACATCCCTCCAGGATGAAGCGGGACTCAAGACAACAGGATCATCCGGCCCATGCCTTACCTTACTAAGCGGACTTCCTTTATTGGGTGACGTCAAAGGGCTGGACTTTGAAGCCGCAGCAGCTCCTGCGTCATGCGCGACAACAGCACCGCCTGCCTCCACGCCTTCTCCTGCTTGAGACGTCTCGTGAGGCTTCTGTGTTGCACCAACAACTGTATCAACGTGTTTAAGCGCTTCCAGATTTATTTGGCCACTCGGAGTTGCCTGATCCTGTTCTTGCAGCTGGCTACTATTTGTGACGTCTGCACTATCTGCGGCCTTCGGTTCCTGCACGACGTCTGTGGCTACTCGATCTGCTTGGTGCACGTGATCTTGCGGCTCTTCCGTCATTGCTTCTTCTCGGGGCGCAGAATAGAAACCTGGTTTCGAAGGACCGCTCAAGTTGTGCCTTCGTACATTGCCAGTTCGCCCGCGGTAACTAGGCGTGACGCTTGCGGATCGCGATCGGGCTTCAAGTAGACCAACTACTTTGCGCATCTCGCTCATGCCTTCTCGAAGAACCTCTTTTTGTGCACGGTGACCTTCTAGAAGAATGCGAAAGCGGTTTGCTGACTCGCTGCGGTCGCGAGAGGCACCTGTGCGCAGCATGTCGACAAAGCGCTTGTGCTGGCCAGCAGAACGTGTGTTCAGAGGCGTTTTTCTGAAATTCTGCATGCTTACACTCATATCTTCCACGTCGAGGTTGTTCCTCATCATCTCTTCATGTCGGAGCGGCACCACAGCGGTCTTGCTCAAGATATCAGTTCTCGAGACTTGATGATCATTTTTCTCAAAGCCATGTTCGTCTGGAGAATCGATATCCTGATCTTCCTTGCTTCCTACTGTTTCCCCTTCTCCCTTTACAAGTGTCGGCGAAGGCGTATTCTTCAAATTCGTGAAGTAATTCGTCACGTCGGTTGGCAAAATCGGGGAAGTCGCGGCGTCCCGAGCAATGGACGTTAGTTTTTCGATTTCCGGTGTCATTGACGTGCCAACCTCAACGACTTCTACAACGTCACGCTTTTGCTTTTCGCCGCCTGACGCACTCGCAACTCCCGCCGCACCCGCTGCACCTACGCCAGCAGCTACCATCGCAGTTGCAACTGCGGATTTCTGCATCGCTGCAAACTTTTCCTGTTCTTGTGCGAATTCTGTCTGAGCACGTCGCAATCTGGCTTGCCCCTCTTCCAGCGCCAATTGAGCATCAGCTAACTCAGCACGTCCAAGCTCCATCTCGCGCTCGAACGTCGCACGTTCCTCAGCGAGCGCAGCCCGTGCATTCTCTAGCGTTTCCGCGTTAGCTTGATGGAGCAGAAGTCGATCCGCAAGTTGCCGTTCTTCGGTAATCTTCGCCTCTGTTGAAGAATGTTGTTCGTGTGCGTAGAGATGCGACACCGGCATGCGGAGAGACAGAGAATCTTCTTCAGAAGTGTTCCTACATCATGATCAACTACAGTGTTCCTACATCATGATCAACTACTAGTACCCAGCACTAATTAATTTCAATTTTCAATGACGTAATCGTAAGTATTAGCTGTATACCTTGCCAGCCAACGCGTTCCGCTTCTAAGGCCGCATATTGACTTTGCAACGTTTCGTGGGCTTCGGTACGTGCGGTCTCCTCGAAGTTTGCCTTCACGTCAGCGACCTCGCGTGTCAGCGTGTCTATTGAACTCTTCCACTGGACAGGGGCACTCACTGATGGAAAAGCGTGCATTGGGCTTTGGATAAGCCGGAACTAGTCTGTTGAACAAGTTGAAGCCATGTGAAGATACATCTGATCTATCATAGATACTGATCATTATTTGGAACCAATATTCTCAAGGACACCAACAGCTTCTAGGTAGTTGTCCACTAGGAGTACCGTCTGGAAGCTCTTCGAGCTTTGCATGTATTTTTTCGAGCTCATTTGTCGGAGGCAAATTCGCGAGAGACTTTCTTCGTACATTCACGTTTTCCTCGAAGCGACTAAGTGTCTCTTCTAACTGGGACAGGCATCTCTGCAAAAAGAGAATGTTTTGACGGAAACGATTCCTGTGATACTACAGCTACTCTTCATTTTCCGACTTGCACGTGTTATCAGATCAAATACCGCGTAATACTAATTTAAAGCGCGGCATTCAGTGGTCACTGATGCTGAACTGAAGCGACCCCCTTCAAAGCTCTCCCCTTTCCCTTCCTTTTCCCCTGTTCTCTAAAGGGGTCGCTTCTTCGATCTCAGTGACCAACCAACTATGACCATTGAAAGCTGAGCCATAACTAATGCAATATTATGATGCGAAGAATTTCTGGACGCAACTAGTAAGTTGTAAATACCTTGTACTTTTTCGTTTTCCTCGCTTCTTTTTTTCGCTGCAATTTTGCTTCTACTGCTGCCCTCGATTGTATTTGCTTAGCGATAGTGTCTCTTGCGTCTCTCTGGGCTTTCAGGTCGTCCGTAAGGAATAGGACCTCTGTCTTCAGCTCTTGGTTTTCCCGGAGTAATTGTCCGCCATTCTGCTCGTCTGTCGTGGCCACGTCGGGATCTCCTTCACCGCCCGTTCGGGCAGAGTTGCTCGCCGCTGGCCCTCGCGACCGACCGCGAGCGCGGAGTTTTTCGGCAAACTGCTTCATAGTTGACTGCTTAGCCTCAGAACCTAATTCTCGTTTGGCTTGTTTTGTCACCTGCAAGGACCACCCGTTGCAGAAACGACTCTACCTGGAATCCACCATCCTCACGTTTGCATTTTGAGGTGCATGCCGCGCGATGAAGGTACTTGCCATGCTAGTGCAGCTGCTACTTCTCCTGAGTTCTTCATCTCTTAGTGATGGGCTTGCTTTACTCACGTTCGCATACGCACTCGCACGTTCTTGTCAATTTGACATGTCGGACAGCCTCATCGAATCCACTTTTACATTTACTATGCGCCTTTGGTGAAGAAAAATACATCGAAAGCAAGCCTTCATCTCACAATAAACTTCTTCAATTTTCTTAATTTATTACATTTTGTACGCCATTGTTCGTTTGCTACTAGTACTAATTTCACTCAGAGACGCGCCAGTTTCTTTGTAGAAATTTCACCAAATACCTCGAAACTTTTTTACTTCATAAAGCCAAGCATTTTTTTCTCTTTCCGTCTTAGATTCCTGGCCTCGGAGTGTTTTCAGCAAGTCTGAAGAGAACCGATTCTGAAACTGGGCACAACACGGGTTCTCTTCAAAGAGAAGACAAAGTCAAGGGCTTTCATGCCATGAGCCCTTATGTAGCAGGTAATGCTGGTGCCCAACATGCTGCTATTTTCATATTCATTCGAAGTGCGAAAGATACAACTCTGTGATTGAAAAACTCAAAATTGAAGTTCGAAGAGAACGACGAAAAGGGTTAGCGTGGTCTGAAAAGAGGAGAAGGGTCGGGCTCGAGGATGACTTCTTACAACCCTGTCTACTGGATCATGTTGATGAAATTGAATGGTGTGATTATTTGAGAATAATTGCCAGTCTTCCAGCTCCTTTGCTTTTAGCCATGTTGAGTGAAGGTGGCCGAGTGTCTTTGAAGACTTCGGCTACGCCATGATACAAATGCCTACATCGGTTGCCAAAAACAAGCGCGTCGCCGGACTTCACTGTGACAGCCAGTACTCGTCCACCTTCCGAGACTGGCACGCCAAGTGTGTAGGTGATCTTCACTGAATCGCCGATGTTGATCAGCACTACTGGTACATCCTCTGTAGCGACGACCTCTTCCTGTCGCAACTCAACTTTGGCATCGCCGCCATGGAATTCAGCCCATGCTACCTGTGGCGTGAAGTCCGCACCCGTCGAGAGTGCGGCAGCAGCCCCTTTTATCGAAGTCGCGTTACTGGAGACGCCTTTTGGACTTTTAGCCTTGCTCGACGAGAATCCGTCCTCTTCCTCGGGAATCGCAGCAAGGGCGCTCAGCGTTTCTTCGTAAGGTACGAACCGATCCGCGATGTTCTGGATGTTGAAATTCGCGTTTTTCACAGCCCGGCGAAAGAAGTCCACGAGGGCCTTGGGAATCCTGCTCGATGCAGATGAGTCGCCGTCCGCCACACGGTCGTCAAGGTCTCCCATTTCCCATTCTGCCTTGTGGAAGTTGAAAATGAATTCCCCGAGACTCAAGCGGCATATCTTCGGATTTCGCGACTTACTGTCGATTTGCTCAACGAAGAAACCACGGCCGCCGCCGCGCAGACCTAAGTCTCGGATGGTGTCGACCACATCCTGCTGCTCGTCGTCGTTCAAAAGATCGTGTAAGTGGATAAAACTGTCGGCAAGGCGTGTGTACGCGACGAAGCTCTTACAAGCAATTTTCTTTGAAGTTCCGTTCGAAGTAGTTGCATTGTCCGCTCCTGCCAGAGAATCGTACATTTTCCTATCGCTCTTATCGACTTTGTTTTTGTATGTAGCGATCTTTGCGTTTTCTCCATTTTTCTGCACTTCATTTTTCATCGGTATTTCGGCAACATCTCCGCCGTTCGGGATCGCCCTGCTGTCTTCAGTCTTCTTTGTTCTGGCGCCAGCGCCACCCGTCAAGTCGAAGCGCATGCTGTACAAAGATTCAAACTGCTGAGGCAGTCCCTGCGCCGGCCAGCGAACCGGAATCAGAGCCTTTTGCAGCGTCCTCAAAGTGTCTTTCGGAATGTCCCAGAACTTGTGGTCGCCAGTAAACGTACATGGGATCGTCAATTTGCGAGGAGTCTCGAGCCAAAAGATGAAGTCGGAGTTGTTTTCCTCGATCATGCTCTCGAGCACGCGATCCGCTTCTTGTTCTTCCTCGTCCTGCGCTGACTGGTACCCGTCTTCGTCGGCCTCTTCGTCCTCAATGATTGCCACAGGTTCCCCAACGTCATTCGTTAAGAAGATGTTTCCTTCACCATCAGTTTTTTTCGAAGTCGTGTCGTCCGCCATCAAGCCTTGCTCTCTGGCCTTTTTGTTCGCATGATCTTTTCTTGCCAGCATGGTGGTGAGCCCCAACTCGCGCTTGCGGCGCTTCTTGTACGCTTCGTTGTCCTCGATGCTGAGCATGTCGACGCAGCCGATGATGCAACTCGTTGGATATCCGATACCGGATTCTGACGGCAGTGGTGGTACCTTTGGGTACGCTCTGTACAACTCGCGATACATCTTCTCCACTTGCTCAACAGTCTGCGTGTCGACTTCCTGTGCTGCGGCGTGGATCCAGACGCGTCCCCGATTAAACGTCTTGTTCTTGCCATCAACATTCCAGGGCCGGCCCTCTGCACGTTTAAAGCCATAGACGATCAAAGATGCCCAAGGCTGGTGCAGAGTGAGACATTTACCGCTGTCCACACCATCAGTAAATAGAGGCGTTGGCGCTGGAAACAGCTGGCTCGCTTTGAGAGGGTCCACTGCAGCAGGATCAGCTGTTTCGCCCATCGCTCCAGTCACGTCCCCAGCTCCTCCCGCTGTGCTTGTATCTGCTTCCGCAGCGTATTTCTTCAGATGGTTCCGCAGTGCCCCTGACGCAGCGACGCCACCAACACCGCCAGCTGCACCGGGCGCACCTACCAGTTGGCTCATGTCAATACCATCATCGTGAAAATCGTCGCGCTCCATCCTAGGTCGATTCACTTGCTCATCATTGTCGTCGTCAGCCATTTTTCGACTGCGGGCAGGCGCGGTGCTCGAACTGCTGCCGCCCTCTTGCTCCAGCGCATCCCGCAGCTCGTCACTGAAGCCGCCTTTCGTAAGCTGTTCGTTCTGTCCGGCAACCCACCTCACAGCACGCCCGTTCGCAAGCAGCGGTGCTACGGATTGAGTAACTGCGCCGGCGTGCAGACCGTCTTTGAGCCTACTGACTGCGGCTACTGCTGCCGCAGCGCCCAAGGACGACGCGTTAACCATGTCCGCTCGTTTCGCGCGGGCTGCCGCAAAAGCCGATGCGGAGTCGTTCTGGCTAGATCCGGCAGTAGCCATGTGGAATTCGTTCAGCTTGTCCTTGTTCATCCTTTGTATGTCTTCGCCCGACCCCACTTGCAGGATGCCGCCGCCTGTTCTCGAGGAGGATCCGCGTTCTACGACTGCACGTCCGAAGAAGTCTATCGTCACTTGTTCCTTTTTGCCGGCAGCAGCAAAAGCCTTCCCCAAATCTAGCCGTACGGAGCGTTTCTCTTGCTCTGCTCGTTTAGTGGCGTTTTTGCCCTCCGCGCGCGCACGCTGGCGCTGCTCCTGGGACAGCCAAACATTGTCGCCTTCCGCAAACCAGTCGCTGGCGTCGTCGAAAACGCGCGTTCGCGCGGCTGAGTTTCGGTCGAACCCGACTAGTTTTTGCGCTTTCTCCACTGCATTCTGCAAGGCGGCGACCTCTTCATCTGTACGCGTTTGCGCCATGGCGATCAAGCGTGCGCCAGGACTTTCGAAATCCAATGGATTACCGCAAAAGAGACAGGGACCATAGCCTTCTTCCTTGCAATTGATCTTGCCACAATGCAAACAGTTCGAGAGCGCACCGTGTTGCACACCCTGACACAAGCAAATGCGCCGCTCGACGATCTTACCCTGTTTGCCACTGTCCGATGCTGAAGTGAACAAAGATGAATCTGGAGTGCGAAACATACTTACTTGGAGTTGGATCCCGTCTGGGAAATAAAATAAGCACGGCGGTAGAAGTTTACGAGGACAGTAAATGTAAAGGAGGCTGCCACTCTCAGACTGAAAACTACTCTTCCAGGGTCTCGGTCGAAGCTGTGGGATCGACGAACCCCGGCTACCGTACGATTGCAGCGCCTGCTCAAGTCATCTTTCGAGTGGCGGCAGCTCCTATGCTAGAAAAAATGACACGTACGACACAGACAAAAATCATGTTCATCAAAGAGATAAAGGACCCTACCTGGTCCTCCAGTCGCAATTGCTGCTGCTTGGGAGTTGCAGAAGAAGCTTTTTCCAGCGGCTTCTTGTCGGTTTTGTGCGGCGCGCTCTTTTTCCTGCTTCAGATTATAATCATGCTTTTGCCTCGCTGTCATTCCCTTCAGCTTTGGGAAATTGTCGTCTTTATGCTTCTGATGCACTTTCAGCGCATGCTCCTGAAATTCTTTGAGGGTGGAAGATCAAGAATAATACGATCAGGTTCAGAATCAGAAACAGAATCTCGCAGAGAATTTTTCTTCTGGATTGAAAAACTTTACTTGTTTTGCAGATGTGCCTCTTCGACGACAAAAAACAAAAACGTTCGTAAGGTACCTCCATCAGTTGACTTTCGAAGCGTTTGTGCGCCAAATTCTGCACGAAAGTGTAAGCATCTGTTTGGTCGGCTCCGAAATTGAGCAGATAGTCTTGCATTTCGGAAGAACCAAGGGAAAGAATATCGGCGATCGTTTCCATTGGCACCTCTCCACCCAGGAATTTCTGAATTTCTCCGCGCGCCCATTTCTTCACTGCCTCCTCTCCACCTCCGGCAACAGACACAGACGACGTCATCTTCTTACTAACTATACTTGTTCTTGCTGTGCTCTGAGGAGAACAAAACTTTAATCGAAAAAACAAAGACGGCCACAGACACGCAATTGTCTCCAAATCTCTTAAACTTATACACCACTTGTTCTTGTTGTACGCTACTTGGTCATGATCTCGGAACTTAATCAAGACTATCGTGCGCTTCCCTTGTATAACTATATGTACCTTAAGTTATGATTCCCAAAAAGTTAGAGACGACGGTTTGCTCAGTCATGCACGTTTGCTCAGTCATGCAGTACCAGAATCATAATCATCTGACGAAACTCAGAAGGGGGTAGATCAGTAAATAAGTACTTGGATCAGCAAAACAATATCTTTAAGGCTGATCGTTGTGCCATGTCAAATTGAGAATCCAATTCCGGATGTAAATGTTAGATTTGTCCTCCGACGCAGATGCCGGGAGATCAGGATCACCTGTCCTAAAGCCGGGAGATCAGGATCACCTGTCGTCACTTGCAATTCTAGTAGAGAGTCGATTGAAGCAAGTGGAATATGTCTTATGATAAAAGCAGCGACTGATACTGTTGCTGCGCAATCTCACCTCAACACCCAATGACACTGTAGCATCCTGCGACTTCGTGCAGTCAAATTCTGTCGCTTTACAAGTTGTTCGAGGATATTTGGTTTTTCACGCTGCAGACAACAAACTTTAGGAATGTTCCACGTTGGCTATGATAGCTTCGTTTCTTTTTACCAACTCAAAGTCTCTTATTTCGTGTGTATTAATCCAGCGCATAGTTGTACTGGAACGGGCTCTTCAAGAGATATAATTTATATATAATTACTTGGGCAGCAATCACGAGAGCCATGATGATACGAGTGTAGAAAATCCACGAACACAACCCGCCCTCGTCCATGCATCATTTTCATGAAGCTCTCATCTAGAGGCATGTCGACACACCTTTGAAACTCAACAATGCCGGAAAACTGGCACGCAAACTAATATGCAACAAAATTAGACGAAGCAGATGAATTAAGAAACGTTTACTGCACGAATATTACTATGTAATGAAGTAAAAGTCAAGGGCAATCCCAACATGTCAAAAGCAGTAAACAAGATGGAAGAACAAGTGTTAGAGCTCGGGGTGCATAGAAACGGATGCGGATGAAATCTTCCAGGATTACAAGGATTTTTCATCATTGATTCATTCAGTCAAAGCGATTACGACCCATTCCGAACGCCATCAACTACGTTCTTTGGAGACCAAGGTGGGAGTGAACAGGAACTTGCTGTGGTTTTCCCCTCTTCGAAGTTATTTTGATCCTTACTATCGCTATCCTGTTACCCTTCCATCGCATGAGACACTTGACGCAACGCCTCCTCCTTTACTTAGAGAACCAAAGCCAAACCAAGGGCCGAAAAACCCACTGCTTGGTCCGGGATCCGGATCCGCCTGTTTCAACGTATCTGGTTGACTTAGTGTATCCCAGTCCAGGTTTACCTCCTCTACCTGCACACTCGGTTGTTGACCAGGGAACAAATTCAATTTCAACCTGACCTGCAAGTCTAGCGTGTCCTTCATCTCACAAAGAGGAAGCACTGGCTCGGAGTCAGTTTGTGTCGTTGCGTCTTTCACTTGATCTTGGCTGTGCTTACGCGTACTGTCGTCCCCACCTCCGTTTCCATTAGTGCTTGCTGCTGTGGAGCTTGCATCTTCTCTTTTCAGCTCAGTAGCCGCAGCTTGTTTCCCGAGAACAGCACTCACTTGGTGTAGTTGCACCGAGTGGTGTCCTGCCTTCTCATTCGCCGCTGGCGTTGGCAAAGCATCGTGGGTAATGTTCGCGGCAAGAAAATTGTTTTCCTCCTCCTCCAGCGCGTGCCCGAGTAACGTGGCTAAATTCTCCAGCTCTCGAGGACCCAATTTTTGCGCTAATGCAACTGTGTTTGCTAATAATTCGATCTGCCGCAGCTGACTGGTCACAAGAGCCTCAAGACTTCGCTTCTCTACTTCGGTGTCCTGCTCATCTCCTAAAGGCAAATCCGCTCTTTGTTGATGTTGGTTGTCGCCGTGAAGAAATCACATTCCTACTGCGTCATCATCTACCGACGTATCGATGCCGTCCTGGCCTACTACCGTCACATCATCACCTGCTTCACCGTTAGCATGACTTTCATCCTCCTGTCCATCTGTAGAGCGAGAACCAGATGATGATGAGCCTCCTTGTCGAACACACGAAGACTCATCGCTTCCCTTGTCGAGATGAATGAAAAATTTTGTTTTATTTCGTACTCCTCCGAAAGCTGACGGTGAGGACGAGGAAACTGATTGAGGGTCGCTTTCTTGAGGTTGTGCAGCAGTTCGAATCTTCAATCCATGGCACAATACACCCAGAAAAGTATGTAAGGTACAGACCCAAGAAAAATAAAAGAGACGGAAGCAACACAGCCGGCCTGCATCCCCGTGAGGAAGTAGCAGGTGGAGCTGATCGGTAGACTATATTTATAGTACGCATCATCATTGTTACTTGTCGAGCGATTAAAATGAATTCATGAACCTACTACTTGGTGATACAACTTGACACAGGGTTGAGAAGCACCAAATGAAGATAGATCAATTATCCTCGGAGTTATTCCTCTATTTCTTGACAAGGAAAACCCGACGGGGACGAGAAGAAGACACTTTAAAGAAACCAAGCTAGTGAAAGCACAAAATAAGCAACAAATGGACAGAAAAGTATGAAGCTGCATTTTTCACAAATGTAAGTATAAGCCGAACTAATTATTTGTTTCTATCCATTCGAAACAAGAAATAAAAATAGAGAACAAAACTCGATGAAATACCAAGAAAACAAAAGCCGTCGACGTTGGTTCAGCGGAAAGAAGTGCGAAAACAAGCTTTCCAAAAGCAGAAAAATGAAATTGAGATCAGAGTCGCGGTTGAATTTGATCACAGCGTTTCCTTTTTTTCTATGACTTATATGCTTTGGGCGAGGAACGAAAAGATAATGAAAAGCTTTGCTCTAAGTGGTCTCAAAGGCTTCAGGAAACCTCTCGCCTTCTGCCTCCTGCTGGTTTTACCAGACCGCGATGACATGCACATGAAACGCACGCTTTCCTTTCTCATCCTGTCACAGCGATTTCACACACGATTTGATCTCTTGAAAAATCTTCAATGTGAAGATCTTGACGCGACTGTATGCATATAATCGAATCTATTTCATAAAGGAAACACGTTTCTAGAAGTTTGTCTCGTCCATTTTTTTCCAGGCATTTGCATAATTTGTATTCATCAGGTCATTGATCAAGGGTTGTTCTTGAAGATATATTTCACTGTCTGCACCTACAAGAAAGAGCAACATATTTCTGTTTCAAAAAGAATATCTTCATGGTAGATCGTTGATCGTTCGTGTAGCCTTGTTTGTAATTGGGAATAAGGAGAAGATCGGGGAAGGTTTCTCATACCGGGAATAAGTGAGCTCAGAGCGAGGGCGCACGGAGCCCAGCATCGGTGCCTCGTAATTACTTTAGTTCATCAAGAGCAAAGAGTAGCTATGCTTTGTATATTTATTTTTCTATATTACAGTATCCTCATCCTGTTCAACAATAAGAGTATAAAGATCGACTCGATGCGGTTTCCTTTATCTGTAGAGCATAATAGATGCCATTCTCGACAGGTATTGTTCACCATTGAATTGCAGGCGTACATCATGTACTTGTGGGCGATGTCGATGCTTGTTGATACATTCAACAACGAAGTAGTACATTTTCTAGTTTTCTCGGCACTTGTGCCCAAGCAATAGTCAAAATCTGGAGTCTTTCTACTTTGTTTACCACGTTCTAGTAGTTCTTACTGGGCACCTTATTTAGAGGTTGCCGAATTCCATTCTTCAGAACATCGTTGACCTATTTCCCCCTTGAAAAGGAGCCAAGGATGGTATTGAGGGATGTAATTCGGAAACCCTTAACTTGTAGTATACATCTACAACTCTTGACTCACAACTTATTTGAACTTCTGGGTTTTTCCGTAACTGTCAGAGTCGAGATTTTTAGTACAACTGGTGGCGCGTGTCAAGGGTGCTGAATATTAAAGAGCTAAACTAAAAAACAACAACGACCCCCCCCAGACTCTCACTCTTCCACTTCCGAGCCCCAAACTCTCACTCTTCCACTTCTGACTCATGAACTCATGACCTCAGGAACTCAGTCACGAACTTAGGAACTTACGAACAAACTTCGGGGCTTGTTTAGATTTCGCGCAACTTGTTTAGATTTCGCGCAGATGGGTGCTAAATTTAAAAATTACGCGATAAAGTCACAAGTTTTACAATTTGAACTCAAAGAATTGAAATCTTTCGAAATTTCATGGCGATGCCAAGATCGTGCGAACTTATGAACTTGGTTAAGCTTCGCGCAGCCGCAGGTGGGTAATGGTCTTCCTTGGTTAGATTTCGCGCAGGTGGGTGCATTATTTAAAACCTACGCGATAAAGTCAAAAGCTTTACAATTTGAATTCAAAAAATCGCAATTTTTCGAAAATTCACGGCGATGCCCAGGCCGTGCGAACTGATGGACTTGGTCACACTTCGCGCAGGTGGGTACTAAATTTAGAGCCCTACGCGATAAAGCCAAAGCTTTACGATTTGAACTCAAAAAGTTGAAACTTTTCGAAAATTCATGGGGATGCCAGGAAGTTTATAAATTTTATCACATTCCATTTCCAACAGGCATCATAATGAAAAAGAGATACAGCGAGCCCTCGCCATGATGGAATTAATTTAATCCACACGCGTTAAAATCAAAAAATTTGCCCAAAAAGCCCAACTTTTTGACTCTATCAGCTACAGCCCTATCCTCAGCCCCAGGCCCAAAGGCGTAAGCTTAAGACTTAAAAGGGTTAAGCTGAAAGCCCACACCCGAAAGCTCGAAGCTGAAAGCCCAAAGTTCAAAGTTGAAAAATCAAAGCCGAAGTCTCAAAGTTGAAACTTCAACACTGAGAGCCCAAGGCTGAAAGCTCAAAACTGAAAGCCAGCCCCATGCTAAAAGTCCAAAGCGGGACGATTAAGATTAAAGGCGGCGCCTCAATGTCTCGAAGTTTCAAACTTGAGAACGGAGATCCAAAGTCTTTGACTATTATATCCAATAGGAATGAAATTCAAACAATTCCCAGCCAAGGCGTTTGATTGTATCACAAGAAGAGGAACCCCGACGAGTTGCAAGCTCGAGCGCCGCAACTTGTTGCATGCAAAGAAGGCCAAACCTACCAAAAGAAGAGCACACCGACAGGCCAACGACTTCGGTCTGTGCCGTTTTAATCAATGGCCGCACGCCGTCCCTCGCCCAACTCTTTTCCCAACGATCAACCCCGCCAGACGGTTGTCGGGCGGGGGAGAAGCCGGGGAAGCGGAATCGCGCCGAGGTCGAGGAAGTGCGTGCCGGGGGTGGATGATCCTAGTGGGAGGAGCGCTGCCGGGCGCTCAAGTCTAGTAAGTAGTGAAATGAAAAGTAGGCAAAGTCGTAACACAAGTTTTGAAATGAAGGCGGTTTAAATTGATGAAGAATATGAGGACGACGTCAAGCACTGTATAAAAATAAAAATGGGTACAAGCGGGTAACTTCGTTGGAATGGCAGCCAGAAACATCGTGAAGGCAGGTCCATACGGCACAAGAAGAACTGGAAACAAAGCTGTAATGAACCGGGGTCACAGGAGAAGCTTGCTTGGTTTTAAAGAATCTCAATCGACGAGAAAAAAAGCAAAGGGTCATTTATGTAAGTAAGTAATTCTGCCGCTCGGATCCAACGTCAACGTCGCGGGGATGGACTTGTTGCTATATTCTTATCGGCTTCAATAAAACATTGCGGGACTTTCTTCTGGCCGATCCTGTAACAACATATCGTACGGCCACGAGATATGGACTTCCTCATGCGCGCTGGAGTCCACCCTCCATCGTAAGCCGACACTCTGTTGTAGGGTACAGGAGATGGAACATATGAAAGATTCATATCCGCGTAGCAGAAAGAGGAACTCAAAATCTTGCACATTCTGACGACGTTCTTACGCGCATATTTTCTATGCACCTAGACGTAGGAGGTTGCCGCGTCAGTTGTTTTCATCAAATGGGAAGCGTAAAAGTCAAAGCAGACGATCATCTCCGAGTGAAAATAAGCCTATCATGGAGTTGTACCTTCCGCATGCCCATTCCAGGAGCATGCTGGTGCACGTAAACCTCATTCCCTCTGTAACGACACTGGTCTTGTAGTAATCGCTCCATTTCCGTTGGATCCCAGCAAAAATAACGCCGTAAAAACTCTAACTCCTCATCTTTTACATAAGGATGCTTGCCCATTAGCTGTGGAAGAGTTCTAGTGCAATGTGAGTAAACATTGAATTTAATGTTCGTTTAATGTGTCAGCAGAAAGCTTGCGACTACGACTAGCATGGCAAGATATAAATCTTCACGATCAACCAAAGATGTTTTTCAAATTATGAGCGATCGACAATAGAGGAAAAACAAGTTGGCGCACCTCGATTGCGGCTTCTTCTGTCTCTCCATCTTCGGGAACTCCTGCTTCATCCGAAATGTCTATGTTGACTGGGGCTTTATCCGAGCTAGAGCTTGCCGACGTTTTGCTCCCGGCAACGACAAGCAGAAAGCCGCATGGCTCTTCGCTCTCTTGGTAGAAGGCGAACGGCGGAGGAGACTGTGGCTGCGGGTGCTCTCCTTGGTCGCCTTTTTTCACTGCTAAATCGCCTTTCTCGTCAGTTGGTGCACTCTTATCGTAGAGAAAGGATTTTTTTGACCCGTATCGGGTCGGGCTGCTCAGGTTGCTCGAGTTGCCCACCCTAATTTGTTGCGCGGCGCCCTTCGGGCGCAGCTCCGTGAGACATCGAGAGACCTTAGCAGGAGCGTATGGCGATGCGGATTGTGTCTCTGCTCCTTGATTTTCTTCTTGGTGCACCCTTGGGGCGCTTGCTTTACCAGGCGAGCACTGCAGGCCGACACGAGGGGCATCCGCCAGGGGAAGACAGCCAAGGCAGGGGGGGCAGTCAGATGACCGCAAAGGGCCCAACGCGGGGGCCCTGGGGGGGTGTGGCATGTACCGCACCGGCCCACCCAGCTGCCCACCAACGTCAGACCGCACCCACCGCCACTCGACAATACATCAACCCCCGCCGCATTTTTCTCAATGTCACTCACAGCAGCAGCCTCCAGTCGCAAGCCGGCTACGAACCCTCTCCAGCGGGGGCCACTCGCTCACACCGCAACGCAGCGGGGCTAAAGCCTATAATTAGCTTGGCACTCCCTAACTAAACCACAGGGGGGGCGAGGCACTCTCCCCCCGCCACCTAGTCGAGAGCGGCGCGCCGCTATCGATCCCAAACGAAAGGAGGCAGCGCCTCCCCACCCTTCTCTTGCAAAGGAGGCGCCCCACATGCCGAGCAAGCACTTCTACACCCACACCGCCCGGCATTGCCCCACTTCGATGGGCCAGGTGTCTCCCGGCAACTCGTGGCAACTCGTCCCAGAATCGGAGCCCTTCGCTTCGGCAACTCGAGCAACTCGCGGCAACTCGAAACCCGTTGCTTTCCTTACTCTATTATCGCCATCTGCAGGCTGAGCTGCCGCGGTCTCTGCGGCAGCTTCAGCGTTTTCAGCTTCCCCGGGGTCTTTGTTTGCAGCTTTTTCGGCATCGGGGGAAGCCTATTGTAGAACAAGTTGTGGAAATAATATCATTTTCTACTGATGAAACAAAAATGTATTATGATGTTCCTGAGGAATGTCCGGAACAGCACACGCTCTAGTTCTTCTTAAATCAGAAAGAAACAAGACTCAGACCTCCTCTTGTGCTTCGTCCCCATCTTGATTTTTCCCCTCACCTAAGTCTTTTGGTTTCGCCGAGGCTGCTGGTTGCAAGGGCTCCCACGGTAGCCGATCGAGAACGCGTCTACCTTTTGAAAGCGATTGACCGGACGACAGCTTCAAACTCCCCAATGCAAGAAATTGAAACTGAGGTATTGCATCTACTGGCGATTTCGATTTCTTGACTGCATCGACTGCTTTACTGCGAATCTGTGACAATGAATTGAATATCGAAAGTCGAACAATATGATCAGATATTAGACTTCTAGAAGTGGGTGTGGTTCTGGACCACAAAGCGACCAGGAGAAGCCCGATTTACGCAATACAAGAACAAATCAATGCAAGAACAGCTAGTCTCCGACGACGTAGCACCCTAGTTGTAAAAGTCTGTGTAAAGATATACTTGGCGCAAGTACTTGGTGCAAGAAGTTCCTCTGCAGAACTGCTGGTGCAGCGGGAGCTGAGGGCGACGCCTGCTTGCCATCCCCATCCACACGATCACTCCCACCTTCAGCAGCCGACTCCTCAGCCCATGGGAGAGAACTTCGCAGCGCAGCACTTCCTAACGACGCAGCATTACTCGCACTGGAGCGGGTACTTGCGACTTCACCGATTCCGACGGGTTTCAGTGCTAGCACACGAATGCTGCTTGGCGTCGAGAAGTTGCCTAGAGACGATACAAGGCTCGACTGGGCCGTCACGGGATTGGACGAGCTTGAGGACGGAGTAATACCGTTCGCCACTGCTCCACCAGAAGCTGTTTTCTTGACTGAAATAACCGCCGCCGGTGGCAGTGACAGCAGCGGTGCTCTGCCTGCAAGCATAGGCGATGGCCGGGGTATCAGAAGCGGTGTCCCAACGTCTCGACGTAACATTTTTTTTAATCTATTCTGTTTACAACTTATGTAAAGAAACAGTTGTAGTGGCGTAGATGTTGTAGTCTGCCGCAGATCCTAACACAGGTCGTCATGTTAGAAGTGATTGTGATGCTGATGCGTAGTTTTTCCAATTATCTCTGAAACAGACATGCGAACTGCTTTTCCAGGAACCTCCAACAACACCCACTACCTTTTCATCTTCTCTTTGTACATACAGTAAAAATTGCAGCTACTTCATCATCATGGCGTCTCAAGTAGTAGCCTTCCTAAACTACTGGCAAGACGAAACAGATTCAGCGACGACGTAAGTGGCCGTGAATGCGTCAGCTACTTCTACTACAAGAGCGCTCTGCAATATTACTACACTTAGACTTAGTTCACTCGGCATCCTAAACCTAATCCTTACCTTTTGAGTGCTACTTTGTTCTGAACCTTGCTTACTCCCAAAGAAAGTTTCCATGTTTTTCATCGCTCGCCTGATTGGTTTGTCCCTGTCCCTCAAGAAAGGATTAAGCAACAAAGTTGTAATGAAGATACAAGCACTTTTCAGCAATAAACACAGTTGCGCTTTTACTCCTACAGCTTAACTTCTGTGAGAAGATAACTGATAGATTGATAGAGGATGTGGAGGAACATGTCAGTTTTCTTCTTAAAGCGGAAAAATCTTGTGCTTACTCATCATTGTTGTACAAATCATGTGCCGCCAAAGTCACTGGGAGGTGGCGGCGATGTCTTGCCTCACACGCATCCAACAACTCATGAAAAGAGGCTAGGTCAAAGGGCGAGGCAAGATCTGAGCCAGCCGCAAGCCAAGGCGACAGGCGACTATTGATGTGATCTAACACTGGTGTGCAGCACACAGTAGTTTCATGTACTTCTTCTACTACATCCCTGTTCCTAGTATCGTTTTCGTCTTGATTTCCCTTCTCCGCAGTCGCTGGCAGCGTTTCGCAGATGATCGCCCGATTTTGCATACTATTGGATGTCGGAACGTAGGTAATCTGACGCACTGTTCTGAAAAAGGACCGCAGCTTTTTCATGCGCATCGCTTGCACTACATCGTCACAAATCTCCGCAATTCTGATATGCTCCTCGCTCAGCTTTGAGTCAGCGCTCTGCTCTGTATTGCGCCAGGCTGCCCAGCGGCACAATTGCGAGAATTCCGGGATGTGCGAAGACAGCAAGGGTGTCTGAAAGTCGGCAGAGCTTGCACCAGGTCGTCTAGTTGGCGAAGGAAGGCTTGAAGATGATGTTGTAGTCGAGTTATCATCCTCGTGTGCTCGTGTGAGATTTTCGCAAGAATCCGAAACTGCAGCACTGGTACCGTGTGTGGTGCTGGCTCCATAGTATTTTACGAAAAACCGCAAGTCTGTGCCAGAAGGGTCAGTGCTAATCTTATGCGTGCAACAGGTTGCAAAAACAGCACCTGCGAGCGTAATGTCTACGGTGTCATCGACTTTCGTGATTTGCGAGAGTTTCTCCATGAACTGAATGCAGTAATCTGTTCCTGTACCACACAAATGCTTACAGAGCACAACAAGCTTGATCTGTTTCGCTTTCTGAACATGATCTCTTCTTCCCATGATAAAGTGTTTTCTCACAACCTCGCTTTCAATCATCGACCAGATCGCTTGCCACCTAGAGACGCAGTCCTCTATGCGCAAAAAATCGATGGGTGGATTGAAATCAGTGAAATATCTTTCGCCTTGACAGTTAGCGTGAGGCGTCCGACGATCGATTCCGACGGCGTAACTCCCAAACACTAAGTGCGCTAAAATAACGAGAGTCGCATTGCCACATCCAAGATCAATGACTATCGTGTCCCCATCGCATTCCAGGCGATGCAGCTGCTCGAGTAAGGAGGCTTCCTGCGCCGAAAACTTCGCCGCGTAGTGTTGTCCTCGGCGAAAGAAATCGTCGACAAACTGGAGCGAGCGGGCTGAGGGAAGTTCTGCAGGCAAAAAGGCGTAGGGACGGTAGGGGTATAGAGTCGTGACAGTGCTGTGGTCCACTTCCCTCGCCGCACTCGCAGGAGAATTTGAGGAAGTAATAGGAGTTGGTATCTGTATATGCTCTTTCATATGCTGCATGTGAGACTCGACTTCTTTGGCAGGTGCAACTGTGATGCTGCATTCCAGCGACTTGTTCTCAGCAGGAGTATTATCGATGCCGGGAGCTGTTTCCCCACAGTCATATTCTAGCCTTCGGGGCCTAACACTTTCCGCTGGTTCGTAGCCAAAGCGCTCTAGGATTTTGTCTCGTAAAGCTCTCAAGGTCGTTTCTGAAGCCGGCTCCTTTCGTTTTGCTTGCTCACGCTGTTGGATTTGCCTCATTTTCCATGCTTCGCGCACTTCAGGCGGAAGGGAGGCCAAATCTACATCCTCACGAGCCACGTAGGTTGCTGCAGGACCTGGAGACGTACTTGCTCCTAGATTACTCTCATGGAGACCACTAATTCTAATCCCAGCTTGTTCGGTAAAAATCGTCCTTTCTCCAGCTAGTACTTCCTGCCAACCGAAGACGTCGCAGACTTTCTCAAGTGCATCGTATTTCACCTTTGCACGCTTTTCTCGCCGCACTTGCCTCTTCATTTCGCGTTTTCGCTGCCGATTTGCGGATCTAGGGGAAGACGTGTCCCTGTCTTTCTGGTCGTCCTGCTCTGGTTCTTCCAGGATCAAACCTTCAGCAACATCATCCTGTTCCAAAGTTAGAGGCGCTGATAACTGCACTGGAACGGACTCTGCAGTCGCCGGCGGCGCAGGTGACCGCGCGGCCACTGCAGCTTCTTCTAAAGCGGTGGCGGTGGTGGTGGTGGTGGTGGTGGTGGTGGATGCCGTCATTTTCTTGCACGTCATCGGAGTTTGGACATTACAACCATGTTCTGGGTCTCTGCTCGAATACCTATCTGCTAGGAGTTAGCTCAAATAAGGATTTCAAAAATCATGCAGCCACCCGGAGTGTTAGAGAATTTATTCTTATGGTCCACCTTCTCCTGGTCTCAACTCATCATCATGTCGCTGAGAAAAGAGACAAAATTATACGCGATGAGAAATGGCGAAGCGCTCTGATCATTCTACTTATGATCTCGGGAGTAGAGCTTGATTGATCTCCAATGGATCTTGGAAGTCGGAAACCACGCAATAGACCTTTTCACCTTTACCAACATCGAATACGGTCTCGTAATCAGCAGCATCACTGAGCGAGGTGGAGCTTGAGGTGGATATCATGCCGCTACCTAGCTAAGTGGAGCATTGCTGTGCGTGCGAATGTGATCTACTTGATCGAGCTGTTCTACTTAATTGTCGTGGGGGATGATCTAGATCTTGATCGTTCACGTTTTCGTAGTAAGTTTGCCACAAAATTACAACATCTTGAGAACATGAACAAACGGCATGAGTGAGTCTTAGTGTTTCTCGTTTGGATGAGTATCTTGTAATATAATTCTCGTGGACTCTGTGTAAGTACTTATGTGTCTGTTTACCAGTCTCGACTACAAATTGGAATTGCGAGGTTTATGATCAGACACAACTTGCCAGCATGACTCAAAGGAATTGAAGTGTCTTCTAATTCATGATCACGTCATCAGGCCATCGGCTCGAAAACAATCTTCATCTTGCAGCAGCGCAACAAAGCGGTCGTATGTGAGGAAGCCTTTTTGTTTGGGATCTGCCGACCTCCATAGCGCTAACAGCCGATCTGCATCGATCCCCAATTTCCGCATTCCCATGAAGAATTCCTTCTTCGACACAACCTTGTCCTGATCTTTGTCAAGGGCATGGAAAATATCTTGCGGCAGCAAGCTGTGCTGTCGTGGCGTCATTTTGGTTGTACCACTCAAGGACGAAGTAACTGCTGCTGCAGCACCAGTCTCTATCTTGGAAGCAGAGCGAGGCCTGGATGATGTAGTTGTAGTAGCACTAGTTCTTGGACGCGAGGAAATATTGGCTTCGGTACCAGTACCGACCCCTACCCCTCCAAGAGTAGCAGTCTCGCCAAAAATTCGTGCTACATGCTGGCCGAGCCCGAAACTGGCGCTGACAGGGACGAGTGTCGGAGCATTCGGTGTCGATGAGACGACTGCGCTTGATGAAGAAGTGGGAGCCGTGACAAACTGTACGAAACCAGTCAGCCCTTTAAAACTCTCCCCCGAAGAGGACGCTGATCTGCTACCTGTGTGTCTTCCACCCAGCGACCTCAGAGTTCGAATCAAGGCCCAGTCGGCAGCGAAGAAGCCGAGGACCTCGACTGTCCGACCTGACATGAGTTGTCCGCGGAGGTCGGCACGAATCGATGGCCATTTGCGCACATAGAGAAGCTGCTTGGTGATGTAAAGTTGTTTAGGTGCATTTGGCGTTCGTTCTTGATCTTGGTTATGTTCTTCTTCCCCGTGTTCGTTCTCGCCGGCATTATAGGCACCAGGTCTAGCATGGTCGTGTTCATCTTGATTTTTCTGCTCTCGGTCGTGGTAGAGAGATTCACCAGAAGTAGATCCTCCACGTAGTGTACTCTCTTTTGACGCCGGAGGCCAAGAGGTCCAGCAAGAGTCTTCTGCTCCGGTGGTAGGACAATCAGAATTCGGCGTCGGCAGAGGGTAGCTATTGCTATCTTTTGAAAGAATTTTGGACAGTTGCTGGTTCGCATGTTGTCCATCGAAGAAGACTGCACCTTCTTTGTCGGTGTGTGACACGGTAAGACGACTAGAGATCGGACTTCTCAAATATCCACTATGAACTGTGGACGCCCGATTATCACGTTGCTTTTTACCGGGTATTCGACCGACGGTGTTTTCTAAATTTTGAAGTCTGGTCTCAAGAAATTCGATTTCAGCATTCTGTCCCGCTATCAAGCGTCGTAGGTACTGGTTTGCGCGCTCGATTTCCTTCGGTCTGGCTCCTTCCGCAAGACGCGGCAAGAAAGCAATCTTCTTCGTGGACTTCAGTTGTTTAACCTCGCCAATAAAACCCGCCTTATTCCTTGCAGCCCCTGATGGTCCTGGTCGAGGGCGGGCTCCCTCGTCAACCGCTTCGTCTAGGAGATAATCTACTTCGCGGACTGTCGCAGAAAACTGAGATTTTCCCGAAGCGTTCGCTACAGAGGCAGTCTCCTCCAAATGCACGACAATTCGAACCGTTGGTTTCCGGCTGAGAGTCTCGAAATTTCGACTACCGCCTGGCCTGACAATCTGCCACTCACCGGAAGGCAATGTCGTCTCGCAGCCTTTCACGAGGTTGTTCACTGCAACACGCCAAACGCCAAGAGGTCGGCCGACGTACCCATGCGGGTGTGATCCTTCCTGTGATGTAGCCCACGTAGCAAGAAGCTGTGGATTGGAGTCTGAGAAGCCGTCGGCAGGCATCAAAGTCGGTTCGCGCATGTGCTCACCTTCGGCGAACATCTTTGAAGCACCAGCAATGGACTGAGGTAAACGCAGAGCCGTCGACCTGTTGAACCGCTCAAGCAAACCATCAGACTCTTCGCCAGAATCGGAGCAAACGCAAATGGGTCGAAGTGCTAGCGATTCAAATCCAAATGGGTCTACCCCATGCTGAAGCTGGTGCTGATCAGGCTCCTCCCTTATGTGAGATGAATTCTCATCTTGCACCGCTTCGAATGGAGCTTGCGAGCAATGGGATCCTTCATCTAATGACACCGGCTCATCAGACTCCTTATCACCCGCATCTGATGATGCCATCGAAAGCAGTTCTGCCATGTGTTGTCCCTCACCTCCACCAAGATTGAGAAAAGCATCTAAGCCCATTTCATCGTCCTCGTCGCCTCCGATTGAGAGTTTATCTTGATGACTGCCTCGACCTGCCCCACGAAGGAACGCGTCCAGTCCGAAGGCGTCATGCTCGTCCTCCTCTTGACTTTCTTGATGACCCTGTCGGCTTTCAGCGTCCTCATCATCGAATCTAAGGTCTGCATCATCTGATGATGGCAGAAGAAAAGGACTGTCCTCACCTCGTAACATATCGGCGTTGTCCTCGACGTCGACTTCACTGCTTCTTTCGTCCTGAGTCGCCTCCGCCCGTTTCTCTAACTTCTCGCTCTCTTGATGTCTCTGTGGTAGATTTAGCGCCTGTTGGTCTGCAGTTTCCGCAAGCGACGATGTCGTGGAAGATTTCTCAAGGAGCTGCCCATGAACGTCTACGGTTAGCGCCGAAGCTGCTGATGCACTCTTGTTCAAAATAGTCTTCACGTCGCCGCTATCTGAATATGCATGTCGGTTTCTTGAAGAGTCATGCTCACGCAGCAAACCCAAACTGCTAAGACAGTCTGCAGGCGGCGAAGCAAAGGCACCCTGCTCTTCGTATTGATGTGCTGGCTCTTGTTTTTCAGAGTCAAAAGCAACGCCGTTATCTGTTCCATCTTCGCGTGCAGGGCTGTCTTTATCGCCCGTGTCCCGAGGAATCAGTTCGGCTCCCTCGTCACCAGAGTCAGCTTCGCCGCTCTCGATGACATCTTCATCTTCCGGGATTGATACTGACTCCCCTGCTGACGCGATAGCATCATCGTCATCTTCATCCTGTTCGCTAAAGTTGTACTCTTCTACGCTATCGTCCTGAACGTTCTCTCCCGCATCCTGCTGCGCAACATCCGATGACGAGTTGTCTTCACCTGCATCCCGCAAAAGGTTGGCAATTAAGTCAGCATTTCTTTCGGAATCAGAAGACTCGCCGGGCTCATCTTCTCCACCATCGCCTCCACCGACGCGCACCGGTGCACTCAGAAAAGCGTCGGACCGACCATCGGCAAGTGTTGGTATAAGCGTGTCATCCCGGTCAGGAGAAAAGTGGTCAAGCATCCTGGGCAGACTGCTATCGAATGCACAACACGGTAGATCAAAACCACCCATGAAATCCGAAGTCAATGGTTGCGGAGGTGACTGCTGGCCTCCCCGCGGGGTGTCTGCAGGGTTGTCCGCATCTTCACTCATATTCTTGTCAGGATCACCGTTTTCCCTGCCTTTTTCCGGAGCATTAATGTGATTTTCAGAAGCTCCTTCCGGTTGTGAGCGCTCTTCTTGGTGTTCAACGTCGCTTTTTGTATCGTCCGCAAATGCTACACTTCGTCGTGTCTCCTGAGTCAACGTGGTACCGCTTGTCGCACCTGCACCGTCACCTGCGGTCTCAGCATCATCTCTGCCTTTGCCGGTTGGCACAACTCGAACTGCATCTCCTGGAGAAGATTTGTATTGCTGCAAGATCGCATCAACGGCGCTACTACCATGGACCTCTTGGCCGCCGCGCCGTTCTTCTAGCTGAAAAAGGTAAAGAGAGCAAGACCCAATGTCACTCAGATGTCTCCACTCATGCAGCGCACAGCATTTGTCAATCTGATCTGCCATAGCATTTGAAGATTTGCTAGAGTGATCCCATTTGTAGATGAGATTTCCCCCACGCGAATCGTCGGTGCCGGTCGGGGCGACTGGCTGCGATGTGTAGGAATGGATTCCGTTGACTTTGAACACAAAATAAAGCGGTAACCCAGTCCGGATACCGCGTATGTCGCTGATCTCCACCTGCACCAGAGAGAAGTTGCATTTCGATCGAGCATAACTTCCAGAAAGTCCACTTTTGATGGTGGAGGAAGCTGACGAGGTGGCCGCGGTCATGTTGATATTTTTTGAAGAGTTATGCTTACCGTAATTGATGGAGATGGTAAAGGTAGGACGACAAGAGAGCTGATCAGGAAAATCTTACAACATCGTCCATGCATAGTCTTGCTTTTAGCCATACTGCGCTTTCGCATGTGTATGATTGTCGTCAACTCTCTTCGAAGCATCTGAGACGAGTTGCTGCCTTCGTGCTGTTTGTTTCCTACTATTAGAAGGAGCGAACTTATGCCATTTTGTTCTACATCGATGTGCATCTGCATTTTCTTCGGTTTTGCTAGCCACATTCGGCCGTGGCGGGGGCCGTCGACGTTGCTGAGGAAGCCTTTACATTTTCAGTTTCGTACAAGAGATATCAGTGCTTGTGCATGTGCAAGTCGAGCGAGAGCAGCTCAGACGTTCACTGCAGCTCCTTGAGGTGGCTTCACGGAGCAACCGATTACGATTTCGGCTCTGGCAGTGCGTCGAGATGGCACGGAACGGAACCTGCACTGTTGCTGGTAGCTGTTTCAACGCGACCTAGGTGCGCGTGCGTGAGCATGAAAAGAGAAAGAGCACAGAAAGAATGAATGAATGAATGAGGAAGGACATCAAGATCAACGGACCATGTACAATCTTCAAGATGTCCTGGGTAGTTGTAGTTCATAGATGATCTTTAAAATATGGTACATATTAAACTTAAACTGACCCTTTTACTTTTTTTAACAACTAAAACTTATCCTCCTTCCATTTGTGAGTGTGGCAGTCCCACTAAAACAGCGAGAATGAGAAATACCGAAACCGAAATTGATAGATAATAATATTAAATATCGATTGAAAAAATAAACAAATTGTCCAAACTCTTCTACAGCTACATGTAACAAGGGTGGTGTTTTGCTTCTAATTCTATTTCTACATTCAATGATGAAATAGAATTTTTAATTTTACCAGTCATGACCATTACCATTTGTATTCATATTATATAGGCGTCAGGATAACCATAACAGTTTATGCTCTCAGTGAAAAATGCTAATGTTTGTTGATGTCGCGTGACGCGTGCATTTCTACATTTTTAAATTCTTCGATGCCTCGCTCTAGCTGTTTTCATCGTGTGCTTCTGTCTGCTGCTGCATCTTAGCTCTCCCTCGTCCTGACAGCGAGCGCCAAAAATCAGCCTTGTCGTGTATATATCCAAACTTTGTCTCAGAATCCGCGTCTTCATCGTCCTCGTCATCTTGTTTTATTGTTGAAGATATCGGTGATGGCGAAGATCGCACTGCGTCTGCTCCAAGGGCTAGTTGTGCATTCTGTTCATGCATTGCATGTTATTTTATCTTGCCTATGTTTTCATGTGCATGTGCCTGTATGACTCTCGAAAGAGTTGTGTTGTTGATCGATGTTGAACTTGATAGAGAAGAACTACATGTGGTACTATTGGACGATGATGATGTGAGCGTGCTATATTTTGCATCATCTGCATCATGTGATTGTGCCTTGTTACTCGTGCTACTTCCGATCGTTGCTATGCCGTCGCAAGAACTGGCGTTTCTTTGTTCTTCCGCTGCGTCTCCATTCAGGTAATCGAGAATAACGTTCCAGACAAGGCAGCCAAGGTTCACTGAGAGTACACGGTATTGCGGCGGTACGATAGAAAAATTCGCAAATTGGAATGGTATCCACATCGCGCAAGTGGCCGCCCAAGTCTCCATATAGCATCGGCGCATTTCTTCCGTGATTTCCTCCCAACTCTGCCTCTGGAACCAACCCAGCGTCAGATAAAAGCATGGAAGGTACCCAATCGGAACGTGAATTAAGTTGTCGACTAATGCGCAAGCAAGAGCGAACCGCAGACCCGGCAGATGCGATAATAGGCGACCGTACCTAGCAAGGAGCAGGAGAACGTACTTAGCCCTGAGGAAGATGATGATCCATATTCATTTCACAAAAACGTAATACTGAACCAGCGCGTCATCTGATGATACCTCATCTATCATTTGCAGCACCACATGAAGGTGAAAAGTACGCCCCGTATATCGCTGTGTCGACGCCACCTTGGTAAAACGCACAAAAAGTCGTGAATCCTCGGTTACGGTCGCGATCAAGGGTGTCGTGGCCTTCGATGTATCGTTGGCAAATGACATCGCCACCAAAACCGAGCACACCTCCTGCGATTGTGTTTGTCGTGTACGGCCTCGTGTTCAATGCATGCGTATATCCCTGCATGACGCGGCCGAAAAACGACCGGAGCCGCCTGGAGAAACTACTGGAAGAGGAAGACATTTTTTCTTGATGAATTATATCTTATATCATTTTATTTTCTTTTTCAGTAACTGAATTTGAAATACTATTTCGATAATGAAAAACGCCGCAGCATACAGCACATGGTCAATCGAAATTGAGTTGAGTTCCAGAAGAGTTAACTGAGATTTCTCCCATCATGCAGAACACACGCACACCGGCGTGAGGGACCAGGAGCTCCAGCTAAATGCATTGAACCAGTGAGTTAGAGTCCGAGTGGTCTTCATGCGAAGTCGACTCTGACTTTTTGTGAATCAGTCATTTGTTTCATCTTCCTCTAACACTCTCGCACAAGAACGCTTTCTTTAAAAGGAATCATAAACAGTTACCTTGCTCCCGGTCAATCAAGAAAACTAACAGAAGAAATTGTGTGACTGTCAGTTGTTCGGACAAACTACCATCAGAGATTCAAATAAAGGACACCTCTTGAAGCTCTACGTTGATAACCATAACCTGTTCAGATGAAATAGAAATACCTTGTTGATTCAATACCGATACACAGAACTCCTTTTCGTGCTGCCTGATAAAGCCTGACATCGAAGTCAAGCACATTTATTAGTTAGAATCATTCAGAAGAGGAATCAAAGCAATATTAAGAGTAATAAAATTCAGCAAATACTTCCCCTCCGAAACCTCAACCTCCAACACCCAAACCCACAACCTCCGACACAAAAACCAACAAACCAACAAACCCCAAACCCATGAACCCAAGAAACCAAGAAGAAACCATGAACGTAAGAAAAACTCGAGGCCAAGCCCAAGAAATTGAATCTCAGCGAAAGCGTTTGAAATCAAAAATTTTGGGATTTTAGCGCTTCAAATTCACAGAATTAAATCCCAAAACGACGAAAAAACGCGCAAAATTTTCGGAATTTAAACAACTCGAATCCAAGAAATTGAATGCCAGCGAAGGCGCTTAAAGTCAAAAACTTTGGGGCTTTAGCACTTCAAACTCACAGAATTCAATCCCAAAACGACGAAAAAACGCAAAAAATTTCAGAAATTTGAAAAACTAAAACAAAACGCGAGCCCAGGCGATTAAAACTCAGAGAAAGTGCCTAAAGTCAAAATTTTTGGGATTTTAGCACTTCAGACTCACGGAATTCAATCCCAAAACGACGAAAAAACGTAGAAAATTTTGGAAATTTGAAAAATGTGAGCCCAGGAGATTAAAACTCAGCGAAAGTGCTTAAAGTCAAAAACTTTGGGACTTTAGCACTCCCGAACCACTGAACCCAATCCCAAAACGACGGAAAAACGTGGAAAATTTTCGAAATTTGAAAAATTCGAGCCCAGGAAATTGAATCTCAGCGAAAGTGCTTAAAATCCAAAAGCTTTGGGATTTTCGTAGCGCTTCAAACTCAGAGAATTCAATCCCAAAACGACGAAAAAACGCGGAAAATTTTCGAAATTTGAAAAATTCGAGCCCAAGAGATTAAACCTCAGCGAAAGCGCTCAAAGTCAAAAACTTTGGGGCTTTAGCGCTTCAAACTCACGGAATTCAATCCCAAAACGACGGAAAAACGTGGAAAATTTTCGAAATTTGAAAAATTCGAGCCCAGGAAGTTGAATCCCACGGAAAGGGTCTGAAGTCGAAAGCTTTGGGATTTTAGCACTTCAAACCAATATGAAGAAAGAAGAGAGACAAGACGAGCAAAACCCACGCAGTCAGGCCGTTCTTAGTTTTTTACTTTCGGGAGGAGGGGAATCCTAGCGGGAGGAATGTTATCGGGCGCTCATAGCTAGTAGTATACAAAGAACGCTATCAGGTCATCCGGAAAGGGATATTCGGTACTAGAAGAAAGAAAGTTCATCTGCTTATCCATACGTCGTTAGAATAAGTAATGCGTCGTTTGAAAACCGGACTCAAGAACAAGTACTCACACTATATTTGCATTTGGTTCCTCAAAAGTATCCATCCACCATATTGATGATTTTAAGAACAAGAACAATAAACCAAGAAGCTAGAGCTGCCAGTACACTTCTTACCTAACCTGAATGTAAGTACTAGGTGAAGGATATCATCAACGAACACAACCCAGCGACTACGTCGAAATACAAAAAATATTAGTGTATTGGTATTCACAAAAAAGGACAACTCTTCTAAAGAATCGACGTTTATTGCTTGTTGTTCTAATATTGACCATGACCTTGATTATGTATTCCTAACATAGTTGCACACAACATCACCACTATCTCCACGGTGTGGCTGATATGTGTGATTATGGCCTCGACAGTGATCACGACCCCTACCTCTAGTACTTGAAGTAATCACGGTCGTTGTCGAATATGGACCCGCCCTGTGCTGGACCGTCGCGAAATTTGTGTTTGAAGGGCTCTCCAAGTTTTTGGACTATGAACTTGGAGCAGGGCATGCTCGCCGCGATCTCTCCCTTGTCCGCTAGCATGCGCATAAACTGGTGTAGATTCTGCATGAATGCAAGAATGAGCTGTAAACTGTCTTTCAGCAAATCCATGTCCGCGTCATCCGCGACCTTCACACGCAGAAATTTGCGCACTTTCAGGGCTTGGCGCACCATTTGCTTTCGTGTCTCCATGGGTATCTTTAGGGCATCAAGTTCCGGCGAGCCCAGGTCGCTTTTTATGTTGGCCTGATCCTTGGCATCCGTGTCTTTGTTAAACGGCAAGAGCAGGCGGGACAGCCTTCCTTTCATGATACCACACTTTTGCGAAAAATGTTCAACATCTGCTACCCACTGGAGTCCGTCTTTGGCAGATTGCAGGGTCTTCTCGAGTTCCGTTTCCGAGTCTACCGCTTTGATGCCCTGCGAAAGAAGGATCTGGACTTGTCCCCATTGAGAGTCGAGCGCTGGCGGAACAGCAGTCCCAGTCCCCGTGGAGGTTTCGTTTGCCGGAGCTGCATTGCCACCTGCGGACGCATTTGCTGTTGTCGTGGACGTGGTTTGCTAAATACGGTGATCATGATGAACATGTCCTAACGTTAGTGTAAAAATGTACCTTGAGTAGAACGCACGCCAAATTTTCCATGTTTCTCCTTCTCAACAATTTGTAATCTATTTTCATGATCACACAGAGATGTTTCAGTTTCTCATATATTCTAATCGAAATGATCGACGTTAAAAGTAAAGTACCTCCTTCTCCTTCGCCGGCTGCTGCTCCTGGCAGTTTGGCTTTCGCTTTCGGGCGTGCAACCTCTACTCTGCGGCCTAGCTTGTCAACCATGTACTCTTTTTTGTGTGTCGATCGGGCAGCAGGCCGGTTTTTAATCTCCTTGCACCTTGGAATGTGCCTCGCTGCTGCCTCTTCGTTGAAATTTCGACCACAGTACGGACAAGGGACCCTCGAGTCCTCGCGTGGTGGAATCCATAATCCACTTTCAGGATCAAGCGCCAGAAGCTGGGATGTGGATGCGCGGTGTTGATGAGCATCCGAATCAGTGACTTCATCAAAATACTCGAAAACTCAAGATACCCGAGTAGCCAACTGAAATAGCAGAGTCATTACGTTGCTCTTGTTTCAGTATCTCGCTTATTCTAAGTAGTTACTCGCTTATTATTATTAATTTCAGTTTATCGAAATATTATAGATGCATGAAGATTGATACATAGTGTTGCGATTATCAACAAGGAATCATTCCTCACTTTCAATCTTGTCGGACGACACTTGGTTCTAGATGAAAATGTCCTTTCATATGAATTTGAGTAATGCGTTGCGGAGTATACCTGATTTTCCGCACCTCCTCCTGCAATCGCTATTGCTGGGGGCGCCCCCTCTCGGCCAGTCGGTGATGACTTTGGCTGGACTGGATTGTCCTGGAGTGAGCTACCTGCGGGAGCCTGTGCTATCAACGACCCTGAAGTTGTATGATCGAGAGTGGAGTTTCGCGGCCGACCCATCTTGTTCGCGATGCCAGTCGTATCTGATCTTTCACTATTCGCTGGAGGCAAAGTAGCGGTCGACGACTCGCGATTCTTTAACGTTTTTAGCGACGTCAGCATTGTAGATGTCGAAGTTGCGTCTTTCGAGGAATTTGCAGTTAGCTGCAGTGGAGCTGGGAGCTCCATTCCGTGTAGAGTCGTTTTCGTCGTGTGCTGTAGCAGATCCTCTCCTTCTTCAGCGACGTCAACAGGCTGATGGGGACCACCTTCAAGTTGTACACAATCTCGTACTCGTTGCTGTTCGGTTATAGAATGGGAACCGCCTACCAGAGCCTCATTATCTATCGACGAATCAAACTGCGTTGTGTAAGTTGCTCCAGGACTAGGCGGGCCTGCTGGTTCATCGCTTCGATGAGTGTCCTTGTCAAGCTGCGGAAGATGACGCACACTTCCCCCAACACGAAGTGGCTCCTGCAGTTCGAAAGTGCCGTGCTCTCCTACAAGCCCCACCTGCGTCCCAGCATCAACATGAGGATCTACTCCTTCCGCTCTCCATCCTTTCATCTGAGCGCCTCCGAGTGGATTATTGTCGAAAATACCACGACGATCACCTGTCCCTGCGTCCTGCATTTTATAGGCCATATGGCTGCTACCGGATCTGTCCTGAGTCGGTGGTTCTGCTTGAGACGATTTTGTCAATGCTTGTTCGACGAGGTCTCGGTCGGTGAGAATGGGCGATGTCGCGCTATCAGTAGCACGTCTGCGCACAGCCTCGCTTCGTGCTTGTTCTCCAGCTGGCAGAGATCCCATTTGTTCTTGCTCTTCTACACAGCCATCTCGCTGATGAACATTTGCCGCAACAGCCAGCCTCGGATCCTTGTTTGAAAGTAAAGCAAAAGCATCAGACTTCACGTTACTCTGATTCTGATAAGGGTTTCCCTCAGCATGTGCAGCAGCTGTCATTGAGGAACTCGCCGAAGTGGATCGCGTGCATGAACTGGATGCGGGAGGAACGCCGACTAAGACAATGTGCTGTCCTGCTGGAATCACTATAGTATGTTGTTCCTCTTTTGATTGTAAACGATCGTGCAGCTGAACTTCGTCCGCTCCAGACACGCTGGCGATCGCACAAGAGGGATCTAGAGCGGCTGCGCGCGCACGCAGCCGCAGGTCTAGGTTGCCCTCCTCAAGCTTTGTCAGGCTCTGGAGCAATTCCAATCTGCTCTCCTCTGCTGCGATCGACGTTGCAAGGGCAGGTGCCGCAGTTGACGCGGGTTGCAGCAGCGCGTCAACCGATGGTCTCAGTGATGACTTTCCTACAGCATCGATGTTCACCTCTTCGGACGCGTCCGCCACGCCAGCTGTGGACGCCACAACTCCTGTTTGCACCGGGCCATCCGACTCTACATGTTGATGTCCTACATGTACTTCTTCCAACTCATTATGATTTCCAGCTGCAGGCGCAGGCGCAGAAGGAGGCAGCAAAGCAGCGCTCTGTGCAGGAAGAAACATTTCAGCCGGCGTGCGCATGTCCACTATGGCCGTATGAGGTTGCTCTTGCGTTCCCTCATGAGGTACCATCGCCTCCGGCTCAGGCTGATTTTTGAGATCCGAAAACAAACTGGACGACGGCTGCAGCAGAGCATAGTCTAGTGCTGACGTTTCTGGAAACGGCAACTCTACAGTGGCTGGACTGTCGATAGATTTCTGGAGATCCTCCACCCCCACTGGATCCACCTTTGTTATGCTCGCTCCAAAGTGATTTGCTTCTGTGACTCTGAGTGAAGCTGAAACAGTGGCAGGCACCTTTATAGTATCATCATTACCCTTAGCCTCTGCTTCGTTTATGTGATTTTGGCTTTCTTGACTCGCTGTGACATCAGATTTTTCATTTACGTCTAAGCCATCGCTTGGTGCAGGAGCTGTAGTAGACCTTGTTTTACCCCGCGGCCCGCCTAGTCTTGCTCCGCTTCGGTTACTTGCATTCCATGGATTCCTCTGCACGCCGCTCTTGTTCTCCTGCGCATCCTCTGCAGCACTCAGAACGACATCAGCGTTGGACTTTGCTGCCGGTCTAGTTTTCAAGCGAGCAGCGCCAGTGGGTTGTCCAGCGCCTGACGCATATCGTGGCTTCTGCTTTGCTTGCGCCTTGCCGCTTAAAGGGCGTTCTGTCGGTCCACTTTGCTGCTGCTGTGCGGTGCCGACGGCAACCGCGCCTCTGCTTTCATCAGAAACGGCGAGTTTCCGTTTCCTGGTATTGCTTTTGCTTTGGAGCGCCGCCAGTGCTGGTATCGCCGACCCTGGAGTGCCCGCCACGTCCTCTGAAGGGTGTGGCTCAGCATCGGCCCCTAACGCCCGGACGGAAATCCTACCACGGCCGCCGCCGCTCGTCGTGCTAGAACTGCTACTACTACTTGCGGCAGAACCAGAACGTGTTGACGCGTAGGAAATTCGGGCAGCGTGTATGGTGGGAGGCAGACCTCCAAGAACGGCGGTTGCGACGCTACAGGAGTCTCCACCGGGCTTGCTATTTGAGGCCACTGCAGCAGCACCACCACCGCTAGCACCAACCCGAGCTGCATGACTTGGCCTGCGCCGGACATGCACTATGTGGCTCGCCACTGCTGATGTACGGCCAGCGCCTCCTGACGTCGAAGTCGGCACGCCAGCAGCTGTGTTGGCGGGAGCTGGATTTGAACCCACGCCAGGATTTCCAGGCGAGGAAGAGACTGCGCCTCCCCCTCCTCCAGGTGTGGGACTTGACGATGCACCCCCACCCGATGCAGACGATGCCGAGGAATCGCGACGTGCAGCCAATACCGACGCGGGAGGCCCCGCGTCTATTCGACTGGATATTTTCGCGTAATCGCTTTTGGTTGGATGTGTTCGCGGACACCGTGTAGCATACTGGTTCAGTTGTGACCGTGCCTGACTGATCCGTACGGAACAAGGCGGCGCCACACTACCAGTCGGAGATGAGGATGCTCCTGGAGCAGCTTCTTTCGAAAAGAGATTTTCGTTTGGATGAGCATTTTCTATTCCTGATTCTGGAGCAGCAGGAGTAGCTGCTGCGTTGCTTCTCACAATCGTTTGCTTACGTAGATCAGACGGTGGCACCGCATTCCCCGATGGAGACCCCAAATTGGGCGGCGCACTTATCGGAGACGACGCCGATCCGGTTGCCCCGCCCGGCGGAGGACTGCATAAGGTAGCCGCGTGCCCACCAGCAGCTCCTGCATCTTCCTGTAGAAAGGAAGCAAATCCTCCCCCAGGAATAGAGACTGGCTGATCAGTCGCAGGAGAAGATCCGGACGATCGCATGTGAGCACTTACACTCGGGCCATTGACCCCTGCGCCCCAGACCGGGTTATACGGCGCACGCACCGGCTCGATTACCATAGACGTTGCTCGGGTGCTTGGGACAATACCAGCGGAAGTAACCCCGCTTGGGGGGCAGGCATTCGTTAGGACCTAGGTTATAGTCAAATCGATACAGAAATAAACGAAGCGCATGCATCAAGAGCAAAGAACGAAAAACAAAAGATAGCGATGGGCGAGCCTCTGTTTTTCTTTCTGTTGAAAATTTCTAAACCTAAGCCAACTTCTACGTCTTTACTTCTATTTTCTAGCTCTACCAGCTCGCCTCCTCCACCGAGGGGAGTCGATGCTGGTCCTCCGCTAGGGCTTGCTGTTGTGGGATAGGCTGAGTGGTATTGTGGAATCCCACTCGCCGTTCCACTATCTGTTGCGTCGGAGAAGTCCGCAGTCGGGTTTGTCATTTTTCGTAATCGAGGATGCTTCCGTTTTAACAGGCTTAACTGGTGAAAGTGTGTTCCTCGTGGCGACGCGGTTGCCGCTAACGCTGTTGTGACTCCTCCTAGCACCGCATCCGCGCCACGCGGAGGGACTCCTTCAGCCTCCATGCTGCCTATGCTCGGTGGAATTCGATACGTCGGAAATGCCGGGTCCCGGTGCGACGACTCGTAGTTCTCGTGAGGTTCAAGAACTTCCGTCATTGTGAAGATTTATTTCCATGTTCTTCTCTGGTGAGTGACTGCACCTTATCATTTAGCGAGAAGTACCAGCATAGTTAGTTCTATTGATTAGCTCGAGGTCTTCTATCTTGGAAACTGGGTCGTTTGTTTGTAACCTGAACACGGGACATTTTTCTACATAATGGGTCGGGAATCTGCATCTACGATATCTATGCGACCTCCTCATCCTACTTGTCTTTTGCAAGCAAAATCGCAAGTAGCGACCCGAACTCGATGCGATCCGAAACTTTAACTGCAACTCTCATCCTCGTCCGAAAGCAGTGGCGCTGTTTGTTTTTATTTTTCTCTGTGTGTAATTACAATCCTTCTGCAAAACGCGAATACGAACAATACGAACCTTGTTTCTCTTTGTCTCTCACGTTTAATCGATCGAGTACTTCGACAAAAAAAACGTGCTTTTCCTCAGTTTTGCAATTGTTTGCGCCGTTTCAAATCGGCAGCCCAGCCCCTTTTCAAAAAAACTATGTTGATTCGAGTTTTCTATTTCCAACGTTTTTTGATTTTGACTGCACCTTATCAGCTTGCGTGGGCTCCTCCGAATGTGTCTCTCCAGCTTAAAGTACTTACAGATCGACATGACGAAGTTAATTCCATTTCGTCTTCTTTGTCGCAGATCTCCACTACAGAGTCCGACGTAGCATCTACGTCCTTTCGCGAGGCCATGGGAGCAGCAGGAGCAGAGCGGGTCATCATAATAGATGTCTATTATGGAGATGGTTACCCTCTTGCGATATCGATATTCGTCAATGGATTAAAGGTGAGGGTATCTGCTCGACCCTGCGTTCTTGTTCTATACACATCTCTCTCCTCTAATACTAACCTTTATTAGTCCCCGAGCCCGATGACAAATCAGACAAATAGTAAGCGCGTTCTCAGTTACTGCGATATTCTATTAATTGTCAATCAAATATTTTCTTGCAAGCTTGTTGCTGCATAGCGTCATCAACTACATCAAAAACCAACTAAGTACTTAGTACAAGTAGTACTACTTTCCCATGCGATAGGCATCGAAAACCAATGGAAGAGAAGACAACGAAGAAAAAGCATGGGTGGCGGTTGTGCTGGGACCGGAGGCTCATTAATCAGAAGTGAGCAACATCCGATACTACTTCACTCGACCCTGTCATGTGATCGGCATTAAAGAAGACCCCGATGCCTGAAAATGTCTCAACTGACAACATTGATAAAACTCATCTTTACTTTCGATTTCGTCTGTTACTGTATTGTAAGTTGTACCTAGACGATTAGCTTTAGCTCATTATTTTTGTTCGTAAAAGATCAGTTTACTCGTTTGATGTACGGCGTCATGCACACAAGCGTGTGGCCCACTTCAAAAACTCAGAAAAATGAGAGGCAACAAGAGGGTCCTGCTCTACTCATTCACTCATTCACGTTCGGGGTTCTGGCTTCTTTTGGGGCCTGGGTCTATATTCCTCGCAGTGCGGCAAGCACTGAAGCACAACGGCCAGGCGCTACAACTACGCAAATCCAACGGCTAAGCACGACGGCAACCGCTGTAGAAAACCTAGAGCCCAAGCCCCACGGGCATATTAGTCAACGGCCCCGAAGTAGAACAATGGCGGGGCGTATCTGATGCACCCCGAGAGACAAAGGCTAAGCCCGTGGCGATGAAACACGGATAGGGCTAGAGCTTTGATCTGGCAACTAGCTAGCTAGGGCCTGTCGCTGCAAGCGGTGGACACACAGCACAAAGGGCGGCGCCACTACAAAGATCAACTGCCTTTAGGGTGAGCCGGCCCGCGTAGAATCGCGAAGGTTTCCCCGGAAGTATGCTCGTATTAGTGGCGCTACACTAAACTAGGGGCTTCAAGCTTCGCCCCGGCCCCGTGCACCATCCTCAACCGCGTTCCGCAATCACCAAAAAATAACCAAAAAGAAAAACAGAAGCCGGAGGGCTAACTCCTACCAAAGGAGCTACCTTATGCCTGACAGCCACGACTCTGCTAATAGCGGGCGGGAGCTAAAAGGACCGGCGAGGACGAGCGATGGGACGCTCTACTCCCCCTTTAAATTATGCCACATAAGTCTACTAGCCTATGAAGATAAAAGCGCGGCACTCTCGGCTTTCTCTCACGGACAGAAGTCTTCACACGTAGCCCGTCGCACTCTATCGGGCCCTAGTTTTTTTATTTTGTTACCTGGCCCAGCCCCGGCAAGGGCAATGCAGCTCAGATTAAGAAAGACCCGCCCACGACGTTTAGGCGGTGCCGTGCTGAGCTAGGCTGCGGCGGGCTGGAGCGTCTTCGTTCATCCGTGAGACATTCGCCCCAGGGGGTCGACGCTGGTGAGGGTCATGAATGACGGACGCGCACGGGATCGGTTAGCAGGTCCAATTTGTTCCGGCCTACTCCGCCCATCTGATAATTTAGTCTACGCGAAATCCTACGAAGATAGCTATGGTCTGTTATATATTCTCCATCAAGATCAACACCCAGACCCAGCTTGTCTATATTTGTGGCGGAGCAGGCCTAACTAACAAACTAGAAAAAAGAAAGACCAGAGGAAGATAGAAAAGCGAGACCGGTAGCTGTCACCAAGTCAGCTCCGATCTGCTGAAACTAATCACGCGCCGGCGCTATCGTCGTCCAGTCAGCCCTATAGGTCTCACCTCCGAAAGCAAGCCGGAGCCCTGCGCCTCCGGTGAGTGCTCAGCCCTCTGGTTGTGTGCACGAGTTTACTCGCTATGGGGTACCAGCTCCCCAAATATACCCACAAACAGAGAAAAGGGCCCTAACTACTTTATATCTGCTGCTAACCTTAAAACCCTCGCACGGAAGCCGCAACAGAATGCCCAAAGTCAAAACTAGCGCCAGCATTTGAGAACCATAGGTAGGTCTGTCGCGGGTTCCTTATGCCATAGCTTTCACCTCGAGTCTAGCACGGAATCCGCGACCCGACAGATACTACCAAACTACGACCATGGAGATACGCTTAACTTCACTCCACGCCCCAAAGTCCAAACCCAAACGCGTGCCGCTGTGGTCCCCATCGACTCCCAGTATATTCCCTAAAGGCTTCACACTCGCAGCACGGTGCCACGTGCTCACCTCGTAGCTATCTAGTACTGTGGTGCCGAGCTCCCCGGGATAGCGCGCCGACCTTCTCAACAGTTTGGGCCTCAATGTGTTGCCGCGGTCGTTTTCTATGCTAAAAAAGGAACTACCAGATGACTTGCATAAACTAGATGCGTGAGGTCTACGCAGTGATTTAGAAAAAGCCGACGTCGGGAGACGAGACATCCGACGGATGGGAAGTACCGCCAGGGACCTCCTACGATCCCCAGGCACGCACTTACTACCAGAGCCATCAAGAGTAAGTGCTGCGAAGCAGACCTAAGTAAGTAACCAGAAAAAAAAACCGGAGGAAGATAGAAAAGAGAAGCGGGTAGTTACCATCGCGCCAGCCCCTCCCTGCTGAAACTAATTAAGCGCCGGCGCTATCGTCGTCCTGTCAGCCCCATAGGTCTCACCTTCAGCGGCAGGCTGGAGCCCTGTGCAACGCCTCCGGTTAGTGCTCCGCTCTCTGGTTGTGTGCGCAGGTTTATTCGCTTTCGCTATGGGGTACCGGTTCACCAAATAAACCCACAACCAAAGAGAAGGGCCCTAGCTACTTTATATCTACTGCTAACCTTAAGAGGTTGATGAAGTAAGTGCCTTTTTCTACATCACACGAGAGCGGCAGACACAACAGGAACCATTCACTAAATCTAAATCGATGTAGTTAAGTTATTTACGATTGACTCTCGCCCTCGTGGAGTCGGAAAAATAGGCGGTCAATATTTAGTTGATGTAGGAGTTCATATTTTCTTTGCGTGTATTTCTCTTGGTGTGGGAACAAGAAGCAAAAGATGGACATCGGCTATTCCGGAGTTGTTGTACTCGTATCTCACAGTCACATGTACAACTATGTGTATGTCGCGGCTAAGACGAATGGGAAAATTATTTGAATCGAGGACGAGTTTGTTTTGCAGGCTGCACTTTTTTCATTTGGGTAACTTGAAAGTCCAATAGATGTTGACTTAATGTTTCTTTAGCAGGTTTGATTTTATCATTCAAAGAATATGAATCTATTATTAAGCTATAATTTTTCATCTTTCTAAGGTGCAAAAACTGTAACGCGCGCGCGCGCGTTACGCGCGCGGGTTACGCGCGCGCGCGCGTTACGCGCGCGCGTTATAACGCGTTACGCGCGCGCGCGTTACGCGCGAAATAAGGCGCGCGCGTTACATGCGCGCGGCGCGCGCGCGTAACGCGCGCG